TATTCTATTTGGTCACTTTTGTTACATTTACTTGAAAGAACACCCGGCGCTTTGCAACGGAATCAGTTTTCTTGCCAAAGGTCGCTGCATTCTTTCTGGTATAGTCGTTGTTAAATGAAATAAAATGAAGTTTATTGTTACAAATCTGGTAAAAGTTAAAATTTATAGCATAGCTAATAATTCAAAAGTTCGGGCGATTTTTTTTTGCCCCCCCCCCTAAACGAACCCCTGCGCCTTCGTGCGCCTATGTTTGTAACTACGTCACAGCCCAACTTTTCATAACGTCTATAAAGCCTGATAAAGGTCTATGTATAGTAATGGGCTATATTATCATTGTTGTCTCAATTTCCTTTGTCAGTTATTAGCTTATTTTAACCTATGAAACCTAGGACCTTGGCTGGGTGAACTTCCTTAACGCTCTTAGGCTGAATAAGTACAATGTCGCTTATATCACAATCAGCAAACATTATTTCAGAGCTTTTTTCTTTGAAACCATGCATGCATGCATTATTGGTAGATATACACGTTTCCTGTTTGTCACAAACCTCAGGATATAATTACTACACAAACTTTGCAGTCACGACAGACAGCCCGAGGAGGAATACACAAACTGAAAGTGCCGGGAAAAACCTGTGACCAATTTGTGGCACGCGTTCCCAGCCGGTACCGATACTTCAATCATATATTGCGAATTCGTAGTTTTATATAAACAGCTTTGTTAGCTGAAATATCTGACCATCCATCGTTGTAGCTAGATTTTAAATATAAAGACTTAATAATAATAATAATAATCTAAAAAGCACTAATTTTAGTCATGGGAGGTAGCTGTATCGGGCAACATAAGAGAACGGGGGGGGGGAGACAGTGATAACAAAAATCCATTGGGAATTGGAGAGGGGATGCAGAGGGATATTCTTACAGAGTATTTGTTCTTACAGAATATTTGCCGATAGTTCCTTTCTTATATCTGAACAGTCAAGGTTATGCCACCCTCTATAAAGCTCGTAACCAATCACCAATGGTTTAACTTTCTAAACTATAGCATGTCTAGGTTATAGGCTAAGGGCGAAATGATTTTGGGTGTAGATAAGAGGTGTGTTCAACATTCAGAATGAGTAAGAAGGCATGCACATCTAAAATTTTTGTTTTTCTTGTTGTTAAAGAAACAGAACAGTTACTGTGCTAGAACCCAAGAATATGTGTTCGTGTCGGCCTATATCAAATGTGCCGTGCCCAAAATTATAATTGCTGTTGTCGTCTTGTCGCGATTTTGGTCCAACATCGATGTGGTTTTCTTAAGAGTCGGAAACAGGACTTTAACTCTTTGTTTGTGAGCTGTATCCGACGTTAAATTTTGTGAATGACGCATGAACTATCATTTCTATCATTTTTTTTTCAAAATCATTAACACTGTGTTTTTATGGATGGTTATAAAAGATAGATCATAGACGCATGTACATGCATCAGTGTGACTATATATCAGCTAACGTATATGGTTACCCCTGGCAAGAGGAACTCAATACAGACAATACCAATCACTGGCAATCAGAGAATATCAATATACCGCTATAAACTGTAGTCTGTGCTTTTTTGTCGATGATGCATCGATTGGCCGGCGCTTAAACTTGATTTAGACTAAGAAATAAGTCTTTATATGAAGATGTAGTGTATAGTTCAAGCAACTGCAGTTGTCAGATTAACATGAATTCGATGTTTTTTATTTCTAAGGATGGCTTCGGATGATTTGGACGCAAACGCGATGTTGTCCGGCTCAGTGTTTTAGTCAAATAACGAGTCTCAGTTCATACTTTTCCATTCCCTGCTTGCCTCGCTTACGTTTTCATTTCATTCCAGAATAGTGCAAGTGCTTCACTTTTTGCTGTTTTTAGAGGGATGGCTAAAAGCTAGACACTTCTACTGACACACTTCAGATTCAACAAAAAACATTCTAGATTTCTAGACAAAATATCCCATGACCAATATTGCATGGCAATATTTCGCAGCACACTGACCACAAAGACCACAAATGTCAAAGTTGTCTGGATGGTGCTTACAGCGGATAAACTATTATTATCCCAGCCTATATTGTTTCTCATTGAACGGAACAGGCTCCATGCAATATATATAGCCTAAACTAGTGTTGATTTAGGTTATAATTTGCACGATTTAAGTTGGCTTATAAATTTTGGCTGTGATTCAATGGAATTAGTTTTTCGAAGTGTTGGGAAATGATTTCACGGGTGTGGTGTATGCATGCACTTCTCAACATCAGATCTCGAGACGGCTCAGCCTAAAATATTAACAGGATTAATCAAATACGCGACATTCATAAAGCTATATATTCTTAGTTTTTATAGAGAACGTTAAAAGAAGAAAAGTTTAATATCGATACATGAAAGCTCGGCTTGCAATTTTGGCTGCGATTTTATGTGCGATTTTCTTCTTTTGATAGATGTGAACGAGTGGATCAGTTACTGTCCTCTGTGCCGATGTTCACAGTTCATATATAAGTTCTTATACATCAGAGCATTCGTAACTAACTACTCGTTCACATCTATCAAAAGAAGAAAATCGAACATAAAATCGCAGCAAAAATCGCAAGTGTAAACGGGCCTTTTATATAGGCTGCGTCGTGAGACAAAGTGCCCGGCACCGGTGCCCAAAGTCAAAACTGGTTCATAAAACATGCTGAGCACAGTGCCCTCGTTGTTAAGTACTACCTTTATAGGTAGTTCTCGTTCTTGGGCACCATGCACGATTTAATTCGGAAGCGCCATGTTCAACTTAAGCGCCCTTAATTGCCCTACACTCCTATACAAGTCAGCTAGTCGAGAACCATTGTAGCTTTATCAATCATAATATCGCTGGGGGCCTCGAAAAAACTTATTGTTTATACTGGACCCCTATATACGTTCAAATCAACAGTTATAACACAGCAAGTTTTTCCCACTGTTCTAAAGCGAATAAGGATTTCCTTTGCAAATCAGCCCTGTTTCAAAGTCTCACGCCTAACTGTTTAGTGACAGGAGTTTCACTGACAGAATTTGAGTAAGAGTGGTCACGGATATTCCCCTGAGAAAATGAGACAATATAAAAAGATGGTAGTTCTATTCTTCTGATTTGTTGTAGCACGAGGTCCATTTAGAGACGTATAAATTTCATTCAGACAGCTTCTATTTACTGAAGCACAGCGACGGGTGATTAGAGTATTCTCTGGAAAATAGATCAATCATTCATCGCACAAAGGTGGCTGGACGGAAATAACTAGGAGTGTTGTCATGTGCTTCCCTATGTCAACACCATTATGCATGCGTCATCACAGGTGATACCAGCGATTCGATATAATCATATTAATTGTCTGAATGTCGTAAGAAAACTCATGCAAAGAACAGGAATAGCCACCCCTTTAACATCATTCTTTTTCCAGTTCGACCACTTAAAGAAGAAGTCGGAGAGTTTAGAATAGGTTTTAGCGCAGCTGATGACATAAAAGCAGTAGAACAGTGAACATATTGACTATTAATGAGCATTGCTTGGTACCGCTAATATAATCTTTATATCTAAACTAAACACGTCAACGCAGATTAGGATATGGGCAGTCACCTGAGTGTGTTGTAAGAAAACGAGGATTCATTCAAGGAATTCATGTATTAATATGTATGCATATTTTCATAGGAATGGTGGTGAAAATCTCTAGTAAAACTAACAGATAGCATTCGGAAGAGCCACAGGAATTACTGAAACAGACTACGCAGCGCGGCTTAGTTGTTGAAATGATTGAACGCTCTAAGTTTGTATTTAAAAGGTAAAAGGAATTAGCAAAAGGAATGAGATATGTCATTTATCGTTTGGGTTCTATAACTAATACTTTGGCGATTGTGTAATTATTTTACGCAAGATAGGCTATCTTGTGTGCGCTTTCTTATCAAATGCTGTGATAACAACCGCCTAAAATAGACAAACTTCTCAAAGTATCATCCAACGGCGTTCGTCAGAAGAGTTAGATAAGTCGAGAAGTTTGCTAGTTTATATTCGGCAGTTCAGTGTTATCACCCTATTTCATAAAACGTTTTTCGAAGACGCTGCCACGCTGTTCCCTGGTTATTTTCCTTATCTGGTAACCTATCTATGCAGCGTGAGTTCTGTAGGTTTAGCTATCAGGCAACTTTATTGCCCAGCACTCCAAACAAAATTGAAACAATAAGAGGCTGTGTTTACTATACGCGCTGAAATTCAGGCCCCATGCAGGTAGTTCATAATTAATGTCATGAAAAAAATACACATTGTTGACCATGCAGCTCTTTGCTAATTAGGAGCAATAATTAGGGACGATTAGTTTCCTTTTCTCCAAACGTATATGGATCAGGTGAAAATGATTAATCGGAAAAGTTGGCTTTCGATTGAAGTCAATGACTGTATGTATATAAGTCTAACTCAATTTGATTTCACCACTAACAATCACATGATTACATTAAGAGCAAACTGCCTAACTGACTAACTGTTCAGAAGGGCAAATCTTCAATTTAATTCAATATATCTACGTCAATAGTTCTAAGTCAGTAACACTAATTTGAAAAAAAACACTAAAAACGTTCCGTAGAGCACTTGAAGGACATTTATATTCAATTAAAATTACATAGGGTTTGTGTGCGTGATCAGTTGTTTTGACTCGAAACACAACGTTGCAGTTTTCATCAATTTCACTTAAAATAAAACAAGAAGTCAATTTGTTGGCATTATTCAGACGTCTAATATGGGAACAAGTCCTAATGTATATTAATTGAATCAATATAACTCTCATTCGCTGAGTAATGCAATGCAACTAACTAGATTATTGTGACTCCACACCCAATCCGTGTCTTATTACGTAGGAGGTAATGCGACATTTTTGATAGCTAAATTTGTAACGTGAGACCTTGTCCAAATATCATTAATGAGAAAAACGGTGGGATTTTATTGGTGCAAGGCATTTCCTGTCTCGTATATATATATTCAAAAATATTCAAACAGCAGCATATGTTTTTAGGTTCTTCGTCTGAGACAGTCGAAACAAAGGCATATATTTTTTGCGCTTAAAATGGCGTCTGTTTGGTTGGGCTTTGTTCTGCTTATCGCAACGTCTGTTAATATCGAAGCGGGAAGAAGAATGAACAAGGTTAAGAGGTGCGAGAAGATTGCAGTACCAGAATGTGCCAACCTTGGGTATGTACGCACCAAATTTCCAAATCCGTTCACGAATATAAGCACTCAAGAAGAAACAAATAACTTGACAAGATTCCTGCCGGTGCTTGCGCGACTGAATTGCACAAAGACAAACGCAATGCCGTTCCTTTGTTCCGTGTATGTCCCCGTGTGTACGATGAAAAAATCCACTATCCCACCTTGCCGTGAATTCTGCGAAAAAGCGGTCGGCTCGTGTCCAGCCCTGGCTGAAAGCTATGGCATACCGTGGCCATCGTCGCTCCTCTGCTCGAACTACCCAACTAAAAGAAGCGGCGAACAGTGCATCGTCAGGTTGAAACCGCGAAGGAGGAACGTGAGTGGGAAGAAAGGTAAGCAGAGATTTTTGTGCTTAACTTGCATTATACTCGCAGCGTCCCCAGTTTCGTCTCAAATATTGTAATATTATCTTTTCTTATCTTTTCGAACCATCTATACATGTAAAATTCAGTTAGGAAACAAAGGGATTGCAAAGAAAACAATCCTTTTAGGAATTTAATCGGTTTTACCACCACGATTGCTCAAAACTTGCAACTAATGGCATGTAGCCCGTATAAGAGGATTTCTGTAAAATTGATTAGTGCTGGTAGAAACAAAGAGAATAACCGCAGGCTAACAGAAAATTTCTGACAAGAAGTGGGCTGGGCTGGAAATCGAAACCACGTCAGTAAAGCATTTCCTGATTGCTTAGTCGATCCTTCCTAAGTAAAATTACACCAAAGCACATCGAAAAAAAATTCCGTTGAACTTTCCATTAAAATCGCAAACGTCTGCCGGTTTGGGCAACATTCGGGTTAGTTGAATTATATCTGGGACAAAAAAACTGTTCTTCTAAAGGACGGGCCATGCAACTTTCAGTATGTCCGAGTCTTGGCCAGTATTTCACACTTTTTATAAATATTTGGATTCAATTACTATACCTGATGCGCAAGAGAAATTGGATGCCGATTTCCTCTTATAAATAATCTCCTGTGTCTGCATGTGTCAGGCACGGACCATCGATCTAAAAAAACATTGACATTGGCCGAGAGTGTCGTCGAGGGATTGCGTCATAGATATTGTTATACATCGTTGACATTCAAGACTTGTTGCTAACCTGAATCTCAGATTATTTATTGTGGGTTAACCCTGTCGCATGCAAGGAGAGATACATACAGATGAAGCTATTATTAACAGCTATACTCCCCTATATAGTATTAAACTTTTCCAAATCCTGCCAAAAAACTATATCTGCTTTAATGCGTTCTGGATTCAATGACGGCAGATGTATTTAGTAACTGCAGTTCGCTGTCCAACCTGAATTCCATCTTAGGCAATTTGAAAAGGTAAGATTACATTTTAAATGGTCACTAAACTGCAAAATGCGCCTGTATATGTTATCTTTAATGAGATATTTAGGACCAGCCGATGTTGCCTAATAATTAAAAAATAATTGTTGGGTATCATAAAATGGGCGCAAGTTCGTTTTAAAAAAATCAATGGCGTTTGAGCCGATTAGGACTTTTTCATTCCGTCAGACTTCAGTCATTAAGACAGCGGGAAAATAAGGCCCAATGAATGCGTGGTGAAATACTGATGCCTGAGCTTCACGCTGAGCTAGGAATTTACATCTTTTTTAATACATGGCAATCTGCGTAGGGAGGTGAGGCGTATTTAATATATTTGGTAGCAGATTGTAACAAACAGACTGAAGGTTAAGACCGAAAAAGATATCTATATTGGAATTGGTCTAGCGAAGCAAATTGTTTGTCCATGTACGGTTTAACAGACGCAGAATATATATAATAACCGCTAATAGCGGAAAACATATGCTTTCATGCATATAAAACTAAAACGACCTAAAATGCTGGATGAAATTGGGAAAACATAAGTTTTAAGTTATTACCAAAAGAATTGGTCATATAATTATTTATTCATATGCAAATCATTATAGTGTTGCCTATAATGACAAGTGCTGGATATGGAGAAGGCTGTTTTTCGTGCGAGTGCATGGTATGCCAATCACGTGCAAATCAGTTTTATTGATTGCTAAGATACGATAATATTCTTTTACATCTGCATGTGACTCGGATCGGAAGGAAGCTATATCTCACTGTGTCCTTTTGAATTTGTTTAAGACACTTTTAGAATACCACAGAAACCGCAGTCATTCATGTTTAAACATGTCTGGAGGTGCATCTCAAGTCTAGATCTCCCATTCGGTTCGGATATAAAGATGTAGCCTATATATTGATACATTTATATAACCCTGGAGCAAGATTATTTAGATAACAGTGAATCGAGCTGCTTTAAGACTGTACGCTATATGGAAGCACATTGTTGCCGCAGTGAAAAACATAAATCTATGCACGACTACATGTACATTGATTTCCAGAAATCACTATTTTATCGATCATACATGCGGCATGCCTGTCACCAACTTGTGAACAATATCGATCATTTTTTAATATTACATTTGAAACATTTGTAGCCGATTTTTCTAAAATTTGATTGGTTTAGAACCTCATTTACATTGCGAATTGTCCCGTGTAACATCATCTTTTGTCGTATATAACACGCTAAGTGCATGGGTGCTTGCTAAACACGAAGCATGACTATTCAATTTGCCTTTCTCGCGATGACGAATATCCGCCATTTTGAGGGTACTTTCAATTTTTGTAAATGCGTTTAAACAATAATAGCAATGTAAGAAGCATTTTTTAAGAGTCTATAGACTATTTGAACAATAAATTAAGCCCAAAATTAAAGGCAGCCGCCCTGACAAGGTCTTGCGCTCCCAATTTAAAAAAAGTACCCCAAAAATGGCGGCGCATTCGTCATCGTGAGAAAGGCTAATTGAAATCAACAATAACCTTTTAACAAATGGTTGAGTATGACCAAGCTCCAGCACAACAATCAAATTTGCTTGACTACCGGTAAAACCCACTTTACAAAGAACAAGACGCCTACTCAGGCGATCACTCGGGCTACAGTTATCTCGTTGTAACATGGCATGTTCGTGACACCCGCGTGAGAAACGATCCTAGGACGATTTCGATTGGTTCGAAGACTTCGTTCCGCCCACGCGTAATTTTTGTAAACTCGCGACGCAAAAGAAAAAACCGAGCCCATTTTACTGTAGTACTCATAAAAGTTATTTGTATGTGTATATGTAAAAACTGTAGCAAAAACTAAGGAAATGCATGCTTGTTTGCTTCAGATAAAAAGATGAAGGGGAAGGGAGATGAAACAAAATGCTGTCGTTTTGGTGAAATTGCAGCCAACAGAAATAAGTCATGTAACATCTCCGATGCGACAGCCACTACACAACGAAAACGTTTCCTCAAGGGCTTAGTCTTGTGCAAAAACTTTGAGAACAAGTTTAGCGAATGCTGCATGAACAGAGCCGCGAAGATACAAGAACGTAAAGCTGGAAAACAAGAGAGAAAGGAGAACAAGAAGGCAGCTAGGAAGGAGAAACAGCAGAAAAAGCAAGAAAAGAAAGCAAACAAACAAAAGAAAAAAGACGAAAGGCAACAAAAACGAAAACAAAAGAAGGATGAAAGAAAGCAGAAGAAAGCAGATAGAAAACAGAGGAAGCAAAACAAGAAACAAAACAGAAAAGAAAAGAAGGAAGGGAAACGAGGTTAGGTACATGGAAGCACGACATTTGACTGACACGTATAAGGTGTCTCACCAGAACAGAAATTGAAAGAATTCTTATGCATTATATATCATGTGTTAGTTAGGTCTGTTTCAGACGTCGTGCTTCTCATTTGCCGAACACAATACCAACAATAGATAATGAGTCACCACAACTGATTATCCATTGTTATTTATTGCGTTCGCGGCACACGACTGAGAAGCACGACGTTTGAAACAGACCTTAAATAATTTAATTTTTATATAGAAAGCAAAAGCAGTTATTTTTCTTTCTGTGCAAAGTTACCTTTACAATTACCGGTCGAAATCGTATTTCCCTGCAATGCGGATATGCGGATTTTGTGAGTAAAAAAGCCTGGCCGCATTACTGTAATACAAAGAATATATATATACCTTGTTTGAAAGCTAAATAACTGCTTGTCCTGCCTAAAAATGAAATCATTAAACTAACTATACGAGGTCTACAGTAAAAACTTTTGAATTTCTGTTTTGTTTTTACACCTCGTATCATAGTAACCCATTTCTTCGAAACTGTCAGACAAGTCAGGTTTTAGTCATCAACTCGAAATCTGTCGGTCAAACGTCAATATTTTACACTTACTCCGTTAATATTTTATCTTTTTGTAATTCTCTGGATTTCAGGTTTAGATGGTTAGCGTTTCTTATTGATTCTTTAATAATGAGGGAACAGACTTATATAACTTTTGTTTAGAGATGCTGAAAACGAAGGTATCATGAGCTAGTGTATGTATGCATGCAAAAGAATGGTTGACATAATTCATGTGATGTAATTGTGAAGAATAACATTAAAAGTTCAGCAAGCCTTCAATCTGAAATTTGCATTCGAAAGACGGCACTTTATACCCGTATACTTGCAGTGGCTCGAAATTTATACTAAAACAATTAGACCATTCCCAGTGGGCCACTCCCAGAGGACTTGTATTAAAACAAATTCAAAAGTCGGGAAATTTAAAGACAACAAATCTGGTATTTTATTACCTATATGTCTGAGATCTGGAGGTTTGTAGAATGAACAGTCAAATTGTTGCGGTAATTAGTAAAGTAGTAAAGGGAGAGAACCTGGTTGCGATTTGTTAAAAAGTGTGAAAGATAATTAAGATGTGCATGAAGATGACAAATTTCTCATAAATAAGTGCTGCTATATAAGCTTTTAGTTCAATAAAGGAAATGTTCATTCACTTTGGACTCTGAGCGCGAAAGGGATGATGTTAATGATTTATGACACTCCCTTGTTCTGTTAGTACTTAGAGTCTTAGACACAGTGCCAGCGTCGTATCTAATGTATGTTTTTGTACGTTGATCGGCCCCGGGGCTATAACGCCGAGGCACGGACTATATACGTGTGATTAATTGCGTTCGACGAAGGAGAACGCTTCCTAATCGTGACGTCACGGCTGGATGCTATGTCGTTTTGAGATTTTTGTGTGGCATTTGCCTCGCTTTCGCGTGTTTTTGCGTTTGCTTCGCCTGCCGGATTTCGTGTCGCGTCCTAATGTCACGTGCTTTCCGTATTTTGTTGTTGTTTAGGAGTTAGGACCGGGCAATTGGGCTTTCGTTTTCGCCTGTTTCATTAAGAAATTGTAGGAATAGTACAGAGTTGCAAAAAGAGTTCAACCTTCCTCCGGTAGGATTTCAAGTTTTGAGAACCTTCCTCAAAATGACGTTAGGTCACTGAGTCAAGTGGCAACCAACATAATGAAATATTTGGTACATGTATGTACATGCATGTGATCAATTAGACTGTTCAACTTTGAACCTTCCTCACAAACCTCATTCAATGCAAACCTTCCTCCGGGTGACACCCGCGTACCCGCAGCTTTTTTACAACTGTGGAATAGTATAGATCATTTTGATTTTCAAGTGTTTTGAAATATCAGTGAGGATTCTTATCAAAGCATCAGGAATCTGTCTTGCCGTGTTTTAACGATAAGAAATCCGATCACCGAACGCACTTGCTAATCTTTGATTACTTCTAGTAATAGTTTTAGTTTTGTGTGAGATAATCACAGAGGTAACACCTGCATCGTTAGTTGGTGCGTACTTAGTAAAATTTGTCGCTAAAGTTCTGAAAGAACTAGCTCAACGCTGTAGGCAAAGCGGGACTGATATGTAAGTGACATTTCAAAAACTTTGTTATACCTTAGTTCTATATCATGGTTTTGTCTTATGTTTAATCACAGTTAATAGAGGTTTAATTATAGTCGCATGCATTTATGATGTCCTTTGTGCAGCAGCGTATACTGCTGTTTTTTAGATTGCATGTATTCTTGAAAGTTGGATATTTGTTAGTTATCAGCTGTAATGCAAGCTATATGATTATTTAGAGTTTTCCTATATGTCGTATTTCAGTTTACGATTACAAATTCATATAACCTTTACGTCTCAATTGCATGATCCGTAAAGTAGTCCCAATCTCAACTCGGTGTTTCGATAGAACTTCGGCGAAGTAACAGTGACCTTTCTTGCTGATTTTAAGTCGGAATATTCCTTTTAGAGTAAGTAGATTTAAGATAGCCCCGCAGATCTGTCATGATAACGAGGTAATTTCATGTCACCTGTTATAGACATGTCATGTGCCAATGGGGTTCCACAGATAAGTCAATACAAAGAGATTTATATTGAACCTAAGTGCCCATACCATGGTTGCGGATTTTGAATATATCAAAAGATTTTAAAGTACTTTAAAAACTCTGCAATACATTTTGTTATCAAACATTTTATCTTGATGGATTTATTACGTCAAATCGGGAATTTCGTGCAACTTAAACAAAAACGGATTTGCAATTTCCGATTTGACCTCATGTCCTACCGCCTACCGGTAACTTTAATTAATCCATTTTCAAAGACAATATGACCAGACGAATAACAAGACAAAATGTATTGCAAAGTTTTTTAAAATACCTTAAACTTTTGAGATATATTCAAAATCCGCACAATCAGGTATAGGTACTTTAAACCGCAGACGATATAAACATAAATATTGCTCGTATAGTATAAACCGGAGATGCTAAGACTAAGTCTTTGGTTCATTTTTATTATCACAAAAGCTGGTATTTGTTTGCCACCCGGAGAAAGTCAAACAGGTAAGCTGTTTAGTAGCGGTTTTAGATTTAGTGAAAATAAATTATAGCTTGTGTTTGATATATTAACATTTTAAAATAAGCTATAATATAGCTTCGTTATCCACGTACTTCAATTTAAAATTGCGTTACTGCATGTTAATTTTTTCGGTCACCGATTTAGTTTTCCTGATGTCATTTCTGGGGCCAGTTGTTCGGCCAATACTAGTTAACTTTTAAGGTTGGGAACACAATAGACTTATGAATATAATGGTGTATCAAGCCGTGACGCCTGCAGGGAATTCTGCATGGTTTTAGTAGTCACGGCGAAAAATTCAAACTTCAAAATTTCCCGCCCTGACTGCTAAGACCAGAATTCCCTGCAAGTGTCACAGCTTGTTACGTCATTATGCATAAGGTCCATTGGCCAATCAGAGTCGTGTATTTCTGAGTTAACTAGGATTTGTAACTATGCAAAATGTACCAAATAACCAGGGAGCAGCGTGTTCAAATAACTTAGCAGCATCAAATGTGGTATAACAATTAACAACTGCATAAAATAGACAAAAACACTTCTCGATGTTTCCATCTGAGGGCCTTCGTCAGCAAAGTTAGTATGACGAAGTCCTGACGACGACCTTCAGGTCGAAACGTCGAGAAGTGTTTTTCTCTATTTTAGGCAGTTGTTAATTGTTATACCACATTTAAGTCTAAGTTATGCAAAATGTAGTTTAAAGAGTTTTATACAACCGGCCCCAGGAGGCAAAGTTGTGCTTAGTGACTTAAATTTATGCAATCCTACTTTTAAGAGATGTAAATGAGCACAAATGAGTGTAATAAATATACTGAAAGTTTCGTAGTGGCCAAATTTACATCTCTTAAAAGTAGAATTGGCAGATGAAACCTATTGCTAAGCACTATTTTCAAATTTTGAGAACTTTCCGGCTAAGTTGGTCTGGAAGAGCAACGTGGACAAAAACCTCTCAATGAAAGTGCATGGTTATATCAGTTTCGACCTAAAAGCCTTCGGCAGAGAATTGGGATATTTATTTCATATTTATATGATGGCTGGAAATGGAAAATTAAGAAGGTCTGACAAACTGAGAGCAAGTTTGAAACCATTTACGTCTCTTTTTATTGTCTAGCAACATTAATGTTTGTTGGGGATACCTCGACGGATGGACCAAATCGTTACTTTGCGAGGGAAAGAAAGACAATATACAACGATGCATTTACGTATGTCTCTCCGATTATTCATCAGGCTGATCTAGCTATCGCTAACCTGGAAGGTGCCGTTGGGACAGAGGATATCAGAAACAATCCATTTAAGGTCAATCGGAAGGGCCCGTACCTCCTTGGAACAACAGAAAGCTTACAATCATTTAGGTAAGAAGAAAATCAATTTACTGAATACTGACTATCCTGCAGGGAAGGGAGCACCTTTCACTCCCTCCAGAATTTCGGGTGAGCGCCAATAGATGTGGGGGAACTGACCTTCTAATTTTTAACCTCAGTTTTAAAGCTTTTGAGCTCCTTGAATTAAAACCACACTTAACATATTCTTTTCTTCTTATAAAGGCCAGTTTACACTTACACGATTTTTGCTGCGATTTGTGTGCGATCAGTTCCTCTTTTAATAGATGTGAACGAGTAATTAGTTACGCTTGCTCTGCTCTGATGTATATATAAGAGTTCTTACTGAACATCAGTAGCTAATTCACTCATTCGCATCTATCACAAAAAGACTGAAATCGCACATAAAATTGCAAGTGTAAACTGGCCTTCACAGAATTCAGAAAGTTATTTTCTTTACCTTTTTGAAACTTGCTCGTCTGTATTGTGCCGCCGGCTCTTTACAGAGAAGCAGGTTTCGATTTGGTGTCGTTAGCAAACAACCATCTGAATGATTATGGTGCTGCTGCAGTCAAATGGACAAGAAAAACATTGGAGAAAGCTCACCTTGAATATTTTGGAGTCAATTATGGAAGGGATCCTTATAAAAATCAAGTAGGCCTAATTATAGTCTCACCGTTTCTAGGCTTGAAACCCAAATTCTTTACCTATATAGCACTGGTTACAGGTCTAAACATTATAACCACATCTAAAATTATGAATCTATACAGACTATCATGATGTATCGATGGGACTAAATAATAATTTTATTAATATCGAACAGAAATGACCATCTGGTATATCATTGCACTGCAGATCCTTGTTTTCCATTAAGACTAACAACACTAAACTATGTTCTCCCTCGAGTTTATTAAAACACGACACTGGAAACAGCATATTTTAGTTTACGTATCCATATTTCATATAGATTCCCGTTATCAAAGATGTGAAAGGAATTCGTTTGGGTTTCCTTGGCTACGAACATATCACAAGACAAAAAGATTATCTAGTACCAGATGAAGAAATCAGGAGAAATTTTAATGAAGGGATGGCGTTATTTAGTGAAAGAACTCTACAACAAGACGTCGCAAATCTTCGTGTAAGCAACTAACTAAATATTGATCAGTAAAGCCAGGCACACCGCACACAACCTGGTGCAGTAGAATAGTAAATACATTTTAAACAAACACCGTTATAATCTTTGGGAACCCTGTTATAATCACCGTTATAATCACCGTTATAATCACCGTTATAATCGTGACCTCCCTCCTCTGTCGTAGATGATGGATGAAACCATAAATATACGAATAAAATCGTAGCACGTGAACGCGGCTGAAAATGGATTGTATATAATGATTGACATTGCCACGACCTCGTGAATTAGGCCAGAGATAAATTCTAAACTTGCCTGCGATTATGGTAAATTAAGCACTTTTAGCAATGTAAACAGGAAGTTTACCGCTTATATTGCTAAAGGTAGACAGTGAATTTCGTAGCTGCATGACCCACCTGCGGATCACTAAATTTGAATTCTCAGATCAAATACAAGTTCAACTGCATTCACCTTGAGTTTGAGAAGTGTGCATTATACAAAAGAAAAGATTCATTTACACACAGTAACTGTTGTGAGAAAAGGTATTAATTCTTAATGTGCACAAAGTAACATCTATGGTATGTAGTGAATTAATTAAGATCTTACATCGTAACTTACAGACCGTGATTTGAAACTGGACATACACACTTCTAGGCTACAGTACTAGATATTTGAAACTGGACATACACACTTCTAGGCTACAGTAGTAGATATTTGAAACTGGACATACACACTTCTAGGCTACAGTACTAGATATTTGAAACTGGACATACACACTTCTAGGCTACAGTAGTAGATATTTGAAACTGGACATACACACTTCTAGGCTACAGTACTAGATATTTGAAACTGGACATACTTTTAGGCTAGTAGAGTTCTTATACATCAATAATAATTCCTTTTCGTTCAGAAAAAGAAAGTTGATGTCATCATTGTACTAATGCACTGGGGTCGCGCAGATTCGTCAGAGATTCTAGATTCTCAGAAAGAGCTCGCAGCCGTTCTCAGAAAGAACGGAGTTGACGTTGTCGTCGGTTGTCATAGTCACCGACTTCATGCGCACAGTTTCCACAACAACTCGTTGATTGCATATAGTCTAGGGGATTTTATGATGGGACCAGTGAATACTACCTACTGGGTAAATCTCATTTTTATCGAAGATAAATATTTAAATATTATACCACGAGCTCAAGTCGTATATGAACTGATAGTCGTATATGAACTGATAGTCGTATATGAACTGATAGTCGTATATGAACTGATAGTCGTATATGGCAAATACCATTTGTTGAGCAACAAAAGTATTCCAGAATTCTGTCAATTTGAAAAACAAAACTCACTATTTTCCGAGGTAGTGCATGTGGCATTAAGTGTTTTGTTATATAGGAACGAAAACATACATGTTACACAACAATTTCATTTAATTAAAAAACACTTTACTTTGTTATGACAAGAAGCGGGCAACAATTTTTCACTTGTTTTCCTGGCGGGAAACATAGCATTTATTTAAAGTCATGTTACTACGAATGAACCAATCACATTTAAAATACACAGAACCTATATTACAATTCTATTTACTTTGTGGTAATGGTATATTATACTTCATGAATTTATGGAATTTATGGAACGATTTATGCACGGTTATTTATGTTTGAATTCAATCCACCAATTTACCGCACATTTATTTAGAAGAGAGGGTGGGCGTCTCATAAGCCGTATATATGAAAATGTTTCATAAGTTTTGCATGTTTCCGCGAGTGAATTTGATTGTAACTAAAATAATATAATTTTCATCGACATTAGTTAAATAAATGTGAAATGTACGGAAAATTATTCTTTAAATTTTATTAACAGAAATTCTTCGCAAGAGCACGTTACGATTTCAAATATTCTATCAACAAGGACAAAGTAAAGGAATTCATAAGAAGTGCAAAGAATATACAAGACTTTCATCTTTCAAGAATTCTTAAAATAGAAATCACAAAGTATGGAGTTCAGTATGTACTTGTATACTTTCTGTATCCTCAAATGAGGGAGTAAAATTCGCCACTTCGGATATGATTCAGTTGTTTTGAGTGGCACAAAATCCGGCACAAAACACTAAATGTGGAAGCATGTAGAGTTTGTTCCATGTGAACGACACAAAGTAAGACAGTATGCCAGGAAAATAATGCAGGACGACAGTATTTAATAAGCCGTATTTAGCTAATAGAATTGATATAATACCGGGTGCGTGATCCAGTATACACATATATCAGTGGCAACACCCACACGTAGCCTGAATGTCAGATATCGCTTCGCGTCGCGGGAATAAATTCGCATAGTAGTGGAAAACGGGCTTATTAAGTACACAGGCTACACACTGACACGAGAACTTGCATCTCTTACAATGTTCTGGACTCGGTACGTCCTAAAATATTGTTCTATACCTGTGCCTTCGGGCTTCGTCTTGCAAAGCTAGCAGATATGTTCATGCGGATTTTGCACAAAACATGACTTCTTTCTCTTATAGAAACGGGATTAAAAGTGCATCGTATTTGCGCTGTGAAATACTTTTCAACAGCGAGGTAAATGCTGTACAAGTAAGGCCCACGAAAGGCGCTCAATGGATTTCGGTTTGCGGAAAAGAAGACAAATTCTGTATTGAAATGGTTCAGAAAAAAAACTAGAAATGATCATATAACAATACATTTACGGTAATTAGTAATGACAAAAAAAACGATTCTTATATCATACGAAAGTCTTGCATTACTATTTTTACATTTGAAAGCCAGTGATTCACGTTGTGTTGTGATTACTAATATACCCTCTCTACGCTAGACCGCATACCATCTCACAGCACTGAACTAATAACAAATTCCAACAACTCCAAAAGGTTCGAAATATAAGATGCTTCGATCATATCTGATGCGTCAGCTTAAAACCCCATTTTTTCTTTCTGGGTGAATTTGTTCACGCGAAGCTAAACAAATTTAAAAATGTTGGGACAAGCATTCTTCGTGGTATCTCAATGGGCTTTAGAAGAGTTTTTTTGCAAATAAGAACGATAACAATTCTCAGCTGCCATCGCATGACGTCACCAATGATGCGCGACTAGTGTGCGCGACGCCCACGCAGGCCACTTTCAAAGCTTTTAAAGTGCCTGGGTACGAGGCAGAGGTTGAACCGGGCGGAGGGTTTCAGAGAATAATTCTTCTAATCTTTAATGCGTATAATAGAAATCGTGCAGTTAATATGCATGCATGACTTGTCTCATGAATAAATTGTAATAATTCATGTCTTCAAAGTTCAGCCAGAATTACTTTATAACCGATTTTTTAAGGTCATTCATATGAATCTGGCGTTACTAATTTATTTCTTTAACCTCTACCGAGGGTATATCTACTTTAGCACCAGTTATTTCTGTCTCAATCCTTTATTAAAGATGAAAGAAATATCGATGTATACGCAATAGACCTTTCCGCATGGCTACCATACGTTGATATAATAATAAAAAATTTGAATATTAAGTACCAGACAGCATCAAATTTCATCACAATATCCGGCGGTCATAAAATTTGATAGATTTTATTAATTGCTAACAAAGAGTTACAAAACATTATATTGAAATTCCTAAAGACCTACACTATTGTAGAGATCTTTGCACTCTTCAAAAGCTTATCGAGATCACGGCGATATGCGACAGATATTTTGTAAAATGATTTGACGGATATAACAGGCGGGCCACGAGAGTATCAAATTTTATCTGAGGGATAAAAAATATGACTAACATGGCACTCAAATTACACACTGCGTAGAATGAAAGGGGAAGGCAAGTAGGTAGTCGACACAATTTCGAGCACGATTTCTCGGTTTTGGGCCTATTCTTATACTCCGAATTCAAATCCTTAGCATGCCGGTTGTAAATTTTAACAAATGGGCATACAGGCTTGTCGAAGATAGACACGATGGTATGGGAAAAGTGCCTGTATTTGATCAAGAAGCGTTTCAACTTGGCATAACATTCAAGGCAAAGGTTAGTCAATAAAACTTGAGCTCCGCCACTCGATACGTCAATTAAATATTCTGTGGAATAGATGAAACATTGTCACATTCTTTGTGCACATTTTGATAAAAATATTGGGTAATATATTGCACGGCAGTAGACAAATTATGTACACCTTCTCTTAAGAAACAAAATAGAATATTGTAACCCTAACTTTGACCCAAAGAAAATTGTAATGTCTTCACACAGAGAGGTTATATATGTATAAAGAGCTATCTATCCTTAAAGTGTAATTTGGGCCTACATTACCCAACGTAAGTGTCTGCCCAGCCTTACTATCTGTGAATACGCATCACGGTGAGCCAGACTATACCAAAAATGTTTTTCATGTTTCCCAATGCAACACATATGCGTTATTTATCTGAATGATATGATCTACATACCTAGGGCTAAAATTTCTATCTAGCGTGTGGCTTTTCAACGTGATATTTATAATAATATTTCAGTTTATCATATCGTATTTTTATGGTTAACATATAGTATTAGATGTTATTCGATTTTACGAAACCGATTCAGACAAAAAATACATAAAAATACGAAAGCACTGAGCTAGTTGTTCGGTAAATATGTTGGCATATGCACGGATGGATGCGTGTTTGGATAAATACAATATGTGAATATGAATAATTACGTATGCAACAGTCTGACACGAATGTGACTTCTTTTAATACGGTTTTTAAGGTAAAAAACCCGATGAAATGTTAAATAGCGTTGTATAAGGTAAACGTGGGCTTATTTCTTATCTCCATTTCCAAGGAAAACACAACGGTAATAAGATATAGTACTATAATTTCAATGCAAAAGTAAAATGACACGTATTGTTTATTTGAACGAGAATCAATGAGATTTAGGAGGAATTCACAGATCCGGTTTTTCACAAAAAAAGACAATAGGTTAGTTCGACTCAAGCTGTGACGGATTAAAAATATGTTTGCCAAAATAGTGACATGAAATACGGGTATAAAATTCATAACCGTATAATCGGAACAAATATTTGAGATATCGAATATAATCCAACTGTTCCCATACAGTGCTTTTATCGCTAAATAATCTAGATATTAAATTAAAGTACAATGCTGTAGGATGTTTTCTGAAATAACTCTAAATTATTAATGTTTCATATTAAAACTTCCCAACTTCATCACACACAATTGATCTTATCGCATTTCGCTTATCTTCTATCGCGGGTGCGTCATTTAAAGGATATACGCATGACAAAAATACCGGAAAATTCTCGAAATGCTATCGTGATGATGTCGCAACAGTCAAGGTAAAAAACGCGATCCCTCACACGCAATGTAAATCAAATTAATAAAATTACCATTTTTTAAAAAAATTAACACTCGCACACTCGCACTTGTAGTATTCGAGAACGTTGACAGCTTTTTTCATCTTGCAAAAACGAGTCGACCAGACTATTCACTATGGCACGCACGTCGCTCGTGAAAAGCGACTGTAACCAAGGCTATAGCCGCATGTGGGCTGTTGGCATTCGTTTTTTTCCGTGGCATCGATTAAACAGGAAACCTCGTGACCGCCGCTTATTTTTTGCCTTGTTTTCCCCATATACTCAAAATCTGAGCAATATTTAATAAGATTTGAGGTGGCAGCGTGAATCACAATTATTTCTACAAACTAACGACATCCTTATCAGACCTTCTGTTGCGTCTCTGCATTCTTAGTTGTTTTTATCAAACTTTCTTTTTTGATATTTGTATCCCAGAAGTTGCGAGATAACTCATAACTTGTGTTTGAGTCGTTTCACCCTGGCTTAACTTACAACTCTGGACTTCAATTATTTTAGTATGTGGGTACTTTGGAGATAACACGACCAACATGTCGTACAGAAATAGTGACGGCAATGAGAAAAGTTCGGGTATGTATTAGCTATCATAATACATGTGTATTTTAAAATATCGCGTTTAGTTTTCGTTTGAATTAAAGCAACGAGTGACATGATAAAGAGGAAATGAAGGCTATTTTTTGCTAAAGGCCCTTAAAAGATAACTGATCTCTTAAGTACCTAACCACAAAGTCACAAACAAAATTTTAAAGATGTTAAAACGGAAATTATTCATGAAATAATATTGTTCATGAAATAACAAAGATCCCAATAATTGATTAATTAATCACAAAAATCTCAATAATTGGTTAATTAATCAAAAAGATCTCATTAGTTGGTTAGAAAGTTTTAGTTAGAATAATTTAGTTAGATTAATTAGCTAATCACCAGGCTCTCATTAGTTGGACTGATCACAGAGATCTCATCAATTGGTTCCACTAATTATTTGTCTTAATTTCTAGTATGAGTTCAAGATAAAAGGTATTGAGAAAAGAAGAGTGTTCTTGACCATTTCAGTCGATGGGATTAAAGTGACACTTCGAAAACGTAGGCGCAGATTGGTAAGTGATGGCCTCCTCATGAAAGGCTGGCTGCCCAACCCAATTTCTCTCAAATTTATGGTTGTACTCATAGCATTATTCTTTATAAAAAATGACTCTGACTTTCCAAATTTGTACATGTACAAATTTGTACAAAACAGATCATCTCAGTATGTAGAATACCAACAATGAAAGATTGATAAAACTATCCATGATTAGGATGTGGTCAAAAGAAAAAATAATATACATACCTTTATGCTGTGTAGCAAGTTTGTATTGTATGTAGCAAGTTGTTCATTAATGTCTAAGAATACAAAATAACATCTGTTTTAGAGAAAGGAATACCTCTTAGATGAAGATCCAGTTGTGTTGCATGAACATCAAATTGGAAGGTAAGACCTCAATAGACATTTTTGGTAATTACGTCATAACATTATCTTTTTAAATTTAGAATCACCTAAAATGAGATACAAAACATTCTTCTATAACCCATGCATGAAAAAGAATTTTTCATTTTGACTAATAAGTATGGAAATAAGCCATAACGTGGGAATGAGGCTTGCGGTCTTGGCCTCTCAGCCTCACTCTCATATTACAGCTTAATTCCACATTTATTGGTCAAAATAAAAAAATATTTTTCATGCATGTATTGAAGATATGTTTTGTATCTTTGCACCTGGTTCGTGAGAGTAAAACTTGAAATCCATTTCATTTAAGATGGTTCTATGTATGATGGTAAAATGATGTGACGTAATTACCAAAAAGGTCTATTCACAGAAGTTATAAGAAAGTTGTAAGGACTGCATTGATAGGCATGCCTCAATACCCATTTACAATTATCAAGACCAGACTATCCTGTTTATGCCGCATTTGCAACTTTTAAACCATAAAATGACAAAAACTAATATTTGCAAAGATGTAGATTTACTAGATTAGATCATCTATCAATGACCTTGACCCAAACTCAATTCTTTTTCTAAATTCATTTTAATATATTTTTATATCCACCACCTGCCTATTTTTATGCAATGTAATTTTCAAACTCAGAACGAAATCCTTACACATATCTATTGGTATAGAAGTATACAATAATACATAACCCCTTGCCCATACATCTTTGGCAGCACCTGACAAATATTTCTACACGATCTAAAAATCATTTCGTTTTCACAAATATAGGCCAAAAAATCTATGTAACAACGCTTAACTTTAATACTTACCTATCCGAATATTTTTTCGTGGTTAAATGCTGAAAAAGAAGCAGTATTTCGTGTTTCAAACGAGGAGGAAATTTTTTTAAAAAATTGAAAGGTGAAATACTGAAATTTAACACCTGGCAGCCTGCGTTCAGGTGTGCCTCAGGCCAGTGAATAATAAACACTGATAATAAATAACATTTTCATTTCACTGGCTCAGGCATACCTAATACTCCCAAATACCCCTCGAAGTTCCGATTTACACAGGCGTATTTGCGCTAATCTGCGCAATTTATCTTAATAAAAAATGTACTAATTTCCTAACATTAGAATATTCTACGTATCTCATGATTCAATGGACCTGAAGATATTCAGTTATATCACAAAAGATAATTTCGACAACCAGTTCCGATGCAGTGTTTTCAAAGCATACAGAAAGGTGTGGTAATGCTATAAGTTGCTTTAAATTCTGTAAGGTTTAAAAACAGTGTACTTACTGCGGTTTCTGTCTTAATTCTCAACAGTCCAAAGCGTTATTCATGGTTCGCACAATCGGCCAGGCATTCGAGGTTTGTCATCGTCTACAACAGGATACTTCTGAGGATGGTAAAGAGGATGAAAGCGCTACGAAAGGTAAAATATTTCTGAGCTTGTCAGCGTAAAAATATGAAAGGGTAGTAAAATCTGCGCTGCGCCAAAATGACTTAAGGCCGGCACAGACCGGACGCGATGCGGCACGCGACGCGAATTTTATATAAATTAAATTCTGGAAGTAAAATTTGGAAACTATGGACGCTAGAGCAGTCAAAATGTTTTATTGTTATGCAATCCACAAGAATATTATGATAGTTTAAAATTTATTTGATTTTGAAAAATTAAAAACGTTGAAAATTCGCGCCGCGTTGCCAATTCGCGTCCGGTCTGTGTCGACCTTTACAGTAAAATAACTTAAATAAGAAAACTAGGTATCGCTGACAGTCCTGATCTAAAACACCAATCAAGGCTTTTATAGCGGGTCTTTTCTTTACAGGGCACAGTTCAGAATAAACTGCTAGAATTGACTAACTTGACCCGTACAAATAACATTTGTCTAAACGAGAATGATTTTTTTTTTCAGTTGACGAACGAGTGTTGGCAGATGAAGGAACTGATATCGACGCTGTTGATCAGGATTCTAATGACAAAACAACGGAAATTCCTGAGAAGGTACCTGTTACTCATTCCTCATCACATCTAAATAAAAATACGTATAAAACACTTAAAAACCAAAAATTACTTCTTGAATGATTTTGATCTTATTCATCATGCAAAACTCACCCTAAAAAGATTTTGAAATAACATATTCCAATATTTTCCAGCCCACACCAGCAGCATTGGTAGAAATTAGTCAGCTTCTTCCCTCTGTTGACCCGGATGGCAAAATCCAACCGTTCACAGCAGAACAATTACGTCTACTTTTCAATCAACGACTGGAGCACTACATACAGGAAACTGAAGTCTGCAAGGCTGAGAATCGATTGCTAAAAGACCAACTGATGCTTGAGAGGAATGGTCGTGTGCAAGCACAGGTATGATATGGCATGAATTTGACACACATTCATATTAAGTCACAAAATGTAGTGACAAATTGAAAAAGGTTTAATTACTGAGATGTAGACTAAAAAATGACTTTTTGAAGTTTGTTTTTCGTAATCTGTTTCTAACTTCCTACTAATTTCATTGTTGCACTCATTTTGCCTCAATTGGCGTTGTAATTTAGAATTAAACAAGACGCCTGCTCAGGCGTTCACTCTGGCTACAGTTATTTCGCTTGAGCTTGTAACGCCTAATTTTTTATGTTATGGCATGTTCGTGACACCCGCGCGAGAAACGATCCTAGGACGATTTCGATTCGTTCGAAGACTTCGTGCCACCCACGCGTGATTTTCATAAACTCGCGACACAAAAGAAAAAACCAGGGCGCTTATATTATATAAGTGTGTGTTATATATATATATATATATATATATATATATATATATATATATATATATATATATATATACAGTAGGAGGCAAAAGTTTGAGTCCAGTGACTGTATTTCTTTGTTTCAGCAGCATATATTAATATTCTACAGAAAACCTTACCGATAAGTGAACTAGAAAAAAGTAAACAAGTAAAAAGAAAAATACATGCTGTACAACAACTATGAGATGTTATGATATTCATTTTTACGTATTTTAATGTGCAAACATGCATTTACATGTCATTGCTTAGTTCCCTCTTTTTTGCTCTTGAAATGACCTTTATTCTTGCTCGCATAGATTCCATAGGTTTTTTAATGTCACACGTTCAATACCTTGCCAGCATTCGTTGACCACTTGCCTCAAGTCAGCCTGGCTGGCGGGTCTGTGCCTCGCCCTCTTCCGGTTAAAACGGTTCTACAAGTGCTCCATAGGTTTTAGATCTGGAATATGAGGTGGAAAGCCATGACAACGAGATCACCAGAATGAGTTTGCTTCTAAACGATTTCTGGCACATAGAAGATGTGCTGCTTAGGGTGATTATCATGTAGTTAGACGTGCGATCATCTTTGTACCAGATGAAATTCCATGTCCTTGAAGAATTGGATGATACTTTTCTTTTTAATTATATCTTTCAATATTGCCAAAGCAGCTAAAAGTTTGCTTGAGTAGGATTTAGTTTCTTCGAACCTCTCCAAGGTTAGTTGCATACCACCTTTTTAAATTCTCACTTCTTCTGCGATCTTACGAGGAAAGAATCCTTCAATACTTAATGGAACTATTTGTCCTTGTGCACCATCACTTTGCCCTTTTTCCTACCCATCTTGGGCAGTGTAAAGGAATGAGAACTTTATTTTGTTATAATTTAGATCATTAGGACCAAAACAGTGTGCAATTAATATAGTTTACAGTACTGAAACACTAGCACGCATGTCTTAACTCCAATACGCTGCCAGGATTTAATACTGGAATTCTACAACGACTGGACTCAAACTTTTGCCTCCTACTGTATATATATATATATGTATATATATAATAATATATTATATATATATATATATATATATATATATATATATATATATATATATAAACGCCCTGGAAAAACCGGGCCCATTTTTCAACCCGCTCTACCTACTTTAGCCTGCGTAATAAGTGCTACTGAGGAAATGGTTAGTCTAGGTTCTGAAATAAATCAAATGCTGACGGGTTTGGGAGATCATAATTTATACCTTCTCTCACAAGCAACGATCTCCGTAGCTTAGTGGTAAGAGTACTGCTCAGAAATCACAGAGATTCGATTACTTCCAGGGTTGTAATAGCGTGTATTGCGACTTGCTGCTCAAACTTCTTCATTTATTTAAGAAAGACGAAGGTAGTGCAACAGTTAATCAAAGGTGATACCCTTCATGTTTTATTCATGCATTTTGTAGGAAAGAGAGCAATGTCTACTTCAGAAGAACCGGGAGCTTCTTCAGACCATACAAACGCTTGCTAATAGACTACAAACAGTGAGCCCAGGGTATGACAGTTTGAGCACCGCATTTACCACAACACATCATTCCGAAACCTTAGTCAATCCTAGTTATCCATCGACGTATTCTACTCAGCTGAAGAACGATAACTTTGGAAATACTTGTGCACAGATCGGATTGGATGGCGATCAGGTAGAGATAACTGGGAACTCTTTGGTTATTACTCCTCCTGCAGACACTATTGCAACCTTCGATCCTCTCGCATCCAAAATAGCTCCTTTGGCCAAATTTAAAGGCTCAACCAACGTCGCCCAATCAACTGTCGGTCATTATTGGAAAACATTTGATGAAGATGGCGTCATTTCCCCCGGAAGTGGAGCAGACGATTCAAGCTCCGAATCATCAGACGACGAAAATTTCTCCGAAAATTTCATTGGACATAAAATCATCCCAGCTGAAGAGCGAAATGGATGGGTACCCATGGAGAATACCCCTAATGGAACTGTGAAGAAGCATGATGGGAACGGACATGCTGTAGGACTGGGAACAAGTGCATATCCCGACCAACAAAATGGTCTTGTACATAATGATTTAAAAACACTTCATTCCAGCAACAATAATCACCAAGGTAGTAAAGTCCCGTCTACAGACACGAGAACTGCCATACAAACAGATTTTTAAAAACAAATTAAACTTTTGTACAAGTCGTAGAGTTTTATATTATAATAAAGCGTCAAAGCGTACAGCAATAGTGTAAACTATGTTATCAATCTCACTTTGTCGTAAATTATAACATTTTAGTAGTGTAATTATTGCGCCATATAGCGCGAATGATAAAAGAGACTGGATTGCCATCATATAGAACGCCCTCAGTTAGTTATAGTTTGTTTAACTTAGTTTAGCTTTGACGTTTGTAAGATTTAACCTTTAGTAAAATTGTAATTCGTGGTTTGTAAAGAACTTTACACAAGATCGTTAACTAAACATACAAGTTGCGAGTTGTTACAACAATTATTATCATTTGGAAATTTAGCTAAATACTGTTGAGAGTCGTTTTGTGGCAAAATTGTAGCAATATAATGAAGATTGTAACAACTTGTAATTTGCTAAGAAAGTTGCGAACATCTTATAATATGGCAGCACATAAAGATGATAATTAAGTTAATTTTTATTCTAATATAATATATTTGACTGTAATAATAAAGACATTATACCTTTTAATAAGAATACTGACGTATTATTCAATACATTTTCCATTGATACCCATGTTTCGTAATAGTCATATTTTTTGTGGTTCAAACGTTTCTTGTGTAATATATTGCCAAACGCCAATTGCAGATATTCCTATCTTACTGACCTCGGATATCATCCTCTTATTCATCGTTAGAGTGTACCTTACAGAATTGCTAAACAATTATGCTAAAACTGCTTGTTCCCCGAGACAGTTTTCCACAACTTGCAAGGCATTACAGCTAGAGTGATCCTGAATTTGAATGCTCTAAATTTCACTCATTATCACCCTCGTTCAACTAAATATGAAGCTCAGTGATCAACCAACTTGCAAATACATTATTGATCAAAATGTCGAACCAGATAATACCAAAATCTTAGAACCTTTTAGCCTTTGATATCCAGACAAACTGTGACCATAATAACTCATTATCTTTATCGCACACAATACATGGTCGTTTGCTGAGTACAATTTATGGGGTCAGCACCGTCAGGTAATCAACGATAGCGTCAACTTTGGGTCACTTCAGGCACGAGCACATGAAAGTTGTTTTCACAGTGAGTGATTGAGCATCAACATATTACCACAGCAGGACTAAATTGTCAGGCTGGCTGCCAGGGCCGTCGCTAGAACTAGGGGTTAATTGTGGGTATTCATATATTCGTCTTATGCCCGACTGATTTCTTTTTGTTAGCTATTGTTTCTACGGTTTTACGGAGAGTAAACAAAACAAAAATACAAAAAAATATAGGCTCACCTGAAGATTCCTAAAACTGAAAATCTAACATTATTCGTAGAAGTAAACAAAATTCTCGTACACAAGAAACATAATGAATATGGTTTCCAAGAAAAGGTCAATTAGGTCTCTTCCTGGTAAATGCAGTCAATCCAATCATTAATTGGTGGCTGTGTGTGTTTTGGTCTTAGCCAATGAGAAACGTACACGCGGTATTCCAACTGGGTAGTGGACACTGATTCCCCACCAGGCGGTTCCTAAAATCAGTATAACCGAATACAGAATACAGAATCAGTACAAACGAATACAAAAGTAAAACGGCGGATAGTGTAATGAATCTACTAGTACCGCTACCAGGCGAAGTTGCAGGTCTATTTGTCGACGCATTTCTTCAATATCCGATCAGCTGTTCACTGGTATTCTCATCTCTGCTTTATATCATCTATCCAGTGTTCTTTCCAAATACAGACGCAACTAAAGGCTACAGATGGATCTACTCATGCATTGCTATATTCCTACTTACATCAACGATATCCATATTTTTAATACCTGTTCTCGCACTAGCCCCAGATCGCATCATCTTTCGCCCGACGCCATCATGTTCAATATTTGACAGGCCTACACGATATATCTGCCTAACATTTAACGACCGACATGAAAATGTGTTTTATTCAACGACGTGGAAAGAATGTAATGAAAGAGATGTCAATATGAAAAATGCAACCAAACATTACATAATCTCTTCTTGGATCCCGTCCTTCGATCATTTTGTTACGCTTACCTCTGTTTTATTTCAACCCGACGATTCCCACGGCGAGAAAAAGAAAGCATATCCTCTCCCGGCAGGCTACTGTATCAGAGCTGCCGGACCCATCGAGGGAGATCGACAAAAAGTTGCATTTTATAGCATAAATGGGACGAGTTACCATCTGCTTGATTCAGGGTACATTAATTCAAGCTCGCTCACGAAATTTTACTCTGGATGGTACCTTGCTTCAAGCTGCAGGAACGAGCTGTCAAGATGGTGGTATAATTGTACCTTAGGATACGTAAGCTCACATTATGTAAGGCTGCCCCAATATACTAGAAGCTTACTGCTCGAGGGCAGGAATGATACAGCTAAATAATCCTTCGTGTTTAGAACAATCCCCGGCTTTACGGAGTAAATAATCCTTCGTGTTTAGAACAATCCCCGGCAAAACGGAGTTGGATACAAAGTGGATCAAAATTCAGAAAAGTGAACATGCATTTAATTTCCAAGAAAGAACATTATACATCTATGATTGATACAATGAAGCATTCTCTACTAAACACGTGGCATTTTACATTTACAATGTAAGAGGCAAAATCTTGCAATGCAATACAAAACAACTACGGAATTGAATAAAATTCTAAAAATTGAATATATGTTCAATTGCTGCATCGTCTTATAATACCTGGGTTAACAGCAATTACACATCCGGAGTGGGAGGGCAGGAGGGGGAGCCTGTTACAAGGGAGGAGCCTGTTCTCAGTATGTATCAGACTTACATATACGATGAACAGATATTCCGCCATTCATCTAGAAATCAGCGGCAAATTTCCTTGGCGAGGTAAATATGTTTTTATTAACCACGCTTCAAGAAGTTACTTGAAAACTGGAAAACAACAATGTCCAACATTGTTCAGTCCTGTTTTCATCCATCGGGAACAACTTGGGCGTTTTTAACTGCGTTGACTGTCTACTGTACTGTTAGAGATTGTTTATATTTTGGTCTGCTCAGCTGTCCTGTTTCTGTGAAACTCGGGTGCGTCGCCAAAGCGTAGTTGTTAGAAGCAATTTTAGAAAGTTTCAACTGATTTCTTGATGAATAGCGGAAAGTCTGACCCTCGTATCTTGCCAGTTAATTCATATGGTTCATGTAGTATTGTATTCAGAAGATTCACGCACTGCTCAGCACGTGAGGTCGAATGTTTAAACAGACGAAGGTGGTAAATAGTTGAGTGGTGAAGATGATGCAGACGTTCCTGATGATGAAGCTGACAGCGGTTGTTCAAGCGAAGACAAACTGGCTGAACTTGGGTTGCTACCAGCAACTTTATCAACTATCGATGAATGCAACTCATGGATGACTTCAGAATTCTAAACACAATAGAAAACGCAAGATCATTTCCTGTTCAATTTTCATATTCGAACAAAAAGAACTAGCAATATGAATCGTTCTAATGTTTCATTTTTAAGCAAAGATTGGTTTGATAAATCATGGGATCATGCTATGAGGTCATGTCAGTTATACTTTAATGTCTGTCAGTTAAAAATAACACGCAATACCATACTGTTATGTACTGTACTGTACTGTAGAGTATTGTACTGTTCTGTACATGTACCTTTGTGTTAGACAGAGTGGCACGGGTCTGCTCTTACGTAGTCAGTGTAATATAGTCAAACAATGGTGCATTAGGATGTGTTCCCAATGAATGAACAAGAAACACTTGCACATAGTTTTAATGTTAAACTTGCCATCTTACTAACATTATACAATGTTTTACATGTAAGTAAAATCAATTAGAAGAATATGGGTGATAGGTAAGAAACATGAGACAGTTGTACGAACACTGCAACCCCAGCAGGTTTCTTTATCATCATTCTGCGTATAGTGTATACCATTGTACAGTACACAACCTACCTCAGGGGATGGTTGAGTGGCTGTCAAAATAGTCACAACCTTATTAGAATCCATTTTGGAGTAGACAAAATGCAGCAATCTCAGAGTTTGTCTAAGAACACTTTCCTGACTGAGCATTGTCAACAGGAAATGATCAAAGACAATCTCGCAAAACTCTGCACTCGTAAACTCTTCTTGAGAACACGCCCAAATTGTGATGAGTGAATGTAAGTGAGCATCATGTAAGACATGATTATTGTAGGAAGATGATATTGCTGGTAGCAATGAACTAAGAGCTTGTCTAAAATAAAATAACAAATAGAATAGTTTATCTCTCCTAAAACCAGACAAACAATTTTGAATTTTAAGGATCTAGTTAACAAGAGTGGGTTTTCTTTCATATAAATTTGATACTAATGTTGTATAAACTAGGCTTAAAGACACATTATAAGACCACAAAAAAGGTTCAAATAAGTTCAAACTAACCTTAAAAAGAGTAGATATCGATAGAAAGAATATAAAGTATAAAGGTCAGACCATTACAAGTCTGCAGGTATGGTATATTGATATATATGTTTGACAGCTAGTGTATCTGTTTTGTCTAACTGTGAGTGACCCAAAAGCTTTACAAAGTAAACATACCTGTGTTTATGTTTTGCCATATGCAAAGCAAGGTAAAAGGCAACCGTAAAACAAATACTGTACTCTGACAGTGATTGCTCAAATGAATGATGAAGTTCTAAATTTTCTTTACTCTTATTTGGAAGTTTTTGCTCAACACGTTGGACAGAATCTTCCACCATTGTTGCCATCACAATTGGTATAAATCTTACAATTAGATCATTGCTCTAAAAAAGTAAAGATATATGCATTTTCCTTTTTCACTTGTTGGAGAACACATGTCAAAATAGGGTCTACAGAGATGATCTAAGAGAAAAAAAAACTCTTTACTTAATGCTAATTATATTCTAATAATTTTGGCTGCCAAAAAAATGTGGGGGGCTAAATCGGCTTCAGCTCCCCCCCCCCATCTCTGGCCATGAAAACACTTCACAGTAGGTGACGTATGTATTTCATAAAATGATATGAAATATCCAATTTCCTGTTTTTACAGAGTTTCTACTGTTCGGTATTATAACATAGTACTGCACTTACCAATAGATTTTCTTTAAAGATTTGACTTTCAATCATTGCCCAAGCCCCCAAACCCAATTGCAGTAAACTTAAGAGAAACGTTAGATCAGCACTAGTCTAAAAATAATTTAAAATATTATGTCACTTGAATCACCAAAGAAACAACAATTAATTGCTTAACTGATAAAACATTCACCACAGGGACTTCATGTGCTGTCCTGCCATCTTTCGGACAGCCAGTCTAAACTGCCATTTGGATTTCCAATTTTTTTTGGATTTCCAAGTTTGCACAAAAATTCATTTTTACTTTCATACACACTGTAAATGTAATTAAACACATACCCTAGGTAAGACCTCTGTAGTAGTAAGATGAAGTAGAACTTTTATAATGCTTTTACCAATAACATTGATGGCAAAAGGATCACACAAAACCATTGCAATATCCCTACAGAAAGAAATAATGAAATACGAATCACATGAAAATACCAAGCTGTGGCAAAAGATAATGACCTAATTTTCAACTTTCAACCAAGTGGAAACCATGTTTACTGATGCACATAAAATGGTGTACCCTGTACCTTTTATTCACAAGAATAATAATAAACCTGGCAAAGAGATCAGTTCCCACTACTCTTGGAGATTGGAACAATTAGATTGACACTATAGCATAGGACAATGGTTTCCTGATTGTGAATTATTCATACTGCTAAATCTTACCCCAAAACCTGCTCTTCAGTTGCTTTAGCTGCCTTCATGTAACCCCGCAAATCTTTAATCTTATTTGAGTCAATCAATTGACTTCGCACACATGCATCCAAACACCAAATAAACTTATGACATGGATCAACATCTTTGATTTCCTTAACATCCAAGTCATGTATTGCCATGAGCAACTCTGCACGTAAGGTACAATAATGTGCTTCCTTGGTGCGCAGGAACAATGTTCTCAAAAATTGCAAAACTAAGTTGTACAACTGTAATGATTTTCCAATCATTTCAGATAACTGTTGAACCACATGATGTTGACGTCGAACTTTTGGGCGCATGCTCAAAAAGTCTTGGTTTGTCAAGTCCTCTACATCAAAAATTACACTGTTCTTGTCTTTCAAATACTCATTAAGCAATGGTCCAACAGCATCACCAAACAATGGCTGGTGCTGAATCCAAATTTGTCGTTTGACCACTAGCGAGCATTTATTGTAGAGTTCTGGCTCCTTAGCAAGCATCTCAATAAATTTAGCTGGTACAGTTGTAACTCGTGTGAGCATGTCCATAACCACAGGTCTAAGAGCTGGAACATTGATGAATGGAAATGCCTGTTCCAAAAGCTGCAGAAGTTTTTCATTTCCTATAACTTCAAACCTTGATAAGAGCTTTTCACGTAGATTTTCCGTGACCGTTTGATGAAACTCATATCTTCGGATGTTATGCAAGTCCAAAAGAGGCAAAGCTTGTTGTAGTGAAGGTAAAAGGATGCTGTTATCCTGCTGAAATGATTCCAGAAACATAGCTAAGGTTGATTCATTGCAGTTACCTAAACTATCGCGCAAATATTCTGAACCCGACAAGCCAGCTTCGTCAAACCCAGCCATATTAAAATATACTATGTAAGCTCCAGAAATATAGCGTCTTTTTCAAAAATAAAGCGTTGATGTCTCCTCGTTTATACAATTTTCTTGGATTTATAAATTTTACGCCATATTGGCGGACATCGGCCGGAGCCGAGTGCGCATGACTGTCATTCGCGCGGCGAACTTGGACATTTTAAATCCTTCCCAAAATGCATTGCGCTTGTGCCTTTCAAGGGCAAGGAAAGTAAAAATTGCTTTTTTACACCATTACACGTCTTTTTCTTCTGGAAATGACATTAAAGTACAAGACCTTCTATTCGAGTACACAGAAAAGAGCAATGTTTGACTATTTATATAAAATTCAGTCCATTTTTTAAAATGGATTATAAATAAAAAGTATAATATTAGGTATAATTCGATCCCAGTTTCCAGCACGGTTTAATTCAATATGGCCGCACAAAGTGCACAAGATGAGTCAAATTCTGAGTTTAATGACTTTAATCTTCACGAGAAAGTTAAAAAATACGAAGACTTTATAAATAATATCCTCAAAGAAGATTTACGAAAAGTACACGAACAAAGAGATAAGCTGTATTCCACAATTGCAGATTATTTGCAACTTAAGAACACCATTGACAGAATTAGGTTTTTCAAAGGTGGGAAAATGAAGACACAGATGGACCTAGGCTGCAATTTTTACTGTCAAGCTGAAGTTCAAGACACAAAAATGGTTCTAGTCGCTGTAGGTTTGGGGTTTTTTGTCGAATTCACGTTGGACGAAGCGGTAAAATTTATTGACAAAAAAGTTGAACATTTGACAAGACAGGCAGAGAGGTTCACTAAAGATTCAGCCAATATCAAAGCCCATATTAAAGTTACACTGGAAGGACTGAGTGAATTACAGATGCTAAATTTTGTAGATAAATAAGAATAAATGTTTATTTTAATAAAAAATAGTGAAGAACAGCTGAGTGATGTCACTTGTAAGTGTTTATACTGTACAAGTATAAAATCTGTCACATGACGTGTACAGCCTCGTACCCAGGCGCTTTAATAGTAAAATATATAATGTTGCATTCAGTTATAGTATAGAGGTCAGTTGAATAAAGGTGAGCGCGCGGGGGTGCTTGGGGTGGTTTGGGGGAAGGAAGCGCCTGGCAGAAAATGAATTAAACATGGCGGACGTGCTTGATGTAAATGAGGAGATACTTGAAATTTTTAAAAAATTTGAAAGACCGGTACATAATTCGGTTCTTTCGGGTAAAGTTCTGTGCCCCCACGAGAACTGCACTCCGAAAAAGGAATTCTTCGAAGAAACGGGCATAGATCATCATTATAGAGTGCGCCACAAACGCGAATATTCCCTAGCCTTAAAGTCTAGGGAATATTCGCGTCTTGTGAACTCTTTTAACAGTAGAGTCTGTTACCAAAAGTGTTTGGATAACACTCAGCAATAATGGGCATTTTTCTTCAAAATTTTCAAGCAAGTTATTGAAAATGTTTTTTCCCAATATACTTTCAATATTACTACATCCTTTAAGTCCCAGGCAGCAAATCTTTTCTAACTCTTTCACTTCTTTATTGATCTGTTCTTCTTGTGTCTTACTAATTGGTTGTTCATCTTTGCTAACACTTAAGGCAACTATTTTCTTCTCATACATTTTTACCATTGCTGAAGTCATGGAAAAGTATTGATGCAGCATTACATTATAACTTGTTGTAAGCTCTTTAGCTCCATCAAAATTCTTAGCATCCAATGCATTGGAAATAGCATTTCCACTTTCAGCCAGGCGCTGCTCTATCTCGCTAATTTCTTTACGTAATGTCTGCATATCTTTGTCTTTTACGCCAAATAATTGTTTAGGTGAATATTTTCTTACATTTGATTTGAATGCCACATTGGTGTAGAGGACTCTGCATTAGGTGTTAAGAAATGTCGGTATATTGTATTTCAATCATATTTATCCTACCTTAGGGCTGACTTGCACAATAAGTTTAAGAATGAACTAGGTTGAGGCAGGTATGGGGTAAAAACAATAACAGGTGAAATTATATGGCACATGATAATAGTGTAAATACGAAAATGGTTACAAAAAGGATACACTGACTTATTGGCAATCATAGCACTCCTTTTAGTTGCCTCTGGAAATAATGCCTTAATGGCTCTGGTAAGAATACTTTTCTGATCATCCATGACATCCAGGTATTCCATTAGCACAGACTGTTCCACATGATCATCTGGATTCTCTCGATACTCCAAAATTTCCTCAAGTTTGGATGCCAGTTGATTTCTCCTCTGACTGCATTGTCGGCTGGACAAATTTGATGCTGAAAATATTTTTTTAATGTTTGTTTAAACTCAACCCCCTAAACTCAAACTCAAACCACTTGTATATTCCTTTATTGGATGAAGCAAAACTAACCTGCAAATCACTTTGATTTTGGCTCATTCGAAGCTTTGGACTCTGGTGTCAATGTGTGTTTTCCAAAACCAAGCTTCTGTAAATTACTGAATGAGCTACTTGGTGAATCATATTCAGCTGTATCATGAGTGTCTAAAATATATGTTTGCATTGCTTAGTCAGTTTATAGTTAGTCTTTATTATAACTAACAGTCATATAAAATATATTCTTTATTACCTTCTTCAAAATTAATTTGTTGAAACGATGCATTAAATTCATCATCAGAACTTCCTTGTGCTATTGAGGAACATATGTATACATTTTAGCAGAAGAGATGTCTACATTATCCAGCATTAAAAACTGTTGCCTTTAGTGCCTTTGCCAGGAATTTTAGATATATGCAAATTAGTACGCAATTTATGTATAAATTCCATTTTTGTCCATTTAGAATCCCCCTAGCTATAACATTTGAACGTATTAAACATACGTTTTCCCTACCAATAAAACATATAATTTTATTTAAATAAAACAGAACAAAGGAAGAGTCTGTGACTCTGCGCATTAACAATACACTATACATTGGCGTAAAAATATTCAAAACAAGCCGTATAATATGAAGAAAAACAAAACTGTATCATTAAATACCTTCATGATGATGACTTTCGTCCTGCGTCGTCCATATTTCTTCAATATTTTAGCCAAAATAGAACAAAAAGCACTCAAAAATAATATTTTGCAGAAATCGACACAATTTTGCAGAAATCGACACGTTTTCTGCCAGGCGCTTCATTCTTCCGTCGCGTCCACCCCAAGCACCCCCGCGCGCTCGCCTTTATTCAACTGACCTCTATACTATAACTGAATGCAACATTATATATTTTACTATTAAAGCGCCTGGGTACGAGGCTGTGACGTGTAGACAAAAATAATTCTTTGTTTTAGCTTCTGGGATATCTTGATAGACTTTCAAGATCTCCTATGAGTCGGCAGTCAACTCAATCATGTTTTAAATTCTGGAAAAGAAAAAATTCTCAAAAATCTAAATCTTTACCTAAGATTGTCTTTAAATTGTCACCGTTTGGTTTTTAGAGGTATTATATGAGATTTCTTTACTATCTCAATTTCTTCGCAACTACAAATTTTTCTACAATTATTTTGATACCCATCGCATTCGTTTCTACAACCACAGTGTCTATCATCGCTGCTTGGTGATTGATACATCATGGGGGCTGGCGGAGGAGAGGGAGGGTACATTGGCGGTGGAGGGGGTGGGTACATTGGCGGTGGAGGAGGTGGGTACATTGGCGGTGCTTGGTATAATGTCTGTGGCGCTGGTTGGTAGACTTGTCGTTGGCAACAATATGCAGGACAAGCGGTTGGACAAGGTACAATACAGAAACTTGGACAAACTATTAAAAACAAATGGACAAAATTGTACGTTTAGGCACGTGACACAGTGCTCTATGGTATGGATTGGCAAGGGAGGCAGATTTCCCTCGGCGGGTGAATTTGCTATAATTGACCTTCTGGCGCTCGCGGCCGCAATTTTAGCGTTCTCAGGTGCAGATGTATTAACAAACAGCAACACTGCCAATACAGCTTTAAATTAAGAGCATCCTTTTCTCCGCGTGACGGACAGCTGGAGACATGTCGCAGCTCTCGGAAGCTTTCGTCCAAATGGATAAGAAAACACTATGCTTTCTAAATAACAAAGCTATGCTATTGGTTGAAACAGAAATGTATTGTAAAGTTCAGCCAATGAAAATCATTTTTGCGAGGAGCTGCGACACTACGCGGCAGCTGCCCTCTCGGCGTCCTTGAGTATTTACAATGTTATTGTGAGCGCTGAAGCCACAGTTTTGTCTTTCGCAAATTTTATGCAACATTCGAATGTAGTGACATACTTTCTGTTCTATATTTGTTGTTATATATCCTAGCTAATAGTGGGGAATAACATACCTGGTTTCGGTGGCGGAGGTGGATCTCGACAAATCCCAGGGGGACCTGGAGGGCCTGGCAGACCACGAGAGCCTGTTGGGCCCATTGGTCCCCGGGGGCCTGGAAACCCTGGAGGACCAGGCGGAAACCGGAATAAACAAGGATTCGGTACATTACCTACAGAAAAAACATTTGCACTCATGCTGGTTTTACATGGTATGAATTTCGGAATGCACACATCGTAATTGAGAATTAATTAACTGGTGTGCGATAGGTATACCGCTGAGTGGCGGCTAGGGGGGGGGGATAATTGCCTTTTGTGGCAATGAGCATGCTTTATTCTTATGAGCAGAACTGATGCGCAAAACGAACGTGAGTTCCACTTTAAGGCAGAGGTCATTTTATCATTAAATGGCCAACAGCTGCCTCGATATTTATATTGTAAACATCGGATACTGCTGATAACTGCAGTAAAGTCTGAGGGAGCTGTGTAAACTGTTAGCAATTTATCGAGATGAAATTGTTTCCAGTCATACACGTAAAAGTCAATTTCCGGAGTGAGAAATTGTTTTAAAGGCCTTGTTTAGATTAAGCCCCATTCACACAATGCGATTTGTCCTTTAACGATTCTAACCTGACGTATGTGACACATGTGAGCGAATAAACACATGTTCAAACGTTACATTTCAAATTCCACCCTGAACTAAATGTAAAAGATTGTGACACATGCCCTCTTTCGCATTCGTCAGAATGATAATTGGCGTTGCATACAACTCGTCGTAAAGTCTAATAGGCCTTTAGATGTAGGATATGTATCATTACTTGCCTACTGGGAGAGTTGCAATGATTGATCGAGCGTCCATAACATTTGTTGCTTTTGGTGGGTTATCAGGGTTTTTCATTGCAACGGTGATATTTGTTTGGGGAATGGTCTCATTCACTTGACTTGTAGGACCAACCGGTCGGATGGTAATAGGACGGCTCGTGACTGGCCTTAGAGTCGCTGGACTACTAGTGGGATGAGTTGGTTTGGATGTCATATCTATGCATCCTGGCAATCCTGGGGGCCCTGCAGGGCCTGGCGGTCCAGGATATCCTCTTGGGCCTTTTTCACCAGGTTTTCCAGGAGGGCCGGGTTTACCTGGACAGACATGGATCTTTGGTATGGAAGAGGGCGAGGGCGAGGGCGAGCCACGTTCAGGTGATGCGGTTGGTGAAGGTTTTGGTGTGGTTGTTGTTCCCCAATGTTCGGGTGAAGCTGCTGGTGTGCCACGGGTGGTACTTTCCATAGTTGTCTTTCTTGGCGTGGTAGAAGGTAAGCGAGTGGTTTTTGGTCGTGGTGTTGTAGTTATACATGGCGGCCGTGGCTTCACACATGGCGTTTCTTTAAAGAAATAAGAGAAAATAGAATTAATAAAGCTTTGATCACTGATAATAAGGTCCCGATTTGAACTAGTCGAGGGTAGTGAGAGATGTGTCCCTCCAGTTTGATTGCTAACAAAAATAAGAGTAATAGATTGTCCTGGTATATAAGATAAGAGATAGGCAGTTTATATGATCTCATTCATTCTAATAAGTATTGAAAAATCTCATTATTTTCATTCATTTACGGTCATTTTATACGATAAGTCGGTCGTCACTCAAACATATATTTTAAAGTTACGAACTTTATACCTTTATTTTTGCACGTCACATACACTTTTGTGTACGAGAAACAATCTGCCTTTGCTTGAGCCCATATCTTTGACTTGAGGTTGAGGTAACAAATCCTTCCCGCAAACTCCGGGTCACGTACTGTGCAAATGATGGCATCGTTGACAGGGGGCTGATAGACAAGTTTCAATTCGAAAACTTTGTCGTCCATTTTATACGGATGTGACATCCTGTTGGTGCAAGACAGTAACAGCGATGTGGTCACCTCAAGTTTGACAAACCTAAGCATGATGCAAGTAGCTGAAAAAAAATACAATCAGCGAGCTAAGATAAATGCATGAATAGAATGCTCATGCAATTTATTCCAGTGGGAGTTGCAACTCTCATCAACTCTCATTCTCGTTTGACCGGGGCTGAGGCCCTGAGATACCAGCTCCTGCTGCACAAGAGCCCTGGATCGAAATAATGAAATAAAGTATATTAACCTCGAGTGGAATAATACACACTTCAAATTTATTTCGTTTAGATGAAATCATCGTGTGGTATATAGAGCTGGCAGGTATATTGTGAAAGACTTTCTCATCAATGAGAAACGCTTGGGAAAAGACTGAAAGATTATGCAGGTATATAGTGAAAGACTTTCTCATCAATGAGAAACGCTTGGGGAAAGTACCTGAGACTGTTCACTATCTGCTCTCAGATACCACTCATTTAGCCATTGACCAACAATGACTCAAAACATCAAACAATGTCACCCCACTAGGCCACTACCAATCCTAATATGACATTCCGGAAGTGCCATGCAGTATTTATAAAATAGCAGTCTCGGTTACCTGGATGTGGACGCGTTATATTCCTGTGATATCTAGCTTGTACAGAACAATTCTGCGAGGGAAGAATGTGGAATGAGCAATTTCTGAGGAAAATTTGACTTTCGTCATCATATAAAAACTCCATTCTATAACGTAGTCTCCCCATCTTTTCACCGACACAAACGAACCAGCCATAATGACCTGCTTCATAGAGTTGAAATGAAGAAGTACGTGGTAAGCTCACCCTATGTCGCTCTGTAAACGACGATTCTTTTCCTGAATTAAAGATAATGACAACAATTTCAAGTTAACAACCGAAAACAACAATTATTTGTATGAAAATACTGATACTGATACAAAGCAAGAGAGACCATATAGGAAGTATATGTAAGTTATAACAAGAAGACAGGTTGGTTGGGAGTCACCAGAAAGGGTCAAGCGGGAAAATGAAACGAGGAGAAGAGGTTAAAACTAGTAGACAACCCGTTAACAATTTTTGAGGAATGTGATAGGAATTGTATGTATAATTAACAAGCTTTTATTTTTTCTTGGCCTGGGCTCCTCAGCGTGCCACTGAAACCAATGAGGATGGTGAACACCAAATCCGTCACTGAATTAATATTATTTTTCGAACAAATCGAAGGCCTCAAATCGGATTTGGTGAGGAAAAAGTCAAACATCAGGAAACCTCTAATCCCTCCTCAAAAAACGAGATATTTATATGAATGAAAGGGGTAAAGGCTAATTTCCACTCCGGAAAACGAGCTGCCGATCGGATCGGATTTTTTTCGGATCGGATAAAAAAAGTTAAAACTATTTGAACTTTTTTTCATCCGGTCTCGGACGCTTTCGGATCAATATAAGCCAAAAATTTCGACAGACGGCGCACGCGCGGATTATCTTTCGTTCCGATCCGATCCGATCCGCTGCTCGTTTTCCGGAGTAGAAATTAGCCTTAAGAAAATATGTTGCTATCGTATCAAACAGTGCGCAATGATAAACATTTATTCAAATAAAATTCTACATACTGAATAAACGCGCACTTTCATTCTTGGCAATGATGAATTTATAATTCTTCTGGATGATAAAATACCCCGGTTTGTTGTAGACTTCAAACGATACGGTTTGTCCATGTTCAACCCCTCCGCTTCCATTCATGTTTCCAGGTGTGTGTGGAATGAAACAGTCACCCCATTGTCCTAGAATGAGCTCCTCATTCTCAACTGTCCATGCCAGGTTTTTCTTAAAACGTATTTGTTTCGCAGGAAAATCCAATGAATAGATCTTTATGGTTCCTGGAAATCCTGAAAATCAAACCAGTTAATACACTATTTTAACGTTCACCTGGGTATTAACACTAATCTAAATACAATCTACATATATGGGCGTATTTTAAAAATGCGTGCGCGGGACGCCATTCAAGTAGGAAAGCATGATAAGTTGGGCAAATTCTCATGGTTCTGAGGGTCTTAATTTCGAGTGGAATTATACACACTTCAAATTCAAGCCAGGAACAGTTGATGGAAAAATGAGTCAAGTATCGGTCATGCTGCACCGGCATCGCAAAAGCGTAGGTTCGATTCCTGCCGGAGGACCGATAGTTGACTCATTTTTCCATCAACTGTTCCCGGCTTGAATTTGAAGTGTGTATAATTCCACTCGAAATTAAGACTCTCAGAACCATTAGAATTTACCTACATCGATTGAAGTGCCAAAAATCATAAGTTGGGCAAAGGTTAAATATTTTTGAACGCTAAGTTAGAACAAGTTGATTTGTAAAACTCTTACTAGCTGGCGTAAAAATAAAACCCTGATAACAGCTTCAATAACTGCACAAATTTTATATGCGGGTCTGTGTCGTATACTTTCGAGAAAGCTGGAGAAATAATTACAGAAAATCCAAAGGCAGTGAAGAAGATGAATTAGTTAACCCACCTGTAACACGCCAAGACTTGGCAGTTATTTTCTTCTTGTCATTGAGAATTTGCCCAATAACTTCATGAATATGAATGTCTTCAACATATTTCGAGATTTTTCCAGTATGATTGGAGCCTGGTGGCAGTGGAGCGATGTTCAATATTTTATCAATTTCTTTTTTAGCTTCCAACTTTGCGACAAGCTCTGCCTTCAATTTCGCTTTATCCATTATTTCCCCTGCTGCTTTTTCTGCCGCCTTCATTCCGGCGTCCTCCGGGCTTGAAGTTTTATCTGCGCGCAAAAAGACGTGTATATTGCATGTCAGCTTGGTGGCATCGCAGAGTTTTTTCGTGTTTATATACCAGTGATCGTCCTTATTATATTTCATAAAAGCCCGTAAATCAGATGTCAATATTGTCTACAGCCAGGATGAATTTTCCTGTATTGAAGATTACTTACCTTTATAAGAATACGATCTATAATAATGATAGCAATATTCTTCATCAATTGGTACATCCTTTGTTCCATTAGGAAATATTACTCCTACACCAAAATTATCAATACCAAAGAGCTCTTTGTGCAGACCTTCCAAATAGTAATAGTTATTCTTCATCAGTGGAATCATTGCGGACTTCTGGCTCTCTATTCTATAAAGCAAGGAATACGTACTTTACTATTACGGGAGTAGGGGTTTCACCAGTAACGTCGGGAGAAGAGCGCTATGGTCGCGGTATCATTATCACTCCATGGCTCGATGCAAAAATGACCCCCCCCCCCACCCCGGTCATTTACTGTACGTTTTCGAAGCATAAATGAAATAAGGAAACAGCTTCGTACTGACATCTTACTGAAAGTAGACCTCTCGATAATCATGGATGAAATTTACGCTTCCTCTAGGTATCGATCAGGACGAACATTACGTGCAGGGAGGGGGGTAGGGTTGGGGTGGTTAAGGTGGTACACCACAATATTGAAATATGTTGAAGTAGAAATGTATGATTGTTCTAAGTCTAGTTCTGAGCACAAACATTCACGTGCTAAGTTAGCTTTAGCAGTCGTTTAGATTCACGCCCGAAAAGAAAGCATTTTTTGCGCAATGGTACCGAAGTTAATTTGAGTATAATGCGGTAAAAACTCTCCCTCTGTTCTACCATAAAACTAAGCTAGCTAAGCTAAACGACTAAAGCAAACTTGGTACACTGATGTCTGTGCTGTGAACTAGACTCTAAAAAACAGATATTGATATGTTTTAACATATCAAAAGATATTTCGATATTTTCAATTTTATAAATATGCAAACTGAATGACTTTTTTGTGGTGTACCACCTTAAGGATTGATGTGTTACATACCTGTTAAACTCCAAATCATCAGTTGAATCAGGGTTCTTTACGTAGGCAACGAGACGCTTGTTTTCTGGTTTATCATCGGTGCTAAGAAATAACTGTCCTTCGTGGTTACTAGCTGAAATTATGCAATTGCATGCGAGTTTTATTTCATCCTATTTGCACCTATAACATAGTCATTGGGAAATTCACCGCGATTCATAGTCAAGCGAAAAATGTCCATAGTGGGTAGACGAATTAATTTGGAGTGATTTCTGCGTTAGATAAATATATCGCGATATAACTGCTTGTCTATACGTACCGATGAGAAAAATATAGTTTCCAGTCTCTGGCGGCGCGAACCATGCATACATCCGAGATGCGTAACTTTCTCCCAGGTTCAGCGGTTCTTTGAAACTGTGAGATAGTGTACGAATGTCGGGGGTATGGGGAAATCTAGAATCTTTTAGCAATGACTTTACTGAATATCCATCCATCTCCAACCATAGCTCAAAGTTCACCCCATGTGACCCAACAGCTTTGTCATAATCAAGATGAAATGTAGTTAAAATGTAGTTAAAATATAGTTAAAATGTATTTAAAATGTAGTTAAAATTAGTCACAATTAATGCTTTAAGGATCAAATTGTTTTTATAAACAATTGTGAAAATAAATGAAGACAAAAGTAAACAAAGGTATATAAAAGCGATTTAGTATGAAAATAATACCTTGGTGTAGTTTTCCCGAATCCAGCATTAGATTGTCTTTCTCTAATAAAGACAAATGCAATTAAGGTAGAAAACCAATATAAATATTGTATTATAAGTGTTGTTTAGTTTTAAGCCTTTGAATACTTCTTACAATAAATAAACAACCATGTAAATCAATCACAATAATTTGAAATACGCTTAAAGGCATATATAGTCTGTTAAATTATCGCCACCAATATTTATATCCTGTCATATATGCATTTCTCACCTTTTAATTTATCATTTTCCTTCGTGAACCGCTGTTTCAACTTCTTTAACTTTTGCATTGCTGCTGGACTTAATGCTGTGCTTGCGACGACAAGGTAAGTAAAAACAAAATAGCCAGAGACCATTCCACAAAAATTCATAGTTTGAAAATAGCATATTCTTTTTAAAGCAATAATATGCTTCAGCAGTTTATGTATAATATTATCTAATCCATTCTTTAACGGCGTAACCCACTTTTTAACGGCGCAAAATTTATCAGTTTAACTATAAATGTTTCAAGTTAGTTTAGTTATGTTAAGCCAAGCTATGAATTTTTAATTACCAGCTTGTTTCTTTCGAGAAGTCATTGTCTAACAAAATTATTCACCTGGCTGAGAACCTGTTATCTTATTATTGAATAAGCGATATATTTCAAACGCGAGAATTTATTCAAAAGCGCTTTCGAGCCATTTTTGGCGAAAAACCAGTATAGAGGAACTGATTTTAATTACACTGTATCGTCACCGTCTTCATAATTTACATCAGCATACACGATAGTCGATATTAAACGTTTAATCATCCGTAGAAAAATACGATTTTCGCCGATTGTTAAAATCATCATTCTATTAAATATCGGTTCAATAAAAAATTCGAAATTTTAAGCAGATTAAATTATCATCCAAATTACTGATCAATTTGTAGAAACACCAAGAAACACCACGTTTTATTATTGTACGAGATGTTCCTACAAATTGGTAATTTAAGTTATTTAAAATTCACAATGCAAAAATTCAAGAATAATTCTGATTCTGCAACATACTCTTCATGCAGGGCAATCTCTATGGTTTCGTACAAAAAACTGTTCAGATCATGATCAGTAATATTACTATTATATCGACCATTTAGACTTGACGTCAAAGTTGGTGTCTCAGGAGGAGGACAAATTACCGTCGCAAAAATTTTGCAAATAATCGTATTTTTTTGTGAAATACGTGCAGTAATATAAACTAGTTCAGAAACTCTGCTTTGGTAATTGTTTAAATTTGCCTTTGGCATGGACATTACCTCACCATGTATACAATAACACTGATTCGTTTCAAGCAAGGAAGCATCGAAAACTCTACGTTTATGACTTGTCATCTCTTTGCCTCTGGCACTGATTGCACGTCATATTCATAATTATCTTTATTGGAACTCGTATCAACCCCTAAATCAGAAGACAAATTTTAATACATGTATATTTGTAGTGTATAGCTATACGTCATTCATTCATTTCTATATTAATACTTTGTATAGTGTGTACTGAATCTTTATTTGAAATACCGGTATGTGCCGTTTAATAAACGGGCAGCATTGGCAGCAGCTTAATTAAAGCCATGAGTGATTTTACCTTCCCTTTCATCGTTATTTTCTTCACCAGTGAATGCCATAGCGTCAACAGGTCTTGCAGCTTCCATTTTTATTGAATTTTCCAAGTTTTGTTCCTGACTCAATTGATCATTGATTCTTGGGCTGATTGCTAGATGAAAAGATTGTTATAATCATGCCACGCCATATTTAAATATCACCTGAGACATGATCTGCCGCAATACTGCAAGAGTAGGGTATTTGGTGCATGCTTGTATATTGATATACTCATTCTCAAAGAAAGGTAAAAACAATCACTATCAAAAGAAATAAGCCCGGCATAAGACGTATATACGAATACACCCCTCATCAGGTCGATGATCCTGAGTAATACGTACGTTAGCGTTTCAATTTTTTTTTCGATCATGAGCACAAAAGCGTGATCTTATGCATGGAGCTCACGGGGGGCATATATATACATACAATGAAGGGTAACTTTCGAACATACAATTTAGTTTACTTAAAATGTCATCAAATCCTTTAGGTTCATCAAAAAGCTTCTCACTTAATGGAGATGAATAATCTGAAAAAGATTTATTATGTTAATTATGTGGATATTTTCATACCAGGTGAATCTATCGTATCTTTCCACATCTCTGACACAGTCTCGTTGTATATACCAAATGGATTTACTCTTAGCGCTTTTAGGATACAGACTTATGCAAAAATATAATGGAAAGTACGAAAACAACTCTTCTCTGTGGAAAAAGTGAACTGAAATTGAACCCTAGCCCAATGGAGGGCAGTCAAAGTGTTTGAGAACTTATATTTTAAAGAATGCAATTGATGATTAAGAGTATATACAGGATTAGATCTATGTTACATGACGTACCATCATGATCTTCGTCATTGTGGGATACCGTTACTTCTGGTGTGGCAATATTCCCAGTCTCAAATTTGTATTCATTGAAATCTGGCAATGAAATTACATATATGTTTGTGACTGGATCATGCGATGCTAGGGATGAGGGATCATCCATATGTAGAGAGAACTACGCCAATTATTCTGTCAAAATCCTTATGGTCGCGACCATCAACATGATTGACATGCAGTTTTTTTTCACCACTTTTTAATGCGACGTCCAACAAAATTATTTCAAGAATTTTACTTGCAGCACAAACTCTGGGACGAGGTTGAACGTACAATTGCTCTAACTACCTGAATACGATTTTTCGTTTGGTCTTGTATAAATAAGATTACCACCATGATGTTTTCCTTCTGAAAGAGTTATAAACGCCCAAAATTCATTCATCGCAAAAGTTTGGTCATTAGGTTATAAAATAATTATCACTAGTAACTATATAAAAAAGACGTAATAGCTATTAACTTTGGCCAACTTTAGTATTAATGCAAATAACAGCGAAATTTGTACCTGTATACGATGTCTCGTCGTTTTTCCTCATTTCATCTTCTACAGCAAAAAAATTAACCAAAAATTTGCAAGTTCTATGATGTGATTTAAAAAAGATCGCAATATCAAGTTGATGGTACTTTATCACCATATACGTTTCTAAATATTTAGTCCATATACTTTACCAACCTTAAATTTTATTAATTGTAACTTTGAATATTTTACTCTGTAAATCTCTATTGAATTCTTATAAAAGATTAAAAGAACACGCAATTCAGTCTTAAAAGACTGCAAAGTGTTTTATCAAATAAACCTATCTATCTATCTAGATAGATAGATAGATAGGTCTATTTGATATCTATTTATCTATCATGAATCTTTGGTAATCTATCTATCATTATTATCTATCATAAATTTTACACTTTATCTGGTAAATCGCTCTTACCAACTTGAACACATTCCTCCAATAGTTTCATATTATTGTGACCTTTTCGTGCTAAAATGATCTTGTACGGCCTGGAAGTTGAAGATAAAATGCACCCTATAGTATACTGAAAAAATTAGATGAGGCTAAGAAGAAAAAAAGATGGGATGGCTGGTCGCAACTGGATGTTAGGCCAGGAGCAAAGAGAACGTCAACACAGAGAAAAAGCCTCATAAGAGTGATTTTACTCACTCACTCAAAAACAAGCTCGGAAGGGCCTCACAAAACAGCGTACAAAATGAACGCAATCTTGCACGTGAACTTACGATTTGAACGCCTTCACGACAGTTTTCGCCGTATCAACAGGAAGGCCTTCATGATTATATACAATTTCACTTTCTTCGACATTGCTTTTCTTTGATTTATCGACAGAATTATTTCGTAAATGATGAATAGTGAATCGTTTTGTGGGAGAATCTTGAATAACGCTTTTTAATTCTCCGCTCTTCGGTGTACAGCGCAAGTTGGCGACTGAAAGAAGACAATCACAATATATTTGACTACCAAACTAAATTACTGTTCATTGTATCACAGTTAATAGAATATACATGGTTTGGAGACCACATAAAACTACAATTACAACTCATTAACTATGTTGAGGTAGATTTATGCAAAAAATTGTTCCTTTCTCATCACATGTCTATTGTATTTTACACAGATAAACCAATGGCAATCTTATAATTAACATACTTTTCAAGTCAAGGTTGAGGAGCTTAACAAGACGAATGCCATTGGTAAATTTGGCTAAAATACAATAGACACGTGACGATAAAGGAACCATTTTTTGCATAAACCTGGACAATAGCATAGTTAATGAGTTGTTTTGTACTTTTATTTCGTCTCCAAACCAGGTATTATCTATTAACTGTGATTGTACAAACCCAATAAGCATCTTAAGTATATATATGAAAAACACAGATGTAAGAATACAGTGATAGTACCTTTCTTTCCTTTTAATAAAATGGAATGGTGATGAACTTCGCTCGAGTGAGGTCCATCTGGAAATAATTCGGCAAATATTTTTTCACAAATTAAATTAATCAGATTCGGGTTTGGGACCATTTATAGGCAAATCTATAACTCTATTCTTTGTGAGAGGAATCGGAAGGGCGGCGATTGTGTTTCTAATGTAAATTACAAATTCGACGTATCCTTACCAATGTGAAGAGCGGCCTTTTGTTTATGAGAATCTACAATGCGTAGCAACAAAAATAATTTTGTAATTTCTATCATTTAAAAGTAGAGATTTACTTCGAATCACTTCGGTTAAAAAGTATATGTTATGTATATCAGTGAGCATAACAATATTAAAATTTTTACTCACGATGTATTTTCTTTGTCTTTTCTTTATTTCTAGGTTTCTTTCTGTCGCTATCTTTATTAGGACATGGGTGACCATTACAAGGTTTAGATTCAATCGAAGGCCCCAGTCTTCGGCATGATTTACCATTGAACTTAGGTCTAGGATGAGTGCATGTTCGTCTTCGATACTTGACCCCCTCCCCACAGGTAACACTACACTCAGTGTATGGACCATATTCACTGTAGCCTCCATTTACTAAATGTGTAATGACCGAAATTAACTTTTTTGGCTGTAATAATTAATTAAGCTTGATTTCTTCAAATCACTGATTAAAATGTTGATTGCTATATATGCGGAGAGTTATTTCTTTTTTAATCTAATATATATCAGGGTAGCACTAGTTTAACCATCAGGTAATCCATTGTACCTTAGTCGACAAAGCACAAAGTTCCACAGCAAAAAACTGATGACTTACTAGGACAGGGATGTGCATTACAGCGACGAGTTTGCAAATATTCACGACGGTTTATTTTGATCATTCTCATTTGACGTCCTCCACCACAAGTCTTCGTACACGACGTAAATCCAGTGTCTAACAACCGGGCTGAAATACATAGCTGTACAAATTATTAAATGACATAACAGTTGAAACATGGAAATTGTTTAAAGTTTCACTGCATACATCGACCAAAAGAATTGTTTACCATATATTAAAATGAAAGTAAATTCTCCTATCTTTCCACCAGCCTGATATAAATGGGCAAAATCCGTAAACAATTAAACTTACAACAAAGGTTGCATGATTTACGACAAACAGAAGACATGAGTGACTTGAAGGCCAAACAATATCCTTTCTTTGCCATCTCGAGGCACGCTTCTGGAAACTCGTCCAAACACTCTAAACAAGCAAATTTGAAGATGCTGAAATAATTGTGCAGGATCTTCAGTGCATAAAAACAAATGAATACAGTTTATGATCGATACCTTTCTTAGACTTGGGTTGTGCAACTGAATCTTTGAAAGCTGCGTTTTCTTCCATCGTGTCTTCAGCTACTAACAATTTACCTGAACGAAGGAAATATAGACTTTATTTCGGTGTTATGACAGTAAAAATCAATCAGGGAACGATCAAGGGCATGAAGTAGTTACAAAATGTGCCAAATACTTACATCCCTTACTACCATATTGAAGATCCTTTAAATTGTTTTCAACTAAAAAAGTATCACAGTTTTTTATCATTATCATCACAGCTTTTTATATTGAATTGAAAATGAAGAATAACTTGGTACAGGGTGTACATATAGCTACGTAACGAATATTCTATAAAACACAACGCAATTTTTAAAGATTTGATCCTCCACCCAACCTTCATCGCTTCGGTCGGAGTCACAGGCCAAAAGCTTTCCAATAACTACGTAGTGTACCCTCAAGAATAGAGTCCTGGCTTTACCATGAAAAACTACACGAGAATCCTTCAGATGCCTTTGAAGTTTTAGTTTAATATACTCACTGTCATCAATGTCAGGATCACTTATCAAACTAGAAAGTTCACTTATTTTCTGCTTGGTCGTTGGTGAAAGGTTGTTATGCTCTAGAGGAAACGGACAATTAGGAAAAAAATCCTTTTCTTTAATCTCAACAAAATCCAACTGAAGTTACTTTGACCAGTGCCGACTTTAACAAACCTGTAATTGGTTGTTGTGGTGGTGATTTATTTGTTACTATTGAAGCTTGATTCGTTCCAGGCCCCGGGGTTTCTACTCCTAAGAAAAAAGATCTATAGAGATTGGCTTGTTTTTAGATATTCTAAATTACGCATAATATAAGACACTAACCATCGCTAGCAGTTTTGGCGTTTTCAATTAAAGAATTCATAACAAAACTTGGTACTAAAAATCAATATAATTTCATTAATATGTACATGTGAGCTCTTATATTAGGCCTCTTACAAAGCAAAATTAATTTTCTTACCTTCGTAATTATTAAAGGAATATTCATTAGGAATGGTCTTCCATTTCCCTTGATTTGTTATAGCTGTAGGAAAGCGAAAGCAAAAGCAAACTTTGTTAATTATTATAAACTTTTTGTATCAATACCCAACATGCATGACGTATGGTACTGTACCGGTGGGTTTTTCCTTTGCCCGCGAGAGTGCAAAGGAGAAGATGCGATACGCAAGTTTTTCAACGATACGTGTCATATGACTAGTGAGGAAAATAGTCTTAAAACAATACGTTGAAGAAACTCAACGAACTCTTTTCACAGGTTATACACAAGAAGTAAAAGATTACGTATCGTCATGCACGAACTATTTGCGTGGTTCTGATGTGACTTCCACTACAAACTACTCACTACTGCTACCTTTCGTTGACCTATTGTGCTCGTGATTGGTTAATATGATAGAGTTATCGCATTTGATTCGTTCATATTTCCTCAAAGGTAGCGGTAGTACGTGGTAGTGGGAATGAAATCTGAACCCCGCTATTAGATCACAGAATGCGATCCACAATTGCAGCGGTTCAAAGAACACATGCACCAACCTGTCAAATACTTTGTCTTATCGTTTCCATTCAAAACTGCATCAGTTGGAAGTGGAGGCATTTCAGTGACGTGATTACCACCTTGATGAATGTTGCCAATTCTTGGACCTGAATAAGAAATAAATGAGACGATGGAAGAAGTTACCACACCGTTGAAATATAATGAGCACATACTTTTTAATGAGGCAATACTTTCTAATTTAATGAGGCCATATTACCTGATTTAAACGAAGTTGATTTAATCTTTGGTTCGGGTTTGGATGATTTGACAACTACAAATATAGAATTTCATCCAAAAATTTTGTTTCATAAATTTCCTGTTTATAGCAGAAAAGCGAGAGAACCTATGAAAACCCAAAACTTTTTATCCTTTTTGTCTCAGTTAAAAGCGTATCATGATCATGGAACTAGCTGGTTGCGTCGTAAGTTGAAAACTCTTGAATTTTACTAACTGTAGGTCATTTTAAAGGCCCGTTCACACTTGCGATTTTTGCTGCGATTTTCCTCTTTTGATAGATGTGAATGAGTAATACGGTAAGCGGCTCTATTTGAACTTCTTAACTAATTAACTCGTTTACATCAATCAAAAGACGAAAATCGCACATAAAATCGCAGCAAAAATTGCAAGTGTAAACGGGCCTAAAGGTGTTATTCATACCAGGTTGTTTTACATCATCGTTCTCCGGGCATGGCTGAGCGACAACAAGAAGTTCAGATGTTTTCGATGGAGTCGTACTGTCCGTGTGATCACGAAAGAAAAGTGGAGCCTGAGTATTCGGAGGTTCTGACAGTTTCCAAGAGCGATGTGAGAACAGCTTTAGAGTGGTGTAGCTTTCGTTCCTCTCAACATGATCCATTAAAAATGTCGCATCGTTTTCTAGTAATTAAAGATTCGTGAAAACTTTATCACGTGTCTGAAATTTGAATATTGATTTCAAGGTAGTTAATTAAGCCCTGGGTAAACTCAGATGAGATCTGGAAGCTAAAACTCCCCCTAATGTCCGAACAAGGATCATCGCATGAATCTCTTCAACCCCTGTATATACTTTTCATGAGGGTTGACAAAATTTCTGCCTGTTTTCGCGATAAATCATTGAATTCACGTGGAACTCGTGTTTTTCTTTGATCGCAGCTAATGAAAGCTGACAAAATACGCATGCATGCGCTCAGCACTGATTAAAAACCCCCTGCTTGCCAGCTCTCGCTAAACTTAGATCAAACAAGGCTTTAGGAATAACTCTTGTACTCATTTTCAAAGTACTAACTCAGTCAGTGCCCGGAGATTTTATTTAACTTTATTGCCTTTCCTTGTACTCCCTATTATGCCTAGTTCCTATGCCCTCATCGGTTCAACTCACTGAATTCATCATTTGATTGTTCATCCTCCAAGACTATTGTATGATTTGCCCTTCGTAGATATTTTCCTGGATTTTTTTGTGACTCCAAAGCAAACAATCCAGGGGCTTGAATGAAAAGTCCATGTCTCACTTTAAATAGATCTGGTTGTTCAGAGAAATATACGCTAGTGCGGTCAGTGGAAAGGCCCCGAATGTTTTCCACGTAATCTGTGAGATCTGCCGCACTTTTAAATGAGGACTGGTTGACAAATATTACAACAGCACATCTTGATTTCGATGACCCTAAAATATAGACTAGGGTAAATGGGCTATGAATGGTTTAACAGAGGAAATGTTTCAGACAAGAAATCACTGAGAATCTCACATTCAAATGTTAAAGTTTTTTACCAAGTTAATCAGGGTTGGTATTGAAGTCACTATTAGAAAACTGCAAGTATTGCTAAACTGAATCGAAACTCTGAGTCACTAAAGTGAAGCCACGTTTGAAGTATAATCCACTGATCCACGAAAGAACCACGAGAGTTATAATACTTTTAATCCTATTATTTCTCCTCCATACCTTCGGTGAATTGTATAATACTCCCGAGATATAATAACACAGATATCGTAAAAAACATTGCACTTCCCAATGGAAGGAAACAACTTGAAAAATCTTGATCACATATCGCTTAAGCAGACCACTAGGCATCTAAATGTAATAATTTTTGAAATCTATATTATAATACGGTGTTTCTGTTCTGTAAATTATCAATATTTTACGCTCGGTTGAGCTTTAGTCATGTTTAGGAACTGGGCCGTGACGACTATAACTTCATCCACCTGCACAGTTGTCTATAGCACAATAGCAAACTATGCGACTTCAAGGGCCTTTAGTTTATACGTCGCGCCGGGTGCAATTCAAAAAAGTAGATAAAGCGATCCAGCCTTATTATCATCTTATCTTTTGTTTATATGCATTCGACGCGACAGAATTCCGACGCATAAACTAGGCGTATATTGCTGCGATAACGAAATAACCGCATGCCATCACTCAACTTCCACTTACTTAATAGTCCGTATATCAAGATTCAAATGCAATCTAAGAGTATGGTTATGCGTCGCATTTTGGTTGCGTCGAATGCAATTCAAACAATAGATAATGAAATGATAAAACTCATTTGGCCTCATTATCATCTCATTATCTATTGTTTGAATTGCTTTCGACGCCACTAAAATGCGACGTTTTACCTCAGCTTGAAACATTTATATTGATAAACAGTTCTTAAGCACATGTGTTAAAATGTGCTTTTAGAGACAGACTATTACATATACCATGATTACCATCCTCAGAAAGTTATGAATCACTTTGAAGACCAGGATTGTTCCACCGGATTATTTCACCCGTTGTAAGAATGTTCGAAAAGCAATAAAATTACCTTTAGGACAACCTTTAATTTGGCAAAAATGTTTTTACTTCCAAATTCCATACGCTAATATCTATTTTATTCTTTCATATAAAATTAAACTTATTATAACCTTTAAAAGTGACACCATCAACCGAAGTGGAAATTATTGCAACTTAGACAGACAATAGTGATAAATTCAGTTCAATTCCCTGAGAGGTTTCAGACGGGGTGTAAAACGAGACTGAGCATCACTGTGTTTATCAAGTACTGAAAATTCAAATGAGAGCTTTAATACAAGTACTATGAAGCGTATACTGATTTTACAATCATATAGGTGTACGCATGCAGGGCCGCCGAGAAGGGGGATAGGGGGGCATTTTGCCCCGGGCCCCAAACCTGAAGGGGCCCCCAACTTAAGAAAGAATCTAAAATTAAAACACCTTAAAAAGCCATTTTCCGGCGGACTCGACCATGGTCGAATTCGCCATTTTCCGGCGAACTCGACCATGATCGTCATTTGCAATTTTCCGGCGAACTCGACCATGATCGTCATTTGCAAGTTTCCCGCGAACTCGACCATTGTCGTATTTGCCCTTTCTCGGCGAACTCGACCATGGTCGCATTTGCCATTTTCCGGCGAACTCGACCATGGTTGAATACGCCATTTTCCGGCCAATTCGACCATGGTCGTATTCGCCATTTTCCGCCGAACTCGACCATGGTCGAATTCGCCATTTTCCGGCGGACTCGACCATACTCGAATAGGCCATTTTCCGGCGGACTCGACCATGGTCGATTACGCCATTTTCCGGCGGACTCGACCATTGTCAATACGCCGTTTTCGGGTAGACTCGACAATGGTAGAATACGCCAGTTCCTGCGGGGTCGACCATGGTCGAATACGCCGTTTTCGGGTGATCGGGTAGACTCGACCATGGTCGAATACTGCCGTTTTCCGGCGGACTGAAAATGTTGAGCTTGGTGTATTATTCGCACACTAGTCGAAAGTACGAGTGACACTCATTGTTATTTTAATTTCTAAGATATGTTGATATTGTTTTTAAAAAGATTTGTTTGTAAACTTTTGCACAATGCTTTGAAGTATTTTATGCCTCGCAGATATAGAAAACCATGACGTCATAGGGCCCAAGAAAAATATTCTGCCCCAGGCCCCACAATTTCTCTCGGCGGCCCTGGGTGTACGGGCACATGTAGAGGACAATACGGGCCTCAGAATTTAAAAGTGATGAATGAATGTCCCCCCATCCAGTAATGGAAGCTGCGAATCATGTGAGGACCCCCGGTTGAATCAATTTTCAGTGAAATTTAGAGCGTCAGAAGCACAGTTTTGGTGAATTTAAAACTGGATTTATCTTATAGCAGTTTATATAGAAAACTCGGAAAACCTGTGAAGTTTGGCGTGCCATGTTTTAGTTGTTACAATTAAAAATATCTCGTTTTAGCGGCGTAGGATAAGTTAATAAATGAGATGGTTCGGTCCTTCACATGCCACAAAAAGCTAAATAAATCTCCTATTCTGGTGATATATAAAGATATGACGCGATGTAGAATAGGCAGTTAAAATGCACCGTTTCTTCCTCAAGATTCAGTGTACTACTTCTAGCATAGCCAATGCCAGTTCGAAATCAATTTACAACCGGAACTGTTAAACCAAGCGTGAAAACCAACCCGCCATACTATTGAGTAGCCGTCGGATTTACGATGTACGACTTTTAAGTATGGTCTAAAGTAAGATGAGCAAAGATTTCAGGTCGTTCATTAGAATGAATGATTGTTGTGGAATAGCTTTGGCCAGTCTTGTCTTTTTAGCGGGTAGGTAAACGCGATAAAGAAATTCTAGTCTCAATTAATGGATACTTTGATAATTAAACAATGAACCCACCACTTGATCTTAACTGTGATCTTTATGAAGAATCAATTCTCTTCACAACAATATTATATTGTTTTGACTGGAACCTGTAATGCGATAGGAAAACAGAAAACATGTGATGTTTAGTAAACTGGTGTTTGTTTCAAACAAAGGGAGGTGGATGCAGGAATATATCAAACCTAATTAAACCAACGAGATCGGTCTAGCGGAAAATTTTCCCTGTGTACAAATGCTTGAACCAAAAGCTTTATTGCAATAAAGTCACAGTCAAAACTTTCGCTAAAATTTTCCGACGGTTTTGTAAACCTTCTTTTATAATACTTGGTTTGAAAATTATTGAAACAGGCCTCTCGCCTTTTCTACCCAATGGTTTCTTCAGAACTTCCCACTAGCCGCCATTCCCTGCTTAGATTACGAAAGCTACATTAGGACTCAGGGACGCCTGAGAAGGGAGTGCGAGGGGGCATTCGCCCACCCTGCCCTTTGATTCTCACTTGCTCCTATTAGTTTTCACCCTATGTGCCCCTCAAGTCTCTTTTTCGCCCCCCTAACAACGTGATTCTTTATATAGGACTATTTATGATAGATGACAGAAAATTAGGTCTACTTAATAACAATGATATTGCGAAATAATTGTATTTCCAAGGCTTGCATCCATTTACGAAAGCGCAAGATCCTAGAGGAATCACGCAGACCGCACTTCAACAGTTTTACGAAGGCCAAACAAAGACAAGTGATGGGAAAAACAGAAACACTATACCAAACAACAGCCCCCAAGTTAGAACATACCTTGCCATGAGCCCATCTCCCACCGCCGTACCCCTCGCTATTCCACTTCCGTTCAGGGTGGGCGAGAGCGAACGCAAGGACACTTTACATAAATCAAAAACGAAAATTAGAAAATTGACTGAATATGAAAAAGCTCAGTTATGGAGATTTAAGCCTGTTAAAGGCACAGACAAACATTTGAAGGAAATATTTATTGGTAAATGTTGGGTGTATCAGAAAAAGTTTCAGTTTAGTGAAACTATAGACTGCCCTAGGCTATGGGAAGCCTTTCTAACTGGATTTGCATATAAGGAGCCCTGCGATGTGACTCTGGAAGATTATAAAGATTTCTTTGGAATGATCCATGAAGATCCTTTGGTTAACAAGGTGAGAATATTGAAAATTATAATTAATATGCAAACCATATAACCCGCCTTCTAGGTGAAGGTTTAGGAGTGCTCGAAGGAGGTTAGGGAGAATAGGGTGATGAATATAGGGCAAGTTAGGGAAAGGTTTGCAGGAGGTTTGAATTGAGAGAAAGGACTGAAGGGTATACTGATGTACGCGATAGGGTGGCTTAATTTCTACGCATGACAAATCTTCTAATGAAATATCTTTATCGAGCGCTATTATACACTTTGTTTCTTCATCTATACTATAGTCATTGCTTTGGTCAGGAACACGAGAAATCACGCACGAGCTGTCAGAATTTAACACAAGATTTACTGCTTTGGAAGACACGTTTGCAGGGTAGTATAATTTTCATGCACTGACTTGAATTTTCTCAAAACGGGGAGCTAAGATACATATATGTATCCACAACCAATGAGATGACTTTTTTGCGTCAAATTTCTGATCTATAGTCTGCTATAGTTTGGTGAAATACGAAGTCGAGTGAATTTGGGTTCACTGCCATGCACTTAAATGCGAATAATTTTCTAAACATTAGGTATCTTCTGGATGGCATGCAGTGGTGTGGAATGATCGCAGAGCCAGGCATCAATTACAAACAATGTCCGTACGAGTGTGCCAAACAGAAAGCATTCTGGGGAGCTGCAGCAAAGAAGGTACGATACAAGCTTCAGATTATCAAGAATCGCATCATAATCATATATAGCTAGGCTAGAGGCTAGATCATGTCACACTGAAAATTTTCTGAACAGCACATTTTCATCAATTCTAAGTATATACTACTTTAAAATTGCTTTCAGATGGCAGAAAGATCAGAAGGAATTGTCCACATAATCATTAATGGAACAAGACAACATTGGAAAGATAAACAGATATTTTCTGCCTATATGATGGACAGGCAAGTTGCTAAGTTTTTTCCATTTGTAACTGCGACTGAATGGAATAAATACATAAATATAATAATAAATAAGCATAATAGAACTATCATGTACTGACAACTAGACAAATGATATAATCAACTGAGAGCATCAAATGTGGTATAACAGCTGCCTAAAATAGACAAAACACTTCTTGACGTTTCGACCTGAGGGCCTTCGTCAGGAGAGTTACTTGCTAAGTTGTTTGAAGACGCTGCCACGCTGCTCCCTGGTTATATTGGAACGTATCTACAACTGAGAGCAATAGTACAATTCATTTAATTCATTACGTCCAGTTTTTAACTTTACAGGCTGTTTAACCGTAGTGATCGGCGCTATTAGCTAAATTTGGTTTTATTTCAGTTATTTGGCCAGAAATCAGGTACCAAATCTCAACCCTAACAAAGTAACAGAAGTGAGAATAATGGTTGGACATTCCTTACATTGGAAAGTACTGTAAGTGTCATGACCACTGTTAGAATAATTATCTGAAATTTTTATGACGATTCATAAAGTATTGCTTTTGTAAAGTGAACGAATCTTATAGAGAGCGATGTGGAACATATTCGGTAAAAGCCTTACAGAAGCAAATTAAATCTCGTGGTATTAAATCATCCTGTATCGACAATCCACTGTGAGTATTTATATTTTATTCAATCGCATAATCCAAAAGACCTTTGTTTTCTGAATTGTACATGTATAATCTATTTTTGGGTTTCTTGTTGTTTAGATCTATACGTGCGCTGTTGTGTCTTGACTATCCAAAAGATGCTCTCTGTCAGTTTCATCTGACGGCTTTGTTAAAGCGATAAAAATAAATTGGGACCAAAGTGATGATCGAAATATCAATCTATAGATCTTAGATAAATTAAGTTGAGGGATGAACTGAACATTTAGATAATGTAGATTCCAGGTTCTTACCCGGGTACGAGGTTCCTGACGCACAAATGAAATGACGTGTTAATAAACGACCGTGTGTTCTTTGTTTCTCGCTAAGTTTAAAATTAAACGCCGATAGGGACGAAGTTGTTCAGTGTCGTCTCTTTCAAGATGAATAGCTTATTTAAGAACTGGTAAAGCATGCGCCATTGTTTTTTAACCAATCAGCGATCTAGGCAAAGCGTCAGAGCGGCCAAGCGCTTTTGAAAACGATGTTGCGGCTCAATTAAATGCTGATCCAAAAAAATTTCAAGTACAGTATTATTTAAAGGAACTGATTTAACTAAGAGTTGCACAAAAATGATTTCACTACTCAGAATGCATGTGTTCTAGTCAGTGAATTTTCTTTAAATCATTACAAATGCTCTGGAAGCAATCAAAAGACAAAGAAACAAATGAAGCTAGATGTATAATCGCATAAATTTTGTTGCTGAACATATATCATTTATAGATAATATTTCTCAAAGTATTAATGTATTTTACACACACGCCTCACTATATACTATAGATTCGTAGGAAGTACTTTATGTATATATAACAGTATATGTAATAATATATATATATATTATATATATATTTATATAATATATAATATAAATATATATTTAGCGTTTGAACTATTATGAGTCAATGTGACGTCGATAATAGCACAAAATCATGATTAAAGTTTCAAGCGATCAATTATGTTATTTATTTCTTGCAGATCATCTGAATCGGGCTCATACAATGTAGTTCCATTATCCAATTACAACCAGGACTGCAGCATGCCGGGTTTGAGCTGTAGTCAATTGAGCAACCTGCAAAAGAACGAGATTTCCTGATAGACTCATGGCCAAGGCCTCATATAGAGAAACGTATAGGTTTAGAAGAAGGCTTGCAAGCTCAGCAAATCAACAATCAAATGATAATCATAACAGTTTACATCCGCATTTTCGTACTCAACCTCAGCTCTAATTTCTGCCTACAATATAATACAACACTTGCGAATTCTGCAATTGTCAATTTTCAAACCTCTTTTTTCTTCTTCACCCAACTCATCCAATTGAACAAAGTCGTTGTCAGGTTCCCGCTTACAGTTAATATTTGATTTAGCGAGGTCAACACCGGCAGCTGCAAGCCCGTCTAACTCTTCCTGAGAACATCCCCCACTTGCTGCAAGAAAGTTATGATAACGATGAAGACGTTAATTCTAAATTAACCCACAAACTAGCATCGCTCTATGATAACTACGTAATACATTATAGCGTCTTATTATCGCTCGAAATTTTACCAAGTCTAGTGAGTGCCTCGATATCCAGGACAACAAGCAATCTTTCGTGGGTTATTTTTTCTGAATCAAACGTTTCCTATTTAGCTTATGCCGTGAAATAGCTTCTTACCTCTCCTGAACAGATAATCAGCGAAAAAGTTCCGTGATTTTGGTGCAGCAACTGAAAAACAAATAAAAATATAAGAATTGAATATATCAGCATGGCGATCTGATTGATGTGATTGATATGACCCGATTTGTTTTTAGGTCATTTTGCAGGCAAACCATCAACTGTATGCCATGAACTGAAATTAGTTGCACCGCAAGATGTACCGTGACGCTGGACTATTGTAATAAATTTGATTAAATGGTTTAGTTTCATCCACTTTTGGACGCTCTGTTTATTTGATTTCGCACACAGCAACAGGAAAACATTTTTCCAAATATTGTAAATTGGCTGCTACTGCATGTAACTTGGGAAAAACCTCCCGTGTTCAAATAATCAGTTAGGATTTTATTATAAGTAAAACGTTATGGATATGCGCCGAAGGAATCGAGAGACTGGGGATAGGTTTGTGATTAGCAATCATGCAGTCTTTACTCTAACAAGTATAGTTTTGTATATAATACATCTATCTTTAATCTGTGATGATTTTACAAAAATACTCTATATCTTTGCATACAAGATGTTAATGTTACAATACATATTTTATGTTTTACTAGATCTTTTTTCCTTCAACATAGTTTCATATTATTACGCTATAACACTTAAATTTTCCAAAATATAGTGGGATTAAGCTGCTAATGAATGCATCCGCATCATAAACCTTATTAATAAAAGACAAGGCACAAGTTTTAGTGGGGAGATAGCTAATTTTGCTTGTTTAAACAATTAACAAATCCAATTCCAATTCCCATTGTGATGCTCCACGCCCTATGCTGTGAATTGCCTTACTTCCCACGAAAAAGGTCCTGATCGTTAGTGATATAATTAATTATCAAAATTAATTACTGTTAATCGACGTAGTTGGCTAATGTATGCTCAGACAAAGAGCTTCGATTGAAACGCAGGTGGGAGGTTATTGTCACATATCAGCTTGCATCGGCTTTTACATTTAAGCGATGTTTACGAGATTGAGATTTATGCTGAGGATGAAGCTTATTAAAGATTGCTTTCTGTGTTCATAGATATCAGTGCGCACAAACATGGTAATTATGAATAATAAAAATATCTTAGAGCTATAATCATTTTAACACTGCGATAGAAATTTTCTCAAGACGAAGCTTGCTGTATTCTATTTCTATTGAAAAAGGACGCTACCACTTCGTCTGGTTTCCCCTTCATGAAACTGAACCAAAAAAATGAAACAGGGTAAAAAAAATATTTAGAATCAAAACAACAAATTGATCAAATTGGGATAATGGTAGCGTATCTGTCTAAACCAAACACGTTATATTTGTCATTAGCGCCGGACTTGCGTATTCAAATTAGGTCCATCTAGTATGATTAGGAAATGTTTCAGGAAATGTGTATAGGGCATGAATTAAACGTAATTCGACATTTTTTTCCAGATTTCATCACATATGCAGTTTTGAATGCACCACGCAATGCTTTGCGGTACCGCTAAGCACAAAATTGATTTTTTCGGAAAACTTCAACACTTCTCCCTGTAGGCTGCCTGGGTCGCATCACGCATCGCCATAAACCTCAATTAAGTATTCCTAACAAGACAAGCCGCTTCTTATTTTATTTATTCAACACATGTAAACGAAATTCCACATGTCAATATTGCGAAGTAAACTCAGTTTGGCCTTGCATTGGCGAAAATTGAGAATAAGAACTTACTAATTTAATCATATTTCCTACCTTTCGTTCTAATTGTTACATATCACTATAAATTTTGTGGGAAGGAATTAGTCTAAAAGAACTGGTTAATCATCTTGTATTGTTTCAATCAATAATGTAGACATCTCTTGTTATCGTGCAATGAAAAAAAAGCTTACATTTAAATAGATTGTCTTATGGTCTGAAAAAAAATGTGTGATATCTATATATGCCTAATTGAGATAAACGAAAGTTAAGAAGCAAATGCTTGAAATTGGAATTACATAAAAAATGGTAATCTTTGTGCATGCATGCATGAGAATCAACTCTTACTGATTGCTATGTTACTTTTGTTAGTATAGAAAGCACTTCAAGTTTTGATATCTGCAACATGTTATCATCCTGAGGCATTCAATGTTGCTCAGTACGAGCAATCTCGAGTATACATTCCTGACTTAGTTTTCAGGTTAATTTAACTGAAATGGATCACATAAAACATTGAGCATTGCTATGCCAATGGGCCTTGCTAACAACGTGCAAAGTTTGAAGGAAGATGGCGTTAAAGCAAAATTATATCTAGTCATTCAATCTGCTCTCAAGAAAAATTATTAGGCCTCTCCCGCACTCACAAACAAAACAGCACGCTGCAAACAGGTTACAACAACTCGGTAGAAACAGTAAATAACACACTGCATGTCATCTTCATAGCAAATTTGCAGCGTCAACAATATGAATACAGCCGCACAAGTGGATTATACGCATCAAATGCATTCACTACATCTGAAACTTCGCGTTGTCTATATATGGATAAATTTTGTCGGATGCCTTACATTCTACGCTAACTAACTACTGTAAGTTTGACAAAACCACAGACCCATCTCTCCCGTAGCTTAAGTCCATCAGTTAAATGTATAACCGTCAGAAACAGCAAGCTTGGAAAATACAGCTTTAAGAATACCTGTGTCCTGTGAAGATCCAGTTGTCACAGAATTGTTCCTAATTTACTAGTGAATGAACCAATTTTCACAGAAAGTCGCTAAGAGCGTACATTATCCTTTATATCGAATGCCAGGTTTATACAAAAAATTAAGGATAAATCAGCAAGCAATAAAATGACATGGCTGATATATCTAAATTACTTTCATTGCCATTGATATTCATCTTTCAGTGCAAATGTTCTGTCAAATATTAAGTGAAAATTTCTAAATAATCACAAGCCGAGAGAGCTTTAAGTTTGTTTGATATTTTGACTCAGAAGTTAGAACGCACAGTTCGCTTGATACAATGCCTTATCATTATCATAATCAGATGTCATGCATCCTTATATACGATATTGCTTCAATAGTTAGGTCTTTGATGTTCGGTTTTTTGCTCACAATATCCTTCAATATTCTTGCTAATATTCTTCAATATTCTTGCTAAATATTCTTGCTAAAAGCCTAAATTATGTTAATTCTTGCACTGCAATGAAGCATTACATGGGGAACAGGTGTAAAATATTTCTCGCTACGATGATTCGATTGGAAATATAGGCTGTCATGAAAACATCTTAGTTTCTGTCTTTAATCGCTTCGTTTTAAAAGGGAGACGCGCTATCTTTAAAAAGAAGAGATTTTCTACAGGCTTCCCTTTAAGGGAGAGGTTTTAGTGCCACCTTTTAGAGAGGGGATGTGCTACGCTTTAAAAAGGAAAGTTGCCGCTACTTAGTAGAAAGACATAGATATATAAGCCTGCACGAACAGTACCGCAAACGTTTGTGCCAGAAACATGAGAGAGATTACGCGGTCTTTTTCATTTCAGGCAAAGAATATACGAATTCATAAATTGATTTAAATAACTACTTTAATTGTGAAAGTAATGAAAAATGCTACTGAAGACGTTTTCATTTGAAAAGGTGTATATTGAATACAGCAGAAGAAGATTAAATGGATTTTTCATTCGCACACTATAACAAGCGAATACCAACCATATAGTTCACTTGTTTTTTACTGTATGACATATTTTTTATTCTTTTTAAGTTAAAACATGATTTCCATATAGATTTGAGATACAATTCTTAGCCTATAAAGAAGCTTGAATGGTGGTCTTTTTCATTTGGTAAATTACAGCACCTCCCAAATATATTTCCTTGACTGTGCCTTGAACTGCTTTCCATTTATAGCAAATCTTATGTCAACACGATTCAAGAGACTGTCACAACTACCTTCTTCACTGTAGTTAGACTACATTTTAAATTTCGTTGGCAAAACGTAATGCTTTTCTGATTCAAACTCATGTAAATCGCACAATATTACAAGTGAACAATTAAGTGTATCTCAAGCAATTCTTAACTGACTTACCTGCGATGGAAACAAGAGCAAGGAGTATCATGAACTTGATAGCCATATCGGTTTTGGGATCAAACTTTGAAATTCACTGTTCCTCTTTTTAGCTATGTTGCCTTCTCAACCTCAAACCAAAAGTGACTGCCCAGCAAAACCTTGGTTGTATTTAAACCATTCGGCAACAATTAATAACATTCGCCTTCAACGTGCGGCAGAAGCAGGTGGAATGTTATAAATTAAATAGCTTTAATTTTGCAGCAGCTTAATGGCCCGGAATTATTTTCCCCTATATGCTAAACCTTTCAACATCGTTTTCAAACTCGACTGGGGGTTGAAAAAACAAAATATTCGCTTGTAGAGTTATGCTTTGAGAGGTTAAACATCTTGGAAGAGATAAAATCTCTCTTGGTCGTTTATAAAGGTGCTATCAATGATTTGTTAGCAGCGAGCCTGCGAAAAAGTGATCCATAAACAATGAGATTTTATCGCGCCAAAAAAAGCTTGCCATAGAAATTAGTATGCATATTAAATGGATAAACAAAGTCGGATTAGTATAAATTATGCATAAGGATCCGTGCGGGCGAATTTAATATCTAGAGCGGCTCAAAATCGCAAGGCTTTGGAAAACCCAAGCTGGGCAAGTGGCGTCAATTTTATTGAAACGTAGGGTATAATAAACATTTCTCATTAAGAACTCACGGCCAGACACTATTAAAAAACGCCTCTGAAAAATTTCCTCTCAGCACACGGAAAAAAGTTGAAGAGCATAGTGCATGGCATCTTATATTTTACATCATTGAAACTGAGACAAATCATGAAAATAATCGGACAGATTGAATATGTTAAAATCACGCTTGAAAGCAAGTAAAAATGCTTAAGGAAATTGGGTTTCTGTGTATTTATAGCCCTAAAGAGCTTTGCCATAACGAAAATTAAATGAAGAGAAATAGAATAGGATTTTCATTAAAAAAATTTTGAATTTTAAGTAGAGAAAGCTTCCTCTTAAAAATACTTGGAAATATTACTTTAGACAGCGAAATATGTATATAAACTGTCTCGCTAATTTGTTTAATATAAATCTCCCCAAAAATGAGATTGTATATACAGCAGAAAATGAGGGCTTAACGTTAAGACTTATTTAACTTTATAACCGACTTTTCTAGAAAGAGTATGTTTTATTGCATTTTAATTTAAAGAGTATAAAGGCGCTGAACTGAATTCGTCACGACACAGTTTCGTGTTTAAAACACAGTGCGATTTGTACATTTGTAACGGAAATTCAACAGCGAGGAAGATTATTGAACTGAGGTCCACCTGCCGAGGCAATGTCGCAAGCAATAATGTCCAATTAACACAGCCTAAAGTCAAAACCTATATTGCCTTACGCCTACTGGTCATTTATTCCGCAGTAATTAACCCTGAACAAGAGTTTTTTCCGCGGAATTTAAGTGTTTTCGGTCAAGCGGGCACGCTTGAAAAGGACTTTCAAGTCTTCTCTGGTATAAATCAAAATTTACATTACGGTTAAAACGTATAGAGTTCTTTACCTTACGAATTTAACGAAGTCGTACATTTTTATTGATGGATTAGAATGACATGTTTTTCAGAAGTAAAATTTGACATGTATTTGTCAAAATTTATTACAGTATTTCCCAAGAGAGCTATTATTTTTTAATAGTAGTCCAATACGCAGAGGAAATATTAGGCTGGATAAAGACGTATATTAACGACGACCTATCAGACTCACTTTCAACATATTAATTTTACTTAAAATGTTACAACATATTAAATTTAAGATTCCGATATCGTGCCAAGTAATTTAGATATAGAATTTCAGAAAGAGCATGCAATTTCCTATGTTTATAAGTTCGTACAAGAAGGCTTAGCATTAAGCACAAAATAATTGTTGAAATGATGTATATATATAGACTGTAGGTTTTCAGGTCGTCTTTAGACAACTAATTAATGAGAAGTGCGACTGTTTTGAAGTTTGCAGATATGTTTTCATGAAAAATGACGGGGTTTAATAAAAAATGTGCTTTGTCATTCTAAAAGGACACGATTGTTTATTTTGTGATGGGAACATCTATTATAATGACAGCAAATGAAAAGGGAAAGAGCAGATGAAATGAAGTAGGATGAATAGTAGAAATATATTTCATCACTATAATATGATCCTATAATATAAATAAATTGATATGAAGCGAGCTTTTTTGGCCATATTTAGAGCCTCAATTCTAAATCGAAATGATCGTTTCTGTCATTGTTTATAAGTGTAGTTTAATTTGTATTTATATAAACAACAATCCAATGACTCGAATCGTAACTGTTGCTGAAGTTTTTTGCAAACTGTTCTTCTCACAGACACCTAAAATACGCAATTCCCAAAGAATTAATCTAATTATATTGTTACTTGGCGGAAGCACACTGTATGAATATATTACAAGTGTAAACTTACAAAATATATATGAAAACACTCCAGTCATAACTGAAGGTTGAAGGAAATTGCTCTGGAAAGAGAAGCGACATATAGCAGTTATAACTGCAAAACACGCGTCTAGTCTTGCCTCCATTAAGGCAATGTCTGTCTCATTGTTATCACACCAAATTTTGGTGCATGTTATGTGGGTATATATATCGTATGGTAGATCTCGCCCCTTTTGAAAACAGCTAATGGTAACTACCGTATATTTGCCAGTGGGTGACGAGGTCATGAAATCTCCGCTACAAGATGCATGCATGCATGGGAATCATTTTATGGTTTTGGTTCATTTTATGCATGGTTATTGTATGAACCGTGTGTTAGATATATTCTTCCCTCCCTAATTCCGCAAATGGTTTGTTTATTTAACATTTATCAAAATATAACATATATTTGCGCGCGTAAGATTTTATCTGCGGACAACTGGAATAGACTGTTTCGCGGGAAGACATTTGCAATCATCTTCACGCACAAAATGTTATTATTCTCACTATTAAGTCAACGTTTTTGTGTTTACATTAATCGGCATTTTTTTGTCAGTGAAATTTCGAAAATTGCTGCTGTAGCTATTTCACGAGTTAATAATCTGGTAGTAGTTGAAAAAGTTATGATTAACGCATGTTTTTGACCAAACAAATCACCAAAACAATTCAGTAGCTATAATTTATATGGTTTGAGTTAAGACACATCAAGTATATTTTTACTGTGTAGGTGCATGTACCTTTAAACTTAAATTTTATCTTGTTGCTCGCCTTGCAAAATTTCAAGACTATTAATTCAGTACCTCCCCGTATAATTATGACAGATCACCTAAATCCCTTTTTTTGGAGACGTCTATGAGCTTCCGTGCTGAAAAATATTTCCTAGAGCGGAATTTTTCTATTATCCTTTTTTTCCACAAGGTGTTAATACAACGTTCAAAAGTTAACAACACGAAATATTGTAAATTGTATTTTATATATCAGATATAATATAGATACGCCAAAAAGGTGGTTTCAAGGCTTGGTCACCAAGCGTGGGATAATTTGGGTTGTTCGATTTACTGCGCGTCTTAAACTCGCGAAGTCAATATATGTTAGTCTGCAATCTTCCGCGCTGAGAGACTAAGGCAATGGCCTATTACATACACGTTAATACACGAATTATTAAATAAGGATTTAAGAGGAGTCCTCTATTGGAGAAGCTTTAAATAAGCGTTTTCGAGCACGTAAAGTGAGGACTCAACAATAGACATAGCATTGATTTAGGTTCAGCAGTTATTGGCTGTGCATGAATATAGTCATAGTCTCATAGATGACCAGTTATTAACTCAAGGAGCAGTATATGTGAGGATGATAAAACTAGGACACTTTTCAGTTACAGATTCTGACAGATGAAATCAATCAATTTCAGAAGCCTGCAGTTTTGATATATATCCGCGGTATAAGTAGACTGAATTAAGCCCTTCTAGAAAAGATTTACATATACAAAACACGCAAAGACAAGAGACAACTAGACTAGTCATGCAGTTACACGAAGTGCTTGGGCTAACAATTATAGCATATAGCCATATAGGTGCATGTGACCGTAAATAGGAAATTCTCTCTAGTTCTTGCATTTATTAAATGAAAGGCGCTCTTAATGTATGTAGAATGTCGGATTAGGAATGAATGCACATTCATATTGTTATTAATATATTGACAGTTCCACAAAACAGAGATATTTGTTGAAATATACCTATGCATGCAATATATTGATTTAAAAACATACATTAGAGGAGAAGTACTTTAATTGCAGAAGGATTCATGAGTATTATAAATTTCATTTCGAATCAATTTCAAACTATTTAATCAAATTTCAGCAAATAGACGTTTTGCAATTTTTCATTAGATAGAAAAGCAGTTAAATATCGTACACAGGATCTTACTGTCTCGTAATCAAAATAATAGTTTGTTTTAATTGCATCGAAATCAGGAAGGGATTTTTACCTTTTACGAATGATTTAGAATTAATCAAATCCCTTGTCGAAAAGACTTAAAAAAAATGGTCAAACAGGATAACTCTGTGACTCGGTGAGATGTCGCTCTACGAGGATCGTTCAAATTTTGATAAGAATTGATGGGAGGCTTAGCTCTTGTGACTGTTTTCGTGCTGTGATATCAAACCAACTTTTATTAACACTTATGCCATCCGTCTGAATTTTTACTGCACAATATTGGAAACGCCGTTTAGCCGTTGAACGTGGGCACGGTAATTTCAAAACACCAAAGCCTATTTGACAATTTTTAATCAAAGCAGCATAAAATTTGGTCCTTAAACAGACGGCTGCATGCCGTTGTTGTTATTACGACAGCCACAGACACAAATTCAGTTATTAAATTTCTTCGCGGTTTATTTTTTAATAATATCTTCGCCTTAATACCTCTGCAATAATCTTTGACTCCAAATTAAACGTCGTCTGTCAGTAGCGAGGTTCAAATTTGACTCCCACTACCGCTACCTTTGAGGAAACATGTGAACCAATCATATGCGAGAACTCTATCAGATTAACCAATCATGAGCGGCGCTATAGGCCAACGAAAGGTAGAGATAATTGTAGTGCAAATTAAAGCTGTACCTTGCTTTCATTTCAACGTTGTAATGTTTCGAGTTTTTTTTACACTTGTCTTATACTTCCTAAAGCCCCCTTAGGTGTTTAGAAACATGAACTTACACGGAGTTTCGAAAAAAGACGAAATGAGTTAAATTGCTAAAAATCCTCAAGTCGTTCCTGGACAATTCTTGTAACTGGTCATTCCTGTAACAATGTTGTGTTGTGCAACGATAATCATGGTTGTCAGCAAACTTGTTACAACTCGGGTAGCCTGTCGGGGTCGTAACAAAAGTTGTATCGAAAAATATTTTGACATGTCCAAAAACTATTCAAATATCTCAGGGATATATTTATGCATTGTAGTCCAAAGGCTGAGTGAAACATTGAAAGGAATGAGAAAAGGGAACATAATTCTGATGGTACACTAAATAAAGCAAATTTTAAAAAGTGCACGGTTCCGCGGCCTTTTGTGAGATGGGTGTTCAAATTGGTTTCGAATACATGGCGAACTTTGGGGGCATTCTGCGTAATTCCCTAATAAAAATATATCTTTTAAAAGAAACTTCATGTAAAAATTGGAGAATTCTTGACGAGAACTTTAAAGTTAAAAGCATCCTAATTAAAACTAAAACTAAGTTCAATAGGACAAAATGTTTGTTCAGGTATGAAATAATTTCAGTGTGATAGATCAAAATATTTTCTAAATACAATTGCATCTTTCGATTCTAAAATTAGATTTTTCTTTCATTTCATTGTCGGTATTCCTTACAGCATGCATTTGAGGTTGGGTTTTTTTTTATCTCAGTTAAATATAAATAATATACATCTAAAGAACCCGAGTTGTGAGGTTTTGAAATTTTAATGTTTTTTCAGCTTTGTTAAATTCTTATTACTCGGTTTTTCCTTTTGCGTCGCCACTTTACGAAAATCACGCGCGGGCGGCACGAAGTCTTCGAACGAATCGAGATCGTTTCTCACGCGGGTGTCACGAACATGCCATAACATCAAAAATTAGGCGTTACAAGCTCAAGCGAAATAACTGTAGCCCGAGTGAACGCCTGAGCAGGCGTCTTGTTCATCTAAAAAACGGCTTGTTGCACGAAATGTATTAATATTATTTCGAGTAAAAGAAGTTATAAATTATCATTAAATATTCAAAAGGTATTTTATTATATATAAACTTTGAGCATCGTGCATGCCTCGGGCCAACTATATTTATTTACCGGCTAAAATTTTACCTGACATGCACACAATGTTAATAATTAATGGTTTTAAAACATGTTTGGCTAAGGAAAGCAAATTTGATTGAAATGACACCACATTCAAGGGGACAGAATCCATGATAGCAAGAATTTATGAAAGCAAATTCTTTGGTATAATCGATGTTGGGTCAGATCACGTAATGCACATAAAATGAGGCGGTCGTTGAATTCTCGCACGTTCAGCTATATAAAAAAGATCTTTCAAAGCAGCTATATCAAAAAGATCTTTCAAAGCAGTTATATCAAAAAGATAGGAGACTTAGTAAATTGTTTTATGTACAGCTAGGGTAAATTTGGGAGTGCTTTATGATTAAAAGTAAATCATAGGAATTGATTAATTTTTTCCAGAGCTCTTTATTGGCAGATAAAATGAACGCATAGTCGACATAGCTAAATTTAACTATGCTTTGCATTTTTTACTTAAACTATAGAAGCGAAAACGATTGATTAAAATATTGAAACTGGTTGCTTGTGCAACAAAACCTTACTAAATTTTACATGTTGGATGTAATTCTCGGGGAATTGCTATTCAAATCGTCTTCATATTGTGTTGTGATCATAAAATGAATCATGTATTCGTGTGAATGTGTGGTTTTCTATGTACAAATATATATCTTAGAAATTTCCATTAAAATCGTCTTCGACATCCATTCGTATGCTATCAAGGAAACTTGAATTTCTTTTCTTCATTTGTTTCCGTTGTTTTTCATATAATTTCTTTTTCTCCTGCGAAGATTACAGAAAACCAAGAAGAGGAAATAATCAGATCTCACAAAAATCAGAAACGTCAATCAAAGCGGCCATCACCAAAAAGCAGTGAACGAATTGATTACCTCTTTGGTCATTATGGAGTCTGTTCTATTCATTGCGTTAACACCATCGTCACTTCGGGCTGATCCCGGGCGCCGGCCTGAACCGGGTCGGCCGCCTGATGCGGGTCGTAAGCCCGAAGGTGGCCGCTGTGCAGAAGTGGACGAGGCTTCTTTGTCCTGAATGGTTTGACACATATAAGCCTTCTTTAAAAAACCCCCCTACGAGAAGGCCCTTAATTTATCCAGCTCAGAAACGCCAATTCAAACAGTAAATGGCGAGGGCGCTAAATGATTTTGCCAGCGCATTAAAACTATTAGTATGATATGTAACTATCAGTACGATAATTTATGTAACTATCAGTATGATATCAGTACGACTTATTTTGTCTATATGGAAGATATCACATTGGGTATAATGCTACACAAAAGAATACGAGTGTGCATGAGGCAGGGGGTGTACATGTATGTACCTATATAGTACATGAAAACATATCCATGGATACCTCTCGACATACCTGAACATCATCATCATCATTATCATCATCATCATTGTCACTGACCCAATTTTCCTGATCATTTTCTAATACCTCTTCATCATTATCTGTCACTTTTTTTGAAGAATCAACAGTTTCACTCGTTACAGATTCGGTACTGTATAAGAAATGAGAATGTGTGCATCAGGTGTAATATCCTCAGAAATAAAATCCCTAAATCCTGTCTTCTTTCAAACAATTCTGAATGGTTGCGTCGAAAAGTAGTAGCTAATTCTGCGCAAACTAACATCAAAAACTAAGCATCGTTCCACTTCTACAGTTCAAGAACTAAAGAGAAATCTTACCTTTTTCGTCTTTTTCCTTCATAAGTCAAAAGATGAGATAAAGTACTGTCTGTACGAGTCAGTTCTTTTTCTATCGGTGAATAAACAAAATTATATTGAGACACTTAAACTTCCAGACAAATTTCATACAGAATGTGCAGTTAAATGCGTGACTTACTGAAGGACTTTAATAACTTGGCAACATCTTCATAGCAGTATTCCTATGTAAAAAAAAGGATTTACAATTATCACGTAAACTATGCTGATTAATTTTACACCAAACTGTACAATTAAATTAACGACATAATTTAGAAAATGACACAGTACAATAATTCACAACTTCATCAAATGCAAACCTCAGCAATATCGCCTGGAGTTCGATCATTCACATCTTTCACGTCGTGTCTAGCTCGATTAGCGAGCAACCACTTCACACATTCCACGTGTCCACTAGAAATAGTACATTTTTATCAAGTCACTAGTGATTACAAGTCGATTGGTATTTTTATTTGCCGGTTGTGCAACTGATGTCACAACTGTATGTAATTGTCTAAGCTGTATGATACATAGTAGACTTGCTACAAGTCGACTCCTTAAAACCACACGAGAGTTTGAGCGACCAAGTTGTAGCAAGTCTAGATACATATAGGTAAGTGAAGTTTGTATACGACATAGTTTACCTCATAGCAGCGAGGTGTAGAGGTGTGTACTCATCAATAGTGCGACAACTGATTTCAGCACCCAGTGCAAATAAAACCTAAATGGTGAAAGAAAATCACTTTTGCTACATGCGTATTTTTCCTTTTATTGGATGAGAATAAGCAACCATTATTGATAGCCAAAACATTGCAGTAAAAATTGCAGGGTTAATGGCCTTAGAAGAGTCGATTTCTGTAGTAAAATAGGCAGATGGTATACTGATTCAAACAACAACACGAGCAACATTACAGGGCATAATTTTTTAAGGAACAATTAAATGGCAATAAAAGTAATGACGTGATCACTCACCATCATACAATTCACGTGGCCATTCATAGCAGCGAGATGCATGCTGGTATATCCAGTTGGTGTCTCTTGCTCTAAGTTTCCTCCACTGACGGCAATAAGTTTTACGCACTCCAGCTGCCCAGACGCACAACCGACATGAAGTGGAATCCAACCCTTTTCGTCGGTTTGGTCTTTCAGAGATGGGTTGTGTTGAATCAGTTCATGTACCCTGTCAGTATCCCCAGTTGACACCGCGACATGAAGTGATGGACCTATGAAATGGAGGAGTAATGAGTAACACGAACTTTATAGTTAATGCATGATAAAATAGTTACTGGTCAGGGGCCGGTTGTACGAGAGCCGGCTAGCCCTATCTTTTGGATGATGGTTTGTTGAATTGCTGCAAGATTACCATCAGTTTTACCTGGATTAAACCTCTCTCAAATTTGATATTAATGCTGGTAACACCGTAAACATTCATGGTGAAATAGTCTTTGAGATAGTCTTTACCTTTTCTCATAATATATTCTTCATCATCTTCATCATCTTCATAATTATCGCTGGCCTGTTCATCTTCTTTGTGCATTTCTTTTTCGTGTTCAGTTGCTCTTACGCCAGCAAGAAATCCTGCCATGTAATCTTTATTCGACTCTTCATCTGATTTAACATCAGTTTTCACGCTCTGCATAACAAAGAAAACCAGAAAACAGTTGATGATATAACTCAATATTTACAATACATTAAAAGTCTTCATTTAATTAAAGATTGCGAGGCTAGATAAGTGTATTGTATATATCTACCTCTTGGTTACTTTGTTTATCAGCACTCTCTTGTTCGTCCTTACTATCGGTTTCATTATCAACTCTTTTTTCTTTTGCCGACTCTTTTCCATCCTCCACCTTGTCATGTTTCAAGCTTGTTAAAGATGAGTTAGGTGAACTCTCTGGCGAACTGGAGTGATCTGAATCATCTTTTTCTCGGGTTTCCTCATCCTTCACACCCAAGTCATAGTGGATTGGTTCACATTTATCTGAACCAGCCGACCAAAAATCTTCTTCTTTCCTTTTCTCGGAACTCTCTTCCTTCGAGCTTTTACGCTCTGAATCTTTCTTCAAAACGTTTTCTTTTTTAGAATTCTTATCAATGAAAATCTTTTCCTCTGATTGCCTATCGGAACCTTTCTCCTCGGAACTCTTACCCTTCGAATTTTTATCGTCTGAGTTTATGCCCTCCGAATTTTTTACTTCAGAATTTTTTTTCCTTTCTTCGTCATCAGAAACTTCACTGGGAGATTTTTCACTCCCGGATCTTTTACCTGCATTCTCATCCTCTGTATCTGAGCTGCTGTAATCAGATTTTTCTAAACTACTTGCATACTCATCTTCGGAGTTCTTCGTTACGTCATCGTGATCATCCGAGTCGTGTTCTTTCTTTGTGTTTTCTCCTTCAAACGAAACCGTTTTCTTGCGTGTTTCATGGTGTTTTCCAGTTCTTTCCTTTTGAGAGGCCTTGGGGCTTCCTTTTCGATTGTTTTCTGAAGTTTGACTATCTCTATCTGACGAATAACGTTGCTTTTTGTCATCGCTGGATTCCGACGAGTAGCTAGCATCGGATTCATCATCTGATGAGCCCAGTGCTTGGCTTGTGTATTCGTCTATCTTGTTATTTAGTTCTGGTTCTGCAGAGGAAAGAAAAGTGAATTAAATCATAGAAATAGAATCATGAATCTAGACTCTCTAGCTAACTCTTTAACTTTGGTTGATGATAGCCCTGAATAACTTTGGTACAGGGGCGCAAATTTTACTCTTTCAGAGGGAGGGGGGTGACGTTGTATTTTCCACAACTAACATCTTTACGTTTAAAAAGTGTTGAACGTGTTTACTTTGAGTTAGATTCCTAGGGGCATCATCCCAAAACAACACCTGAGAACAGTAAATATTATACAAACCTGAGATAAGTTCTGAGACAGAAACGTCGCGCACAATTTGCCCGTCGTCTTTTTGTGCAGAGAACCATCTTTGACATGAGAATTCAAAGACACGATTCTCCTTTTTGCCCTCGCTGATGTAAATCTTTTCAAGGAACCAACCATGCTCTTAAAATATCGTGTAGATAAATATGCTGTTAATAGGAGTCGCAAATGAACATTTACATTATTTCTCTGACCATTAATTGTTTTCCAAACTTTTTTAAAATCTATGGAGATTCTTTGACATTTTAAAAATTAAAGCCTGACAATGTCTCACCTGGCGATGTCTTGGTATGCCCAATCCGAATGTTATGTAGTTCTCCCAAGTACAAAGAATCGATGGGGAAAATATCAACCTACAAAATGAAGAAATTTACGATGTGACAGATGTGCAATTATTAAAGATTATGATTAAAGGACGTGGAAAATGTTAAAAAGTGGTTCTTCAGCAACATCAAGATTTATCTAAGAACTGGGCGGTTTCATATCATTAACAGTGGCCAATTGTTTGTGGATTATAGATTGTGAAATATTCACCTGTCCTCTGCAAAACCTGCGTGGATGATTCATTGATTTGAGCAGCGGTCGTTCACCGGAAGAGCCGTGTTCTCCAAATAAGGTCAATTTTATATCCGCCTCGGTACCAGCTCCCCGACAATCCCCAGTCACAATATAAACCTCATATGTCAAGGCTACATGATAGTGTAAGAAAAGGAGTAAGTACACTATAAAAGAGGGCATTTAAATACTTTTTCAATGTGCCTGCATTTGAAGTATTCAGGCTGATACAAAAGTTGATAATGAGAAGAATATATGCAAGAAAAAAGCCAAAAAATACATGCACCTTGAAGGTACAGTAGACGACGTGCTACCTCAAGAGGAAGCTTTGTTTAAGGTAAGGTGGATATTGGACGGGGGGGACTATCGAAACGTTGGGTTGTGAAAACAATCGACTGATTTAAAAAACGTAATTTAGCAAAAGCTGACGTGCTGTAAGTATTCGACAGAACTTACTGCGAATTCGTACACCGTTTAGCTTTGGAGATCTTTTGTAAAATAATCTCTGGTCATTATTCGCCATATTGCGTTCATCTTCAGAGCTTGCCATGTACGAGTTCACCATCTTCTTGTCTTAAATGAAAGTACCCGTTTGAGCGGAGAAACCTCATCGTATAACACACACGAAACATAGCCGACTACATTCTAAAAGTCTGTCTTGGGGCAGTCGGAGTCACAGCTCCTCTTAACCCCCGTCAACTCTCGCTAAGGATTCCCATCAACCTCGTTCCCAGGGTCTTTACTCGTGGGGGGGGGGAGAAAACCCGAGGTACGAGGTTGGATCTGCACCCACTAAAGGGTGACAATAAGTGGCTCAACTTGCTATCAGAACCCCTCTATGCATTTGTCACGTTGATAAACGCCAATTATCATGCGGCTTGTATTTTTTACTCTTATAAACAAACCTTATTTTCTTACCATTTATATATCCATTGTTTTTTGACGTTTTACCATAACGGGCACTGTGAGGACGATAAGGCGGATGTTGGAGACTCGGTTCTAGTGGCTTCTTGCGAACTGATTTTCCATCTTTGGCCGGTCCTTGTTGGTAGGGCGAGACAGATTCCTTCTTCTTAGAACCCTTGCGATGGCTAACTTGCAGGTTTCTGGGTATAAAAAGATGATTAATGATCGATAACTACGAATAAAGTAATTTTGACAGCTTCACTGCAAAAATACGCCATAAACGACTGTTCTATACGTAGCGACCCTAACCCTAACTCTAACCCTGAATATAACTAGTTTTACGTTCAACCCAGACATAATGAACTGTACTGTGCTGGGTTTTTAATACAATTGCGTACACTCACAGAAAGTTTTTATCAACTTACCGATAATCACTTGTGTCAGATTGAACAGAATTGTTTGAAGACTTTGAAGACGTTTTCTTATGTACGCCTGCGTCAGCAGAGGAAGCTCTTGGAGGTGTCCATCTGGTCAGGGGATGACCGGCTCGCTAGAAACACGGTAGAGTGAAAACTAAGGTTACTAAATGTTATGATTTTAACGATGAGTAAATGTGAATTCCTCCAGCGTGATCCTTGGTCACACATATATCCCGTATTCCCACCCTCGTTCCAAAGTTTTTCGCGTACTCAGCGTGTGCCTTTTGGGAACGAGAATGCCTGTATCAGCCTTGTTCAGTAGTTAAGTATCATAGTTTAAGTTAACAGGAAAATGAGAATCAAATGGTCAAATCTTTCAACGAGTGATACACGACTACAGCATACACTTGACTCAGAGCATGGCTATAAGACACCCTTGAGCGATATAATGTGCATATTTCATCATGTAATTATCATCTTGTATCTACATATAGTTCTTACAGAAGGTGGTCTTGGATGTCTTCTTGCACTAATTTCTGTGTCTAAAAAATACATCCAAATACTAATTATTGTCATTTTTTTCAAAACTAAGCAAGTGAATAAAAAACAGCGCATACACTCTAAAGTTGAGAAAGGTGTGCATGTACCACCAAAGTGCATACACCCTTTTAGAGGGGCGTACCTGAGCTTTCGCCAGTATAACTTTGCAGGTCTATTTGAGAACTATCACACTGGAGAAAAATATCAAATAACTTCGTTTCAGGTTTAATCTCGAGACAGTTTTACATATCAACGTTTCACATCCAAGTCATTCAATCTTAGAGAGATCAGTGCTAAAACAAGTGATTTTTTACCGTTGATGTTTCGCCCGCTGTTCGTGAGTATCGGTTGCCTGGCAACGCAGAAGTTTCCTTTAAGAAAAAAAGTGGCAGCCAGTATGTTAGGACGCAGCTGTAAGCATATTGATAACAAATACTTCGGATAGATTGTAAACACATGATTTATGCATGAAAATCGTCGAGAACTTACAGTAGCTGCGATCAATCGTGCAGCCATGTTCACCAGACGTTCATGTTCGTTCTTGCTGACAAAATGAGGTGGTGATCTTCTAACAGCTTTCCGAGGTTTACCGATACTATCAGGCTTCACTTTCCTGGTAAAGAACATACACAGGATATCAGCACTGCCTACATCCTAACTTAGCCACAAAACAAGGAGTTTGGCTTTCTGATATCCAATATCCATATCAATTAGTATTACAAAATGGAAACTTTTTTTTCGTTCAAGCAGTTCTTAATGTACTGTATGTACATCTCCAGCGTATGTACTGGTGAACGAATCTCACAATAACAGCCTGTGGTTTCCAGCGTTTGTGAAGAAAATATCGAACTCGTTATATGATGACTGGCTAAATCTGTTATAGAATTACACTCTGAGTGGTGTAAGTGGCTATATGCAATTTTACTGGGAACAAAATACACAAGCCATCTTTATCAAAGTCATTTTTTCGCATCATCTTCTTGATATGATAAATTACACAAAAAGAGGGGAAAACAGTGGCACAGAGTATGGAGTAATTCAGAGAGTGGAAACTTCTCAGCCTTGAACATGACCATGCAGTTTCTCCCAGTCTCTTCTCCCCTTAAAACGAAGTTGATTTTACTCTATGTACCTTTGCTTTGATCCCTTTTTTGTTTTTAAATATTCATCAACACTAATCAGAGCTCGAGGTCTACGTCTAACTGGCGCACTTTGTTTCCTCACACCGCTGAGATATGGCGACTCCGGGTCAGAGGTTAACTTATAATTTCGTTTGGACATTTCAACATCCAGGATTTGTCGTATTTCATTCTCGCGGTAGGCCTTTCCCGAGGACGTGGTCATTTTACCAACTTTTTGTTTGACTTCCGGATCTCGGAAATAATGTTTTAGACTCCGATCATGAATACCATCATATGCTAGTGTGGGACCCTGAGGGAAATAGAGATTAAGTAAATATACAGCTTTGCTGAAAAGAGAACTGTCAACCAATACAAAGACAAATCTGCAATGTCACAAATGCTAACATAGATTGCACAGTCTGCACCAAAAGGGATGTTGATCTTGCCCTAACTCCAAATATTGTGTATTACATTGACCATCTGTGTACTGTAATCATATTGATTAGTAAAAGAACTGAAAGAGGATTTGTAATTACTGCATGGATATTAAAATACTTACAGGTCTATGTGGCATTGGTTCCTGTGGGGGTAAATATGGTCCAGTAAGATCAAATGCATCTTCTCTCCTTTTTATATCAACATAATACTTCCTAAATTTTAAAATTTACACAATATTGTCTCAAAACGTTTAAAATGAACATGTTTTGCCAGCTGATATAACTAAATAATTAACATCAAGTTTTGTATTGGCTGAATATAATTTCCACTAAGTATGGCCTGCAAAACCCAGTAGATATGCTAATTTAAGCTGGCACTTATGAGTGAGACATAACTTGTTACGACAACATACTGCAGGCTTTTGAAAATTCAACAAATAAAATTCAACAAAAGTCTTAATATACTTTTTGCATTTTGTTAATAAGCCAAATCATTTGCAGCTGCAAGTCTGCAGCTAAGATATTTAACCAGATATTTAATTAAAATATCTCAAAAATAAGATGAAGTTTCCCAGCTTGAAAATACTTGTATATATCAAAGGTTAAATATATCAATAATCATAGGCACCATTTTAGATTAAAATCTGCTTTTGAGATAAAGAGAAACATCAAAACCCTTCAGAGTATTTATCAGTGGAGAAGATATATATACAGCTAAATATTATGCCATGTAAGAATAATATATTAATATTAGCAATGCCTATTTGTTGATGTCTTAAAACAGGTTGGAGACAAACTGTCTGGCAGCTCATAATTATCAGTTAACCTTGTCAGAGGTTTCCTGCTGCCATTGGTATAACAAGAAAAATTTAATGGCAGCAATATAAACAAATGAGACATGAAGAGGTTGAATCAAGTCAAATATACACATGTAAATATACTTAAAGGAGGGCACTATTTTGCCAGCTGAAAAGTGTCAAAAAAATTAAACATGGATGCAATATCATGGTTTTAGTTATCAAAAATATTTGGACTAAATTTCAACAAGAATCCAAAAATGCAACTTATAATTTATTGTAATATATTAAGCAATATATTGTCTGACATTTGCCCCTTTACAGAGTGGCATCAGTAATGATACAAAGCATTAGAATTATTCCAAACTTAGCCTGCTGATTCTGTTAATAGTTAAATTAGGAAAAAGAAAACAGGACAAAATGTCAAATTTTTGGGCCTGCATGGAGCCACACACGCCAAAGAATATTCTCTTGGAATGAAATAAATCTTATAATTTACCAAATGTCAAAAAATACTCACAATTTCTTTGCTACAGCCTTTGTTACGGATTGAGAACCCATCAAGTCCAACGATTACCTAAAGGAAGACAGAATAACATCAAAATAAGGTACAATTTTCCAACATTTGAAGACAAAAATGGCTGGAGATATGTTTTAAAACATTATTTCTTAAGTGTTTCCATTGACCTACCTTAGAAAACTCAACGGTTTCGAATTAAAGGATTATTGAGTCTCGCGTTTGATTACATTCATATGTGTTTCTTGGCGATAAAAACTTGCTCTTGTTTCTTTAATGAAATGCAAAGCATAAATAAATCCATTTCTTGTCGCCATGATACAAGCGAGCATGACAACACTGACCAATGTTTCCACATCCAAATTTAAAAAATCCTTCTTTTGATCCCTAAAATTCCTTTTTTTCTGCAGAAATTCCTTGCAGGCACAGATAAAAATTATTGCGCATTTTTCGCTTTTTTACTACACTTTTTACGAATCGGAATCATCCATATTTATGACATGATTAAAATTTAAAATCGTTTGTACTTACAGTGTCAGTGAAGTGGGCAGCGAAAGTGAGTGGACTTTGACCGACCCCCGAACACACTGAACTATATTGAACTATATGCACAATTTGCACACGGGAAAACACGGGAATAATCAGTAAGACCAAGTTAGAGTTACGTGTATTGTGCGTATTAGGATTGTGATTCATGTTTTTGTTCCGAAAGCCTCTCATATTTACAAAAGCCGGTTTATGTTACTTTACTTTTTTACTATTTTACAAGATATTATGAGTATCCTTGCAATATCCATAGAGAAGATAATTTTTCCTTGCAAATTCCTTGTGTTTTTCAATTCCTTGCATTTTTCCTTACAAAGGGCTAAAATTCCTTTTGCATGGAAAAATCCATGCAAGTGGAAACGCTGACACTGACGCCCGCATTACATCCAGGCAGTGACTCACAGCGATACGCACGCGCAGGATAAGACATTTTACATTTCGCCCGATTTCGCCCGACAAATATTTCCCGCCAAGTGGTGCCACCAGCTTGAAGGACCTGGAGGCACGCGCTGCTGCCGAAATTTTTTTTTCGATTTCTAGTTTGAGAGCTTAGCCACAAAATATTGGCAAACATGGCTATATGTTATGTGCAAGAGCTTCATGCTTCAATCAAATTCTATTTCATTGTATCAAATCAGTCCTATGACTGAATGTCTACATGAAAGCTGTCGCACTGGGGGTCGAGAGAGCTTCGTTGCGTGCGGGATAAAGAGATTTAAATTGTCGATAAATGCTCCGAAAACAGCAACAAAACTAGACAGTACTAGTACTAGTACTGCGGATGGCAATGCTCATATAACATTTCCATCTTATCAGATCAACATTTAAAAGGATATATCACATATGCTATTGTCTTTCGGTTTTATTTCAACGGTTCATGTTACAATTAAATATTCAACTGTCCGATGTTTTATTTTAATTCCACATTAAAATTTAGTGGTTTGTGCCGTGATGACGTAGCGTTAGATTTGCATCTAAATAAAGTCACTATAACAACCAAATGGGCACAAGAATACACATCAAGCGTTTACACCTTCCACTACTTCAGGCCAAAGGCCTTCAAACCCTGAACAGATAAGAGATATTTTTCAATAGTCTAGATTTCTATCGATTGCTGTGTATACGTAGCTACGTGCCAAAATAATTCGAGCACTGAACGGTTTATAAAAGTTCACTCATTGTAAAACCTCGACGCATTCAGTAGTATTATTTAAGCGAAAAGTAAAGAAATTTATAAAGCGCTGAATATGGTTTTACTGCTTTCTCATCGTAAGCTTTGGTTTTCTGGTCCTGGTAGTTTCCACTTAATCCCATTTTGTCTCGCAACCAACAGCAACAGAAACAACAACAGCAATCGTCTAGAAAAATAAAAATGTTCCTCATAACATATTGATCTCAATACCTGAGGTGAGATCTACATAATCCAAGTCATCAATATAGGAAAGTTATTTCCCTTGTTGCTCGAAATTGATAAATTGCGGTGGAGGGTGCATTTGAAAGATCAGTTTCAACTCACCGAGTCCATTTTCGCCTTCCAATAATTCTCCATGTTTTGGAATAAGAGATGACAAGGAATTGTCAAACTCTACACTAACTGTTGGCAGATTCAGTTCTTCCGGGTTTTTTATCAGTGATTTTGTAGCACTTTGAATGCGAGCCATGTAGTTGGGTTGTTCACGTGCTACCTTCTCTGGCTCGTCATTTAACAGCTGTTCACCTACATGGAAAAATCGTAAAACAAAGTTCGTTTGTAAAATGAAAATGAGGATCAGTAAGAGTCGCATCGATTCCTGTCGTCAGTCTAGACCAAAGCTTTCAAAGATTTTATTTCACTGACAAGTCAACTTTGCTACAACACAATTTCTGATTCCTATTTTTTTTATTTTACGTATCGCTATAAAAATTGCTTAAGTATATAATTTCGGACACTTTTACCTGTAGTTTTTTAAGTCAGGAATACTTCTATGCTTTTGAGAATTTCAAAATCTAACTGTAAATTTATTTCTGACTACCACATTGAAATAGTTAACGGTGTATGTGTTTTATGACACGTAGCAAATTTTAAAATTTACACAATATTGTCTCAAAACGTTTAAAATGAACATGTTTTGCCAGCTGATATAACTAAATAATTAACATCAAGTTTTGTATTGGCTGAATATAATTTCCACTAAGTATGGCCTGCAAAACCCAGTAGATATGCTAATTTAAGCTGGCACTTATGAGTGAGACATAACTTGTTACGACAACATACTGCAGGCTTTTGAAAATTCAACAAATAAAATTCAACAAAAGTCTTAATATACTTTTTGCATTTTGTTAATAAGCCAAATCATTTGCAGCTGCAAGTCTGCAGCTAAGATATTTAACCAGATATTTAATTAAAATATCTCAAAAATAAGATGAAGTTTCCCAGCTTGAAAATACTTGTATATATCAAAGGTTAAATATATCAATAATCATAGGCACCATTTTAGATTAAAATCTGCTTTTGAGATAAAGAGAAACATCAAAACCCTTCAGAGTATTTATCAGTGGAGAAGATATATATACAGCTAAATATTATGCCATGTAAGAATAATATATTAATATTAGCAATGCCTATTTGTTGATGTCTTAAAACAGGTTGGAGACAAACTGTCTGGCAGCTCATAATTATCAGTTAACCTTGTCAGAGGTTTCCTGCTGCCATTGGTATAACAAGAAAAATTTAATGGCAGCAATATAAACAAATGAGACATGAAGAGGTTGAATCAAGTCAAATATACACATGTAAATATACTTAAAGGAGGGCACTATTTTGCCAGCTGAAAAGTGTCAAAAAAATTAAACATGGATGCAATATCATGGTTTTAGTTATCAAAAATATTTGGACTAAATTTCAACAAGAATCCAAAAATGCAACTTATAATTTATTGTAATATATTAAGCAATATATTGTCTGACATTTGCCCCTTTACAGAGTGGCATCAGTAATGATACAAAGCATTAGAATTATTCCAAACTTAGCCTGCTGATTCTGTTAATAGTTAAATTAGGAAAAAGAAAACAGGACAAAATGTCAAATTTTTGGGCCTGCATGGAGCCACACACGCCAAAGAATATTCTCTTGGAATGAAATAAATCTTATAATTTACCAAATGTCAAAAAATACTCACAATTTCTTTGCTACAGCCTTTGTTACGGATTGAGAACCCATCAAGTCCAACGATTACCTAAAGGAAGACAGAATAACATCAAAATAAGGTACAATTTTCCAACATTTGAAGACAAAAATGGCTGGAGATATGTTTTAAAACATTATTTCTTAAGTGTTTCCATTGACCTACCTTAGAAAACTCAACGGTTTCGAATTAAAGGATTATTGAGTCTCGCGTTTGATTACATTCATATGTGTTTCTTGGCGATAAAAACTTGCTCTTGTTTCTTTAATGAAATGCAAAGCATAAATAAATCCATTTCTTGTCGCCATGATACAAGCGAGCATGACAACACTGACGCCCGCATTACATCCAGGCAGTGACTCACAGCGATACGCACGCGCAGGATAAGACATTTTACATTTCGCCCGATTTCGCCCGACAAATATTTCCCGCCAAGTGGTGCCACCAGCTTGAAGGACCTGGAGGCACGCGCTGCTGCCGAAATTTTTTTTTCGATTTCTAGTTTGAGAGCTTAGCCACAAAATATTGGCAAACATGGCTATATGTTATGTGCAAGAGCTTCATGCTTCAATCAAATTCTATTTCATTGTATCAAATCAGTCCTATGACTGAATGTCTACATGAAAGCTGTCGCACTGGGGGTCGAGAGAGCTTCGTTGCGTGCGGGATAAAGAGATTTAAATTGTCGATAAATGCTCCGAAAACAGCAACAAAACTAGACAGTACTAGTACTAGTACTGCGGATGGCAATGCTCATATAACATTTCCATCTTATCAGATCAACATTTAAAAGGATATATCACATATGCTATTGTCTTTCGGTTTTATTTCAACGGTTCATGTTACAATTAAATATTCAACTGTCCGATGTTTTATTTTAATTCCACATTAAAATTTAGTGGTTTGTGCCGTGATGACGTAGCGTTAGATTTGCATCTAAATAAAGTCACTATAACAACCAAATGGGCACAAGAATACACATCAAGCGTTTACACCTTCCACTACTTCAGGCCAAAGGCCTTCAAACCCTGAACAGATAAGAGATATTTTTCAATAGTCTAGATTTCTATCGATTGCTGTGTATACGTAGCTACGTGCCAAAATAATTCGAGCACTGAACGGTTTATAAAAGTTCACTCATTGTAAAACCTCGACGCATTCAGTAGTATTATTTAAGCGAAAAGTAAAGAAATTTATAAAGCGCTGAATATGGTTTTACTGCTTTCTCATCGTAAGCTTTGGTTTTCTGGTCCTGGTAGTTTCCACTTAATCCCATTTTGTCTCGCAACCAACAGCAACAGAAACAACAACAGCAATCGTCTAGAAAAATAAAAATGTTCCTCATAACATATTGATCTCAATACCTGAGGTGAGATCTACATAATCCAAGTCATCAATATAGGAAAGTTATTTCCCTTGTTGCTCGAAATTGATAAATTGCGGTGGAGGGTGCATTTGAAAGATCAGTTTCAACTCACCGAGTCCATTTTCGCCTTCCAATAATTCTCCATGTTTTGGAATAAGAGATGACAAGGAATTGTCAAACTCTACACTAACTGTTGGCAGATTCAGTTCTTCCGGGTTTTTTATCAGTGATTTTGTAGCACTTTGAATGCGAGCCATGTAGTTGGGTTGTTCACGTGCTACCTTCTCTGGCTCGTCATTTAACAGCTGTTCACCTGCATGGAAAAATCGTAAAACAAAGTTCGTTTGTAAAATGAAAATGAGGATCAGTAAGAGTCGCATCGATTCCTGTCGTCAGTCTAGACCAAAGCTTTCAAAGATTTTATTTCACTGACAAGTCAACTTTGCTACAACACAATTTCTGATTCCTATTTTTTTTATTTTACGTATCGCTATAAAAATTGCTTAAGTATATAATTTCGGACACTTTTACCTGTAGTTTTTTAAGTCAGGAATACTTCTATGCTTTTGAGAATTTCAAAATCTAACTGTAAATTTATTTCTGACTACCACATTGAAATAGTTAACGGTGTATGTGTTTTATGACACGTAGCAAAATTTCTTGTCAAGAAAATTTCGTACCAAGCAACGTGTTCACTTCGAGACGCATCGCACTGACGTCATAATCCCTAAGAGTTGTCCTTCTGATGCTTACTTGCCTCACAAAAGGAAATGTTTTAGCGAACAGTAAAGCTTCATATGTGTGGAAGCTACGTTTCCTCCCCATTCAAACATGCAATTTTTCTGTATTTTTCAAAATGTTTGTTATGTTAACTTGCCCTTCCAATACCAAATAATATACTCGAAGTGCAAGTGAGCCAAAAGGTCTATATGAAGCATTTTTGATGAACTAAGATGCACAAAACTGTAGTCGGAAACTGTAACGATGTTATCTAAAAACAGTTACCTTCTTCAATGGCAGATTGCAACTTGATACACCTCTCCTTCACTTGATGATATGGTGAATTGACCACAAACAGCTTACTTGTCACGTCAAGATGGCGAATCATTTCCTGCTCTCGTTTAGCCAGGGCTTCTCTTAGGGCATCAAAATGAGCCGTTATTTCCAATTTACAAATCTGTACTGTTGACATAAAAGCTTCTTTCTCCTCTTCGTAGCTTTTTAAAACCTCTTCGTGATAGGAAGCCATCTTTTCCCGAGCTTTGTCGATGCATTTTCGAAGACGGCTTTTATGACGCGTGTCAACGACGTTTTCCAACAAATCGTAACGGTTCGTCGGAAAGTCTTCTTTTACACACAGCAGGCATACGATGGTTTGTTGGGTAAGATCGTAAAACTCCAAAGAATGGCCATGTTTCTTGCAAAGCTCTGGAATTTTTTTAACAGGTTGATGTCCTTCTTTACGCTTGTTTCCATCATGTTCACGGTGAAAACAATCAGTGCAGTAAACGGCTGAACATTGTGGACAATATAGTGTGGCTACCGAGCCATTACAATATTCCAAACAGACTGAACGACTCATTTTAAAAGTCTACATTATATGTTGCATAATATTCCATTGCAATGTTATAGAAATAAGTGCAGAAATATATAGGAGCGTCCGATTACAACAGGTGGTTGGTAGATGCTGTATGTTTGTGCATCGTGATTCGCACAGCAAACAGGTTGTTTTGGTTTTGTACAAGTCAACAATCTGGGTAGACTGCAATAAAGGATATGTATTTATTGCATGTGTCAAATATCTAATACCGTACTAAAGGGCAAGAAATCTGTTCTTTTCTGCCGGCTTCCGTTTTCACAAGAGACACCTCATCGCAAACCGACGATCACACATCTGGTTTTAGAACATCAAAACGTAGGCTCCGTTATAAGGGTCTTTTGTTTACACGGAGAAGAAAGGACCTGGCGAATTTCAAAACCGGTGTTGAAACTTGAAATTCGTCATCCTGACGGATGTCATCGAGGTTTATCATCCGAGATATTTGACGCGACCAATAGTTCATTAGACACTATAATGATATTCTCTCAATAAACCTCGCTCTGCAGAGAGTAGATTCATCACAAAGTGCCGCAAGAAAATGCAGGAAATCAACTTCTGGTTATAGAGACTCAAGAATACAACCCTCCCCAACAATTTGTGTTACACAGTTTTCCCGCCCCCTCTCAACACTAGATGAATAACCTTTATGATAAACGTGAACTCGTCAAAACTATTTTATTGGACTTTTTAATCATGTTCATTTGCAGCATGCATTGATGTACAATTCACCAATCCAATTGCCATATTGTCCACATCTACCATGACATTGTATTTTACTATCCCCAAATGTCGCCTGTTTTATATAATCAGAACTCCCAGCATATATACTGATAGCTCTCATGTGACCGCTACGGCGCGAAAAGCCCACTGGGCACGCCCCACTTGCCAAGATACAATAACTGCCAGATGGCCACTGACCTATATTAGAATTTCAAAAAAATGGAACGAGATTAAGCTGTATGAAGCACACAGTTTTTAACCTAACATGCGGGTACGCTAACTTATATACAGACAACTCAGTATTTAGGAGGGGGGAGGAGGGGTTAACATACCTGCGACCTGTTGGACCCTTGTTTGTAGTTGATTAACGCTGTTTGTGAGCGTGTTCGTTTTCTGGTCGACATTCTGGATGCTAGAGCGAACATTCGATATTTCGGAAGCGTATTTGTTATCTAGCGATGTTAATTGTATTTTTTGACTGGAAACCTTTGTGTATAAATCTAAAAGAAAAAGGGATATCTCAAATGATGAGACGGAAATTGGTCGGTGAAATCATTGTGTTGATGAAAGCGAATTCATAGTCTTTTTTCCCGGCGCTCTTATACATAAAGTTATGGGACATGAGTGGGTCTGCTAACAGCATATATAGACACAAACCTAATTTAGTCGTATTTAACTGATCAATGTCCCTCTCCTGGATCTTTGTGATACTTTGTAAGGACTTCAGTTCGTTCTCTAGTTTTGCAATCTTCTTCGCCTGGTCTGCTACTTTCAAGATGCATTCTGATACGGGATTTGAATGCGAGCCTTCTTGACACGAGAATTTGCTCATTATGTTTGATTGGGCATGGACAAGGTTTGTCAAAATTGCCACTTGTTTTTCCAATTCTTGAATCTGAGCAGTAAAAAATAGAAACTTTAGGTCGTCTTTAGGTCAGAGGATCAACATGGAAGCATGGCCTTCATGTTAGAAAAATAGGTATGGAAAGTAGAAAATTGAATTGGACTGACTCACTAGTTCCGGTATGAAAAACTCAATTCTATAATGATTTTACGCACAGATACTATGGGGTTGAACGATCTACGAGTCATTGGCTTCTATAATTAATGACGGTTTTCACTTTTGGGAGGTTAAATACGTATATAAGACTAATGTTACCCAGTCTGAACGTGCATTGACAAACAGATTTTTGGACGACAGGTATAACTGAGCGTAATGGTGACTAGCTGGCTTCCACCACAGTGAAGAGAGCTTCTCATTGTGTTCGCCTATCTATTCCTATACTGTGTCTTTTTTTTGGATGATTTAATAGATTGCACTTCCATGATATAAACTGTGCAATAAATGCTTTGGCCCAGATCTACCAAACTGCCTTAATTAGGCTTATAAAATCAAATACATCTCACCTTGCTCGTATCAGGCGAAGGCGAAGAGCCCATAGCCTCAGCGACCGCAAGCACAATTAGCAAACACGATAGAAACATTTCTTCTTCTATAACTTGATCTTCTGTCTATCTTCAAGCACTTCTTCTCAGTACGAGATGGTTTAGTGGAGATTTCTAACCTGTAATGACTAAAGCCTCAGCCCTTCTGAGTTTATATATGACGATAGTCACTTAGTCAGTAGCTTATTGTACTTCCGTGTTAAGAATCCATGTGACAAATGATTTTTTGTGTTTGACGTTAAATGCTTCAACGTGCTGGAACGTGCATTAATTACGTCAGTGCCCATTACCTAATTTCGTAATAAATCTCTTTGGAAACTAATAAATAAATTAAAAAATCAATCAAAATTGAAGGTTTACGGTTTTTTAACAAACATTTCTGAAACACGAATAATCTGAGGTGAATCTGAGGTAATCTTGTGTTTGTGTCAGTGGCGTAGCCAGCCCAACAATTTAGTCATGCTATGCTAATATTTTGGTTTTCATTGACTGTGAAAACAATGAATTGCTAAAGACATGATAATGATAACATAAAATTTGCATAGCACGACTAAATTGTCAGGCTGGCTACGCCACTGGCACTGGTTTGGCTGGCTACGCCACTGGCATTAAACCAGTGGCACTGGTTTGTGTACCAGATAAGAATATCGGAATACAAGTTGTTGGTTGCACAAGCCATTGCATGCATGAAAATCCGCACGAAATTTTACGGTGCCGGGTGCCCTATGGTGGTGCGGAAAAGAGTATTTCCTACGCCACTTAAGAGGAAACCACTATATTAAAAAATTTAACTCTATGCTGAAACGCGTTGCCGAATGACGTCCGGTCGTGTTTTGAACGAAAATTCACGCTATTTCCTCTTTGCTGGAAAGTGGGAAGTAATGATTGTGATATTAGAATTTCAAAAAAATGGAACGGGATTAAGCTGTATGAAGCACACAGTTTTTAACCTAACACAGTAACACGCGGGTACGCTAACTTATATAATTCAGGAAAAAACTCTTCTTTTGTATTAGGAGGGGGGAGTTAACATACCTGTTAGATGTTAGAGCGAGCATTCAATACTTCGGAAGCGTATTTGTTATCTAGCGATGTAATAACATAAAATTTGCATAGCAGGACTAAATCGTCAGGCTAGCTTCGCCACTGGTTTGTGTACCAGATAAGAATCGGAATATTCCCTATGCCACTTAAGAAGAGGAAACCTATGAGGAAACTATGCTGAAACGCGTTGCCGAATGACGTCCAGACGTCTTTTGAACGGAAATTCACACTATTTCCTCCTTGCTGGAAAGTAATGATTGTGTTCGTTGCTCACACTCCGTTTAGGTACACATTATAGTGTATAATGAAAATAGGAAGACAAGAAAAAATTGTAACTGAACTTTACTATTTTACAAATAAATATAAACTAGTATAAGTAATTAGTATATTATTTTATAGTATGCCAGGAAAACAGACATCATAACCTAGCAATTCTATACAGTTTCGCCTCATCTTATAACAGCAGCTAAGCATGGCAGCAACAAAGGACATATATTTCGTCGTTTTTAGACATCAGTCCATGCTTAAATCTGCTGTAACTAACCAATTAAGATTTACCTATTGCTTGAAAACAATGATTTTTTCTACGATTCCTCAAATTTCCTGCTGTACCTAATTATTGTATACTCGTGACGAATCAAAGATGTGCTGAGGTCAGAAGAGTTCCAATTTCGTCAAAACTTCGTTGAACAGCTTCTCCCATTTTCACTGAGTCGGTCTGTGCGTTGCTGTTGAATGCAGTTACTGTGTATCGCACACAGTTACTCTGGGGATTATAACAAATTCCATAGCCATCTGGAACGACTGGCCCAAAGCAGGCGACTATGTCATACTTTGAACCAATCTAACGAAAAGTGGTCTAGATCAGGGATAGTTCTAGTCTAATCTTGTCCGAGAGTGGGGATGAATGCGCTGGTGGGAGGTGATCTTAAAACAGTGAATAGGCATTGAACCTAGCCAAAGGCGCTTCATAATCGCAGGTTCCCCCCAAAATAGTCATTGTACTGTTTGTACATAGTCATTGTGTGTTTAATTGAACGATATTTCCGACGTTTCACCAAACACAACATACCTGACTAGTTGACATGTTAAAATGCAAAGCATGTTTGAAGGTTTTGTCCATAAAGAACTCTGGAAGATCCATTCCGGACTCAACCGCTATCATTTTTAAACCAAAGAAATGACGATCAAATGCCTCACCATTACATGCCTGAAACGTAAGGCAAATTGAAAATATTTCTATTAAAATGTCTTGAGGACTTTTCAAAATCATGCATTCCGAATAACCTAACCTGTACATACCCACTGAACTAACTAATTCCACCTGGTAATACGGGAAAGGGAAAACAAAGGGGTTTGACAGAAGTTACACATTTTACAAAAGTTACACCTTTAATATTGTTGGCCTACCTCCTTTGTGTACTTTGTGTGAGCCTGAACAGCAGTACGGAATAAATGCACCAACTCCGCCTTCTTAAAAGCAAATATTCAACCACGTTTTTACGTCAGAATTTAAGATAAAACGCTTCTATCAAACCGAATCATAATCATATTAAATTTGTAAAATATAACAGATTAAAAATAAAGGTTTATATAGTTCTTACCGACTTTTCAGAAGCCACCATTGCTTCCACAAAGGCTTTAGATGTCATTGACGCAGTTCGGATCGTGTCTGTTCGACCTAGTTGAAATTTTCGCGTTGCAGCACTTTCATAAGTTGGTGGAATTTGTCGATGAAGTCTGTCAAGATATATGTACAGTATTATATTCACACCTGTGTTTGGGCAAGGTTGAAAAGAATACTTGCATGTGTGCTCCCACAAATCACTAGGTTTCATGCATTAGTAGAAACTGATATCCCATATCCTAACACTCCTTCTCAACGTTCTCAGTTTCAAGTCCCAGTTCACCTAACATGTGTCTTTCATTATCTGTATGTCGTTCCGTATGACAACAGGAGTAAACTTAGTGGTAAAGACATAATATTTTTCGCGAACTGAAGTCATTTATTAGAAGGCCTATACATAGTTATCTAAAATACCCATATACCTGTAGTAAGCTAAGTGCATGATGAGTTGAATAAACGCATCTGGGCTCATCTTATTTTTCTTCGCCATTTCTTTACCATAACCTCGGTATATGAAGGACTTGAGTTGAACATCGTCTACCAAACTATTTGAAAGTGTTTTAGCTGGGAGGAAAACCAGTGTTTCTTTAGAGGTACTGTAAGGGTAAGCTAGCTAGCAGCCTAATCAAATCTTCCAGGCCTGTTTTCTTCAATGAAGTATTTACGTAGCTTTTCGTACACGGTACACCTTCCCTCGCTATTACTTTATTTAGCTAAAAAAAGGGCTTACCTGTCCAGACGCTCAATTGCTATATTAATATCCTCAATGTTATCAGGATGCATGTTCCATTCTAACTTCACAGGAGCTTCTAAATTACCCGCTGGACTTGGCTGGATATCACGGAAGTTTCTGCAAAAAAGTCATACAAAGAAAGGACAATGTATTATTACTTTACTGTTATGACTAGGCTGTGATAGATACAAAGACTAGCGCGTATTTCGACCTAAATACGCAGTTTTCTGATATTATAACCTCGTATGTATATATGTAGACCAGTCCGAATCTAATTAAACTGAGCTTCCGGTAGAGAAAACTTTGGAATAGCATAGGAGTTCCAACATATGTTATCAAAGTAAGTTTATATACACCTACCCTGCATGTCCAAGGATATGATTGGAAAGAGCAACAATGGGGGGACCTTCAGCAGCAGAATGTTCATAACATACCCCTACGTGTCCATCCGTACCCACGACTAACTGCACAAGGAAATAAAAAACGTCGATCACACCTGGAATAATGACTGAGTAGTTCTACTCCTGTAGTTGTTTACCTGAAAAACTTTATCAAACCATCTATTTCCACTGTTTGATTTTGTTCCACCTCCATGGAGCATCTCGCGTGAAGTCACAGTGTAATTAGGGTCCCCAAGGGACTCCTGTTGGTCACTCGGGTGTTCGAGAGGCGACTCGTCCAAGCATAGACAAAAAAGTGATTTCTCAATCTTTTCTAAGTTTGACTTGTTTTGAGAATCTAATAAAAAATAATGTATTACAGTCCAGCCTGATTAATATAAAAGATAAATACTAACATTACATAAATGTCACCACAACTTCACTACCTTTTAATAATCTTTGTCGGGCATTGGCCCACTGGGTCCTACCATCAGAGGTAAGGATACCAACTGGAAACTCTCTGACCTGAGAGGAATTTCTTATCTCCACTAGTTGACTAAGAAGTTCTGATTCTGGCATAGGTTGACCATTGCGATAAACATCCATCACATAGAACTAAATGAGAAGAGAATAGTACAATATTGTTCATCAACTCCTTAAAATTAAAAGAGAACTTTGCCAATTTGTTGTTTTTCCTTCTTACAAAGTACAGCCTATTTAACTAACAGTGAGTAAATACATAGGCATACACAAGGTGGGGGGGGGGGTTGGATGTAGCTGCAGGGGGGTGGAAAGCATTTGAGTCTAGAAATTTTTTATTGAATTCAATTAATCATATAAAATTTAAGGGGCACATCATTTTTAGCAAGTACAGTATTTATAAGCAACATCAACATTATTTGTGCCAAAATATGTGCTGGAAGTAGTATATAGTAAAACTTGTTTGCTGCTATTTTAATATTATAGAAAAAGAGGGGAAAGATTGTTGCTTACTTACTTGTTATACTTTTGTCTTAATTGGCAATCACTGCCTTGAACAGTTTATCAAAAATTGTAACATGTTTGCATTATACTCAAAAGTCATATTATTCAATTGCTAAAAGTAACTTGTAAAAGTAACTATCACACTATCGATATTAACTTACATTATTATTATGCATGACAATGATATGATGATCCTCTCCACGACCAGCTTTGACTCTAGTGTCCCGTTGAGTATGTGGTACACGACATGTTGATAAAATATTATTATACTGCATCATACACATAGGATGTGGTCCCAACATGTCCACAGGCACTGACTCACTATCAACTAGGCTCTTGAAATTCATTGTGCATCGTATTGCTCTTGCTGCATATCTAGCATTTAAAAATCAGTTTACATAATTAACTGACTTTTCATTCTCTTTGCCACATGCACTAAAATGCATGCCATCTGAAGCGCATACTTAAGCAAACTATATTGGTTTCAATTAATCATTCTAGCTCAATGTATGTACATATACTAGAGTAAAATTGCATACCTAAGCTGATCAAGGTCATCTGTGAATGTCTGCTTTGGAAAAGCTATGCCAGGACTTGAGTGAACTACAACTGGCATACGAAAGTCAAAGTATGCACTATTATCCCACCATTTAGCAATCTAAATAATATAACAATGATCAATAATACCCCAGTCCATGCATCCATTACTTCCAATAAAATTTATATTTATAGCACAAACATATCTTTGGTCTGACTGTTTTAAAATACATACCCAGTTTACTTCAACTCGTGACCTTTCAATCAATCTTTCTTGCAACATCTCACCAATCCCACCTTCTTTCCCAAAATCTTCTACAATTCTTTTTGTTTTATTGAAGTCATTATCTTCAACCAAACATCTTACAGCTTGTTGGTACTTTGATAAGCTTTGTTGTAGTACAGGTACAGGGAGGTGGGGAAGCTCAATCTGTTTTGCAAACATGTTTCCTTTTCTTGCTAAGGATGAGGTTTGGAATGCCTTTGAATGTTTGGCCATTCCCGAATTTAACTTTCAAAAAAAGATGTAGTTGAAATATAAATGTATTAATTAACTGCCTACTCCTCTTAATGTTGGACCCTTCCCCTGCCCCTAGGAGTGCGAATCAACAGTCAACAACCTTTTATAGACCTGTTTCTGAACATATGGGCAGTTTTTTATTTAATCTGTATTGCAACTTGGCTATATTCACAAGATATGGCTATATTCACAAGATTCTATTATGTACGTAAATTACATAACTGTAAAACATCGTACCATCCTCGCTGATCTTGCTAACATTTTGTCTTTGTTTATTATTCTTTGGCCAATCGAGTTCTTTGATTTCGTCCCAAAACGTGCCGAATCTGTCCTGTTAAACTGTGGGACTTCTACTACACTGGACATCTGATAATTTGAAAAATAGAAAGTTTAGGACAAACTACACGTCCACGATAATATATATAGTGGGAAATGTTGACTTGAGTGCCAAGTGCCAACATGGCAGTTCGCATGAACCCTCTATTGTTTGTGGTCAAAGTCCACCAGTCAGACAGCAGCCCAGTGACCCCGCCCACACATTAAAAAAAAGTTTTTGGAAAACGTCGTCAACCCGGCCTGTAGTTGGCATTGAAAACTGAAAAGCTGTTCCGAACGCTTACTTTACCGGCAGTAAAAAGTTACTTCATTGTGTGTCTTCGAAGCTATATTTCGAGCGCATAAATAAAAACATAGCATTTAGCCCCCCCCCCAAAAATAAAATATCTTACAACGTCCCTGCGAATGTGTTAAATGCAAATTTTGATTTGCGTCCCCAGTTGTAAATTAGGATCTGCTGCCTTGCGCGGTCGCTTTGTATATTAGAGACCTTACCAATTTTCTCGGCCTCAGAAACATAGCATTTGTTTTAAAAATTCAAAATGAATTTTTCTGTTTGCCGTTAGAGGGTTGTAGTAAACGTCAAGCTAAAGGTCTCTAATAAACGAGTCTCTACATCCTTGATACTCTTTCGCCAATCGCCGGTGTTCTGGGAATCCAACCCAGAAGCCAAACAAAGGATTTCTCCATTTAGTAAAATTCGGCAAGAAATCCTTTTAGTATCAACGTTCAACGAACATGTTTGGCCCCAGACATGGACACTGTTTTTAAAGGCAAACGAAAAGGAGGGAAACCGGAGTGCCCGGAGAAAAACCCTCCAAAGGTAACCTGAATTTCAGGTTACCGGCGGTCCGAATTTGGTATTTTCATTAAAAATCGTCCCCAACGACAGTTGAGTTTTTATCTATAATTCACCGTTTCAGTTCCGCTCATACGAACCGAGCCCCAGGAATTGCAATGCAATTCTTGAGCTTCCGGCTTCTATTCTTGAACTTGGATTCTGGTGGTGGTCTAACGTGCGCACGCGCATATATATAGTCCGTTACAAAACGGACTATGTTAACTTTCTACAATTTTTCAATTTCACTGGCCATTAGAAATTTTGATTAAACTGCGCTTTGTCCGACAATGGCAAAAAAATTATTTCAATTATTTTAAATGCTCATTTTATGACCATGCTTTTTTTTTAAATCTGGCATTGTGAATGAAATGCTTCATATGCACAACTTGCATGCTTTTTAATCTAAAATCGATGTAGACAACACTCTTCTGCTACCCCTTCCTAGTTCCTAAGACATGCACCGTTTATCTTTGTTACGTTCTGGAATACGGTTGACCGAAAATGAAGGAAATAAACGTAATCGGATTCAACATGCAACTTACTCAATATGGCTAATCAATATGTTGTCCATTACCGTGTATAGTTACCTTTAAACAGTGTACCAAAATTCACTTCTCTGTTTTTCCATTCCAAACAGTTGCGGGCTTCCTTAACAACTTCTTTAACAGCATCTCGACGGTGGGCAGTGCAAGAAATTAAACAACATAGTAAGTGTGTCAAAATCCAAGGGGTTATCTTCTTTAAACGGTTATCTAGATCTTTTCATGCAAGATGGTACTTATACAATATTAACTTACAGTTAAGTCCAGTGATCATGCAATATAATATATCATGTAAAATAGGAGATATATTTTCCTTCTTACACAAACTTCAAGTAATCATTTGAAAATCATTAGATTACGTTTATTTCCTTCATGCTTGAGATTAACCGGATTTTCTAGGCTCAAACTGCAATCCGCCGAAAAAAATAATACCAGGCAGCTAGGAAAACAGAAGAGTGAAACTTGAAAGTGTCTAAACATCATTAGTCATTTTTTTCTTCATTTCAAAGTTCAATAATTCGAATTTAGATGTTGTAAGACGAAAGGATGATTTTTATGCCACTGACAGACGGTCGCAATATAACAGGGTGAACAGAGGAACTTATATAATCATATAAGTTACTCGCGATTACTTCGTATTAATCTAAAATTAGATCAATACGAATTCGATAAATATTTTCTCGTTGCGTGCACGTCGACCATGCTAATTGCATTTTGTCAGTTTTATTTTAACGCGTTAAGGCCACCATGCATCTTCGGGCGCAGTCGTTGAGTCGTTGAAATTCACACGCAAGTGACAAAACTAGGAATGTTCTATCGAGAATGCTCGAGCGAAAAACGCCCTCATACCAGCTGTGAAAAAAATTGCTGCTATCATGCATGCATTGTCGTCGAAAAGGGTGAAATGTCACTTGATGTGTGAATATATAGGTTAGACCACCAGGAGAAACCAATCCCAGAATAACCATGCACTTACATTAATCATACATTACTCTAGATAGTATACCTGTAGTATGTACCTCAACTAGAATCCACTTGAACACCCGTCTCGTCGTCTATCATCTGATCCTGCGATGACCCTTTAACATCTGATCCTGCGACGATCCTTCAACATCTGATCCTGCGACGATCCTTCATTATCTGATCTTGCGACCTCTGTCTTGCGACGATCATTCATCATCTGATCCTGGGAGTGGGATGATCCTCCATAATCTGATCTTGCTGCGACGATCCTTCATAAAAATATATAATATTCATTTTTAAGACAGAAATGTCAATGTGCAAAGCAGGATAAAATGATCACTTATAAGTTAAAACCCGATTGTAGACCTTCGACATCTCCCACGCCACTCGTCCAAGGCCTTCGCATTGCACACGCGAATACAAATGATGTCATGCAAGTTTTGTAGGAAATATTCATCGTTTTCTTCGTGGTCCTGAGAAAACGAAAACACTCGACTATTATCTCCTTCTAGAAATACAATTTCTCATGCATTTTTATTTTTTTAGGTGCTCTGTGAGCGATATTATTTTGTCCGGACTATTGTCGTTCAAGATGGAGAAAAATACAAGTGATGGGGCCCCAGATCACTTGTATTTACTCCGCATGCGCTTGACACGACCAGGTTTACCCACGGGTTGGAAAAAAAACGCAATCCAAAAAATTGAAAATCAAGGAGGTAAACAGAAGAGTGTTATCTCAGCATATCTCAGCCAAAAAACCAAATCCATGCATATTTTACTCATGCACATTTTCACCGAAATCGAGTTTTGTATTTGCGTGCATAAAATGTCCCAAGGCAGGTCCGACATCAGACATCTCTACACTCCGACGGTTCTTTCTTTCTAAAAAAAGAAACATATGACTAGTCAAGCATAAACGACATACATATATTCAAACATATATACCAATACGGATAATTCAGTACTTAAGAGTTAAGTCTAAACTAACTTGAAGGACTGAAGCGCTGACGAACGAGTATTTACGCCACGAAAACCGTGTCCAAAAAACCCGTTGTGCCAGCCCGGGAAAGTTTCAGCCATTTTTTGCCAAAATTTAGGAATAAGGTGTTTTTCATTGCAAGTCACAAATGCAAAATACACATGCATTAATACAACAATACCTATTATTTGCTGCAAGCAAGCGTTTGTGTTTCGCCTTCCCCTTCTTTCGGCGCCGTAGTTCGTTCTGAAATCAAAAAAAGCAAGAAAAAATAAAATCAACTTAACAGCTCTTTTGAATTTCATATTTTGGATCGAAATATACAGATATAGCAGTGAAAATCAGCAAGAATTTGCCACCGGTCCCTAATGTCGTCTGGCTATTCAAATGGCAGCACGGCGATTAATCATTTGCAAAGATCAAGCAAACAGTTCTAACTTCGGCAAACATCACCATAATGTACCTGAGCAAAGTTCTTTCAACAGTTCTTCAACTTCTTTGACTATTCCTTCGATTCCTTCTTTGAAACTACCAAATGAGTTTCTCGCGAATTCAACCACCTTTTATAGTTTTATTACCTCAACTGAACATTCCAACAGACAATGCACTTTATGCCGCATCGATCACGCTTAACAGTAAGGCCTGTATCAAACGTCGTTCTTCTTATGTGCCGAAGCGATTAACAACAATAGATAATGCCGGAGCCATCTCGCTTGATTGACTATTGTTTCAAATGCGTTCAGGAACAGGCCTAAAAGACCCATGTGACCTATGAACAGATCCAGTGCAGGGTTGGTAGATTTTATGAATAAATAAGCCAAATTTATTAACATAACATTCGTTTCCTTTGTTTAAAACAAAGGAATCAAAGTACCGCCAATAACAATGTTTGGCTTATTTATTCAGAAACTTACCAACCCTGATCCAGTGCACTGAGCCACTGACTGATCACTGATCAACCTCGTACCCAGGGTCTTTACTCTGCTGTTGATCACTGATCTGCATCACTGAGTGATCTGCATAATCTGCATACTGAGCGCAGTGACTGAGCATCGTGATCTGTGTCGTTGTCATGGATACAAATTTTAACAAAATGGCGGATGATTGTACAAATACATTTTGGAAGAAAAGTGTATAATTCATATTTAAAAATATTGAACTGGTGAACAGAATGTCACAGGGCGATGTGAAATATGTTCGAGTATTGCCAAAGGACAAGATATATCGAAATATTTTTGAGGCTGAGGTAAATAGATTAATGAAATAATATGTTATGATTTAAAGCGTAAAATTGTTGTTTCATGCTGCCAGTGATATATATATAGTCACAGATCTTTTCTTGTGATTAGAGTCTAGAGTTCTTTTCATCTTTTTTATGATCACCATTTACAACCCCATTTTAAAAGTATTGTGAGAATACAAAGAGAAACATGCAAAAATTTGAGGCTAAGAACTATAAAGCTTTGAAGATCGAACCATCAGGCATCAACGTACCATCGTTGGCTATTAATTGCTCTGTTGTAATTATTTAATGAATGTGCTTTCAAATTTATTTCTAGCAAAGTTTAAACACGTCCTTGAAAAAAGAAAGAAAGATATCAAAGTCAAAAAGGGAGCCAACATTGCCTGTTTTAAAACAACCAATAACTTTCACAGATGGCAGTGGTATCTTGTCACAACGACAGAAGACCTGGGTGGAAGCAAATCCCAATGAACCAAATGTTGAAAACCCCACATACTTGAGGTTGATATTATATCTTGGCTAACTGTAATTTTATAACAATTGGTGAATAGTACACTCCCCTCTTTCTCCAGATTCTATAAAAAGGAGAGGGCTCCAACCAATATGTTGACCTAATTATTTCTTAATCATTTCCCTAAGCGGTGCTAAAAGTCTTTTTTGCCATTTTTACTATAATTAATACACATTAAAATACTGTAGATATTTGTGGCTGGATGAACAAGAGAGGGTATCCAAGTCAGAAAGTTTTTATGAAGCACAAGAAGTGAGAGGTTTACCTGAAGTAGATAACCTGCAACGTAAGTGATTGTCAAATGCATAACACATCTGACTGAGTCAATGAATACAGTAAACAAGTGAATAGAGGTCCTTTTTCATAATGATATCAAACACGGATGCAAATGTCACTCAACCTTACTAAGGAGCAAATCAAACATTAGGCATTCAGGTATCTTCTGCATGTTTTTATGGGAAAGGTACAGAGCTCAAAATAACGGCTGAGATATCTCTGGTCAAAGTAACCGCTCAACCCCATTTTATTACTATGTTAATATTATATGTTAATATTGCAGTGCTTTTCGAAATGCAAATCAAATTTAGATGTTATTGTTCCTTGAGCATTATTTTTAGCCCTGAACTAATTTTCCATTTGTCAGTATATATCAGATAGCTAGCCTGCTGAAAATCGTAATCATTTATCTTGCAATATACAATTTGTTTACGATTCATTCTTTTGTTTAGATTTTTTATCTTCTCTCTTTTTTTAAAATTATACATTTGCCATACAAGAAATTGCAGGGTTCAAAAAGCATTTCTTCCTAGCTGTATTCAAAATTGCACTGCAGTCCAGTGCTGCAGAAAAAATGATCGCTATGTCATTTTTATTATAGGCACTAGCAGCTCAAAGTCGAGAAATGTTGTTGAGAAAATTAGTGAAAAAAGAAAAGAAAGGTTAAATATAATCCTTCGTTTGTTTCTGTAATCACGCACCCAAAAACATGTGCTAATTCCTTTAAATATATCATCTAGACACGAGGCTGCCTTAGAAGAGTTCTATCAAGAACTTGGAATTATCAGTTCAGTAAGTTTATGGTGCCTGGCAGAATATGGATTCGGGGAGAATAAGGAGACATTGACATTTACAGAGCCGTTTATACACATGAGATTTTTATCGCGATATTATGTACGATTTTCTTTTGAAAGTGACGGATGTGCAAAAAAGGGCACTGATGGGCATTCGTACATCAGAGCATTCATAACTGTCCACTCTTTCACATCTATCAAAAGAAGAAAATTTCACTGAAAATCACGTCCGCAAGTGTGAAGTAAAAATTGCAAGTGTAAACGGGCCTTACGGTAGTCTATCAATCGCATTTTGAGGTCGACTGTTAATTATTTCAAGTTATGGTAAAAATTAGGGATCATCACTCCGTCGAAAATTTATAACTTAATATCTATGTTTAAAATAAGTATCTATGATTGAAACTGAAAACATGATATATAAATAAAATTCTGTAAATTTCATTTACCAGGAGCTTGAACCACGTATTGCAGAAGCAAGTGAGATTCTAAAGGATGCCTTTGCTGCAAATACTGAAGGTGGAATATTATTATAGTAAATTACCATCTTGTTCCTCCCCCGTCTAGAAGAAAGCTATATTACTCTACAAACATGTTATATTACGCTTATTTATGGCTAATTCCTGCGTGGACCCAGCTTTGCTGCACGCAAAATGAAGATCTTACTTGCCTTGGCTCTTGTCGTGAACTACCAGCTCCCAACCTGAGCTATTTCCTCCTTCTTTTTCAGAGCTTTCAAAGGTCATGCAACTTATTCGTGATGATAAGGTTAATAACTAAGTCCATTTTCTAATTTTATATACATTACACAATGTGACGGGAAAAGTTTTTTTTTATATATCAAGATGACTTGTGGGATTAGATACACTGCCGCGGAAAAAACCTTTCGCGGGAAGGGCCTTTGCATTAATACCCGAGATGCCGAAGTTTTCATAATTGTCAATCTAAATTATGAAGCATGCAAATTTGTCGTATTTATATCGCAATAAAATCTCGCAAAGTGTGTTTTTGTGACATACTGTATAGTAATTTTCTTGAAATTTTAAGCATGAAATTTTAAGCATGTATTTAATTGGGTTTTCTTCAGGATCTATTGAAATACTCTTTGGAAGATCTGCACAAGTTATGGGAATGTATTGCTGAAATATCTTCTAGTAGGCAAGAATACATAATCGATCTCTTGAAGACATTTGACGCGATTGAACAAGACCGCTATAAAATGGTACGATCATATATATCCTGGTAAACTTTGCATTAATCCAATCACAAATGTAACCTTTGTTCGAGGGGAAGTTTTTGCTCATTTTCCTAGGTTTGTGAAACGTTAAAAACGTTCAATTCGATATTTGAAAACATCGCTTATTTAATGTCGTCTGATGTTCATCGAATGATGGAGAGGGAAGCTGAGGAAATCAATTCAACGATGATTTGTAATCGTAAAGCTTACGCAGATCTTGTTGCCAACTTACAAAAAGGTAAGTAATGTCACAGATACAAAGACAACTTCATTGTTTTTTGCGTAGGTGAGATTCGTCATGATTCGTCACTCAGCAGGTACCGTAAATAGAAGCAATCAACCCCCTGCAAATATTTAAATATTGCGCCATTTTCAACAATGGCAGGGGGGTGATTGTTTCTATTTACGGTATTTGCTGAGTGACGAATCATGACGAATTACACTTACGCAAAAAACAATGGAGTTGTCTTTCTGATGGGTATTCTGTGGTAATGCTGAGGTGGTGGAACGTGGAGTGGGGTAGGGGCCTCGTATTTAAATTACCCCTTGTCAAAGAGTGGTGATGCTGCATGGTTGATAAAAAAAAGCAATCATATAGTCCTTGTTCGACCAACCATTGACAAATTCTCAAAATTAATTTTGGGCTGGTTCAACTGAATTTTAACTTTACCAACTTATCCATTCCTTTAGCCGCCGTTGAATTAGAAAGAAGATATTACCATGTTTGGGAGACACGCGTTAAATCGTGGAAAGAATTGAAAACCAAAGAGGCTGTACAAGGATTTATGTATGTTATATTATAGATGTTCAGTTGAAAAAATTGATGGGTTCAGTTTTAATTCAAAATTTAACATACGCCAGGTGGAGAATCGGGACTAAGAATGTTGGTTTTCTCGTGCCACTGTAAACGGCCTCATCTCTTTTGACTTTGCTCTGACACAAACAAACTGTGCATTGAGCCATGACAGAAACTGAAATGAAAAATTAGCAAGTTTCATGTAGCTACAATTTACATTGCAACTGAATTTGGCCCGTGGAAGAGAAGAAAACGTTTCTGAATTTTATTTTCCTAATTTGATAACTCGAAGTCGACTAATCATTGGGCACGTGATCACGCCGTGTGATCCTGGCAACCCGAGTGTTTATTTACATCAGCTTTGCTTGTTTCCAGTGACTTCATGGAAAGTAACGAAATACGTCAACCACCCAGAGTATTACGATGTTTGGAGGAAATGAGAGAGAAACAGACTACCTTGAATACGAAACGATTAGACTTGTTTAATTCTTTGAGGTAATTAACAACTTTAAAAACCTGTATTAACCACAGTGTGTACCACGTTAACTCGTTTCACTTGTGAGACCTCTGTATAGTGGTCTTGTGAGACCTCTGTATATCTCTTCCAGGAATAACAGGTATACATAAGTGCAGCATTTTCGTACTTGTACATGTAGTATACTCACAATACCCTGCACGTATAGGGACATGAAACCACCTGGGTCAACAAAAGCTGCAGTTTATCAGTGGAATAATGTCCTGGGTCATGTCACTGATCAACTGGGTAGGTCGTAATTTATTCTTTTACTAAATATTCATCTCAAGTGTTCATGGCGCGTGCAAGCGACGGAAATCACATTGGGTAACCAATGGAACTAATGGTGATGATCATGCAGTATTTTTGATTAGTTATTTGTTGCTACCATTTGATATCAAACAAACCTTTCTTTCATCTTCATGTAGAGAAAACAAATAAGAAATACAGAGAGTATGTTCAGGAGGCGTATGATCAAGTCATACACGATTGTTATGAAAGAATGGAACAGATTAAGGTGGAATATATTATCAGCCTGCGTACAGGCAGAGTTTCAACCTTCCTAAAACGATTGTTTTCATTGAAATTATAGATCAAATTGGAGGAAGAGAATATTATTGACGGAGAGGAACTGAACACGGTAAAGTAGTTTAGTGGTTTTATGAGAGTCGATTTCTATCGAGTGTCTCAACTAAACTATTTTGTTAGATCTTGAACGAATCCTTTTTGCCTTTGATTGGTGAGAAGAAGACCCGTTATGAGTGTGAAATGGAGATTTTCGAGGCAAGTGTATTATCAGTGACGACAGGATAATTTGCAGGAAGCTTTTTCTGTCTTCCTTGATACCTCAATAAGTCTCAGTATTTTTCTTTGAACCGAGATCTTCATTTACAATGTTTTAAATTGATTAATATAATGCACAACTTAAACGCGATTGCCCCGTCATACTGTCTTTCTTGCAATACTCATCTCGAAATCTTAATGAAACCCGGGTGTCTTTCGGGCAACCGTCTGATTGTGAAGTGTTACAAGACTTTTACTCGCCATGAAGACAAATTTCTTTAAACGTCAACAGGACTCAGTCCACAATGGTGCTAGTCATGTTTATTTTCAATGAGTTTGTGGTCTCAATCTATCTCGCGTTAAAAATGGACACGATCGTTATTTTTTTCATTTTTAGAGAACAATTGAAAATCTAACCATATTTCAAGACAGCTTGGTACGTTCCTTATTCAAGTTTGTCCAAGGTGCCGCACACATCTGGGACACCCACGAAATTGGAGTTGCAAGACAGGAACGAGCGCTACAGGTATGTTTATCAATCAGTCTCTGAATCAGTTTGCATTAGGGGATCGATCAATGGCGTGGTATTATTATCCCTCGCCATCCACGCACACACACACACACACACCTTGTTACCCTTACTTTCCTTTTTTGCTCCGCCCTAAACTGATGTAGTCGACTGATTATCCGTCATTATTTTAGGAAAATTTAGAGGAAGGACGACATCGTCATGATGGAGCAAATCAGGTAAATATATAAGTGTCGATTCCCATTCCTTCGATGGCTTATTAGCGAGGTTCAGGTTAGACTACCGCTATCTGTGAGGAAACATCAAATAAATCAAATACAAACTGGTAAATCAAATACGAAAACTCTATCAAATTAATCACAAGCGCAATAAGTCAGCGAAAGGTAACCTTACTCAAAACATAAGTTAAAAATGAACCACGCTATGAGCAATTATCGTCGCAGTGTTATATACTAAACCAGCAAACCAAGAAAACCGTTTCAAGCACTTACTATATACATTGTGGTGTAACTTGAATTGTATTATTTAGGTTAAAGAAGCAAATCTCGATATTATCATGGATAAAATGAGACAAGAGTCAAGCGAAGAGGTAAAGATACTCATGAAATAGTCGTAATGTTGTTTCCTTTTAGGTTGATTGATACAATAATCGCGGATCACACAATGTTATACTATAAAAGCATAATATTGCAGTACATATCTTTTAATGCTCACGAAGATAAACTAAGTGTGACATAGAAATTTTATTATTACTGATCAATCAGAAAGTTCTTTCGTAATCATGCAGTGAAAAGATTTAAGGTAAATCATTGAAAATCAAGCTATTGTTTGACTGAAATACCACCATGGAAATGTTATGAGAAAATTGAAATCTCCCACTCAAGAGTTTAAGTGTGAGTGAGTTTTTAGAATACAGGCGAAAGTCTTTATTCCCACAATACCCGGCATGTTGTATAATTAGTTCGTTGAATACTTAACACGTCCTTTAAAATTGATTTCATCAACCTTGCCTACTAGACTTTAGAAAAAACCCTTGCACAAGCATGCTCGCTTCTGGATGAAATTCAGGAAGGGTAAGATTTTTGCAGAATTTTATTCCTATATTTGACTCTCCAACGAATGATTTTAACCTCTTCTGACGATTTATTTAAAGTTACAAGACTTTTCACTCGGAGCAATTGGAATGTGTTTGCAAGTATCCGGACAAAATAAAAGATCAGCTGGAGATTTATGATCACGAAATTTGTGGCTATTTTGCCGTGGACAGAAATAAACCTCAAGCAGTGAAAAAGGTAATGGTAAATGCATGATGTTGGCACTGTATTTTAACTTTTGTTGAAATAACGCAATCAGAAATGGCATTGGTACATCCCACTTTACACATTTTGTACATTCCCACAAACTGGCGCGGTACTCTTTAGTTGATGAGTAAAATCGTTTGCAGTAAAATAGAAAACTAAAATAGACGCCATTAGATTGATAGTCAAACGTTAAATATTATGCCCTTCCTGCCGGAGGATCTATAGTTGACTCATTTTTCCATCAACTGTTCCTGGCTTGAATTTGAAGTGTGCATAATTCCACTCGAAATTAAGACCCTTTCAACCTCTAGAATTTACCGACATCGAGTGAAGTGCCAAAAATCATAGTTAAATATTATATTTTATAGCAACCTCGAACGATCCCGGTTTCTCCATCAGGTTCCTTATTACCAAAGCAAGGTACAGAATGTTTTTAACAGCGTTCAGTGTCATATAGCGTTCTGTGTCTCTAAAAGTATCCCTACATCGTGAAATTCGTGATTCTTTTAGTAAACCAGAAACCCCCTCCCCACTTTCTGGTGGCCGGTATTCTGTGCCCGTAAATACTTTCGATAGTGAGAGTTGGGGTGAAAAACTCTAAGTCGATTAGAACCTCATGGCATGGTTATATGAGAGGATTGTGATCTCTTATTCAGTTTTTGTGGGCATTTCGAATACGGTCGACGAAGAAGAGAGGGCGATTTGATCTAGAAAGCGATTGGCGATAAGCGCATATTGCTTGCCTATTTTTTATGGTCACAAATTTATGTTACATCGTGCATGTGAGTACTACGCCATTAATGTCTGCCTGTATCTTGTTTTAGGTCGATCTCAACGCGAGGTAACGAATTTTTTCGCAAACTAAAATTCTTCTTTAAAGGCCAACTGTGGCAACAACACACCATCACAAACATAATAAACATCGCACCCATGCAGGGCCTATGATGATCTCCATTCTTTTTAGATATCACTACAAGGGGAAACATTGGAAGACGTTTTGAAAACATCCAATGGAACAACATTCTATGTTTTAACATACCCTGGGGATTATGGTTTCCCATCTTCATCAGTGAGCGCTCGTACTTTGAAGACTTCAATGACATTCCTCAGTGATACACCAGCGGGTAACATCTCTTTCTCTCTCTACTCCTTATAAACCATTGAATATCAACTTGACTTGTTAACGACAATTCTCATCTTAGATCTGGACGATTACAACACATTATACACAGAAAAAATCATCATCGAAGAAGACTTGTTCACGGAGCTGCGGAAAAGGTTCGGGTTTTTGAATCTCGAATACAAGTCTTCCACTTTCTCTCTCGCTTCACTTCAGTTTTTTCCCCATATATTTCATTTTTTCATCGTTTTCTTAGTTTACGGATGCAATTTTTGGAGTCGTTGGAAACCTGGAAGATAGAAGCGATGGAAAGAGCAAACAGTGTCGTTGCGGCTAAGGTAATGGAATTGCAAAGAAATGCAATGGAAAAAGTTTAGTGTTCGCCCCAAAATCTCCGAGAATTCATTTGTCTGATATAGTGTTATCCTTGGAAGGAACCACCGCACTTTTTACTTCACTGTTGAATATGTGTATTATTCGGATACAAATGTTCAATCAGAGAGTTATTTTCTATTTCTTGATGCGAAGGAAAATGTCCTCTTAAGACCCACATTCTCCATTTCTCAGTATGTTCAAAAATGTAAAATTAAAGTTAGTTTTATAGTACCATGCTGTTCACTCGAGTAATTGTGTTTATATGTTTGCAAAATTTGCGCAAATTTAGGTGGAAGAGTTAAACAGTGAATTGGATCTGCGGCTTCATCTTCATAAACCCCGTCCTGCCCGCGCTGAACAAGATGTACACAATGTTAGAGCTGGTGAGTCAGAGCTGGCGGAGATGTACATGACTAAGATGAAACTACAGGATAGAAGACATTGCTGTCTAGTCAATTTTCGTATCTAGTTGTGCTTCTTTGTGCGACTATAACACATGTTTGTTGTGATTTTCCAGCTGAGCTAGTGATGCATCAGGAACGCGTGGAGCGGCATTCAAAAGGCATCAACACAACGTTGAACGAGTTTAAAACACGATTCCAAGTCATGATTGAAGAGCATAACGATGAGGTGTGACATTTCACTTGGAAATTCACTCGTTGGTGTTCAAGCTTTACGAATTACCATGACTTATTCAAAATACTCTTCATGTTTGATATTTTAACAGACAGATAAATTTAAGAAAGCAGTGCAAGCTTTGGAAGCCACATTCACCTCTGCTACAAAAACTCACGAGTAAGTATAGTACCCCACGAGTTTTATTACTGAGTATTATGTATAAAGAAGACATGTCGTATTTCGTAATTTTTGTATTTTTTCCATTTGTGGTTGGTTGAATATGAATCAAGTCACTATCTTTCTAGACTCGTAGCGATTCAAGATCATGTCAGTGGCCAGGTGGAAGGATATATGAATAAGATCAGAACATCGTTAAGAAAATTTCGCCAGGATTTGGATGGCATGTTGTCTTCTTTGAGAAACTCCAATGCAAGATTTAGAAAGTCTTTTAAGTATGTTTGACTTGTCTTTTTATAATCGTACCACGAAACACTGCTGGAAAAGGATAGCAAAACATTTCCCCTCAGTCTTAGAAGTCCTTTCCACGATTATCAGAAGATCGATAATCTTTCTCTTCTTTGACCTTGATAAACATTTCTTGCCAATTTTAGAGTTTTCTCAGAAGGTGGAAATTTTTCGTTGGATGAAGTTGAAGACTACAGACGAAAACTGGTATGAGCGTAAAAACTAACTTGGGAATTATTCCGTTTATCAATGCAATTGTCTACCAAACGTAAATGCATATTCCTTGTTCTGTGTCAATTAATGCATATACCAAAATTCATTATTTCTATATACTAAAGCTTTACTTTCATCCTTGCTCTTTCATGTCTTATTATTGTTCGTATATCCCAGCATAATTTATTTCACTAACCTGAAGCCCTTTTTACACTTGCAAGCTCTAAATGTTCAGAACCACAGTAGTTCAATTAAACACTCAGTGAGCTCAAAGCATTGTTATTGATTCATCACCTCGTTCACATCCGTCAAAAGCAGAAAATCCCAGGATTTATTTTGAGTGTAAATAAAATATTAATATTAATATGTTATTAGGAACGTATGGCAAACAAGATCGATGCTGCAGAAGGAACAATTATGGGAGAACTAGAAGGCATGGAAACAAAGCGGCTGGAGTCTGCTTTAGACAATGCTGGAAAACTAGAGGATAGGTAATAAATTACGTGTGTTGAGCGGCTTGGGAAATACCCAATGGACCACTTGCATAAATAGACCAACTTATGATCTAGGTAACAAGAAGGGAAACAATCACAGCTGGAAAGAGCATACTGAAATTAGTATAATTGCCAAGTTTCACTGCAAAATTTAAAGTAGTACGGAAATTATAGTCATGCGAAGTTGACAAATTTGTATATACTTTTGTATTACAGGCGGCAGTGCGTAAAATGATTTAATTACACTCTTTCGGCTATAATACAAAAGTGTACAAAACTTGCCATATCGCTTGGCCATATCTTCAGTATTTGACATTTTGCAGCCAAATTGGCAATTTTACTTAGTTTATTATGCTCTTTTGGGAAATTTCCTTTTTGTCGCCTGAATCAAAAGTTGGTCTATTATGCAAGTATTGTACAATGAGGGGGATATTCTGTCATCTTCTTTTCACGCGAATGTTACGGGTCTGGGACAGGGTCTGGGACAGGGTCTGGGACAGGGTCTGGGATTAATATCCACCCCGCGAGCGATGTCAGAGATGATTAGCGACTGTTTGAACAACTGCTGTTATTTGTGTTCTGTTAGATTCAAGCATCATCTTTTCGACCTAACATTCGTGGAGAAATCCTCAAGATGGGTAACAAACACACAAGTTAAGATAAAAACAGAGGTCAGTATTGAAAATTATGGTTAACCCCACACATAGTCCGGACCTCTTCTCGGATTTTCCCACGTAGAGAATTAATTTTAATTTTTTTTCATTGCACTCTTTTTAGGTTGCAAAAAGCAATTCTCAAGCGAAAAATTTGGTGTTAAACTTGGCGAAAATTGAACGACGTATCGATGCAGTTAGAAACCCAAATCTTGACAAAGAGGTAACTGGTCTCGTACTAATCAATTGGAAATACTTACAAAGACAGGAATAATGTGATGTTGACAAAATAGTTAGGCAAAATAATCATGCACGTTTTTAACTGAAATTTTCTTGAATTCTCCCTTTCAGCAAGTAACATGTGAAGATATCCAGGACGATCTACGTGACGTGTTTAAAATGTTCATTGATAGATCACTATTCCTTGATTGCTTATTGATTGACCCAGAGTCTTGTTATGACGCGCTGAGCGGGAAAGAACTTCCTTATGTTAAGGATGTACAACCCAGTAAAGGAAATAAAGGCTCGGATAAAAAGGATGGCAGAAGGTAGCAGCTTCGGAGATTTTTGATACCATCAGGGGGGGGGGGGGGGCATCAAAGGGCTTTTGCATCTATGCATGGTGAATGCCTGGAGATATGATGTATTGAGACACTCGATCATCGACACAGTGGCTGCGCCATCAATACACTTTCAACTAGTACATTAATCGAGCCTGCATCGACGTACTGTACCGTATCTGTTTGACCCAAAACGAGCAATACCACGTTATTTATAGATCAATGTGGCTATTGTATGTTACCTATGCCATGCGCCAATATACAGTAGTTTTATAGTATTTTAACTGTGTTAACACCAGATGATTTTACACGTCTGGGCCGGTGGTATAAAACTCTTCAACTATATTTTGCATAGTTGAATCCTAGTTAACTCAGAAATACACAACTCTGACTGGCCAATTCTGTCCTTAACTACAGTTAGACGTTAACTAGTCTTTTATACAACTGGCCCCTTTAGAATAATTACGACTTATTTTTAGGTCGAACAAAGGAAACAAGAAGAACATAAATGTTGAGAAAGTATCTATTCAATCACGTGAGTAGCATGCTACCTGATCGTTACAGTTCGTATGTTTCTGTAAAGGCCATGTTACACAGTGCAATTTTTCTTGCAACTTGCAATGCAATTCTACTTTTAAGAGATGTAAATTGGTGAAGAGGGTTCAAAATGTAAGTGTAAGCATAGACAATCCAGAAGACATATGTCTTCTGGATTGTCTATGGTGTAAGAAAAGCCATGGATTGTAATAAAGACAAACGTTCGGCAGTTGCCAAATTTACATCTCTCAAAAGAAGAATTGCATTGCAAGTTGCAAGAAAAATTGCACTGTGTAGCAGGGCCTTATATGCGATATAGTCGGTGTAGTTTGACGTGTTGTTTTATTATATATCATATATTATAGTATATGGTAAGATTCAATATGTTGTGGTATCAGCCGTATCAGACAGTAAACCAATGGTATATTTTTCTGATATGGCATCGTATGGTAATGTGCATGTATGCCATGGTATGGTACTGTGTAATTATTGCCTGGTATGATATGGTGCTATATGGTTTGGTGCGGTATATGCCATTGTATATGGAATATTGTTTGATATGATATGATATGATGTTGTATGATGCGGTGTAATATTGTATAATATTTTATAAAATTGTATGCTGTAAAATGGTTATTGTCCAATATATTATTTAATGTTCGTGATTGTACGATTATTATCAAAATGTAGCCGCCTCATCGTCTCCGATTGTGGAAACACCACAACCATCGCCACCAGATCTCAGACCAAAAACCATGCCATCTGACCCCGACCGAAGGGTAGGTTACCGTAACGTACGATCATTGAAATGATTTCAACATTCATACAGCCACCTTAACATTGAACATTGTTTGCAGGCAGTGTTGAAGAACTCGGCCCAATCGCTTCCGTATCGACTTCACCGATCAGGGTAAAGTATAGATATTTTTCTTAAAGATAACGGCAGAAGTGGAACTAAGTTTCAGGTTTTTGCGATTAATTGGAATAGTAAAATGAACAAGCCGCAAAAATGAATGAAAAAGTACAGTGCATAAGTAAAAATAGATGAAGTATATATTCATCGAACAATAGAGTTAAAATATTTACTAATTTAGGAAGATATCGCTGTAGTTGATTCAACCCAATAAGGTTTAGACGAAAATAAGTTTCGATGAATATCTTTCTTTAGTACCGGACGTCGTCCCAGTGCTTCCAAACGGGATTTTCTTACTAAATTCGACAGAAAGTATTTGGTATTTGGTGATAAAACGGACGAGGAATCGAAGTAAGTTTTTGGATGAAAGTTTCACCTTATCATTGAAGAAAAACTTGGGTATTCCTTTTAATTTCAATGTTGTTTGTTGTGTTTGCATTTTTATAGATCTGATTTCTTGACAATCATTCTGCACATTTTAAGAAATTCTTTAAATGGTTTATTGGCAACAGCAGAAGTTAGTAATGAACTATTCTCCCTATTCTGATTCGATATCTAGCGATACTACTCCGAATTAAATTATCTTACCAATTTATTTCTGTCATTCCAGGCCTACTACCGTCAAAAAGGACCAAGATTAGCGACTCGCTCAACAATTAACGATAATTTCGACACATCTGCGCAAGCAACAGTGCAAAGATTGCTCTCTTACAAAACGCAAGCTGAGGAATATCATAATTCATGTATACAGGGTAGGTATCACAACACCCCCCGATGCTGATGTTTAGAGGGATGTTTCGAGGAAAACAATAGACCTTTCCCTTTCCTCTTTTAGCTTTCAAGCGCGTAGTTGATTATCAGGGTCAATTTGAGTTGTGATTTCGCCATGTTCAGAAGCGATTTAGTTTAGCAAAAAAAGCAAAAAAAAATTGGCAAGGTTGTCTTACAAACAAAATCGTTTCTTAGCAGTGCGATATCGCAACTCAAAGTTGCTTGATAATAAGTTATCGCCATGCAATGCTTGCCTTTCTGGCTAGTTTAGCTTTCTTATGCCTTACTTCAGCATTTTTTTCTACCTCCCAAGAAGCGACTAGCCCTAGTCTTCAGCCAACTCGGGAATTGATCTGTTTGTTTTGATTTTAAAAATATTCCTTATACTCCGTTCTGCATTCTCTAGAATTTCGAAATCAACTAAAGAAACTTCAAACGCTTGTCGTTGAAATTCCAGACTTGGTCATCCAGTGTTTCATGGTAGAGCATTCTAGTGAAACGGAAGTTTTGGTTGAAAAAACAAAGAAAGAAAATGCGGAAACGGTCTCCATGCTGGAACACCAAAGGGTAAGCGCACAGTAATAATAATGATGTATTATTCGTCCAATATAAAGTGCGCTTCCATATTAGTGATATACCTCTAAAGGCCCGTTTCACTAGCGATTTTTGCTGCGATTTTCTTCTTTTGGTAGATGTGAACGAGTAAATTAGTTACTGATGTTCAAATATATAAGAGCTCTTATATATATCAGATAATAGTCCAGTTCTCTTCTTCTAGTATCATTGAGCTGCGGCCTTTGACTTTAGTATCTGCTAGTTCAGTTTATTCATAGTATATGAAGTAATGTTGGGAATATGATTGACAGAAACAACACGAAGGAAAACTGCGACCAGCTTTGGGACATCCTAAGAACCGCGATGAATTAGAAGGTTTGAAAACTATAGAGAAAGAACGAAGTAATTCAAGAGTGAGGACTTTAAAAGAGTTTACGAATGAGCTGAAGGTATAGTGTAAACACGTATTCTCTTAGCGATCATGTATCCAGCATGTGGTCTGAAATATCGAGTACTTTTAGTTAGCTAACTTGATTAAGGTAGACCTGGGTAATAGCTTCGGTATGTGGGTCCGAATGCGTGAAATTATTCTTAATAATAATTGTTTTGCTCTTATGTGGTTTGACATAGGGACATAGATTACAGAGAGCTAAAGATTTTGTAGAAACTCTTTCAAAAACTAGTGTTGAGATGTTAAGATTGTTTGACGGTTTGGTGACTGTGGACGACGTAAAACTTGGAAGTAAGTAGTCATTGATCTCAGAATATTTCTAACCTTATCAGCTCTGGACCAATTCAAACATTATGTTTTGATTTTTTAGAGGTGGAAGATAAACCTAAAAGCACTAAACAGATATTGTTTGAACAGTCAAGACCTCCTAAAAACGAAGAAGGTAAGGCATTGGGAATATACTTTGTGTTTTCGTGGAACCTGGGAATAGTTGGGAATCCCCATATCTTGTTTATCTTCATCATAGAAAAAGAATCAGAGTACTTCAGCAAGCCCGGTGGAAAGTGGGAAGGCTTGCCGACCAATGAACTCGCTCTAAAACCACCTGATAAGTTGACAAATATCCTTTTAATGCAATCAGCAATGCAAGTATATATCGTCCCGGGGCCAGTTGTATAAAACTCTTTAACTACATTTTGCATAGTTAAATCTAGTTAACTCGGAAATACACAACTCTGATTGGCCAATTCTGTCCGTAACTACAGTTAAAAGTCTTTAACAAGTCTTTTATACAACTGGCCCTTGAAGACAAAAGATAATTACTAAATTAGTGGCGTTGCAATCGCTAGTGAGATTATTTCCTTTTAATGGAGTCTAGCTCCACTAGGAATCGAAAATAATCAATATTAAAAACAATGAATAGGTTTCTCTTTAACTACAATCCCACGAACCCCAACATCGGTGACGTCAAAAACAACAGCTGCACATAAATCCGTTATTGAAGCAAGAAACAAGGCTTATAAGGTAAGGAACACGTGAACATTGGCAACTTAACGACTTTTTTTCGTTGCCTCTGCATTGAAGACGCTTATGTATGAAATGACATTTTACAATGCAAGATCACAGCAAAGGCAAAATAATTTCCTCAAGCCCTATTTTCATAACCAACTTTGAATCGTTTAAAACGACGTTTAAAATCTGATCCTGCAAAAACGAATCCAGTCATTGACGACGGAATTTTCGTTGTTCTCTGCGGTGTTGGACCAATTCATGCCCCTGGAACTGAAGTCCACTTATACCATATCTTATATCATTACCTTATATAGGAGTACAACTCGAATTTTTTCACGAGTATAAATGACATAAATACACAAGGTGAGAATGCTTCGTATGAGGAAGAAAGATGGCAAGAAAAATGGAATCTGTCGTTGCAGAGAATACAAAACTTACATTAATTAAATGGTGATTTACTAGCATTGTATTTAAGATATTGTAAATGTTCAAGTTGTACAAATGCGTTAAGTTATATGATATTTTTTATTAGTATATTAAGGTTAAAAGAGTTCAACTCAGTTTTTAGTTACTGATAGTATACTAAAATTTTATCATTTTCAACATCTCAGGGTCAGGTGTGTTTCCGATGGACAGAAAAGTTATCGTAATACAGTTCATCGCAGAAAAACTTTTACAATGTTTTCCGTTTCGGTTTGTGTCCAGGAATATCATCTTCAAATCATGTTGAAATAACTGCCTCATCCCAAGGGCCGTATATATTGCTGAAAATAGATTGCATGGGCATGTTTTGAAAACTTCTTGACAAATTTGCCAAATTTCCTGGGTTTCCTCATGCGGCCAAACTGATTCAAAATTACGCATGTGAATTTGCGACTTACTCTTTATATCGCTGGAGATGAACAAGCCAATAGGGACAGAGGAAGATCACGGCTGTTTGAGCCATTATGAAGAATATTCCCATCAGAAATGATATGGTTACCACAGATTAACGAAGGCTAAGATGAGTAAACCCCATGTCATCACTGGTTGACTACCCGGGGAAAATACCTAAAGAAGGAAGGGACGTAAGTCGTCTACAATATTTGTGTCTGTGTGTCTGGATCCACGTTGTTAATGATTGAATATTCAATTCCTCACCTTCATTTGTTCTCTAAACAGTGGAAATAGTGCAAAGATTTCTACAGCTGTAATGACTGTCACAAAAGCATGCCAAGACGAAGGTAGTCGGGAAGCCAGACACACTGAACCAAATATGGCAGTATTCAATGAAACTGCCTTGGAAACACTGCAGGAATAAAACGCATGCTCTGTTGGTGTTTTGATGCATAGGTTTTAGTGAATTGATTGTTGATGTTGTTTTGTTGTTTAACTTACATAGCACCACTTGCTCCATAGTCGTGCATTAGAAGATTCATACCAAGCATAAAAACCTGCAAAATTTCATGAATGTACAAAAGAATTTGCTCACACCTTTATGAGATATATTTTCGAAGCAATCTCACCGTCATTGCATAAATTGTGTCCGTGCTGATGGAGTCTGTCAGTGTTCTCAAAATGGGGGATAATCCAAACGAGAATGAAAGAAATAGGATGAGACTTTTCACATCATCCTTCACTGTGAAAGAAAATCATTAAAAAAGTCAAGCTCTATAATAACTAAGGTAATATTACAATAAGCTATCATTTTTCTCCATTTTTACTAACTGTATTGTATGCAGATGGTTGACTAAAAGCCTAGCCTGCGTGCAGTTAGTGATTTCTGTAGAGACTTCACGCAGGCTACAAGAAGCCGGGATGAGAACTGATTACAGACCAAACCAGGAATGTTGCAAGCCTATTTCTCTGCCATTTTCAGCAAAGAAGAGTTTTCACTGCAAAGAAGAGTTTTCACCGCAAAGAAGCTTTGTTCCCCGTAGTTCAGTGGTGAGAGCAATGTTCTAGCTGGGGATCAGAGGTGAGAGGTGTAGGTTCGTCTCCTGTTAGAGGTCATACGTTTTTCGTACTCTGATCCTTTGTTTCTATCGTTGTTCTTCTGAACCACCACCAATATTAAAAAAAAGTGCAGCACTCATCCTTTACGTCTAAATACCTGAACGTTATTTCGCGGATTTGCGCCTTAATTTGCCCCAAACAACGTTCTTCCAGAGGCGCTGAATAAGCAAACTTTCAAATCCAAAGTAAAATGTATTTTCAATAGAATATAATCCGTGCGTTTTAATGCGAAGATCGTGTATTATGTTTTCAGATGGAAAAAATAAATGGGAATCACAGGGTCAGGGACGTAGGTTTGATTCTTGCCACAAGACCAGCAGTGCATTTTTTTCGATGTTTAGTTTTGCGATGTTCAGGCTTGGTTTTTAATTTTTTGCATGTTTTCCACTTCGTCCCACAATTAACATCCTTACCATTTTTGGTTTTCTGTTCCCAGCATGTCATGATATAAATAAAATAACTTATCAAGGTGACCACAGCTGAGGCAAGGAATAAAATTGAAGGAGAGACAAGTTCTTCCTTCATGTAGACAAAAATCATGACAAATACGCATAAACTAAAAAAATATAAATCAATAAATAATATCATACTTTGAACTAGTAAGTGTATTTTCATGGGGGGGGGAGGGGGCATTCCTTTCTTAATTGGCTATGAGCAGATCTAGATCCCTATCATGCAATTTCTGTTCTGACCCATTTTCTATTTCTTGTGGGGAAGATGGGGGAGGGATGATGTTCAACCACTACTTTTTGCCACACTTCATTTGTCATGTATCTGATCTGTAACGTCTTACATTCCTAGTATACCTGCTAACTTGTTGTGAAACTGTTCCTGCTGCATTGGATACATTCCAAAAATGATACGTTCTGGTGTAGACTAGAAAGAGAAGAATAGTTGCATAGCAACACAAACCTGAAAGATGCAAATATGGTATGAGGAATTCCAACATTTACCATTTTTTCTCAACTCATCCAAGAAAGACTCATCAACATAATTATCTGGGTAATCTTGTTCTTCATAAAGAATTTTCTTCCATTGTTGTTTAGTCATTTCTTACACAATGGCAAGACTAACATATCTCTATGTGTTTGCAAGTATCAAGGCATATTATCTTTAGAGAAAATATGCAATCTGAAAGAAAATCTGGAACATGTAGAGTCTGTGTTGTAACTATAAAGTAAGATAATTTAAATTCAATCAACAGTCACCATTTTAAGGCCTTTGTTTGGAATTCTATAGTACATTGAACTAGACTATAGCTGATGGCAAGCATGTCAATATTTCGAGCATGAGATGCTTTAATACCTGCTCGAGAACCAACAGTCCAACACCCACCCTATATAATGTTCAAGATAGAGCTTTAATAATATATAACGCCTAAGGAGATTGATTCGGATGATATAATTGCGTACATTTCAGCAATACTTGGCAAACTACTCAAAATTTATTTACTGATTGTATATACTTCAAAATGGTTTTAATCAGTCTGGACTACAACAATTTATTGAAACATATTAAAGTACATAAATACCTATTTCCTACTACATGAAAAGAAAACGGATTTTGAGGCATGTGATTTAGTTTTGGCCGTGTAAATAGAATGCATGGGAACGAGATTGAAAAATACACAAAAATTATTAGAAAATCACTGAAAATGGCTTCAAAAAACGAAGGTGGTCATGTAATGACTGATTCTCATCGCAATTTTTTGCGAAAACAAAGAGAATTTTTAAAAGAAAACTTAATGGTTGACGATGTATTGCTTCTTATGTCAGATATTTTCCAACCAAATGACGAGGAAACAATAAAAGCTGAAACGACCAGTCAGGCGCGAACATTAAAATTGCTTTCGTTGTTACCACTTAGAGGAGGTGAAGCTTTTACTGCCTTTATCGTTGCTACGTATAAAACACAGGAATGGCTTGGAAAGGAGTTAGCAAGGAAGGCGGGAATTGATTTAAATACCATTCTCTCAGCCGTCCCAGGTATTATTTTTTTCCTGTATTAAAAAATCGTGAGGGCTGCCCAGTGCCCAGGGGGGAGCTTGCCCTGGGCAGTGGGCACCAGGTTGGTTTGCAGGGGCTTCCAAAATGCAACAGGGGCCAGTTGTTTTTAGCGTTAACCCAGGGTTAAATTTTAATCCACCGTTTCGGTTTAAGTGCTTCTGAACTGCTGTTCTTTTTAGAACCTTTGCAAAATATGGCTTCTGTCAATCCAGAAAATATTTATGGAAAAAGATATTCAACTTTGTGAACAAGCAATTGAAAAAGCAAATTGCTGATTTTTCTATGCATTTCCATTCCACTTTATCTTGTCTTATCATGATAATTCCTTTCCCCACCCTACAGGCCTATTCACTGGGCTAGCCGGTGGCCTACAGTAGCTTATTTCTCAATTTAATGTAGATGAAGGAAATCATGGCATGGAAAAAGTCCATCGGGACATTTTGAGAAAGTATTTGCCACAATTCTGCGAAAAACTTAATGCGAAAGAGATGGTTGACAGTCTTAAGAAAGCTGGAATTATCACACCAGGAAATCAGAGATCTTTTGAAGACATATCAGAAGAGCAGATAAACCCCAAAAAAGTGGAAAAGCTGATTACTTTGCTACCAAAATTGGGGCCAAAAGCATTTGGTGCTTTTTTTGATGCATTACGAATTAACCAGCTTCAGTTTGCCCATGATATTGAGCGGTTGGTAAAACGTAAGGTGCCATACTGTATCTAAGTCAATCTAAAATCTAGATTAGTTTGCTACAAGTCGACTTATAATAACATATGCCACATTTTCATCATGGTATAATATGCTATGTAGCTGTATGGAACCACAGCAGTCATATAAACAGCCTTACTCTCTTTCACCTTTCAAATTTTGTCATTAATTAATATATACTTGATTTTTAGAAGATTATCCTAATGTGAAGCTGGGTACTACAATTCATCAAGAATCAACACAAGATAGCATGCCAAATCAGGCTTACTCATTATCAACACCATGTTCTGAATTGCCAGAGGATATTTTGGAACTTTGTGCAAAGTGTTTAGACAGACCAAGTGAATTGCTTGAAAATGACTGGAAAAGGTACAGTAATCTGGATTCTAGTCAACTATGAGCTAGACTTGTGAGTTGCGTGAATGAAATTGTAAATAATTGTACTTGATACTCTTGAATTTTATTTTTTTAACTCCATCATAAATTGATATTCACTTTAGATAATTGTTATATTGATCTATTTTTAAACAATACAACATCATGCATCACCGGCTTCTTTTAATATTTCCTCATTACTTCATTAAGTTTTTACCAGTTATTGAAACTACCAGAAGGCAAAGAAGATGTAATAGCCAGACGTGATGGTAGTCCCACAAGACAGGTTTTGAATGCTTGGATTGACATGCATGGCAAGAAAGCAAATGTTAGTAAATTGCTGGAGGTGTTAGAAAAATGTAAACAAGGTGGTCTAGTTTATAAAATTGAACAAAAGCTAGGTGTTGAACTACCAGAACAACAATGTGCATCTGCAGATATTGAACCAGAACAACAACGTGCACATGCAGATATTGTAGATGGAGTTCAAAACATGAATGTTAGAGGAAACAGGAAAGGTGAGCATCCTTTGTTCAACGCTTTGTTCTGGTGAAACCCAGAAGATAAATGTTGGTATTTAATAGCATAAAGAAGCTTTGATGAGGGGATGAATTTACTAGGGCGTAGCAGAAAAAATGTTGTGTGCGAAATTTATGAACAGAATGTAATTTATGCGCGCATTTGCCCAAATTAGAAAATAGACTTGATTTGAGCTAAATAGATTATTAAACCTCAATTACTACGTGAAATGGCATATCTAAGTAATGTCGCAACCACGGCGGCTTGGTCTGATACATTTATTTCCGGTGGTCATTTCTGGGCAGTGCTTGACGAACGGTCTGCTCGCATGGTAATGATGGTATTGCGTTCACAAAACGAGAAAATATTGGCCGTAACGAGCCAATTCACCACAATGTTGGGTTGAAGTGAATTGATATCATAGTTTTGGCATGATGATAAGTGATAATCATATCTCAAAAATAAAAAAAAGTTTAAAAAAAAATATTTTCTGACCTACCGACCTGATTTTCAGTTTGTTACTGGAAACAACATTTTTTTGCTATACCTGGGAGATTCATTTCAGGCTTGTACCTGTATATGACTATTTAGGGAACTCAGACGAAAAAAATTTCATGGCATTAGCCCATAAGGGAGGGTGAAGAGTCAGGCTCTAGACTTCATGTGGTTCATTGTATTTTTATAGGAAAACCAATAAGATATGTTAAGGATATCCCCCAAGATTTAAAGTCTCAGTTGGTTGACAGACTAAATGGTGTGGATAAAGCTATTTTAGAAACGATGTTGAATTCCATTAAAATGGAAAGATGCTATGTTCAAGATGGTAATGATTTCTTAGAAAAAATCAGAGATCGTAAAACAAGAATTTTTTTTCGGGAACTCCGCAAGCAGGAACAATGTGATCTCATTGTACGGTGGATGAGAAAAACATTTCCAGCAGGAAGTACTGGTAAGTTATTCTGGGCCTATGCCTACCTTGATGATTGATGTTTTTAGGGTTTATTTCATATTATATATGGCTGATAATCGATGTTATTAGTGGTATGCTCAAATCGTGAAAACAATAATCCGTATGAACTACCACTGAGTTTGTTTAACTTCAGGAAAAATTGGAGTTCCTAACCTGGTGGTTGTCTCGTTTACAAAACAGATGAAAACACATGAATGCCTTTTTCGCAATATTGTATACAGTCCATGAGTTAGGACATCCATTTTATATGTCAGACATTGGTTCAGTTTATGTGGTCAAATTTTCATAATGACAGCCTTCTTTTCTCATTAGTTTTTCTTTTACGCAGCTTAGTATGAACATTAAAAGAGGATTAATTAGGTCCGTTCCTTGAGGGGACAATTCACATATTTGTAAAATATTAGAATAATCGTGCATCATGCATAATATGACTTTTTTCTGTTTCACAAAAAGGGCCCATGAAGAGTGAAGATAATTTAAAAGCTTGCGAAATGAATTATGGTTTTCGTTTGGTAGTCACGAGATCTCTTACTGGTAAGCATTTCTATTTAATGTCTATTTAACCAGCGCCTCCAACTTACAGAAATGAGAGAGTGCCTGGGTACGAGGTTGCAGGCTAAGTTGCGAACGAAGTGCTTCACTGGCCAAATTTCTCTTTGAATATTTGATAGTTTTTGATAAATTGCTCCCTAGGACAACGATTTTTATTCGTCAATAAAGTTTAAGACAATGCACAAACCTGTAGCACAATGTAGCACAATAGTACAAACTTTTAACGCAAATCCCCAGAATCATTTAACAAAGAGAAAACACCATAAAGCGAAGTTCATCTGCCGGTGTTTTGCAAACACACTATAGTATGGGTCACTACAGTAGCGCCCTTTCACTGAGGTCTTCCCTTTCCCCTTGCCTTCGTGTCGTTCCAATGTCCCTACCGTAGTTCCTGCTTCTCCTTTTTTAACCTCGTTTGTTGCCCTTATTTATATCTATTCACATAGATCGCCAACCCCGACTGATTTAATTTTTTTAGCTAACGATTGTTGGAAGACGCTGGCCAGCCATAAAGATATCAATTTGACAAAAATAGATATCGACTTAATCGAAATGAAAAAGGCCATGAAAGATCCATCCGAAGCTGTGCTTTCACATTGGGAAGTTAGCAATACGTCAACAGTCGGCACAATGTATGATTTACTGGTCGACTGTGGATTTAATCAAATTGCTGACAACCTATGAGGATATGACACGATGCTTCATGTTCAGTTTATTTCTTTAAAGTCACTATAGGAAGCAGTGCCCACCCTTAAAATTTGTCGTCTCGTACCCTCCGTAATCCCAAAAATGTTGACTATAGGCCCTAACACATGTGTCTTTAAGATTACGCTCAAAATGCCGAACTGCCGTGCCTGATTTTGATGAAAAATCATGACCACACGAGAAAAAATTGTCAAAAAAGCCAAAACTCAACCGTCACTATAGAACCCAAAAATGAAACATCACCGTAGTACATACCCATTGGCATTGCATTGTAATATAATTTACACTTTGTGGAAGACATTTATTGCTGGGGTTTACACTTAGTAATAAGGGATTTGTTTGTCTAGTAATTCATTTTCTGCATCAGTTTTAAATTGCTTCTTGTATATAAAGGTTGTATATCATTCATACTTCTTAAATTTGAGATAAAAAATCCATGCCTAGTTAGGATTGCAGATATAGAACAATAAGCAATGTTTAAATAGTCTTAGATGTAGTGATAATTTTCACCGTTTTAGTGTGCGTGTAGGAATAATGAAATGAGTTTGAAGCATGGAACGCGGAATCCTGGGTTGGCCGGCTGGCGTGTTCAGCCCAAGATAATTTTTCTAACACGTGAATACAGTATATTCCACCACCTTTAACGTTCGTGCACCCTTCTAATCCAAAATCTGCTCCGCGTCCATGTGAAGTTTAGTATTATAGTGTAATTTTATAATTGTAGTGAAATTTTGCTAGGAGTAATGCATGAAATAAATTGTCATGAACATGTTGAAAACATGTTCGAATTCTGTGAATTTTTAAATTTTCGTAAATAAATGAATTGTTTTACTATGTGTGAATCTAATTTTCAGTATAGCAGCAGCTCTCTAGTTATCAGAATATTAACCAGAATTGCGGGTGTGAGGCCCGCTCTGCATCTAAAGACCAAATGGAAGGCGAAAAGGCTAAACTGTTTAACAGTCTATTAGTCTGTTTATTCTGTGGATCTGTTCCTGAAGACACGACACTAGCCTCCTCCGCAGGCATCTCTTATGTATTTATATTATGCATTTATATTTGGCTTGGTTAGCTTCGAATTCTGTGAATTCTTAAATTTTCTTCAATAAATAATTTTTTAACTATCTGTGAATCTAATTTTTCTAGCAGCAGCTCTCTAGTTATCAGAATATTAACCAGAATTGGGGGTGTTAGGTCAGCTCTGAATTTAAAAGACCATCTGGAAGGTGAAAAGGCTAAACAGTTTAATAGTCTAATTAGTCTGTTTATTTTGTGGATCTGTGTAACTGTTAAATGTAGTCCTGAAGACACGACGCAGAAGTAGGTGACAATTATTAACCATTCATGATTTTTTTTTATCAACTTGTATTTGAAACTCGTATTATTACCTTACCTATAATCATTAATATTGTATTATATACTGATCGATTTAGTGCCAGTGTCAATACTAGTTCTTAAAAACCACGCACGAAAAATTGGGGTGGTATTTTAATGGAATTGCTCCCGTTTTTTCATTTTTTTTTCTTTCCCCATCATTTAGGAACAAGCTGCCCCCTTTCGCTCCGACTATAGGAGGATCTAATCTGCTCTTTTGCTAGCCAGTTGGGTCACTATATCCACTTTAGAAAATTTGTATTCATTTTGATTTATGTTGATATTTGTCATTATTTATATAGGCAATGAAGCCTACCTTTGTTACACACTGTATTATTTTTGTTACTTTTGTGAGTTGCAGTTATTCGCTTAATCCCACCATTATATGTAACTATGGGTCAGTTGGGGTGATAACCTATGCACACTGTCCTGCGAACGGGCATTCGCAAAATCTTGGGAATATCTTGACAACAAACATGTAATTTGCTAACGTTTTGTTTTAACATCAGGATTTAGTCTGTTTTTTTCCTCTTTTGTCACAATGTGATTGACTTTCTTCAATATTTGTTCCTACTAAAAAATGGTGCGAGCTTGATTTCGTATAGAAAAGTATTTTATATGGAATTTGAGTTCGATGTAAACAAAGTCCTGCCAAATACTATAACGTTTGTTGATTGCAAAAGATCACCCTTTGCAACGCATGCAAGAGAGTAAGTATTATATTTCATAAAACAGACGTATCAACTAATTCAACTTTTCTTTTACCGAACAATTCCCAGGTTAAACTGGGTGTGAATAAGACAAGTTAGTGTAACAGCTGTTGAACCATAACTTATTCTATTTATCACCACTTGTTACAATAAAAATACTGTATGTCAGGGTGTAACATTCCTTGGCAAGAACTGGTTAGGATGCAGAGACATTAGAATACATTTCATTCGGAGTTTGAGGTATTAAAAAGATGTATCTACTGTGTGCATTGTAACTGGAAAATTATTTAAAACAACATAATGAAAATCTTTCAAATATGAAAATCTGTACCTAAAGGATCACTTGTACTACTATCTGTTGATACTATTTTATGTTCCAGTGTGGTAGCATTGTCCAACATAGACATTAGGCATGCAATTTTGATGTTTTCTATTTATATAGCTTGTAATTTGCACACTTTCCAGTCTAGTTCAAGTTGTTAGGTGTTTTTGTATAATGCCAAGTTCATGGAGAAATTTTTATCCCCCAAGTTCTCACCATACGAACAAAATAATTTGTTGATAGTGTAAAGTCACTTCGTAAGCAACTTGACAAAGTCATTGATGCCTTAGGATCTGCATCATCGAAAGTAAGTTATATAATAAATAACAAAGATAGATTAATTCAATACCCACCAACTAGCATGTTGCAAAAAATTGACCTGGTATTGACTGATTTAGTTTAATGTTATCTAAATTTTACAGGCACAAGGGTTACACACAGTCATCACAACTGCAGCTAAGCTACAATATTCTGATCATGAGTTGTATATTCTCAAGGACATTAGTGCAAATGGGTAAATAATTATTATTATGTATCATAGAGCTTTAATTTATCATAGAGCTAACTGCTTATAATGCATGTTAAAACTCACTATTTAGAGGTCATGGTGCAGCAATTGGAATGATAAAAGTTGGACGCAAAACACTTTTCTTAATGGTAAATACATATTTACATAGCCATGCCAGAGACAAGAGTTGTCTTATGCCCAGTTTTCTTTTTTTTTCCACTTAGATCTGATTGAAATTTAAGGGCCCTTTCAAGCATAATATAATAAGCTTTATTCAACTGAAATTTTTCTCAATCTTAATTCCTTCAGGATATCCATGGTGTTCAACATGAAGTGGTTCCACTTTGTGTGATGGACTTCTATGTTCATCATTCAAAACAACGCAATGGTTGTGGAAAGAAACTGTTTGAACATATGTTGAAGGTACTTGCATAAATGTGCATTCACCATGCAATGCTAATAGATACTATATTAGATTAATCTCATGTTAAAAACCTGCCACTGATTTTTGGCAGAATTGTCTATTTTCAAAGAACTATAGCCTAAAAACAAAAATTTATTGTGACTAAAGATATTATTGTTAAACTCAGCAAATGTAGCCAAAAACAATGCCTTTGTCATCATCATGTCAATTTAGTAAAATACTTACTACTTCTGTTGTATGGTACATAGATTCACAATCTTCAGCCATCTCAAGTTGCAATTGATCGTCCCTCCCATAAATTTCTTTCCTTTTTGAAAAAGCACTATGGACTTCAAAATTCAATATCACAGGTATGAAAATGACATATGTGATTAAAAATATATCATCATATATCACATTTGTAGCCTATAATTAAGTTATTAACATGGTCATAAAGTGATAATGTTTAATTGTGTTTGTGTCTCACCTTGATTTAGTTGATTATTAATTTATCAGGTATATATAAAACTAATTTCAGCTAAGTGATGTGTTGTGTTTGTGTATGAGCTCCAGATGAACTGCAAATGCCCCTTCTCAGTACTATTAAGTACACAGAATGAGCCGCCATTGTTTGCATAACTTACTGATTTTTTGGTGAAGGCCGCCCAGTTGATATGAATTCCCATCTCCAACTCAACCTTGTACCCAGGGTCTTTCTCTGTGCTCATTCTGGGGGGGAAAGACCCTGGGTACGAGGTTGTCTCCAACTGTGTACCTCTTAGATTCAAAAACAATTTGAAACTCCTACATTATGTTTTGTAACCAATCATTTCTCCTTTATTAACAGCCAAACAAATTTGTAGTGTTTGATCAATTCTTCCGGGATATGAATGGTAAGTGTTTTTATGAGAGCAATTTTCATTGCAGTTTATTGATTTTTAGTATCATAAAGAACAGGATAGTTAACATTGTTAAAAATATACGTACAAATTCATCTTCGGATGTTAAGTTACCATTAACAAGGATCTAACACAAAGCTGTATTGATGTTTCAAATCTTTAGCAGTGGGTTATGTTCCCAGACGAAGCCAAAGATTAAGATCAGGCAATCAAGTCAACAATCGTCCACAAGTTCACCCTTATCGAAGAAGTTCTGGTGAGCAATCACTTCATGACTTATATAATTAATTTATATAATCCCTAAATTCTACGCTTTTACATGTAAAACACCCATGGAGTTCTTTACCTTGGGTGTGGAGCCTTGTTTACGACATTGTATATTGGGTTTGGCTGATATCAGACGCACGAAGACAATGCTTGACTGTGCGTGACACCCAACGAATTTTTCTGGGATAAACTAAATTGACTGAATAGCCCCATTAGGAAATGGAATATACCCCCATTACATATGAACTCTGTATAATGATCAAGCACCCACCTACATATTACCTGATATCAAAATTATATCAATTTTATAACCCTCGAGTCTATATTGCGCATCTTTTTGAAGCTCAATCCAGGTTTATTCGTACCCAATCTGGTCTGAGCGTTTTTATGGGAATCCACAATTTTGCAATATTTTTTGCATTGTGTGAAAACAAGCTCGCTAGCGCGTAGCGAAAACCTTGTGTATTTTTTCGGCGTCTAGTTCTCTCATCACCCGAGCACTGGACGACAAATATTTTAGGATCTCACACCTCGATCATCATCGCGATCATTAATGTCCGCGTTTTATGAAAATAATCGATCATTTAATATCCGCCCGGTTAGTTAGTAACAGAGAAGAACAGCCGCCAACACAGCAACCTGCTAGAAGATTAAGTACAAGACGTACTTCAAGAAAAGATCAACCAATGGATGTAGATGATGATGAGACAGAAATCACAAAGTCTTTTCTGCCTTCCATACCTGTCCAGCCGTCCAAACAACAGTCCACTGAAACTTTGAGATCAGCCGGCAGTGCTGGATCAAGGTAACATACGCTAATTGACGTGTTAAAATTGACGTGTAAAAACAAGGTACGAAAGGTCGTTTTCTTTAAAATAAGTACATGCCACCGTCTAATAGGAGGGAGAGAGGGGGGAGGTAAATTGCTCCTGCAACTTACTTGCATATTTTCATCGCCTAAAAAGCCTGGTCTGACTTTAAATCAATTGTGATTTTTGGCACTTCACTCGATGCAGGTAAATTCTAGAGGTTCAAAGGGTTTTAATTTCGAGTGGAATTATACACACTTCAAATTCAAGCCAGGAACAGTTGATGGAAAAATGAGTCAACTATAGATCCTCCGGCGGGAATCGAACCTACGCTTTTACGATGCCGGTGGTCTGACTTTGTTGTATCTTACAGAGAATCATCGTCACACGGTGTCAGAGGTTTGGCTGCTCAAGCCAGTCTTTACAGCAGACACAACTCTGCAGATGTTGCGACTCAACGTCATAACTCGACAGCCAATCAGCATTGGAAACGAAATGCGATTTCAGCTGGGACGAGGTCTCTACACGCATGCTCCGATGATAATCCGATGGCAATCGGTCAATCTTTTATGAATGACAGGTAAGGAAGGTAACTATACCATCTTCGTGCATCAAAAGCTTGATGAGGTTGGTAACCAACGTTAGTAAAAAGTTATCATTAGTTAAACCGTTGTTCGGCCGTAAAACAAGTACAGATATAATCCTCTATTGCACATCTTCCAGACTACCTTCCTACAGATTTCGTCCAATGCTTTCCTAAATCCTTAGATCACCGGCCAGGGAATACCACACACATGGGTTTGCAAACAGAAGGCCTATTACCCAACTCAGGCCACTCGCCAGCACAGGCCAGAGAAAATCAAACGGGCAATCATCAACAACGAGCTACACGCTGTCATCAGTGATGAGCTCACATACAAAACCAAACTCAACAAACCATGGCACATCTTGGAATATATTTGGTATTCCCCCCGTTAATACAAGCCCAAAAACATTGTATCAAGCTAAACCAGGAAGAATGTTCCCATTATGAAAATGAACATGGTCTGTAGAAAATGTATATATTCGTGTGATTTTTAAAGTATATATATAATTTTTTACATTACATACAATAAAAGCTCCATTCCATATATAATATGTATTTATAATATAGCTACTCACTGTATATGAGCTATTCCGCAATCTGATTGGTCGAGCTACCCAACGTATATGAGCTCATATACGGTGGGCAGCAAAACCAAAGAAAAAGCAAAATGGCTGACCGGTTTGATGAGGTAAATAAAGAAGAAATTGTCATAATTCTGGGGCGTGCTGTCTGGAGAGTGGAGAATACAAATGGTATTTGGCTATATTATAAAAGAATTTTACCACTCGCTTTCGTCGTATATGGGTGATAGCCGATAACTATCAGCTCATATACGACTCGAGGTCGTGGTATAATTGTTAAATATTCGAAATCTTTATCCGAAACTGTGATGATTTTGGTACTCTCTCGACGGCTTTCTCTGACTTAAAATGGTTCGTTTTGCATGTTTTCGGTTTAGAAATCATAGTTGTATTACTTTTTGTTCCGACGATGACAGTCACCCGCTTGAAAAATACATAACGTATTTGGTGATGTACGGCAACAGCTACAATGAGATGGAATAGAAGCTGGCAAAAATTTACTTGTTTTGCATACTATGAAGACCATTTTTCACTTTGACAAAAATCGCGGCATCAGGCGTAGGAGGAAAGTTTAAGTTGGGAGGTTCTCAGGCCTTCTGCGGCACTTTCATACAAAAAGGGCACTCAGTGTGACTATATATGCCGTTTGTTTATCTAAACCTGCACAAATCATGTTCAACTGCCCCCTTTTTGTCTCAATGTAATAATTCTTAAAATCAGGTGGAGTTGCTTTTACATTGAGTGCTCCGTCAAGATAATTAAAGATTATGTGCCCATAGCCGTAGGTAATCTGTAGTGAAACATTTGGAACATTTCTAGGTAACTTTGCAACCTCAATTAAAATGATAAAACAATCTAATTGTCAGTATTACCATCCTGTGCCATTCTTGTTGCGCGGTTATCGCAGAGGTAAGCCAAAAAGCTTCTTGAAAAATCATTTTAAAGCTTCTGTAGCGGAATTCGCAATATTTAACAATTAGAATCTTGTACTTAAGATTCTCATTACCAATTAAATCGTATTTATGTTTCATTGTACCATAGACCCGATTTACCGTAAATGATCGATTAAGCGCCGCTACTCGAATAAGCGCCGTTGTCGAATAAGCGCCGCACCTCAATAAAAAAATTAATAAGCGCCGCTGTTGAATAAGCGCCGCGGCGCCTAATTAGGAAGATATAAATAAACGCTAAAAAATGTAGAAATAAACGATGATAACAAGATCGTTTGTTTCGAGATGACCAGCCTTGCTCAATCGGTAGAGATATGCTCAAGACTCAGGCATCCATGCTGTTAGAACCTGCATGATGATGATCCTGCTCTTGCTCCTCTGACTGGCGAGGTTCTTCCATCCAGTGCTAACTCAACCGATGACGCCAGAGTGGACGGACATTGCTGCGAGAGGTTTCTGGCAGAGATGTGAAAAGGCATTTTTTGATGTAAGGGTGTTTAACCCATACGCCTCTACACATCGACGCCAGACGTTGAGCAGCTCGTTTAAAGCCAACGAACGGGAAAAGAAGCGACATTACAACCAACGGATTGTTGAGGTCGAGCATGGCTCCTTCACACCGGTCGTCTTCAGCGCCTTTGGCGGATGCGGAAGAGAGACCCAACATTTTCTCTCCTTCCTGGGTGCGAAGCTGGCTGACAAGAAGAATCATTCTCCATCTATGGTGGTTAGCTGGTTACGACGAAAGATCGCCTTTGCTTTGCTTAGAGCTCGCGTGGTGTGTGTTCGTGGCAGTCGAAGTTGGAGGACTGCGTCCATCACATCAACTAATGACATTACGTTGTCGGAATGGAACTCCAACATTAGCGAGTAGTCTAGTTAAGTTGTTTTTGTAAATAGTCTGTAGAACTATTATACTTAGTTTTAATGCATGATTGATTATTGTAAATTTCCCTAGTACTAATAATGTGAATAAATTATACGAGTATCAGGTGGAAAAAAACAAACAGAATCCGATGTTGAAGATGCCAGTGATGCAAGCCAGATCATTGACAGTGACAAAGAAACTGATGAGGACATTGACGTTGACTAAAATTCTAATTTTGTGTCTTACATTTATTAAAAGGGGATATAATAAAATGTGTTAGGGTTACAGTTAGTTCGTTCATAATAAAACTATTGGAGCCTTCCGGTACGTGCTAGTCTATTTGCTCACTTTGAAATAAACGCCGCTGTCGAATAAGCGCCGCTGTCAAATAAGCGCCGCGTCTTTAAGCTCGCTATTTGCAATAAGCGCCGCGGCGCTTAATCGATTATTTACGGTATACTAGAAGTGGATGATACGTCTGAACGACAAATATAGACGAATTATGTAGACGAATATGTCACACCACGAAACAGAATCGCGCGTTTAGAAACTGCACAGGAATTGGAAAATTATTTATGTGGTAAAAAGAGTTCTTTTTATTATCAGCTGCGATAATCTGGAGCAAATTGCTCAAATACAGAAGAATAAAGTCTTTTCGTGCGAAAAACATCGATAACATAACAATTACCCTTCATAATATTTAAATTTATATATATGAATCAGTTTATATTTTAAGACCGATTTTGGACTTTTTTACCAATTTTGCATGTGTTAATTGGCAGTGGTTTGCCAGACGTTCTGGTATATAATAATAACTCAAAATACATGTTCACAAGTCTATTAGTAGTGTGAAAATTTACGGTAAAACTAGAGCGTATATGTGGAGACTGACTAATTACGACTGATGTCTGTAAAATATAGAATATAATCAGATGTTTGTGCCTGAAAATACAAAATACCTGCATGCGCGAAAAATGGACAGTACACCGTCCCTCCCCTCCCGGCTCGTATACGCTTATACATGCTCTCCAATTTGTCTAACAGTCTCGGTATACTTAAGACTATTAGACTGAAGGCCGTCTTCCACTTCAATCGTAGCGAAAGGTAGCGTATCTCATTATTTTAAATTAGTTCTGGTCGAATACTTCGGAAGCAAAGAAATACGCTACTTTACGTTACGATACGCCCGGTTGAAGGCTCACTCTAACTCATTGAGTGGGAAATCTCAATGTTCTCCAACCTCGTACCCAGGGTCTTTACTCTATTCGTGGGGAGTACGAGTAGAGTAAAGACCCTGGGTACGAGGTTGAATGTTCTCATAGTTTCCATGGCAGTGTTTCCACTCAAATAGGAACTCGATTTTCTGTGTTTTACCTTGAATCTTTCACTGATTAATACGTACGATTAATACAGAACTTTCTCATTAATCAGTAATAACAAAATTTCTATGTCACACTCAATGAGTATGAGTATGCTTTTTGAATAAAGGCGTAAGAATGTAACCCTATGGACCTTGCGCTTTAGACCGCTAATTTTTGATCGAAGTAACTAGAAGAAACTAAATCATCACAGCTAGAAACGTCTTACTTAAATTAGTGCAAATGCAAAGTTTGGCTGCGAAATTTTGTAAATTACGGAAAATATAGCCATGCGAAGTTGGCAAATTTTGTATACTTTAGTATTACGCGTGGAAATGTGTAACTAAATTAGTTACACACTTTCGGCCGTAATACAAAAGTATACAACATTCGTGAGCTTCGCATGGCTATATTTTCCGTATTTACAACAATTCGTAGCCAAACTTGGCAGTTTTCCTAATTTTAGTAAGCTCTTTCAGAAAATGTCTTTCGGAAAATCTTTTTATCGCCGAGGTAAGAAATACGTCTAAAGCTCAAGTCGTCCATTAAAGGAGATAAGCAATTACTGTCAATTTGCTACATATCATAATTCTATGAGATAGAAATGGAACCTGTGCTATTCCCCGCACGAAGAGAGTGCTTTAAAACCTTTATTTTATGTTTAATCCTCTCTTTTAAGGCTAGGTAATTCGCAGTTTTTTGTGTAAGACTTTCTTCAGCCCAAATCGTGTCGAACACAAACGGTATCAACACGCCCGCGATCGCCGTTATCACTTGCACACTTTCCGTGACTCCAGAGTCCCGCGCCAAAGTCATCACGTTGTACATCACAAAGGCATAAACAGAAACAAAAGTTACTCTTCTGAAAAAATGGAATAGAAGTTCGTTTAACGGAAGTTCGTCCTTATAAATTTCGTTGTAAAAACCTTTCGGAATCATTGCTTCGCCATCACGATCAAATTTGATAGTTTCGTCAATTTTTTCATCCATTTCCCTTGGACTCTGGTCTCTTGGTGACGTACTGTTTTCCAAGTTAGATGGTCGTATGTGGCGCAGATCTTCACGTTGAGCAGATGTTGAAAGATCCCTAGAAGTGTTTTGTGAATTTCGCTTGTTGCCCGATGTTGCTTCCGTCAGTTCCGTGACATCTGTTGTTGATTGACATAAAGAGCATATCCTTTCTTTAGGACTGTTGTAACTGTTAGGGTAACTGTTATTTGCTTCGTTTCCACCCATCATTCCTGACGATCTAAATTCATTTTCAGTCTTCTCGGCAGAGGCTTGGTCTTTACAAATCTCGACAATTGCTGTCTTAAGTTCTAAATATTTTGTTTCCACTGAAAACTTCCAATTTCTCCAAAAGTAAATAAATATAGTTACGATCGGCGCCACAAATGGATTAAAGAATTCACCGTTAAGAAGAAGACCAACAACAATTGAAACGGTGAATATAAAAACACTGCTAGTAAATAAGGCAATCATTGGGAAGGTAAGCAATCTCATACAAAATAAAACTGAATATTCAAAACCGCACAGCGCCCACAGCCACCAGGGACCGCCATCTTTTTTGTCACACTTTATACAAAATGCGTAGGAATTTAAAAAATCAAACATAATAAAAAAGAGCAAATTTAAAGCAACTAGAAGCAAAGCGAGAACACTAGCTAAAAGTAAAATGAATATAACAGGTATGGCAATTATCAAATTTATGAATGGCTTAAAAGGTGTACCATCTTCGATAATTTTATTAATATTGATATCTAATTTTGACTGAATATAAGTTATAAAACTGAAATACTTAGAAAAACGTTTTGTGAGGTCGGTGATTAAGATTGTACCTAACGGACTTTTAGCACATTTTTTGTGCTTTTCGTTAAATTTGAATATATCATATAAAATAAAGAAGATTCCCCACACAAAAAATATGATTTTCAACCACAAAAATCGATAAAAGTCGGCTCGAAGAAACAGAACGAAGTATAAAAACAATACGATAATTGATCTACGCAGCATCGGCACCCCCCATCCACTCTTTCCGAATAATATCCTAGATGCAATAGAGAGAAGCGACATATGACTTTCAGATGTTTTATAAAAGTCATTTGACGGAAAAAATCGTATATATTCGAGAACAAAAGGTAACACCAAGAAGAAAGATAAAAAGAAAACCGCTATCACAAATGGAAGAGCGTGTTTGACCACAGGAGATGTGTAATCATCGCAAACTGTCAAGTTTCTTCGATCAGTGATTCTACAGCAATTGTATACCGTCCAGGGGGATGTTTCGTCTTGTTGTGCTTTACATAGCCCATAAGACAGGGTACTGTCACTGCGAGAGAGCTGCTCCAGAAGAAATTTAAAAATTTCATTTGAGCCCTTTTCGCCATCTTGTAAACAACCAACACTTTTTTCGACTACTTCAATGTTCACATACTTAGTCCAAACAGATAATATCTTAGTATATACTGGAGATGCAAAAATGAACTCATTTGCTCTGGTAACCAATGTAACTATAGTCCGACCAATTTCACTCGCCCATGGCCACTTCATTTTTGGAAAACGTCGGCATTTATTTTCGGAAACAAGCGAGACTTCTATTTCAACAATATTTACAGTGCGAATGTACATTAACTCTAGTACATCTTCGAAATTCGAAGGTTGCAGAAGTTTGAATGATTTCTTTGATTTGTTTTGTTCGGGGCAAGGCGATAGCTGTGGTTTTTTCGGTAAAACAGGAACGTGGAATTTGATGAATTGGCCAAAGAAGTACTTAGATTACTCAATGAATTTTTGACAGTTGAATTTGTTGAAATCAGCAAATCACTGGCTGGTGCTATTAAATTCATATATTCACCTCTTGGACTTGTTGAATTTACCAAATCAACGCTCTGCTTTCGACCAGTTAAATTTCTCAAGTTAACGGTTGAGATTGCTGCATTATACACAGGTGTTGTACACCATTGCAAAATCATCGTTGTAAAAAGGTAACAAATTGCCAAAGCCATCTCAAATTGATGTCATTAATTTTTTTATCCCAGTCCTATGTTTTGAAAAAACACAAAACCCTGATTTACCGTCTACCGATTCAGAAAACTTAAAACTTATGATATATTTCATGCGCACATTTTCATTTAAACTTAGGAGGTATAGAGTGATCTGGGTCTGGGGCCGGTTGTTCCAAAGGCGTTTAGCTTTAACGGTGGATAAGTTCAAAGTGGAAAACAAAACGATCGATTTATTGAACAACTGAGCTGAAATATTTCGATGTAAATAGTTTAATTTTCAACGAAAGAATATATTTAATGCATAATGTAGTTTCAGTCATTCACAAGATGTATGAGAGCATTTTTAAACTTTGGCTTAACCACCGTTTAAGCTAAACGCCTTTCGAACAACCGGCCCCGGAATTTTACATGACTTAAGACAAGCAGGGAACTTAAATCGTCCGACAGGAATCGAGCCGACTCAGCTATACAGAGAAAGTTCGTTGTTCGGCAGAATCCCATGAAACTGCATGTTAGTGTTAATTCAAAGCCACTGAGAAATACCAAAGTAGCCAAAATGTATTTTCATATATGTTGGCCCTATACTCCTGGAGCAATTATTGATTTCTATAACTTCATAACTCATAAGAGCAGGGACATGTATTTAGATAATAACTATTTAGATGAAATAACGCTGTGGAATTTGTTTGAAGGTTACATGCAGCGCGGCCACAGCAGGAGGTGATTTTCGTTTTTCGAGTAAACTTTGTGCATTATATTTCTATGAACGTGACAAAGTATATTTCCTAATTAGGCCGCCAATGCATCTCAGCTTGAATAAAAATGACTAAATAAAATATAGCGGATAGGTTTTTTATACAGCGTATAAGTTACGTAATTGACATAAGACGTTGACCACGTTTTTAAAATAGATCGTTTTAGATTAAAAGAACAGTCAAGACATTTTTACCTCATTCATAGTTAGGAAACCATCGCAGTCATTCGTAAAGCGACTCCGACAAATCTTTCAGTTTTACCAGTACTGTATGAGAAATTTCGTCACCACTTTTATTTATTACCAGTTTCGTTTTCTCAGTTTTACGACAGATCTCGATTTTTAACTTAAAGACTTTATCTACAAGATCTTTTAACGTTTTCAAACATAACACCTAATCGTCGTACAAAAAATGGCAGTAGTCATATAATTATATACGAAGTCTTTATGAATTGTTTGTTCCTTCAACGTTCTGGACGATAATTAACTATTCGAATACATTATAATTGTTTGATTAGTTTCCGAACAATATATACGGTCACAACCAAATGACGCATCGCGTCAGCCAATTACGTTTTAGTCAAAAGATAAACAATCCAAAAGACATGCAGTTTTTGGATTGTCTATGGTCAAAATCACCGAAGCATGTTTTGTTGCCTAGAAACTTCGGTGTTATCAAATATACTGATATACCATTATAGATTTTCATTACGAAAATAAGTTTCGTTCTAACTTATAAACCAGCGTAAATTTTTAAAAGAGGTCGGAGTAATTAGGGTACATTCTTGTAAACAAATTTAGTCGGATGAATCTGTTTTTCAATTTACATTTCGCATTACGAGTTGCATACAATACTCCATTGGAGTTATAATCCATGCATGTACCGTGAAATATCACTATTGATATACAAAAACAAATTATCACCAGCTATAGGTTCTCCGTTGCGACAAATTCCCCATAAACTAATAGTCACCAAAAATTACATTCACGAATTTAGGGTCCTGGACGAATGTAATATGTAATCTTTGTCTATTTGTCTATGTAATCTTTTTGTGGTGAATGCTCTCACTATTTAAACCATAGTAGTGTTAATAAAGCGATGGATATATAGGGTATATTACTACACAATTATCAGTTTTTCGTTAAATGCTGTAAAACGGGATACCACAATTTGTATTCCATATACCTACTACCATTTTTCAGAATGCTATCTATTTCCTCTCGGAATAATAGGTGGTGGAATTACATTAAGTTTGTTTCTTAACGAGTCTAAAGGTTCATTGAAATGTTTTTCAACGTAGAGGTTCATAAAAAAGCTTGCACGATATCCTGTGTATACAGCCCACGGTATATAAATCCTCGCTAGCCTCTCCTGCTGACTGCAACAAAAGAAAAACATGTTTTTTTCCTTCAACTTGCACGTTTTTTAGTGGGCACAACGTAATTTAGCTATATTCTCTAAGCCAAAGCCCGTTTCAGACGTCGAACTTTTCCTGTACCGAATCGAATGCAAACGAACTTACACAAAGACTTTAGCTCAATAACATTAGGTTCGGCACATGAAAATTGAAAAAGTTCGACGTCTGAAACGGTCTTAGTCTTAAAGTATTATTATTATAATATCATTCATTTCACTTGAAAGTTTTTTTTTCTCGTTTCATTTTGGTCTTTTTTTCGTCATAATCAGAAACATCACAGACAGAACGGGTGCATAGGAGAGTATAGCTACTAGATATTAGCACTGTGATATATAATCATTTCTCTAAGAAACATTACCTGCGCTTTAGCCTGAGAGGTGCAAGTAGGGAACCAAATGTACACATGGGTAGACCAGTTTGAACCATTTCGAACCATTTTACTGTAATTTCACCAATAATACTGCAAAACAAAATTAAAATGATATGACACTAACACTGTCATTGGACTGTATATCGGAATTACGAGTGTATACGGTTCAAAAAATCAATTCCTATTGGAGTTCCATTTTTCGCAATGTTTCGGAGTCTTAGAATTTTTTATGTACGTTGCAATTTCATGATTTTTTATCTCAAAATCAGAAGTCTTTAAAAACCAGTATAGAAATTAGGTTTTACGTCATGTGAAAGATAGCAAGGTTTCGACAAAAACTAACGAAATAACGATGATGATGATATGACTTACTTTGTGGGCATTCCCAATAAAGTGTGGGTGAAGTCGTGTATTTCACGATATCTCTGCATGATGTAGGCTAGTTCAGGATCATCAACAAATCGTACCTTGAATTGTAGAGAAAAGACGACTATGACAAACTGAGGGAATTTCATGATGAAACACTGGGGCGTAACTTACCGGGAGTCTGGTGTCCGGAGTCACTCTCTAAAGATAGGGAACGAAAGCAATAAGTTCACTGGAACAGACACAATAGATTAATCTTAATTTTACTTACATTCTTAGCTAAAAACTTTGTATACTCTTTTCCAAAAGTTCCCTCGGGTAGTTCACGTAATGAAGGGACATCAATTGTTGACGTATTAATTCTTGGTTGCTCTCTATCACAAGAGGTTCGCAAAGTAATATTACTTTCTTCATGGATCATTATTTGTGAATCTATTTCAACATAATAGCTATTTGAGCTCAATGCTTTATGCCTGTCCCTATAGGAGAATAATCAGTATATTGGATGGAAGCTAGCTTATATACACCCTTTTGTTATGATGGCCACCCAAATAGAAGTTTATCAACCACCTGAGTTGATTTCCGATCAAAATCTCACAGGCAAAGAAAAACTTTTTAAAGAAATAATCTGACAAAATATTTTGCTTAGTAAGTTAAATATGAATGCCATGTTGGATATATTACAGATTATTTTTGCTGTGTGTGATATGCCCAGTAACTATTTTTTGCATGATTGAAAAGACTCAACACTCACTAGACTTAATAGTAATGATCCAATTAATGCAAGATTGGTATATGAGCATAGCTGAACATCAGAACATGTTGTCAGACTAATTTACCGTAGAATTTGTTGTCCTTCGTCATTTAGCTGCATTGATCTTCTTATTCTCTTTAAGGCCAGGTACCCTGTGCTCTCACCAAGCACAGCTATCATATCTAGACATCAAGTACTTTCATGTTATTGAATGGTTGTAATATTAAATATGATACAAAGTCTATTCTTGGCCTAGGAATATCCAAGGTCACCATAAAATATAGCATAGCTAGGTCAATAACAGCTTGCACATGGTGATGATGATGAATTATACTGTATGATTAAGCTTTTGGTTTTTTAAAATTGCTTTGTTTGTGACTATTATTAGGGTTCATTGCCGTTCTGAAATTTATTTCCATTCATGGTGATAAGGTATTTCACTCTTAACCAATTTCATCGGGCATTCTGATGTATCTTGCTCAATCTAATGACAGACCATTTTTTGTATGTCAATAGAAAAGTGCTGTCAAGGGTGGTATTTCTAAAACTAACCATCTCGTTTTGGATCAAGAAAGGCGGCAAACCCAGATCCAACAGCTAATAAACCTTTTTGCAACCAAGTGGTTGGGATATGATTAGGGTACAAGATTTCTTCATCACTATATTCTGAATCTTCAAATTCATTTTCCACTGATATATTTTTTATTTCTAAAGATACAAAATGCTTTCTGGTCAATGGAAAGTAGGAGGGGGAGGTGATGGTATTAAAGTGGTTCAACAGGTGAGTTGCTTCACACAAATGAAATCTTACCATGCAATGCTTCTGTTGAAAACAATCTTGCCATGTACCTTCCTGCACATTTTGTACAAAAATTTATCTGCACAAAACGGATAGTACAAGCCATATTTATACTTTTACAAACAGAGTCTGCAAACACAGGAACTATTTCATGATAAAATTGATATAAATAAAATCTCAGAATTTTAAAGAATATTTTTCTGTGAAATGGGGTACTTCATGTAAGCATGCTATTTTCGGTCAGGCAATGTGGTTGTGTAACTACGCAGTGGTCTGGTACTATTGTTTGAATAATTTATTATTTTTCGCCACGTATGCATGTATATATCTGGATAAAAAATCATATCAGTTACAAATTATATTTGCTCTAGTAATTTACAGCAAACAGACTTCTCCTTTGTAAAAATAAACTAATAGCAGAGACTGCAGAGTCGATTAGATACCCAACATAATTATAATGGTGTTGAGGACACAATTTAAAAGTTTTGAACAATTAGCACAAAGATCTTTTTAAAATTGTTACAACTATGACCTTTCGTTAGGACCGTTTTACAAGCTCTGTTGTTCCAGACACTTATTTAGTTTGTCTCTTCCTATTTGTGAAAATATTCTCGCAAGAAATGTGTCTTGGACTCTTGGCGAATGGTGGAAAACAGAATGCCCACGATTTTCTTTCAAATTTTAAAAGACTTGCCATTTGGATCAATTGATGATTGATGGGTGTCATTGTATAAATTATTTATATGTTTTCATCGAATACAAAAGTATTTATAATTATATTGTTCTTCATTTGGTGTATCATTGATTGCTCTTAAATTTGTATAATTTACATTTCTGGCTCCTATTTAATAAGAACAATGTGTAAGAAATTATCAGGATAACTAAAATGTTCACTAAGCCATTGTAAGGGGGTTTCCAGTGGTGGCTGAATGCCGTGAATGACTATTTTTATTGATTGGAAGTCTTCTTCTGTCGAGAACATCGTTGGTAATGTTTCCATCATGAGGTGTTTCAATGTCTGAGATTCCCCTAAAAAAGACGAGTTTTCAGCAACGGTTCACACAGTTACATATTCTGAGATTGATTGGCGCCTATGAAAAGACCTGGTTGAAAGAAGACGAGTGTTCACTGTTCAGATGCGAGTTGTTGAATGAATATATTCCAAGGTACCTATCGAACGAGTTTTATTTAAAGAAGCAGTTACAAAAGTTGCATCTTTCAATTTTTAATTGATTTTTATTTTACCGGAGCACGTTTTGACAGCATATCAGAAAAAAAAGATTATGAATAAAAACAAGTTTGTCAAGAATCAATTGGCAAAGTTTTGACAAGTTAAAAAACGACAGACAAAACACTTTGCAGGAAAGAATACCACAAAGTTGATTTGTTAGACAAATCAATAGAACGACGGATAATGAGATGACTGATCATCGGTAAGACGATGGATAGCAGGACACGGATCCGTGAGACGATGGATCATGAGAGGATTGGTCAGTAAGACGATGGATAGAGAAGACGGCCGGATGATGGCCCAGATTAGTGAGACGATGGATAATGAGAGACGGATCAGTAAGATGATGGATAGATAGTGAGATGACGGATCGGTAAGACGATAGTTAATAAGAAGATGGATCGGTGGAAAAATGGACTGTGAGTCCTTAGATAGTTTAATTGTAGGTAGAGGTAAAGTAAGAAAGAAATAAAGACATCAACGTAGAATCATCTTTTGATGAGGAAAAATAGGGAATTGCCATTGATTTTTTTGCTTATTTAGTTTCCTTGTTTTTATTACATAGCTATAATTTCCTTATATGTTCCAGTATAAATGCTGATATTTCAATTGGTCTTAACACCAACCTGATTCATTTACAGGTTTTGCAAGTTTCTGTATAAATACTTTGTCACACTAAAGCAAAAGAAAACATTATTCTGTCTACATGATAATAGTATGATGCATTCAGGATTACTAATGAAATTATCATTTAATCACAAAAATATCATCATTGATAACATTTCTGTTGGACATATAAAATACCTGATGAATTCTAAATGGAATATGTTTAAACAATTCTTCTCCCAATCTTTCCATTAGTCTCTTATTTACAGACCAAAATTGTTCAAATTTGTCTACAAGATTAAGTTAAAAAATGCTGATTGAAAAATATTGATATGTATTTAATGAGCAGGCATAAAAAAGAAATTTGCTGATCATAAAATAGAGATGTATGTACAGTACATATTAAGCATAAGTGTAATGTTATCCTACCATTGTTCAAACCAAGCCATAATTGTTTATGATCTTTCTTTTGCATGGAATTAATTATCTGTGATTTGTGCTTTAGGGAATCAGCCTTAAAAACAAAATTGTTTAATATTTTGTATAAAGTAATTCTTTTTATCTAGTTATTTTTTCTTTAATCCCAATCTATTGCATTAATTGTTCTTATCCATTTGTGGCCATACGTAATAAAATTCACACTTTTTTGATTATACATGTACCTCTTTAACAGCAGACATAAAAAAGGATTCTACAACCTCTTTGCTTTCACAACGAATTAGTTCATCTTCTGGGAAGTCCTGTTAAAAATATAGAATTTAAATAGAAAAAACTTAACGATCGAAAAACCTATGGTATATACTGTATTCTATTTATATTTTAAGGTCATGTACCTCAAAATGAACTGTGATATTCCAAGGAAGTAATTTATGTGAGCCATATAAGTCAAACAATACTCCAATTGGATAGTGCCTAGATATGAGAAACCAATTACCATATTTACTGTATACTGTTTTGCAAAATTTTGTAAACGACTTTACTGGCACTAATTAAATGTGTCTTTATTCTGGCTATAGCTTGTAGAGGAATTACCATTTGAGAGGCTGTCCATTGAAATCAAACCAAATACTGGTAGTGTTCATGTCTGGTTTGATGGAATGTTGAAAATGTTTGGTTACTTTATCGGTGACCACAGGGAGATAACTGACTCTTGGTAAGAGTAACTATCAATTAAAATTATTAGAACAATTAATTATTACATGCAAGGAAAGATTGCCTTAATTTGTAAACAATGATTGAATAATTGGAATTCCTCACCAGGTTTAATACCTGGCCATCAGGCCATGGTTGATCAATCATTGGCTATTAGTTCAATGGTTGGTAGATTAGTCAGTTATTTTGTTGGTTTAATAGCTGTGCAAAACTAACGAGCCATTCAAACTTTACGTAACATAGACAGACTCATAAGGCTGTAAATCCCAAGGAACTCTATACAGAACTTACATAAAACGGTTCTGGTTGTTCCAACGTGAACACTTCGTCTGCATTTAATGTGAAACAAACAGGAATTCGTCCGTCCCATAAAATTCTCAGTACTTCTCTATCATCTGCCATGTTTAATTACTTGTTTTTTTACAAATTTATTACTAATCCAATCTAAAAGACTCCAAACTTGAACGGATTCAGATATTCCAGTATATACTGTGAAGTGTGAACGCAAAGTTTTTTCGGTTGGAATTGTTTTCATTTACAACAAAACTGAAATAATTTGCTATTTCGAATACAACTTTCCGCTTCACATCTCGGAAACAAACACCCGAGTCGTTTTTTTAGCCAGCAGTAAGGAAATCTGACATCTGAATTTGAGCCCCTACCCAGTGGCCCCTATTCCAAAAATTAAATTCAAAAAATCCCAAAAAACAGATAGACAAGACAATTCAATTACAATATTACAAAATGATGTATGTTATATAACCTATATTTGAATTATAGGCTATAGCAATCCAGAGTCTTCAGGGGGCACGTCACCGCACGTGCCCTCCCCAAAAGGCCCAAAATACTATTTTAAAATCGATTTTTGTTTTCTGCGTATGCCCACATACATTTGCCCAAATTCTTTTTTAGAGCATAAATATCTTCACTAACCAATAAGCAGGAAAGCTAAGGAAATTTTGGGCATCGACAGGAATACGCAAAATTTATAGGGGTAAAAAATGTCGTGATTGCATCATTGCATTTACAGCATGGGTTGATTTTTGGTACTTCGTTGATAAATTTTTAGATTTGTATTTAGACTAATGGCTAATAGGGTTTCTACTAAGCTGTCAATTTACAAAACACACTGCTGCATGAGCAGGTCACATTTGGTCGAAAAATTCAGATTATTTCCTCATCAAACAAAAGCAAAACAAAAGTATTTGTTGGATTTTGATGCTGCCAACAGAATTGCATCAAAACTTAACGTTGCAAATTCATTGGTGTATGAATGTAATCCAGGAGCAGGAGTTCTCACTCGGGCATTGTTAAATCATGGTGCTATGAAAGTTGTTGGTCTGGAACACAATCGCAAGTTCTTGCCATTTCTAGAAGAACTGGAAGTTGAATCAAATGATAGGTTTATGGTTGAGTATGCTGATATTGGCAAACTTGATGTGGCTGGCCCTGGAATACCTCCAGCAATTAGCTCACACAAACTATTAGAAGGCGTGAAAAAAGTACCCTGGACAAGCAAACAACCAGTTGCAAAGCTTATTGGTATTGAGAAAGAAAAAACAGCTCCAGCTAATTTAATGAATCTGCTTCTGCACATGCTAAGACGTAGTGGATTGTTTAGCCATGGTCGGATTGAAATTGCATTACTGTTTACAGAGGATCGTGCACAAAAACTGCTTGCTCAACCGGGGGATTTCTTGTATAACAGACTAGCTATATTAGCTGGGATGCTATGTGATGTGAGATTACTTCATGTGGAATCAAATGTGTTGTTCGATCCATTGCCAGCTACTGGTTATTCCAACACACCTCCTAAGATACATTTGATAAGTTTGTTGCCCAAACAGAATTTCCAACTTCAAATTCATCCACATTGTATTCTGATGATACCAAAGTTCTTAAAATTGTTGACAATGAAAACAAGCCAGCCTTTAGCTCGTGCTATGGAAAGTATATCCCCAGGTTCAAGTGTTCTCTTGGGAAATCTGGGTTTATCAAAAAAAATTAAACCAATGGATTTAACTCCAACACAGTATAAGTTGCTTTTTGAAACGTTTTTCAATTGGGATGACAGCATGTTGGATTTTTTAATGGAATAGTAGAAGTCATTCACTGGCATTGCTAAATTGTTTCACTGATTATTATTTAAATGTATACAGTATATATTATTTTAACTTGTGATTGTTCATATTATTATTAAATAGGAGATGACTTGTCTCTTGGCCTCATTGAAAACGTATACTTTAACAAATGCCTAGAATAAATTGTAGATTGGTATTGATACAACACAGTGTTTGGATAAAATCACTTTAGAACATAATAGTTTTCAGTAAATTTTTATTTGGTGTTCAAGGCAATCTCAAGTTCATTTTTGTTGTTGAAAAACAGCGAAATATTTACTGTACCAAATGCATAATTCGATGTTATATGATATGGTATGATATTGTACGATACTATTTGATGCTATATGATACGGTATGATACGATATGATGCTGTTGGGTATGATGTGATACGACATGATAAATTGTGATAATTACTAGATGGAATTTTTAATTACGTCCGCGCGGGAAAATCCAATATGGCCGCGAATTTGCCTTCCACAACCATCCTTACAAGGTAAGAAATATGTTAAATAAGGATAGAAGATAGTGCTTGTTTTCAATAATTCATCACTATAGTTAATAGGATGATCTGTGTTGAATTTCGACAGTACAAATGAACCGTTGACAATTCACCAACGAAAACATAGTCAATACTTTTAATTTTGGATTCTAAATTTCATATACAGTAGTTCTAGCTTGTTAGTTGTTATTAACGTATTATGTTAACATCACATAAATACAAGCGTAAACATGCCAGTAAACTGTATCAGTGCATACTTGAATAAACTCCTTCCTATAGATTTTTTGTATTTAAGGTATTAAAGTGTAAAATATTCAGAATGATCCATTTATTCATTTCTAATTTTCTATAATTCATTATTATTCTTAGGTCACAGTCAAGAAAGCGAAAAACTGATTTTGGTCAGGTACAAGCCCTTTTGACCCACAGCTTTTGAATAGCTTTTGGTGTCAGTTTCTACATGCTTAACTTGGGAATTATTTTAGATTGAAAACAAAGAAGAAAATGACTCGGGTTTTCGGTTCTCAAGACAAAGTAAAAGATTGAGACAAAAAGTAAGAGAATTTGTATGCTCATGAACTGACACATTCTAAAATTTTATTAATGACTAAAGCACAAAGCTTGTTTATGCTTCATGGTCTGATAACTCTGACATTGTTTGGTTGCAGGATAAAAAATCTTCAGACAATAAAGATAATGCAAAAGAAGTGAAAAGAAGGAGGTCAAGTTTTATACGGGGAAGAAAAATTCATTCACCTTTAGAAATTTGTCAGCCTAAAAGAGTAGCAGCTGTTCAGGGTATGTTCTTGTGTCTTGTTTGGAGTAAAAACAAACTTGTTGCCCCATTTTGGTTCATGTTACGTTCCTGTTGAAAAACATTCCAACTCATTTGTTTTAAAAATTTCATTTATGTCTACAAACACAGCAGTAAACCAAAACAAGTCATTTGTACATGTACATTTTTGGTGTTTGCATGATATGTAACATGGTGCAAATGGAGCAATGAAAGTATAGCTGACAAAATTTATTAAGTAATGAGAAAATTTTTAATTCACAATTTTATTTGCATGGCCATGTTTCCTATTAACCAATTAACAAATTGTGACCCTTAACCTCTCTCACTCAATATTCTCTTATAAATGTGATAATTTTATTTTAACAAGACTTGTATAAGGAAATTCCGACTGATTTGAGTCCAGATGGAACACTGCTCCAGTTATTTGATAAAAGTTTGTTGGTAAGTATACAGAAGCAATGCAAGAACATAGGCTTGTTTTGTACCTATGGCAAAATAACACTGACATGAATATAAAGAAAAAATATGGATATATATAAAAACTGATGTGTATAGTAGAAATGAGGAACATCAAATTTGTTGTGAATTACAAAAAATTCTGGCACACCTTAAAGGAATTTGGAAAGTTTGTATCCAGGGGCCAGTTGTATAAAAGCGCCAGATATCCACAAAAAATCACTGGACAGTGGTTTTTTAATCGCTTTAAAATCGCCTGTTGTTTGATTAAATCTTAGTATTCCTAAATCGAGGAGCCTCTTTAATAATTGTTGGTTCCAAAGATGAAATTTTATCGTGTTTCAAGCATTTTTAGGACAGTTGAAAAAAATCACTATCCGGTGGTATCCAGTATAGTGCTATCCAGCTTTCATACAACCGACCCCAGAATATTATCCATTGTGGTGGTATCGATTGATATTGAAATGATTTTTGTAGCACATGTGTGAAAATGCTAAAGATGAAAAGTACATCAACATTCCTAATTTTGCTGAAAAAGGTGAGTACAGTATAATCAGGTATTTAAAAGCCTATTTAAATGATATAAAGAATACCTAGAAGACTATTTGACAATCATATTCTAATTTCTAGTCAAGCAAATTGTTTTGCATCTTCAAACCACATTAAAGAATTCTGATGTTTGGAAATGTGCTGCTGAACAGAAATGTGAAGTCATTGAGAGGTAAAACCATGTAAGATTCAACAATACAGCCAAGGAAACGAACAAACTTGGTATATCTACTTAGCCTGAAACCTATGGTAGTATGGGTTAAGAAACTGCACTTTTGTAGCAATCTGAAAGTGTCCTAAAATCAACAATTATATTTATACTTATATTCTTTGTCAATTTTCAATCAAGAGTGATTGTGCCGAATCCAAAGGCCCAACAGCTTGAAGAGTATGCGAAGAAAAGTCAAGAAACCACAGAGAGGTATTAGTTTTTTTCTTGCAATACTGAGATTCCCATAAAGCGCAGGCAGAATATTCGTTGTTTTTTAACTATATTCTGTAAACACCCACAGGCTACAGTTCACTGGTCTACAGACATTTCTGAAACACCATCACAATAACAGCAATATTATTATGTTACACCCCTTCTTTGTCTGAATTAACACTCAAACCATAAAAGGATATAAGTACATATATTTGATAACACAAAGGCTATGTGCACACGGTAACGTTTCGAGCTTTTTCGCAATCGTTTTCACGCCAAAACGGTTTCAAACACCGTCAATTTAAAATAGAAGTTGAAACTAATTTAAGAATAAAGCGTATTTCTCCTTGGATCGTGTGGACAGGGCGTCTAAACGATAAAATAGACCAAAACGATTTTGAAAACGCTCGAAAACGACGCTAGCTCGTATGCACATAGCCTAATATGGTCCTCTCACGATACGAATGATTAAAACATCGATTTAAATTTTTGTGATTCCTGTCTTAGAATGTCTAAAGAGGAGAAGGGCTGGGAGGAAATTCTTGAAAAATATCAAAACGAGGTTCCATCAACAGAAAGGTATTTGTTATTGTTTTTGCTATTCAAGTGACCACCATCAGAAAGTAATTTACTGTACGTTTTCCATCATTGTAATTGCAGAGAGCTGATCGAGTCGTATGGTCAAATCAGCAAGGATTGTTTATCTGCCGAACAAAATGTATTTCTGGAGAGTATACAGCCTGATAAAGACATGTTTGATAACCTGGACAGATTAAAGAATGAATCGATCCTTATGGTAGGTGTTGTTTAATTACCAGTCCAATGATGGTGGATTTAGCTACTAGGAGGATGCATGGTGGACAATTATAATTAAACGAAAACCAATCCTTATCAAAGAGTCGCTTTGAACCTTCGTCAATCTCAATAAACCTTAAGCAGTGCATGATTACCGGTACGTCACACAATTAATCTATATGAGTAGAGTTTGGCACCATCCTTTCCGATAAGTATACAAGTCCCGCCACGCACCGGTTAGTTTGGGGGATATAAATAGACTATTCCAACAAACTATCTTAAAACGCATTCCTAGATTGACAAAATTGCCACGACCGCGTTAACAGTTAAAGCAATAAACGATGCTGCAAAACAATACCTGGAGGATGTTAAAGGTACTTAATATTCTACAATATCGTACTGTTTATACATCTTAAGATGACTTGATTTATAGTGGTTCAACAAGTATCCACGAACTTCATTGTTAGTAAATTTTATATCGTATTTTAAGGTAGAACTAGTTTTTAGTTTTCTCCTTCTGGGGAGCAAGTAGAAATTGTTATAGATTAGTGACATAGTATTTTAGGAAACTCCTCTTCACCCCACCTTGAAATAAAATCTTTGCTTCTAACCCTCATCAACTTCTGAATTACGAGGCAACGCATTCAACCGTTGGGTTGACCCAACCTCGTATCCAGGGTCTTACTTGGAGTTGATCTTGTTCTGGCTCGTTTTTAGAATCACCATCTTCTATGAGTACGTGCGAAACCGAAACGCCACGCCGTCTTATTCACGCGATCACAAAGTAATCACCGAGGAAGATCTGGGTAGATAATGCCTACCGGTAAGAACTAAATTATTTGTAATACATATTGTATAGAATCATACTATGATATAATGTATTTATGTATTTTATGAGAATGTATCATGTATAGAAAACACTAGCTACCATTTTCTGAAAATATTGCTCGGTATAGATTCCTAGTAAAAACGCTTTTACACGGCGAAAATGAACCAGTCATATCAATGACTAGATCAGTATAAGAGTATCTTAGTATTTTATTAACTAGAATATCCAATAGGGTCGTTTGATTTTTTATAGTTTTTATACAATAGATATGGCGGGATTTAATTTTTTTATGAACGTGTAATCTTTCTTAATTTTCCGCTTTTGTGGTTGCTTGCAAAGAAATAATTTTTAACAACCCTTGCAAATGATATCTGCATGTATGTCATGACGACTCACAGAGTGCATGTTCTACACGCTTCTCTTGTGTATTTTACACACTTCCCTCGTATGTTTACTTTTTATTCACACGCTGGGACGCCGGAAAGATGCGAAAGCGATGGGATAGGGGGAGGGGAGATTTTCGTCATCGGCGCATTTAAAAGTGTTCACTAAACATCAACAGTTTTTCGTCAGACGATTGCGCCATTCTTGAAATTCCTATATAGCGCTGTGAAAAAGCAAATTTATCAACAAACTGCAGTAAAATCCCTAGAAATGGAAAGAGCATCTTTCTCTCTCTGATAAAAGGCAAAAGCTGCCCCTGCTGTCCACCCCAGTTCCCGCATCCCTGTTTATACACTCCTCTGCATGTCGTTCTCTCCCAACAATACATCCCGCGCGTAAATTGATCCTCAAAAATGGCATGTAAACTTCTTCCCTAAATATATACACACACAGGACCTTATTCAAACTGCCCTTTCTATGTTTCCTAAGCTTTACTAAAAACTATATGCTGCATGTAAATCGAACTTCTCTTTAACAAAAACCATGTTTTAATCACATTGTCCACACGAAATTTTATCCCCTCTGACCTCATTAAACCTACTGCAACCAATCGCCGTTTTATGGCCTTGGCCTAATCTGAGAGAATGTCGTGTATGTCCTGTTAAGTGTATGTCTTTTATATTTCTGTAGAAGATTAAATAGTTTTTTTCGACGTCGAGTTAGTCTTTGTCTTTTGTCAGTAGTCGTTAGTTCTGGTATTGTCGATCTGACGTATATATCAGCGTAAAGCTAAAGTGAAAAAAAAACATTAAGATGGCGTTAAACGTTGTTTGAAATGAATTTCTAATATATCCTCTTTGTTTATAATACAATAATCCAAGAATTGGGTCTAAATTCAAAGGGTATTATAAGACCAAGTGACCACCTTTGTCAAAGAAATAACTGACCACGCACCAAGATACGATTGTGTCATTAATAAGGAAATTAGATATTTGGCTGTTCGAATGATGCCAACATTGTTGTTAGACAAACAATGGATGGAAATTTTGAATAAGTTATTACTTTGACACATCATCACCCAAGGCGCGTTAAACCAGGTCTATAGGTGATCACGCCAACGAAGTAGAATTTGTTTTCATTTATCTGATAGTACTGAGGTGTTCATTTCATAAGTTAAAATAACCGTATAGTTCGGAATAAAGTTTAAAAATTGGTTGTTGTGATCTTGACCTCAAATTCAAGGTTGCCACTTTGCCATAATACCTTCATAAAACTTATACAGTGTTTTTATTTTTGCACTTTGTGCATCTCTTTATGTGTTTTCACATATTACAATTAAAAAGACACTTTGTGAATCTGCTTATTACGAAAAAATAGTTTTAAATCGAGACAGATAACGTGATCTATTGTTAAAAGGCAGTTTTCATCGCCAAACAGCAAATTCGGAAGTGCCTATTGTATCTTTTTGATAGTGCTTTGTGCCTTTAACTCGATGCAGCTGAAAACTTCGCCCGAAGCCTAATTCACACTCGTCCTATAAATCGCAGATTTCATTCTCTATGATATTTGGTAACGAAGATAATTCCTCAGTCGTGAAATAAAAAGGACTAGTGTGAATCAGGCGTAGAGATTTTCATGTGGTGTTGGTATGTTTTTTTTTGCTTTGCGTATGCTGTTCCACACACTGACCTATATTATAGATATCTAGTATGGGTTAGTATTATAGGTCAGTGGTTATACGTCTTTCTAAGTTCATTGTCATTCTCCGAATACGAGGGTAAAAACACAGTTGTTTTCTTTCAACAGAAAGAGGATTGAACAATGTTGTGCGGCACCAAACAACCCTAAACCCTGAACATTGTTATCAATTTGCAACAACACTGACGACCATGAAAACAAGCCATGCTCTTTTAGGTGTAGCAACAATCTTCAATCCTGTTTTCATCGAATTTGAATTCGTGTTATTTTCATAAAATCTTTCGTAAGCGTCCTACGCCATATGGGAGAAGTGCTTGACACTCCTCCTCCTCCGTCGTCTTAGCACATAAATATATAACATGACTAAAATGATCACCCCTGCACCATATACAACGACACATAAGCTGGTATCAAAATACGTCATGCTGAAGCCAATAACACGTACTATCGCCCTTACTTGATCAGATCCTGCTTGCTCCTCGTTTTCATCATATAGCCGAATATTATGCACTCCGTAGTGTGCCTTTAGATAGTTCAATACGACATTATCTCTCCATGTTCTAGGTTTATCATTCCATGTATCATTATATCCCCTACTATCATCAGCGCACTCTGTACACAAGTTTTTAGGCGGATATGGGATTTTAGGATGATGAGGGTCGGTACTAGGCTCTTTACTTAATCGCCTATTTACTCTATTATGAGCACGCCATAACCATATAATGGCCTCGTTATGGGTATGAACTTCATTTTCAACGTTTTTCGACATGTTGTAAAAGTGTTTTGAGCATTCAATACAACTGAAGAAGCTTTTCACGTAACCTCGGATTCTGGTCAAGACATCGGCTCCGGTTAACCTGGTTACTCCTTTATTAGCACAGTTCACAGTAAGAGTGTGAAATAATATCCATAAACTGCATGGATAGCCACGATATTGAGGTCGACTACCTTCACATGTACGCCATTCGACTGTTTCTGGCAAAGACGTGTTATCAGCCTGGAAGATAGTTTGAAATTATTAATGTGTCTGTGGTCACATTTATAATTCTACGTAAGTTATGTCGGGGGGCAAACAATATGTTAGTAAGATAATGAGGCATTCATTCAATGATAATTCCCGCTGGCTTTTGCGTATAAAACCATTCGAGATCAATTTAAAAATGAAAACATTCAGGTTCAGTAGTCAGTGATAATTGGTCGTAGTATCGAAACGTTGTCGGTCGTCTTACGTCACCCACTGGGTGAGACAACGTCCCTACTGGGCGAACCATTCGTCCCAATGAGCAATGCATCAGTGTCTTCACTGTAAGTATCCCCATGGAGTGAGCCAGTGTCCATACTGAGTTAAACAGTGTCCCCACTCAGTAAGCCAGAGTGCACACTGGGTGAAATAGTGAACACACTGGGTGAAACAATGTCCCCACGGAGTGAGGCAATGTCGACACTACTTGAAACAATGTCCCCACGGAGTGAGGCAGTGTCGACACTACTTGAAACAATGTCCCCACGGAGTGAGGCAGTGTCGACACTACTTGAAACAATGTCCCCACGGAGTGAGGCAGTGTCGACACGGAGTGAGGCAGTGTCGACACAACTTGAAACAGTGTCCCCACGGAGTGAGGCAGTGTCGACACTACTTGAAACAGTGTCCCCACGGAGTGAAACAGTGTCCCCACGGAGTGAGGCAGTGTCGACACTACTTGAAACAGTGTCCCCACGGAGTGAGGCAGTGTCGACACTACGTGAAACAGTGTCCCCATGGAGTGAGGCAGTGTCCCCACGGATTGAGGCAGTGTCGACACTACTTGAAACAGTGTCCCCACGGAGTGAGGCAGTGTCGACACTACTTGAAACAGTGTCCCCACGGAGTGAGGCAGTGTCGACACTACGTGAAACAGTGTCCCCATGGAGTGAGGCAGTGTTGACACTGGGTGACAGGGTCCACACCGAGCAAGGAAGTAACCGATGTCACAGTCTAAGTAACTGGTGTGGTGTTTTAGAGAAAGGCGGGTAAAAGTGCCGTTATCACAAACGGCGGAAATGGTTAATCCTCACGTTACCCTGTGCATATTATAGAAATGGTTAATCCTCACGTTACCTTGTGCATATTATAGAACAATCGTAAAGCAGACGGTCTAAGTGGTCTGTCCTTATCTTTGACTCTTTCTTGTAGCCATTTGTGAAGGGTTGAGAGAAATCTGTTGATTGGTGGCCTGCCTGGAAAACACTATAGGTAGAAAAGTTTAAAAGTCAGGGCACGCAACGCCTTGTAGTAAGATGTAAAAATTATGCACGAATATGATAACGATATATTACCTGGACTAGTAGGTCCACAAAGCGTTCCAGGTTTTCTTTATGTAAAATCTTTTTAATGACAATTTCTCTCGTGAATATAAACGTTAGAGCGCTCTCTAAATCACGCATATGAACATCATATCTAAATGTCATAGAAAGATATTTATGGTTAACAATAAGATAACCACACAATACGGAATGAATATGAGATCACTGTCATGCACCTCATAACCATGCAATATATCACCATAATTGTCTGCTCAGGAACATCACTTGCAAGTTGCAATGAATATTCTTCAAGGTGAAAGATTATTTTAATGAAACATTCACGCCAACTTACCCAATTTCTTTGTTTTGTTTCACTAATATATCGTTTTTATGTAGATCTTTAAAATGCAAGTTTGTCATTTGAACTTCTCTTGGTGGCTGAGGTGTCACTTTCTTCACATCGAATCTCCTCAGCTCCGAGAGAATTTGATGCCGTGTTTGATTTTTTCTAAACAAAATTGATTTCTTCAAAACAACAGAAAGAGGTTATGCTAGCTTAAGTTACGTTTTTCCTATGAATTTAAGAATTCAACTACGGTAACTAATATAGAAGAAGAATTCTGAGCGACGTATTCCAACTAAATAACTTACTTTAAGTGAACAAATTTATCATCTTGAAAGATCAACACGACTTGCGGAAGTTGAGTTACTTTATACTTTGTTTTCATAGCTTCCTAAAACAATGTGTATACAGAAGCATTATAATTTTTACAAGTCAAAACTTGACTAAATTTCAAGAATTATTTTCAACGCACATCACCAATCACCCTCCTTATCGCGATCTTCGGTGTATTCATCAAATCCAACATAAGCTGTCGAATAAAGAAATATTTTAGGTTACATGCAAATAACTCTTGTATAATTGCGTAGTTCACTATAAAGAAAGAATTGATGAAACACTAAAACTATGTTTATTTCATACTGCTCAAATCGACAAAAGTAAGATGGCAAATGGGAAGTATAATTACCTTTTTCCCCAGATAGGATGAGTTGGTTTCAAAAACCAAAGCTATAGGTTTAGGCAGCTGAGTGTTTTTTAAATTTCCATCAGACACTTGAATGCTGTGTAAAATACATAAAGTGCGAATCAGTCGAAAGCTTACAACTGCATTAAAGTATATACGAGTATAATAAGTACATATAACATATTGGGCGAAGACTACACACATGGACGAGGAGTGAAGACTGATTCTAATAACGCAAACATGAAGAGTCAAAGAAGAGGTCAAGGCTAAAAATGTTAAGAAGAAGAGGGAGGCCCTGAATGTCGAGCGAAGTTTATCAGTTTAAAAACGAAGCTTTCGTCATCGAAAGAGGAATAATGACCTGGTATCGAGGGGATGTTTCTCGTGGTTGGATAGGAAAGATTCTCATGGGTTTAGATAGTCAGGCCTGTAGTTTGTTCCACACAATCACACATGACGCGCAGCACACTCGAGAGAGAATATTTATCAAGGACACTAAGTCTAAGATACTTGGGAACTAATCCTTAAATGGAAGAAAAAGAAGAGATGCGTGTGGAAAGCGGAAAAAAATCGCTGATATTAGGTGATTTAGGTCTCAAAAACACTCGTGTAAACATCATAAAGAATAGGCGAGATTCAGCATTATATGTCCATAAAAAGATCCTTCTTCGTTTGTCTGATATATTAGGTCTCAAAAACAGTCTTGTAAACCTCATAAATAATAGGCAATATTCAGCATTATATATCCATAAAAAAGAGCAGTGGCACTAGTGGAAATTACCAGTAGACTAAAACCATTTGACTCGCTGAATATATCATATATTCTACTGAATAAATGTAACTTAACGTCCTATTAGCCCATTGCATCTGTTACTATAAACTCATTAATTAGTATTTGAAGCACTTTCAACAATTTTTTGATGTTGTATATGGCACTATGGCTACCACTTCCAAAGAAAAATATGTTTTTTGAAGAATTTGATACACTGCTGTATGTCGACCGTCAATAATATATTATTCAGTTTTTATGAATGGTTCACAGCAAGGCCTAGAAAACCAGTACATAGAAAAGTAGGATGCACTGACAAAATCTGATATTGAAAGTTATAATTACCTAATTGGCCTAAAATCAAGGTTTAATTTAGAGTTTCCTTTGGTTTCCAAGAAATCAATTATGGCATTTTCCATATCAGGTGGTTCTCTATCTCCTGGATGGTGAAAAATGATATCTTAGTCAAATTATTGTACTTGTCAGTTACTTTTCCGTTATGATGCTTTGGGGAATTGAACATACATACCTGTGTAAACCGATCCTAGATCCTTCTTGTCTGCTGTTAATGCTTTAAAAAACTGAAACAAAAGCCAAATAAATATTTTTCGTATAAAGTAATACTCAGCCAGAATGTACTGGCTTATAATTTCATGTAAAAATATACAAAAAAGAAATACGACTTTATGACTTAACAATATGTATTTTTCATGACAAATTATAGAAGTTGGATTATTTTGAGATGGCATGGATGACCATTATATTTCAAAGGGGGTAATTTTGACTTACTTTAAGTGTAGGATATCCTTGTATGTTGAAGTGCTCACAGGTTCTCATGTTCCTAGCTTCAGCACAATCTATTGCAGCAACCTGAATAACAGTATTCCAGCCTAGGAAAATATCCATTGACACAATTAATCAAAGAAAATCAACTGGCATTAGAAAAAGCAGAACAAAGAAGGTGCCACAAAGGCATATTGACTTGAGTTATAGGTTCAACAATGAGAAATTGCATGCATACTGTTTCCTTAAGGCACTTGAATAGGCAGCAAAGGGGGAATATATAATACATTAACAGTTCAAGTACAGGTCTTATCCTCTGCTACTAAATGAGGTCAATTTGGATGCAGACGTGGTCAAGAGGTAAATTCAAAGAACTAACAACATTTTTGGCTTCTATGGCAATGTCCAGATCTGTTCTTATGAAAGAGATTGTATACAATTCAAAGCATGCATGTTCATATGCTAATATATTTTGGGCAAATATTTTCCAAAATATAATGGTTATTTGTATGGTTCAAAGATCTAACATCAACTGGACAAATTAAAGCCTGTGTAAAATATACTTCAATTTTTAAGCCAAATGGCTTATTATGCATTAAATATTCATAAGAAACAAAGGCACTTAGATCGATGTAAAGACACTTATATTTTTACCAAAGTGTGTTTAAAAATGCACGTCCTAACATACAGTATATACCATCACTTGATCCAATCCATCGAATATTACCCAAAAACTAATATACTGTACAATGATGAGACTAACAATCTTAAAAACAGATCCATTTTTTCTTCAAACAGTACACTGAGTACAGTATGACCTCATTTCAAAACAATGTGATAGGATTTAAACCCTGTACAATAACACGTTTACAAAAAAATAAGGTATATTATCTTTGCTCCAAAGTCCCCAACCTTCAACTTGCTTCGCCAAATATTTCCAGTGTGGCGCAAAGGACTGACAATGTCCACACCAACTTGAATAGAACTCAACAAACCAAGCAAAACTGCTATTATAAATTGAAGATATTGTGTCGTTTTCCAGTAGTACGATCTTATCCGTAGGAGCATATAATGGATTTCCATATACCACAAACACATTAGAAATGAATAACGTTGATAGGATATAAAACCACGCGCACTTCATAGCAATAAAAGTTCATAAATAGAAGTTGCTAATTCTGAACAAAACCCGTAAAAATCTATCTATTTTGCTACATAGATTCCGAGCTCATCCCGTACTCCAAAGATGATTATTTGTTCCTTTAGCCATAAATAAGATAAAATAGTTGTTAATGGTGTATTATATACAATAAAGGTCAACACAAGTCAACAATAAGCACGTTTCTTTTTACTTTAGCCATTTCTATTATTACATGGTGTTTACAAGTGAATCGACAACCGTGTCTACTTCCGGTTGTTTTAACCATCTGACCAATCATATGATGAATTTCACGGGGTACGTGTGAACTGCACGTACGGGGTCGGGGTGCACTGTCGGCTGCACCAAGGTGTAGATGGTGGGGTGTACGCGAAGGGGAAGAAGTATGTTAAAATTGTAAAAAAGTATAAACAAATTCTCTCTTCTTTATATATAAACATTCCGGTTGTTCTTAGTAAATACACTTTGCACGTTATCGCCGAAAAAAAAGCCAAGTCATGTCAACTGTCAGTCAAATGAGCTAGCGAAACTGCCCTTGGCGGCGAGTTTTATAATAGTGCATGTGCAACAATGCTACAGTAAATGCGTAATGAATATATCATATATATATGGAGGTGGCTTTAGAGGTCACCGTAGAGGGAATATATGGTTGTTGAGTGGCATTCGCCAAATGGAATAATTGGAATAAGTAATAATTTAGATTGCTCGATTTAGTTGCATGGATTTATAACAATTGGTGCATGATTTATTATGAGCATTTCAGCATAGTTTATGATTTGACTCATTCGTTCTTTCAATGATTCCATCATGCGCGCGGATTCGCGCGGATAGGAAATGAGTAAAAAATTTAAATTATTTAATTAAATACGGGGGGGGGAGCAAACAGATTCCGATCTTTGTATCTCTCCCCAGTTTGCTTTTGCTCGCCGATTATCACAAATTTATTTCCTCAAGTGTGAGTTTGACTTTGTCATATTTCATAATCGATTTATTACTTCACAAAGGCGTAAAACTCAGGATTAAAAGTATTTTGGGAATCTTCTGACATTCCTCGACCTGTTCTATGCAAACCATGTGAACGACGTTGTACATTTGCTTTTAAAATGAAGGAAAAGCGATCATTTACTGTCGAAGTAGAAAAATACCCTTCCCAGTTTTGCCTCCAACTTGGCTTAGCTTTGGTTCCTGCAACAAACTGAAATGGGACAAAATCAGGGCAAGCCCGGCGTAAAAAAAACAAGCACCTTGAGAAAGAAAAATTCCGAAAGGAATAATGGTGAAAATTCAGGTTTGTTTAGAATGTGTTGAGCACAGTAACAATTTAATATTTGAAATGTCAGACAATTTACCCTTGAATTCAGCGTGTTTATTATTCTTTTGTCAAGTGTTTACGGAAACTTTATTACTCTTACAATATTTTTGGCCTCAGTAGGCTAATAAAAGATATGTAATTTTTCCCGTTTTATAAAAGTATATTTTATAAAATGCGGCAATTCATTAACTTTAAGTAAACAAATATTTGGGAATTCAACCTAATGGAAAATTTGGAAAATATTCGGTAAATGCGTACTTCATATAAGGTTGTGGTTTGAAACTATTTATTTTATATTGTAGTTATATTTATATGTGTATGTGAATTACATCCCATAGACCAATTTGTGTTTGAGAGTGCTGCCTATGCAACTAATTTCCATTGTAAATTGAGAATTGAAATTGAGAAAGGCATTTCCTCATGTTGGCCTAGCTCAAATTTTGCACATTTTATGTGTTGAACCATTGTAGTTTTGCAACTGTTTGGCAAAACAAAACAAAATGTAATTGTGTGGTGTTATATACTCATTAAGGGGAAGTATGTCTCTATTTTTTTATTATAGCTCCATTTTCTAACAGACCACTACCTGACACACCTGAGTCAGGTACTCTGAAGAAACAATGGCAATCATTGGAAAGCCTGACAACTATTGTATCATGTGATCCACGCTCGTTTATTGCACTCTATGATTTCAAAGGAGATGATGATGACCAACTAAACATAAAAGCTAATCAGGAGGTAAGATTTCTATTTGACCACATAAAAAGGAACTACATAAAAAGGAACTACATACCTGTAACACATAAATAAAACTAGTACCCAGTATGATCTGCACACAATAATGACCATAACAAAATAGGAAAAAGCTCAATACAATGAAGATACAAAGTTTGTCATATTATGATGTATTGCCTATTGTATTTCAATTTCAGTTCAGTTACAATTTTTTGTTCTTTTTCCCACCTGAAGATCAGATTCCTTTTTTATCCACCTCAGTATCAAATCATTTCAGTGTCAGTGATGTCCATGTAGTATGTGTATGTGGATCAGCCTAGTATCCCCATCTGTGTCTGAACATATATGTAACTCTTTTTTCCCAAACAAAGAATTTATTCATATAGCAATCCAATTTCGTAGACACCCAAATTAGCTATGCCATGACCAGCCGCCGTCATTTGCCTTCGCCTATGATAAAAGCTTTCTAACTTCTTAATTTAAACCTTTCCTGAACATGCCTTGTACTTCTGATTTGCCCCTATTTGGTTTCTCTAATTTCATTTTCAATTTCGCTTCTATCAATTTCACGTCCCCTTGATAACATATTCTATTCAATATCATGTAAAATGTATGCTAATGTTTATCGTGGATATGGCTCAGTACTAAATTAAAAAACAGTAAATTTATCAACACAACTGGAAAGAGCATTCTAAAAAATATTGTAAAGTGTAAAAAAGCAATGCAAAGTTGGCACTTTGGAGTTGCTAAATTTTGTATCAATTATTAATTTAGCACTGCTACTTTAGACAATAATTTTGCATAGCTATAACTTTTATTTTGTGATATATTGCAATCAAACTTTTCATTTGAACTAAATTTAGGATGTGTTTCTAGGCTTTTAGCTGTACTAATATATTTTCCTTATCTCCTTAAGTTTAACATTTGGTTTTTAACTAGGGATAATAAAGCATCCTTTCCTTTAAAGAAACACTTTTCTAAATCCTTTCTCAAGTGTAGCACCACTTAAAATCCCTCTTCCTAAAAATAGCATTCCTCCTCAAAAACATCTCACTTCAAAGTAGCACTCTTCCCCAAGTTGTAGTACCTTCAAATCCAATACTCTGCCCTAAAGTATCATCTCCTTTCAATATAATCACTCTTCTTCTCCCTCTGGAGCTCCCCTTCTAAAGTTCTACTAGAACCAACTAGAACCCTAAAACTTTCAAATTCCTTGCGTTTTTCAATTCCTTGTATTTTTCCTTACAAACCTGCGAAAATTTCTTTCGCAAGCCTTGGAAAATCCATCCAAGTGGAAAACCTTCGCTTCCCTAACATCTGTTTACCCAGTAGTAGTTGTACACTGAATTTAAAAAAATGAAATTAAGGTGTGGATTCTCTCTGACAATGGTAATGGAGAATGGTGTCGTGGGCAGTTGCGAAATGGTCAAACAGGCTGGTTACCTCGAAGTTACATTGCCCCTATTGACAGCCTAGACAAGCATTCATGGTATCATGGTCAGATATCTCGTATTAAAGCAGAAATTGTGTTGAATAGTGGAATAAATGGAAGTTTTTTAGTGCGTGAAAGTGAATCAAACGCGGGTCAGGTATCGGTATCAATACGATTTGACGGCCGGGTCTATCATTACCGCATTAGCAAAAACCCAGAGGGTAAACTCTATATTTCTGCTGGTAACAAGTTTGCAACCTTAGCGGAGCTAGTGCACTATCATTCTCAGCACTCGGATGGCCTGGTTACGACTCTACACTACCCGGCACCAAAGACGGAGAAACCAACAATATACGGTACACACAATCCAGACGAGTGGGAAGTGGATCGAGATGAGATTTGTATGAAGCAAAGACTTGATGCTGGTCAGTATGGTGAGGTCTATGAAGGATTATGGAAAAAATATCAAAGAAAGGTTGCTGTGAAAACGCTCAAGGTAAAGAGCCTGTTTTCTTAGTTGTGATTTGATTTATACATGAAGGTATACATTCTTCTGGTGTTTTTTTATATTAGGAAGAGACAATGGAGGTGGACGACTTTCTCCGTGAAGCAAACGTGATGAAGAGACTTAAGCATAAGAACCTGGTTCAGTTGTTAGGAGTTTGCACTCGTGAGGCGCCATTTTATATTATCACTGAGTTCATGGAGGGCGGTAATCTTCTTGAGTATCTCAGAGATCCAGAGAAAAGTAAAGATCTTGATGCGCTCATGTTGATGTATTATGCAACACAAATCGCCTCCGCGATGATGTATTTGGAAGACATGAATTTTATTCACAGGTAAACAGGAATCCTTCTTTTAATAGACCTTTCTTATGATGACGAAAAACACGGAAAAGCCTGTATGATGTTACATGAAGTTTAATTGGCTTGTTAGTTTTGAAGTAAAAATGCGTTAAAAAGCTATAAAGCTGCGTATATCAAAATTTATAATTATAAAAAATATTTTAACTTTAAAATTGCAATCTAAAAGTCCAATCTTGGCCATACGAAAGAGTGGAGAATTTTTCACCCACCACTGGATAACTTCATCCATCTTTTGAACAACCAGCTGGGTTGCGAGAAAATATCTATATTGAAAAACAATTTGATATAAAAGTGGGTATCATCAATTCAGCGGTCCATTACGGGATGAAAACAGAAATTGTAAATGAAAATGTAAAAAAAATGGATGCAAAATCTAAAAGGGAAAGTAAGAAATCTAATCTATAAGATGTATGCAATTGATTTCGGGTAAAAATGATACAATGTTTTGTTGTCGTTTTTATCAAATAGGCACGACGCTACTAATTCGAATTCATGTATGCATTTCAAATACAAATATACACCTTATCCAATATAATAAGCTTTATTAAAACCTTTCTCAGTCTTTACCCAGAAATATCTGACCTCGGTCTTTTTGTGTAAACTTCGCCCTTTGGGCTCGTTCAGTCGGTTAGTACAAAGAGACCTCGGTCCGATATCCTTGGTAAAAACCTTGCTCTCGGTTAATAATCAGTTATTATTTTGTTTTATTTAAAAATTTCTCGAAGGTTATGATTGCAGTGCATCTTAGTAAAACCACTGACCTCTATCCAGTTTTACTGCATGAGGAACTGGAGTTCATAGAGGAAAACATGCTTGGTATAGACATCCAAAGCCGAAAGATGTTCTTTTTGTAGGGATCTTGCTGCCAGGAATTGTCTATTAGCTGGTAATAATGTTGTCAAAGTCGGCGATTTTGGTCTGTCAAGACTCCTCAGAGAGGACATGTATACTGCCAGACAAGGATCTAAATTTCCAATAAAATGGACAGCTCCTGAAGCATTAGCATTCAACGAATTCACAGTCAAGTCGGATGTGTGGGGTAAAAAAAAATATTTTCATCTCTTAATCGGCTTGTTTTCATTGAGTTGCATGTATGTACGATAGTAAAGTTAGTTCGTTTGTATTGGTTTGGCCATTAACAACATCGTAGTTCTCCATTAAATGAAGTCTTTTTCTCATTCAGCATTTGGTGTTCTGCTATGGGAACTGGCAACTTACGGAATATCTCCGTATCCAGGACTGGATCTAGCTCAAGTGTATGATAAACTTAGTGCCGGCTACCGTATGCCTTCACCTGAGGGGTGCCCGGAGGAGGTTTACCAGCTTATGAATAAATGTGAGTGGAAAATATGATACACTTAGTTACATCACACGAAATAAACTGTACAGTATCTCTAAATTTGACGAGCTTGATCACTTTCAACTGCCTTGGAGGTTATCGCGCATGCCCCGGTCCAGCTTCTTGAACTAAAACAGCTGATCAAACTAGAACCATACAGACGAGAACTTTAATCAACAGTTATATGTTCCTAATTTTTTCTTTATAAGTTTAATGAAAGGTTAGGGTGGATTTACTAACAGGGGCGGGGAATACCCAATGCTTTGGCATTCCCCTTACAATTTCCTTATAAAGTTGTCAGAGATGGGTGTGACTTTGCATTTATAGACGAAAACGCAATATTCCATCATATTGGACTGTTTTCACCACCTAGGCAACAACAGAGTGGTCCTTGTCAGGGGTCTGCAGTGAATACGCACACTAATTCGACGTTTGCATCTTGTTTTGTTCCCGGTCAGCGCCCCCAACCCCCCCCCCCTCCCCCCTTTTCTTTCACACTAAGTCCTATTGAATCGGAAATAATTAATCTCTCATACTGGATGACTTGATAATGGGAGTTTCACCTTGAAGTTTATATGATGCCATTCACACAGTAGCTGATGTTGCAGAAAATAATTTTATTTATACAACAAACTGACATTACAGTATTTCTTGCATTCTATTCTGAGGCGAAATTTGGTATTATTTGGTAATATTATTATTTGATTCCAAACCCATGGGCGTCAATCGAACGTTAATTGAGGGAGACCATATTAGTATATTCTGTCATGCCAGGCTGCTTTCTATTAAGTGAAATTGTTTTCTAAAGAGATTAGCCAGGCATAGCAGAATATATGAATTTCCTATGTCCAAACCCTTATAGTGAACCTTTAGTGTTAATTGTTTAACAGGTTGGGCTTGGGAAGCATTTGATCGACCATCATTTAAAGATATTCATAGAGAGTTAAACGACATGTTTGAATCAAAATCTGTAAATGAAGGTATGTACCGCAGTGGAAAATTTATGTTTGGTCGCAAGTCTGAAATTATAACCTTTATTTCATATCAACAGAGGTTGAAAAGGAGTTGGAAAAAACGCGAAAAACTAAAACAAAGAAAGAGAAAAAGGAAAAGAAGAAGAAGTCAACTGGCTCAGATAATTCAGGCAGCAGTCAAGGCGAACCGCCACAGGTGTGTTGTGAAATTCCTTCGCTGCTTAGTTCAGATTGCAACTTTCTGACGTTAGAACATTCACTTCTCCCTGCAGCCTCCTAATGCTAGTTCCAGGCCGCCCCCTGTGCCGTCTGGTCCCAGGTCTACCTCGTCCAGCCCTCCTGGATCCAGATCGTCCAGCTTACAATTTCCACTGCCATCATCGCCTAGACCCCCTGCTGTACCACATACTACCAGGACCCCCATACCTCAACCTGCTAGTTCAAGACCACCGCCTCCTCCATCCCCCATTTCGAAGACAAGCACAATACCACGTGCTATGAGCGCTGGTCAGCAAAAGATGCCTAACCTAGCTGAAATAGGATCTGTAAAACTCAGACCAACTAGTTCAGTAAAGGTTTCTGCCTCTAAAACGGTGGTGGCTGACCAAGCAGGTTCCCCGCCTTGGGAGGGTGGACAGTCAATACTTCGCAATCGCCCCCCTCCACAGATTCCTCTCCAAGGTGAAGAGCACTCGCCTGCACCAAAAGTCCGTCTCCCACATACAAGAAGTTTTGATGCTGAACCAGAGGCTGCCCCCCCTAAAGATCAACGAAGAATACCTAAGCTCCCCCCTTCCCGCAACAACAGACCACCGCCTCCGGTACCCAATTTGTCATCAAACGATTCTGATCAAACAGATGGACGCCGGGGTTCCAGTACCGTAGTAGCTCCACCTGCAAGGCACCGGAACTTACCCCCCACCCCTATCCAAAACGATCATTTTGATGACCAGCATAATGGTGAGGTGAGAAACCCGGCATTAGCAAATCGTCAACTACCACCGGTACCCGGTGAGGTGAATAATACCGGACACCCGACGATTGCTAAGCCTAAACCTCCCATGGCACCAAAGCCAAACTTAGCACCCAAACCAAGATTACCAAGTAAACCTAAGTTACCCCCGAGGTAGGATAAAATAATTTGATTAATGTATGTTAATGAAAAATTACTTGCTTATTTTTAAGTAACGTGGAACTTGTTTCTGAAACTGCAATTAATATAGATATAATTATAATTGGTATCGCTTGATAAACGTGGTTTTCGGGACATCGCGGTCAATCCTTTGGAGTAAAATTTTTATTACACTAACTGTCAAATAGAGTTAACATGCGAGCACCATGTGCAGCGACTGCGTCCTACATCCGCGAAAACCTCATTCGAAAGCAATATTTAAAAGTAATGAGTATATTTAAATATATGACTGGCATTGTCAATCACACTGTTTTCCAGTTACGCGTTTTCTTTGCATTCCTGCATCCTCGACCATGTTTTCTATGAAATATCCTTGAAAGAGATAATTTAACAGAGTTTACTGATAGTTAACGTTTTGCGTGTTTATTCCTTTGAAAAACACGTAACTTGAAAGCAGCCTGATAATCTTCGGTATTCATTGAGCAATTATCTAGTTGTCATAATCGGTAATATTGTGGTAATGTATGCGCTGTTACACTATGCAATTTTTCCTGCAACTTGCAAGACAATTATAATTTTGAGGGATGTTAATTTGTAAAGAGTGATCGAAATTCTAAGAAACGCAGATCGTAAGAAATGTTCGTATTTGTCAACTTCAGATGCTTTTCCCTGCAACTTGCAATGCAATTATAATTTTGAGGGATGTTAATTTGTAAAGAGTGATCGGAAGTCTAAGAAAACGTTAGCAGATCGTAAGAAATGTTCGTATTTGACAGCTTCAGATACCTCAGGAGTAGAATTGCATTGCAAGTTGCAAGGAAAGTGGCATAGTGTAGCACCGCCTTAACTCTCCATTCTTTACGGCAGCAATCAACGAAAGATGCAGTTTGAAAAACATTATACATTCATTTCGGAGATAAGCCCTTTTACTTACCCAAACCTGGTTTCCATAATTCCATTTAATCGTAATTGTCGTGAACACGTCAAGGTGGCTGATGTAATAGAATGTCTATATGTGTATGAAGTCAACAATGTCTGATTTGAATACAGGAAATAAAAGCAAATTGGAATCTGGAATTGATTTTTTTGCGACATTTACGATATAATGGGAACCAGGCTTTGGCAATGAAGAAATACTGACATAAATTTTTAATTGAATAGAAACAAATGGAAATAACTCGGCCCCATTCACATTCGATGCCTGTTTATGTGATGCAAAATCATAAAATTTATGTGAGGCCGTTGATTTACAGTATGTATAGGGATCAGTTTAGGTCCCAAAGACGTATAATTCACCGCATACTTTACCGGGTTTTACAATGACATACAATTTTAAAATTAGTGTGGTATTGGAATATATACCGTAGCAATATAAAAAAATATAATATGCAAAATTGTAAATAAATATAATTTCCTAATTAAAACAGATGAATCATTTCGGTACAGGTCATTCCTCGTGCGTTGGTTAGAGTTAGACCTGGGGCCAGTTGTTCAAAAGCAGGCTTTAAAAACCATAATTTAACCCAGGACCCAGGGTGAGCGTTAACCGGCTTTTGAACAAGCGGCCCCAGGTAAATATATTTGGTTGCAATCTTATAATACTGCTGTAAACGCTGTACTTCTCCAAAGGTATTAAAATGGAGGTAATGAACGCCCTCTTTTTGCTGCGTTTGTGGCGTGTCATTGAATACCCCTGAGACTCTTGCATCAATTTCATGCTTATTGAGTTATTGTATATCCGTTGGACTATTTGCATGCCTTATTTCTATCTTCCTTTTACGATAGTATATCACTGGTAGCCTATACTGCAAGTGTATATTAAATCAATTTCTGGTCATTAAAAGGCGATTCTTTCAATATAGATCTGATCTTCCACCCAGGATCAGTTTTCATTTTCCTTTCTCCGAGGGGGCATCATCCAACCATCATCCAACCGCAGAAATTGGTGTTTATGAAGTTTCAACCCGAAATGTAATTACTGGTTCAAAAATGTGCATTTCTGTATCGCTATTAATGAGAATAGTCAGAATAGCATTGGATAAGTTTCTTCTGAATACGCATTCTGCAATCTTTTGACAGCTCAGGGTGACAGTCAGTTGCAATGCTTCTAGGGCAAATTGCTCGAATATTTATCACCACAATATTTTTAATTGGATCAATATAAACCTTGATAAAACAAAGAGAGTGGTATCCATAAGATCGTTTTCGCATGGTACTAGTATTTTCACTTGGTACTAGTATTTTTGTGCGCATGCAACTGACGCTATAGTATTGTTTTGGAGCTTGCCAAAAAAGCCTGTAGTGTTCCCATATTTTATTTTATTTAAAGCGCCTGGGAACGAGGCTGAGCTTGCCACCAGCTCAGCTGCTTTGACAACGTGTAATTTTAGTCATTTTACCCGGTAGAGCTATCTTAGTATCATTATCGAATCGTACTATTTTTAAGATACGCAAAGAGGGTGTAAGGCATGGAATATACAAAACAAAATATGAGTATTAAATACAAATCGTAAACCATTACAAATGACAGCAATGAACTTCGTGTTCAGCAGAATTCGAACAGCAGGCATCACCGGAGATTATTCCTATTTTTGCGGTTTCTCCCCACGGCAACGTAGTCTCAGGTATTTCCCCGCCGTATTTCCTATCATATCGTCTGCGTGGTGCAATTTTAAAAATTATCCCTTTACTTTGCTTACTAAGCTTTCCATTCAAGTGTATTAGCAAAGTATTTTGCTTTCGAAGGTAAATTTACAATCTTTGTTTCTCCATGCAGGAGGACCGCTTTCAACAACAAGCTTTTAAAGTGTATTTTCATTTTGAAACAATTGCTGTTAATATTTTACTAGGCTATTTGATAATGGAACAGAATCAGAATAAGTCAGAGCCAATGGAACAAGGAATGCCAGCAAGCCAAAACGAAAAGTTGAAAGAAGACCAAGTGAAAAACACTGCTGGTGGATTTGTATGGCAAGTGGATGATACCAAACGATTTATTCGCTTCCTAGTCCTTGGAAGTGAACAAGCTACTTACCACATTGGGGAGAAGAAACTTGGCAAAGAGAATGCCCAAGCTATGATACGCCTTCTCAAAGCTGAGAAAGGTGTTGAAGTTGTTAATATAATATTGAAATTTAGTCTTGAAGGCCGGACCACCAAACAAAATCCGATTATGCTTGCCTTAGCAATGTGTGCACGTTTGGGGGACCTAAAGACGAAGCAGAGAGCCTATGAGGTGCTTGGTCAAATTTGTCGCATCCCAACACATCTTTTCATGTTTGTTGCACAAAGTAAAATTCTCAGCCAACCTGGTGCTGGTTGGGGTAGGGCTGCACGAAAAGCAATCCAGAAATGGTATACTACAAAACAACCCATGAAATTGGCAATGGATGTCACCAAGTACCAAAAACGGGAAGGCTGGTCACATACTGATATTGCACGGGTTGCCCATATGAAGTCAGACAATCCTGCTATACAGTGTGTTTTGAAGTATGCTGTTAGGGGTTTTGATGAAATGATTGCTGCTTTCCCTGAATCAGATCAAAACAGTGAAGAATTGAAGTCAGTGTTGCATTTCCTGAAAGCTGTTGAGGAGATGAAAAAGCTGACATTGGAAAATGAAGATAGGGTTGTAGAACTGATTGAAAAGCTGGAGTTGGTGAGAGAGCATATCCCAACTGTATGCCTTGGATCCAAGAAGGTATTGTATAGTTTTACTAGCTTCCCAGACTTGCAAACCTTAGCTTAGCATTCTAATCTTGTAATTGCTTTTGGATACTGGGTAACCTAGTGGGTGGTACGGTTTCAAATTATAGTATGTATTAATTTTGCAAGGTATGGAATGCTCTTCTTAAGAAAATGCCAATGACAGCAATGATCCGGAACCTCAACAAGATGACCGCAGTTGGCTTGCTTGAAGAAAACAATAGTCAGGTGCAATCTGTATGTGCAAAACTACGCAATGTAGAATCGCTAAGGAAAGCACGTATACACCCTTTTAATGTTTTACTTGCATTAAAACAATACCAGTCTGGTCGTGGGGACAAAGGCTCCCTCACTTGGACTCAAAATGCAGAAGTTAGCAAAGCAATGGAGGAGGCATTCTATTTGTCATTCAAAGTAGGTTTAATAACATCCAAAAATATTGTATAAGAGTTTTATTATTATGATATAGGTCTAGGCATTGCAGCTAATTGTTAAGGCCACTTTCAATCTTTGCTGTGATTTTATGTGGGATTTTCTTCTTTTGATAGATGTAAATGAGTGAATTAGTTACTGATGTGAAAATAAGAGCTCTTATATATCAAAGCATTCATAACTAATGACTCATTCTCATCTATAAAAAGACAAAAATTTATCACAAGTGTAAGCAAGCTTTTACTCAGTACTCTGCAATTTGCAGAGAGCAGTGCTATTCTCAAATCCTTTAGTAGTAATTCATGTTTTTTTCCCAATATATTTAGAATGTGGAGCCAACAGGTAAAAGGTATATGTTGGCCATGGATGTGAGTGGATCAATGCAGAGTGGTGGATGTGTTGGTTCACCCAGTATTCAGCCACATATTGCCTCTGCTGCAATGGCAATGGTGACAGCTAGAACAGAAGAAAATCACAAATTCGTTGCTTTTAGTGAAAAAATTGTTCCTATGAATATCAATAGTTCAATGAAATTAGAAGAAGTGCTGAAAGTAGTTAATTCGGTATGTAATTGACCTGATAAACTCAACTATACACAAACTTAATATATACATATACAAAATAGTTCCTGGACAAACATCAGTCCGTAGTTGGTTTCTGAATACCCATGGGACATAATGAATGTTCTTTACGGTGCATCTTAGAATCGCCTGTTGTGTGGAAATCTATATTTTAAATAGATTTCTTGCCTGAAATACTTAAGAAACATTCGATTCATTTGATCACGTATTCATTTAGCAATTAGGCTTGAAATGTTAATTTCGTTTTTTTAGGACACCTGTAGATCTTTACTAATTTAGATCTCCATCCAAGTATGAGTCTTGAAGTTATATGTTATTTGTGTTTAGTATTCTTTAATCTTCTAGATTCCAATGGGTGGTACCGACTGTGCTCAACCAATGATTTATGCAACAGAGAAGAATCTGAATATTGATGTGTTTATTGTCTACACTGATTGTGAGACGTGGTGTGGCAAAGTTCATCCAAGCGAAGCTCTAAAGCAATATCGCTTTCATTCGGGTATCAAAGATGCCAAACTGATTGTGGTTGCTATGACATCAAATGGTTTTACTATTGCAGACCCAGATGATCCAGGAATGTTTGATATGCCGGGCTTTGATTCCGCTGCACCGCAGGTTATGAAAGAGTTCATACTAGGAAATATATAAACCTTAAAGAAGTTGTCTAAAACTATCAACTCCTCAAATAATTAATATGCTTCATTGATCAAGCTAAAAGCCCCTATGAGACCTAAAGCGATAGTGTAGAGGGATTAAATTTTAAAAAAAACTTCAGCTAGTGGGAAGGAAGATTTAGAAGCATACCATATTCTTTACATAACACATCTTGATTTTAACTCATACCAAACGTAATACCATGCTTTCTATGTAAATATTTTGTCATCATATAAATTCAACATTTCAAAGTCGTGAAACAGCAGTTAGCACGGCCAGGATGGGCCAGATATAAATTCCAGACAAAAGCGAATCTGCTGAACCCAATCTTTGCTGCCTACAAGAAGTTTGTCCAGCTCTGTCTTGTTTATTCTCTTGCTGTGACAGTCTACTGAAGACCGCTCGTCTTCTTAGTAGTTGAAGAGGATGAAGACTTGCATTTGATTGTGAATTGTGTCATTTGCTTTGGCAGCAATCGAACTAGACCTCTTAGTAACAATATAATAAGTATAACAGTGACAATGCTGTTGGTTAAGGTTATTAGCATTTTTATCGTTAATGTTATAATATCCGTAATGTTATCGCATCTCAAGATGTCTTTGAAACATTTTTTAGTCTATTGCAGTAAGTACAATGTCAATGTACACAGTACAAGTATTATATCATGATATTAAATGTATTCAATATTCAAAACTTTATGTTCTGTGACTGTCCATTTATTCACCTTTTCTTTAATAAGCCCGTTTACCTTCTAACTGGCTTCTAAGTTCACATCCTGGTTTCTCGATTCTTATATATTATTCAGTCTCATGCATCAGTGTTAAGAATTTGATCAAACATCGCTCCGTTCTGTAAGACGGCTCGTTCAGTAATGCCATCCGTTTAAACTACAGTCAAGTCGCAAAATATAGGAAGTAAGTCTTTTGACAGCGAAGACAGTGAAAGAATCGAGTTAGCAATGATTTTAAGACTATTACAACCGTAGGCGTAGACTTAGTAATTAATTAAGACCCTTTCGGCTTTCGTGTCGAGAAGAGAAATACGAGTGGAGTAACGAATCTTGTATCCAAGGTTTTCCTTCCGGAAATAACTAGAGTAAATTGGGTAATTTTTTCTGAAAAATAAAAACTGTATTTGAGGATCTCGTTTTCCAAATTTAAAACCGTTTGTCTCTTTTTGTAGTAATTTACTATTTTTGTTTCTCAACTGCATCTTAATCTTACTATCATCCTATTGAGGGATGCCGTCTAGCTTAAACGGCAAATAACTTCAAAATGGAAAATAGAATTATCTATTTATTGCACAAGTGAGCTGAAATATTCCCATCTAATTAGTTGAATTTTCAATAGCAGTACATATTCAATCTCGAACACCCGGCCCATTGACTGGAACATGAAATTTCGATTTTTGAGTATTTCATTTGATAAAACAAAAGGGCTTTGTAAAAGAAATACAAAAATTGCAATATATACAATTTTACATTTATATGATCTACATTTTAAAAATCTTTCCCACATAAACTGTATCATTACGTTCCAGAGGTAATTCCCCTTTTTTTTCCCATGCTAATGTTAGTATACCGTAATGCAATGCGTTCGTTTGGTTCCTCGTATAAATTTTACTTCACATTTCCACCCGAGAAGTTTGTAAAGTATTATTTTGATTTTAAACTATCGTTTTAAACAAGGTTGTTTCGCACCGTGAAATAAACACAAAAAGAACGTTTCTGGAGTCTTTTACACACACTGAGAAACAAGATTAGCATTGCAATGGAAGTTGACGAAAACTTGGTAACGAGTAACGTTGGTGGCTCCGTGTGGCAAGTGGATGATATGAAGAGGCTTCATCGATTCTTAGTGCTCGGCAGTGAAAGTCCTACCTACTATATCACAGACGGAGAGTTGCAGAAAGAAAATGCGAGAGTGGTTAGCAATCTTATGCAGGCAGGACGCGGCGTAGAAGTCGTGAATGAAATTCGGGAATATAGCGTTAAAGGACGAACAATAAAACAAAACCCTATTATGTTTGCATTAGCACTGTGTGCTCGGCAAGGAGATTTGGCGACAAAACGCAGAGCATATGAGGTTCTTCCAGAAGTATGCCGTATCCCTACTCATCTTTTTATGTTTGTTGGGCTCTGTGAAAAGCATAGCATTCCTGCTCCAGGGGCTGGGCCAAATGCAACTGCAACTGGTTGGGGAAGAGCTCACCGTAAAGCCATTAAGAAATGGTACATTACTAAATGCAAAAAACCATTGGCGCTAGCAATGAATGTTACAAAATACCAGAAACGAGAAGGCTGGTCTCATCGCGATGTTGCTCGATTGATGCATCTGAACCCCACTGGAACAGACGTCACTCGACTTGTGGGACCAGAAGAGCCCGAGAATTTCTCTGATGGTCTGTCTATCATAATGAAATACATTGCCCGAGGCTGGAGTGAAGTGACTGAGACCTATGCCAATCGTGTTGCGAACCAAGAAATTGGACCAGATGCAAGGAACGTATTTAACTTTTTGAAAGCTGTTGAAGATGTGAAAACAATGACAGCTGAAAATGAGTCAGATATTATTGACCTAATCCTGCAGTTTCATCTTGTTCGTGAACACATACCTACTAGCTGCTTGTCTCTGATTGGGGTAAGAATGTAAAAAACTATGTATGCCACTTCGTATGGCTGTGTGACATGCTAAATAATTTACTCCTTTAATTTTTTACAGGTTTGGAGAGCTTTATTAACAAATATGCCAATGATGGCAATGATTCGGAATCTTGGCAAGATGACATCTGTTGGGCTCCTATGTGAAGGTGGTGCAGAATTGACACAAGTTTGTGCCAAATTAAAAGATCATAAGTTGTTGAGAAATGCACGAATCCATCCATTTAATGCTTTGGTAGCAATGAAGACCTACATGGATGGTCATGGAGATAGAGGAAAATTAAGATGGAAGCCCATACAAAAAATAGTTGATGCACTAGAGTCTGCATTCTACTTTTCCTTCAAGGTTTGACTTTGACTTTGAAAGAAATTTGTTTGATCCAGAAATCACTTAGCCGTTAAAACAACTCTATTTTACTTCAATTTAGCTTGTTGAATCAACCAAGAAGAGATATTTGTTAGCTCTTGATGTTAGTCGTTCAATGAGCTATGTTGGTGTTGTTGGCTCTCCTTGCATCACACCTCGTGTTGCATCAGCAGCCATGTCTATGGTTGTGGCAAAAACAGAGGAGACCCACAACTTTGTTGCTTTTTCACATAAAATAGAGCCTCTGGTCATTGACAGAGATATGTCCTTGGATGATGTGCTTTTGAATTTAGAGCAGGTACAGTGAGTTGCCAAAGAGAGTGCAGGCTTTGAATTAATGGCCTAATCAACATTTGCTATTGAATCTTTTTTGAACAAGCTACTAAATTGAACTATTTTAAAGTACAATTTTCAAAAACTTAGGTGCTTAACAAACTGTACAATTTTGTAATATTCCTAACAGATAATGGGGTTCCATGTTGAGCAGATTGACAAATTCTGGTTAAAATCACTTTGAATATTTGAAGAAAAGGCATAGTTACCCTAAACTTTTTCTGTGCATTATTTAATGGTATTAGTAATGCCAGACTTTTGGAAAATGAAAAAATTACATTTTTATATAATTTTTATGCTTTAAATTTTTTTCATTTTTGTATTGAAAGTTTTTAGTACTTTCAACATTATTCACCTTAACAAAATCAATAAATATATCATTGTCTCCATTGCTAATGACTGCTCGCGTAGCCAATCAGATTGCAGAAAATGCTAAAATATGAATTCGGACCGCAAGAAAAAAAAATTATTTATCTTAGTCAACCATGCAATGTTGCATGACATATCTTTTGTAACTTAAGTAATTTTGTAACTTTGTGGTTTGTATTTCTTAGATTAAAATGGGAGGCACAGACTGTGCATTGCCAATGTTGTATGCAATAGAGAAAAATCTCAAGGTTGATGTATTTGTTGTGTACACTGATTGCGAGACAATGGCAGGACCAACACATCCAGCAAACGCTCTAAGGCTGTATCGTGAGCATTCTGGTATCAGAGATGCCAAACTGATTGTGGTTGCTATGACCTCAAATGGTTTCACTATTGCAGACCCGGACGACCAGGGAATGTTTGACATAGTTGGTTTTGATGCTGAAGCACCGAACGTCATGAGGGAGTTTATTCTTGGAAATATATAGAACCAGGCAAGAAATCGTAAGTACATGTTGAGTGCTTTGGATGAATATTTTCCTGCTGAATCATTTGTGAACTTTCTCAAATGGGAACTCCTGAATAAGCATATTTTGTAAATCATGAAAGCTGACTAACTTAATCTAAAACTGTAGTACCTAGTTTTAGTACCATTCATGTTATTGTTATGATGCAATGGTAACTCTTATCTCTGAATTACGTGATTTTTAATCATCACCCTTTCATCATCTTTCACAATCAAACCATCGAATCAAACAAGTTGTCCTCGCGCACTGATCTACAGATACAGTGTATTACTGGATGACGGAAAACCCATGATTATTTTCATAACGGGCATAAAAAATTATCTGAAAAATTAAAACCAAGCGTTAAGTTAAATAATCTGCTCCATTCTATTATTGAATAATAGCATAAAGGCTATTATTAATGCATAAATGAAATAATAACACAAATTAAGCATAAAACCTGCGTTGTGACGTAGTTCGCGGACAAAGCCTATATCTGATTGGCCTATGCGTCTATAATAGTTGGCCAATCAGGAGCATGATGTCCAATCAGAAGCAGGTCCGCAATCTACGTGACAGTCCACGTTATTACGAAAGATGTTTTTGATGGGAACAAAATTTAATCACAACAATAATCACAACACTTTAAAGCTGCCCTGAGTTATCAGCCAAATTGTTGTATCGATAATTTTGATGTCATTTGGGCTTGATACGAAGTATTACACAAAGTTTAATATGCTAAGTAATCTTGTTTAATCTTTGTCATCAGTTTTCCAGCATTTGACGTATTATCGGTGATTATCAGTGATTTTCGTTGTGTCATAATGTGCCCATTGATGACTTTCATTTCGAAATTCAAAGACATAAGTCAGTGCTAAATTTTTAAAAGTTCAGAGCTTAGAGGTGATGAAAAATTGTCACGACATTCAATATTATATTATTAATAGTAAGTAACTTAGGGCAAACCAGTGCTAATTTTTGGATAATATGGAAATAATTATCTGTACAACAGATTTTGCATTCCCATCTACAAAACTATCAGTATAATGTATTGTTTGCGTCATGTGTAAAACATCTTATGTAAAGTCATATTATATATTGTCTCCCGAGAGAATGGCTTATATATTTTTAATATACAACCATTTGCGAGCTTCCATTAACCGCGCACTCGAAACAAGGTTTTGAAAAGTTTTAATTAATGAGTTTTTCAACGGAAACACGTTTGTTTTCACACTCAAACGTTTTCTGGGAGGGGCCAAAACAATTAGTTTCGCGATCAAAACATTACATGCACTTTTGCCTATAATTGTAACCAAAATTTGTAGCTTTGTGATGGAGTTTAAGATAAACAGACATGGTAGATATAGACTTCTTATTGGCAAGAATAGACCTTTTCGGTAATTACGTCAACACATTTACATCGCAACATTTTAAATTTAGAACCACCTTAAATGAAATGGATTTCAAGTTATACTCTCACGAGCCACGTGCAAAGATGCAAACAGCCCGGCAAATTTATCATTTTAGCCCGCAAAATACACCGCAATGCCCGCCAAAGTTATTATAATATAGATTTACAGGCCTTACGGCTATAAGTATAAGGCGATAAATGATATGGCACCTTCTGCACCTAATATATTTAATATATATGTATACGTAATAGCATGGTTTCGAGTGCAATTTGGAAAAAACATGCACGAGTGAGTTTCTCAAAGACCTCAAAATAGCGCGAGTCCGAAGGACGAGTGTAATTTGAAGTCTTTTCAAAAGCTCACGAGTGCATGTTTTTTCCAAATTGCACGAGAATCTATGCTATTATAATAATATACATAAAAAAATTAAGCGACACGTGCTACGTAATTATATGATACGTAATTAAATTTATTCAATTAACAAAATTCATACGCAGTCGCATGTTGTTTTCAAATCGTGTCAAAATAGAATTGTTTCAACGTTTTTACATTGAAATATTTAACTTATATAAAGACACAACAATTATAACACTCAGGAGCATTTTTAAAAATGTCTTTAAGAAATTAGCACCGAGATTTCCTAAAAATTGCACTGCTCTTGAAAATTTGAAAATAAATTAATCCTGCGTATCACGAATATATGAATATATATCTCCCCAATTATCGTGCTGGCTACGCCACTGATTTATTTAATTAAACCCTTTTTTACCTGCATGAATTAACTTTTTGCCTTAAGAAAAGCTAAATTTCTTTCTCCATTTCTAAATTATTGTTGATTTCACATAAGTGCGAAGTTCGTTGCGAAGTCAGCAATAATGTTTCGAATGTTCGCAGTTCAAAACAAACTTTGAAGTTTGAAAATACCTTTTCAAACAGAACTTAGTCAACTTACTACTGCTAAAACAGTTTTGTTTCGATTTGAAATGGTCTTATTGTATGCAGTTACGTTGATAAGTCGTGGTTTACAGTATATTTTAATGCTTCGTGACTCCAACCTACGCTCAAACTTACGGGCTTGACCTTCAAAGTTCGTCTTGAACTTCAAACTTTCGAAACGTAATTGCGAACTTCGCAACGAACGTCGCAGCTGTTAAGCATTCATTATTCAATCATAAAATTTTCGTATAGTAGTATAGCAAAACAAGACAAGGAGTGATCACTGCTTCGTAGGATCCGTGTTCTAATTTGTGAATATGCGATCAAGATGCATGTGTATCATTTCTATTACTAGTGTGCCTCGTTCGTCATTACGCTAAAGCCTGTATAAATAAGACTTATAAACTGATAAATTATCTGGAATCATCTCCACCTATATATTTAAACCGCTCTTTATTGTATACAGCCTGAGTTATAATTATAAAGAACTATGCTTGTTCAACTCTTTCAAAGCCATATCTATACAAACGATAACATTTCCGCACCCTTTACAGTCGCGGCAATAGAAGCGTTCCGAGAAATATCGAGTAACTCATTGGCTCAAATTTATCAGTTGGCTAAAGCCCGTTTTCCACTAGGCGAATTTATTCGCGCGACGCGAAGCGATATCTGAAATCCTGTGATGTGATTGGTTTGCGAAAAAACTCGCCCGCTCGCTCCTACTTTTTATCTGTTAGTGAATTCGCCTAGTGGAAAACAGGCTTTACGGAGTTCATCCAAATTATTCAAATATTTGAAAAACTTCCGGTTTCGAATTGACCAATCATTTGCATCTATTTGTTTTATTATCCAATAGGATTAGAAATTGTTCAATTCGAACCCGGAATTTAGGAGGTTTTCAAGGCGTTTCCTAAGATATTTTATGAACTCCCAACTGGCAACTAATAAATTTCTCGGAACGCTTCTATTGCCGCGACTGTAATATCGAAGTTGGAATTTCCCACGGTAAGGCCTGAATTTATATTAAGTGAATAATGCATGCTGCGTGTAATATGCCAGTTATCTACTATAAAAATATTGGAATGGGCCGTTCACTGAATCAGCGGTGCGCAGATGGATATACTTTTCAATTCATTACTTTTTCCAATCAACGCAGAACGTTCTGTGCATGCACTGTAAGTAAATATTAAGGGCAGCTGCTATATATGGGATTATGAAAATGACAGGATATTGTAATGACTCACTTTGATAGTCTGAAAAGGTTACGACGATTTATGGATGTTCGTTTTCATGTATTCATGCATATAGTGCCTATATTCATTATCAGCAGCTTATGACAGGACGTCTGAACCTAGTAATTTGTACAAGGGAGGTGACATCTGTTCGATATTAATTCAGGATCAATTTTGCACATTTGTGTGTGTGTCATGTCATTAACCACGGTGAGTGTATATTTTACTTCGAGTTTACAATAAATTGGCGAATTATTGTACATTATTGATTCGAAGCTTATATATAAGATCTATATAGCATAATATATTGAATGAATTGGCTACTCTCTTTGTATAATAATAGATTCTTTGAACAACGTATATTTCGAAATAATAGAACTCATAGAAATAGAAATATTTCTAAGTGTAGAAACAATATCCATGAGTTATTCGTCCACGCATTCATGATTAAGGTTGTAATGTACAGGCGCTGTTTTTTAACATTTTCAAATCTATATTGATAGAGGTTATATTTAACGAATATTTCTTAAAATATGTGCGGTTTTTTTCTAAAATATTCTGATAAAAGCTGCCTTAATTAATTTTCAAACCAGAGGTTATATTTGTCACATTATTCTTTATATCAATATACAAACGTTTTCTTGGCAACGAGAGTTGACTGGGAAAAAATGTCATTACTGTTTTAAAAGAAAAGAAGAAAACGAAGAAGAATGAATGCTTGAATGACGCACATTCAAATTCGCGGTCGGGTTATCAAACTTGCTGTTTTAAATCTCACCTGCTGTCTACACGGTATATTTTGCATGGAACTCGCTAATTTGACATTGCCGGCCCGTAGTCCTTTGCCAGACAGCAAGAGAATTCTTAATAATTAAGGTCATGTTGTGGCGGAAAATGTATTTGCTATTTTAAAAGATCAAAGGCTCAGGAAAATTACACCTCACAGATGGTCACCGCTGGCTTATCTTAACTGCATGCTATATAGGTGCATGTTAAATGTGCCACAAAATTTTATTTTGTGCATTCAATTTTTTTGATTGAAGGAACGTTATAAGGGCGAAGCAAGAGGAAGAAACTTTCATTCATAGAAGAGTATTGAAGAATAAAGTTTTTGGTATTTTAAGAGAAAGCAAAGTCCATCGACATCGTCGTTTGTAAACTTCTGTAAGGGAAGTCCATCAACCACTCCTTTAAATACACACTCCCGTCATCCCGAAACTATATATAGCACATGTACAGCATTTGTTGTCAATAACGAACGGCTCTGCATTTATTATGCAATATTGTGGGACAACTACCACGGCGGCGGTAGTTTACAATATATGTGCAGCTGACAACCACACTACCTCGAGTCCTAGACATATATTTGCAAAAAGTCAACTCTTTAGTTCGTGGAATCTGTATATATGCTTTTTATCCGTCCTACTCAACCTCTTAGGAAACCCACTTATAATCCTGGTTATTTACAAAACATCTGCAATGCACAACTTCACTCATTATCTTTTTGTGAACTTGGCTGTGTCTGATGTGCTGTTGGGGCTATCGAGTATCGTTTCCTTTGCAATACGAGAAACGCTAAAAGAAGGCTCGGAGGCTTTTTCTTTAGATTGGGTATGTAAACTGGTCCATACCTGCCCTATTCCTGCTGTCAGTATGACAGTTTCTAGTTTCACCTTAACAGTAATCACGTGGGAACGGTGCTACCACATTTCACAACCTTTTAAAGCGAGAGTCGCACAACGCAACACAAAGCTCGTAGTGGGGATAATTTGGGCAGTTGCGGTGGTAATATTGATTCCAGTTTTAGTGTACACAAAATTTGTCCGAGAAAAACATTCATGTGTGATTGCTGTTCCGCATTTGAAAGTTTATGTGATTTTTCTAACTTTCATCGCATTCGTCGGGCCACTAGGACTTATGTTGTACTGCTATTATAAAACTGTGGTTATGTTGTGGTTTTCAAAGACGGACCAAATGCTGGGTAGCTTCCCAGCGAATAGAACAGCACTTCGAAGGCATCGAAAAACAGTCACAAAGTTTTTGGGTGTTGTAATCATCTCGTTTATTGTATGCTCCGTTCCGGTTGCTGTCATGCTTGTGGCTAGGCGGTATCTCACAGTTCCAAACACATTATTCTTCTCTACAGTATTGTTGGGGATGTTTAGCTCAAGTGTAAATCCAGTTATATTTATGGCTCAAAACCGACAGTTTCGAAACGGTTTAAAGAATCTTGTGTTTGAGCAAAATTCTTTGATTATATCCAATCCCAGAAGAGCTGGCAGTAAGAATATGGCAAACACTATTGCGTAATTTTTTAGTTTCCAGTGTACCACATTGAACATCGATATTGCCATATTGGCATAATTATATTACTTCATGTAATGTATCTTTTCAAATGTAAAACCTCAATTAAGTTCACTGTTTTAAGTTAAAACTTGTAAATAGAAATATGAATAGCTTATATGTTCCAGGCTAAATGATAATAACATAAGTCTACCAGATTTTATTAAAGGCTGTTTTCCACTTACGCGTTTTTCATACGCACGTACACGCACGTAAAAATCTAAATCCTTATACTATATATATAAAAAACTAAGTGAATAAATCGAAGGAACTTAGTTTTCTGCATATTTTAGTATGCATTAGTTGACCTAGATGTCAAATAATAAAAATTTAAAAGCATTTAAAATTTTCCGTACGTGTACGTGCGTATAAAAAACGCGTAAGTGGAAAGCAGCCTTAAGTCACATGACCAGTTTCTAGCAGGAACTTCCTGCAAGCAGAAACAGGGTTGTAAATCACTGGGTTGTAATAAATAAACTCGAAAAAAAGTAGTATCAATATATCATTCATAATTCTACTGGTCCAGTAAAATCAGTATAATAATAATAAATTAGCTATATTTATGTGTTACACTTGTTCATACTAAATTCAGTTAGTGTTTCGAACATGATAATGCCCTAATCTGGCCCAAGGAACGATAGCGCCGGAATAGTCTCTGCTAAACGACGCCGAAATCGGACTCGTAGGTTTAGATTAGGTGTAGTGTTGGGATTAAAATTGAGTTTGTTTATTGTGAAATTAACCAGATCGTGGGCGGCAACTGCTTCACAATTATATTATTTATCTGCTGCCTTTCAACATAGCCACGAAAATTCCAATTTTCGTCCGGAGCACGAACAGAGAAGACCATAATAGGCATGGAAACGACGTGATGACATCATACCAGGTGTCCACTTGCCCACTATGCTGGAAATGTTCTGAAATGTTCTCCTTAAACAAAAACAAAACAAAAACTGTACTAAAAACTGTGAATGGGAATGGGATATAATTCATCAATATAAGAAAGATACAACATATATGCATTAAACATATGCTGCCTTTTAAAACAGCACTAAAAGTTGTCCGATTAAAGATAGTCGGTTCATGTTATTAATTGGTTCGCTATCAGCTATACGCAGCTTGGTAGCTTCTATCGCATGTAAATCAGTTTATGAAACACTCCCTCCTCCCCCCCATACGAGACTCCCTCCTCCCCCCCATACGAGAAAATCATCTCGATTTTTCCAACTTCTTGCGTCAGCATATAGGGTCAGACTCGAAACGTCGACCTGAGAAGTTTTCTTTTTTCAAGTGCCTCAAAACCAACGAAGCAAAATTTATTATCAATCTATTATTATCTATATGTGGTGATCATATCTTGTTTAATCATATTGACTTTTAAATTCGACTGAAAGACTTCAAGTAGTGTGGCGGCAAAAGGTCAATTAAAGGTAATAGGGCTAGCCATGCATATAAAACATTTTCGCTGGCTAGGCGCAAGTGTCCACTTCTTCCGAAACACCAGTTTTCCGGAGGAAGATGATGAGAGAGCATTTTTATTTATGACTGGTTCACCTGGCTACTGCCGATAATAGTCTAAGTAGAAAACAACTCATACAAAAAGAATGGTTCTGCGTGCCTGCGTTTGCACAATCAATTGAAATATTTAAATGATGACCACATATCTGTCTAGTAATTTTCTGCTTTTTTATTAGAGGGTTTGGAAAAAAAATCTAACAGTAAATCTAAAGCAGCGATCGTCGCAACTCTTTAGTAACATGAAAACTTATAAGTTGAACATTATTCCAAGTTCGCCATCAAATCTATAGTTTAATACGGACAATGTCAATGATTATGATTTCAACGCATGTTATTTGTTTAAATATGCCTACAACCCTATTTGAATACGTGGGCATCTTATTTATTTTAATTAACATGCATTGAAACATGAAAACTTGTTATACTCACTGCAATTTTCAACCTTTTGCAAATCTAGACCCTATACGTCGTGAGAGGACGTCAACATTTTATAAAGAAATAATGAAACCGAAGGATATGAGTTGATCAAGAGTCAGCTGTACTTACCCAACCGCCTTGATCTTTGATCCAACTAGCTAAATTGTCTTCAATAAAAGCCTTCACACAATATACAACAGTGCGAGCAAATTCAGGCCTATGTTCGCGAATACAGTCAACAATAATCCCACTAGCAAACGCAAACATTGCAACAATCCGAGGCCAGCTTGTGCCAGTTTTAAACAGAGATCGACAAAAAGATCGGAATACGTCACAAATGATCACTTCGGTCCGTAATGTGACTTTCAGCTGTCGGGAAACGTGTGAGTATAATCTTGGGTACAAATGCTCCAGGAGTCCGCATATTTCCTGGATTCTTTCGGACGTTTCCTGAAATCGATCCGATACCTCGTCGTTCTCGCGTTCGAACTTTATAAACGCGTTCAAGTTATACCGGTATAGTTTAAACTCCAGATACTCAAGAAAATAGAAGTTTCCTTCTGCAGCTACTGTTGGCTCTGCGTTGATCTGAATTAAAATAAGAGGTGTTGGTGGCTTGATCATTATGTCGAATAGGTAGCTTTGTTTCAATTAAGTTTTGCTTTGATCACAGCACGTCTCAATATAGACTTGTAATTCAACATGTGTATCGTATGCAGAGTCTGGGTCAATAATGTGTATTTTAGTTATCGAGGTCGTTTGTATATATAAAGCCGTCGAGCAAAGCTGTTGATATTATATTCACGACAGGTGGGCAATTGTGGGCGTACTGTGAATTAGCAGAACATATATATAACCTGGAGTGTTTTTGGACTCGTTGACAATTCATCATCTTCACTGATTCTGTACCAAAATGCCTGGTTTTCATATGTCGTAACTCATCGCCGATGGCTATTGTCGGTGGTCATTGATGCATAAAATCCTTTGTCTATCGCAGGAAATTATATACTTCATTGACCACCGACAATAGATCGTAGAACATCGCCGATGAATCACGACGTATGAAAACAAGGCTTTCTGGTCCTTCAGTTCTCTTACATGTTGTCTCTCGTAACTACATGTTTATGCTATCTTAGCCTCAGCATTATCCGAGTCTGAACTAGTTTTAAGCCTGGTTCACACTTGTCCTATTGGAATCTGAGATTCTCTTTGTCCAAGGTCACTAGTGCGCAAAATGCTTTGTCTATCGGAAGGTAATACAATCATTACAATGGATCGCCGATTCTTAGGAGCTAGTGTGAATCAGGCCTTAGTTGCAAACAAGCCTGTTTCAAACTATTTATTACACGAATTATCGCATGAATTATCACACGAATTTAATCTCTACCTATAAGTAATACCTTTTCCGGAATCCTGAAGTGTAGTCCAGTTTCACATATCCCCACGGGGGGCAGCCTTTAGTAAACTGATCATCTTTTTTTTTAAATCAAAAGAATCGCGGTTTTTAAAGTTCCCAAAATTGCAGCTCGTAATTCTGGCGTGATAATAGGCGTGTGATTCATACTGTGATATGAAAAATTTTAAGAAGTTTAACTTCTATTTGCGGCTCGTGGCGAGAAACGGAAGTTTAGGTAGTTTGATGTTGATCATTCAACGAAATGGGAAGCATCCTGCTGTAAATTTGATTGGGATTTTAATGGCGATTTTTTAATTATTGACGTAGTTCTATTACAAAACACTGTTATTTAAAACTACACTTTTCCTAAACATCTAAATATATTTTTCGCAAAATCAGACCATCAGTGAATAATTGATTTAACCTCTTATAATGCGGATTTGCCTTTTCTAATAATCATCCAAAAAGTAGAGCTGTGAGTGTACATTATTTGCATACGCTAAATTGTATTTTTCAAGGATTGTTACAATATTAATATGAATTGAAATGATATTTCGGCATATAATCAGCCTCTTAAAAATGAGCTGATAACCAGCTGTCCCAACTACAGAAATTCCCAACATTCAGCTTATTCACGAGGTTGAATATGTTCTTTAAAAGCCCGTTTACACTTTTATGTTCGATTTTCTTCTTTTGATAGATGTGAAAGAGTGATTTAGTTATATACTGATGTTTAAATAAGGGCTTTTATACATCAGGGCATTCGTAACTCATTCACATCTATCAAAAGAGGAAAATCGCAGCAAAAATCGCAAGTGTAAACGAACATTTAGAAATATTATCCGGCTTCATTTTTTTTCCTGAAATTACTTTTTACAAGAAACAAATGGACGCGAATATAATGCTTAAGAGTTTTAACCCAGGAGCAAGCTAATTTGAGTATTCAGGTCGCGAGCCACAGACGAACGAAAGCATTGATGATAATTGATAAGCAGGCAAAACTACATTTATTATTGCTTATGGTAATCTCTCCCAAGTAAAAGAAATACTAATATTTCTAGACAATAAGCATACGGAGATTTTAGTTTGAATGTTAATATGAAATTGCTCGTATTAGCTAACATTCCTCAACGGAGACGGACACTTCAGAGCCTACGTAGAAAGGTCCGTCTCTAACAAATTGTTTCAGTTTAAGTATGGAAGGTTTATCAAACGCCGTTGAGATGAACGGGGATAGGGACATCTTTTTTATGACTTCGTATTTTAATTCTTGACATTCCTTCTGGTTTTCTGTACGTCGGTCCAACAGGTATTCGAAAAATCCTGCCGAAAAAAAAGAGATTATCGTCTTAGGCACAAGGCAAGGGTAACAATTTGGCTTAATTTCCCCGTTTATATATAAACTATTATTTGCATTCAAACCAGCTGTCTATAGACCCGTTACTGAAACAGACAGAATGGTATTACCTGGAATATTATTCATATCAGCTAGCATCCATTGATAGCTGACCAAATTGAAGAATATCTTCAAGCAGGATTTTCTTACATCGTTAAATGGTTGTTTGAGAACTTCAAATAACATTTGCATTGGGTTGGTATTAAGCTTCTGATATAGACTGTGTATAAGATCAACAGTATTCTTGTCAGAGTCGTCATCAGAAGCAAAGAGGAAGGCAAGACAATCCAAGCAATGGACTCTGTAAAAAAAGATATTTATTAACAGATTAAATTCGTTTTTGCCTGCCCCTTTAGCATGCACAAACGAAAAAGAAAGTAGATATTTTTTATCGCGAAAAATTGCATGTTATTGTTCACATGCATGCACTATCGTGCGGCTATTGTCTGTTACGCGAGACCAGTTACATTTTCGTCCAAAATTTAAAATCAATTGCTTATATCTAAATCGTGACTTTGCTTTCGTTTATCTTGTAACGTCAGGTCCAGCAAAACAAATAGATGTTTTTGAAACCCGGCAGTCCAGATAATATAGCCAGCCTAACTCCCCTAAGGTCTATGAACAAGTCAAAAATCAGGCATGTTACAATGTAAACGTATAAGGCGCCTGTCCCCATGTTGCCTGGGTCAGAGTATCATCACGGTTTTGTTATTATGACAGGTTGTTACGATTTACAGTTTGGTGCGAACGTTTTTGAGCTGTACGTTTTCGGGAAGGACAACGCAGCTGTGGGCCTTCCAGCACCGTTGTTGGGAGCAGCTAATGATATATTGCATTCTTATTGCATCATAGAATGCCATCTTGTTGAGAGAGTAATTTCACATCTAGTTTTAATTTGGTTGTGGGTGTTTGTTGTTATAGTAAAATACAGTGTAAGATAAACTACTGCTTCAAGGAAATATTTGGCACAAATCTAGCAGTTTAGTTAGCAGTTTAGCACCATAGTGTGTAACACTTTACTGCTGTTTCCTATATGAACGCACTCATGCACATTTACAAATTGGACACCAATGTTTAAATCATCCATGCTTACCTCAATTCTTCATCAGCAGTTTGCAAAAGATTTCCAATTATGACCATAATGTTTCGTTTGGACTCATTTTGAAATAGAACTTTTAGACCCTCATTGGATAAGCCAATAGTGCCAATTGTGTCCACAGCAACAACCAGTAAACTACTATCATTTGTTGTGATGCAGTTGAATATGAAGTTGTAAAATTGTGGATATTTATCAAGAATAAAATTAGGGTTATTTATTGATAAAAACCCAAAGAACTTGATAATACCTAAACAAATTTAATCATGAATATTATAATTAGCATTGGTATAATAAATATGGCTGTAAAAAGTTCCATGCAGTCTCAATTAAGGCCTGTAGAGATATACTAGTTATTGCCAGATATATTAGTAACAATCTGGTAATAACTTACCTGGTAATACCAATGCCGCCAAAGGGTTTGCATCTGCAGATGTCAATATACTATACAACTTCTGGTTAACACCAGTCTTCTCAGGAAATTGATATGCAACTTCATTTACGTTAACAATATCTGTTAATAGCTCTATACAATTCATCTGTATTAAAACATCTTCACTGTCAATCTTTGCTGCCAAACTGGTAAAGATTGTTTCAAACTGTTCATAAGCATTTTGATTGGCTTCAAAAATCCTAACAAACAGTTCATAGACTCGAAAACAAATGATTGAACTTTCCCTCATTAATTCTGAGAATTCTGCTTGAGAATGCATATTTAATAGCAATGCCAAACCTTCACCATGACGACTTACAGTTAACAGAATACTACTAGCAATTTTAGCACAACCCATATGGGAGTGTCCCAAGTTTCTAATGACGAAATTCACCAGGTCTAAATTTTGGATAACTTTTAAAACTCCGCTGTTTGTTTGGACACATCTTTCAACCTGGTGAAGACACAACTCTCTGACTTCTACTGAAGGATGATTCACTCCCTGCACAGCTTCTACCTCAAACTCTGTTATAATCAACTCGGGTTTCATGTAGTTTAATAGCTTCTTTAATAAGGCAGTGCAATGGCTTATTTCACTCGTATGGTTTAAAGCCAAGCGCCTGAACAGAACACTCGGAGGGATGAGGGCTAGGAGCTGCTCGCTACTTAAACTTCTTGAATCGACGAGTATGTTGAGATCTTGTAAGCATTTTAAAACATTTTCTCCGCTTGCAGAACTAGAAATAGTTTGCACATGTTGGGCAATTTTGGCGTCCATGTTGGCCTATTTTCCCCATAAGGGGCAACCGGGGAGCCGGGATACTATTCTCAGTGTATTCGAACTTACCAGGGGTCGAATATACCTTATTGAGACCATATAGACGGACCCATTGCACTGACCTCATATTAAATCATTAAAAGTTGTCCTCCAGATGTTTCCTTACTAAAAATAATCGTTAGTTAATCGCGAGCGATTAAGGTTATATAGCGGTCAAAAACAGTGAACGAAGCAAAGTTTCTCACACTAGTAAATATTTCTGTACCAAAATTTACGTTTTTGCAAAATTTATGCAAGTTACTTAAACTATTATAGGTGAGTGGAAACTGTGCATTCCGAGAATGTGCGCGGTGAAGAAATAAACTGACACTTTTTGGTCATTAGACGACGGCCTTAAAAAGAAAGTAAAAGAGTAAAAAGACTTTTCCAAAGTGCCAAAAAAACTTGTTTTTTCTTCGCAACGCTTCGCCTTCAGGCAGTAAACTATACAAAAAGTTAACTATAATAATCGCCTAAATATTCAGGCCGAAAACATGGTTAATTTACAAATCTTACATTGTATATACACAGCCTAATTACAATAATTACATCAAAGTTGTATCCGCAACAGCTCGTTGATTGTCTAAAAAATGTTGATAATTTGAAGTCAATAAATCTGTTCCCAAAATACATTGTTTCAATGTGAAAGATGTATCAAGCGTTGCTGGATCTAAAAACAAAAAATAAAGATTTTGATATTTGTTAAAGCTCTGATTTACACCAGATAGGACACTACTATGAACAAAAAAGAGAATATGAAATTGTTTGAACTTTTTATCACCGTAAACAATGAGATTATCTTTGCAAAAAAAAAGGAAATATATTGACTGATCCTAAACATTTGAATACCTGGAGCGATCCAGTCGTCTTGTGCAATATAAACTACAGCGGGTACACAATGTTGACAGACACCATGTTCAACTGGGTTTAAACTATTACACATCCACACTGGTACAATCAATCTTGAATAATGCTGCAATAAACATGGATGACGTGTTAATCTAATAGGGGCTGGTTTGATTAAAACTCAATTGAAACTTTGGAACAAAAGTTTACGAAATCAGGAAGAAGTAACCGAAGAACGTTTCTTTTGGACAGGAACATACATTACTTGTGCACTGCCCATCTGAACGTCTAGTACATATATATGAGAAATACCTTTGGAAAACCAATACAAGTATCTAAAAGTGAAAGGTAGTCCAATGATAGCTCATAAACACATCCTTCGACAGAAAATCCAGGTTCGTACGCTATATTTGGAAATCCTACACCACCTTCAGCCGAACCTAAAAATGATGTGAAACAATTGAAACCAGGCATCTTTTCGGAAATGCAACCGTTTTACCAAAAAATCCATCCGTATCCTTTGTAGCATTTGCATAAAAGAAGACTTACCTTTCTTGTTGAAGAGTAATCTGAAACCGAAAAGCAAACCCCAATATCGAAAACCTGTCTGGCATTTTAGTTTAATTTCTAATCTGAAAAGGAAAATGGAGGATTAAGATAGACTTTCTCCAGTCCAATGTTCATGTGGAAATAAAGAAAAGATACAATAGTCAATATATTATTATTTCCCATATCATTACCTTTTTTGGTTCATGTTGAGACCATAAGCAAAGTAAAAGAAATGGCCAGATTTTGGAATAGTGTTGATTTGAAAATTCAACGGAGGTACAGGCGGAATTCTTTTTTTTCTAAAAAGTTGCAGTGAATGTGTTCCATGTATTACGTTGATATTAAAAGTTTGTAAAAGAGCATTTTTGCAGGTAAGGGTAATACTGTAGTAGCTAGGTTACCTTATGAGCTTTGTAAATGGCTTGCTGATGGCCACAACCTCCAATGTACTTTGGTCATTACGTAGGGAATCATCGCTTGCTTTCAGCTAATGGAGGAAGGGTAATTATACTACATGATTACACTTTTATCACTGCATGGGCTGTCTCAAAAATTGCAGGCACTGTAATTTGCATAACATCGATTTGCGTTCATACGCATTTCATTGCCTGTGTAAGCTGTTGTATTCGTAGGAGTTTAAAAAAATCGTACTTTTCCTCGCTTTTGAGATTAGAAGTAAATTAGTAGCTAATATATAAAAATCTCTGTCTATGGTTTTCAGGTATATACCTTTGGACCAACTAGTTATCGTATGGTTTACCTTTCCTTCTCCTGGCTCGTCTTGAGAAAAACCACTAACACTGGGACTATCATCCCCAGATAAATCTTCCAAGCACTCTGTCTTCACCTTTTCACGCAGAGTTCTTTGCCTACTAATGGCAGATTTCACACGCGTTGGGACATCTTTAAAGAGAGAATTTGTTGTCTGTGAAGACATTCTTCGAGCCGGAGCAGATTTTATTCTTGGTCTAGTCGTGTTTACTTTATATTTAGACACTTCCTCTCTGGAAATATCAAAACCACCATCGTTGAGAGCTTTCCAGATATCTTTGACTTGCACGCTATCTTGATCTGGGCTACTTTGGTTGCCTGAAGGTGTAGTGGAAACACCAGAATTCAAGAATGGTTTACCACAAGCGTTCTGTCGCTCGTGATCTTTAGTTTTTTGTTCACTATCCTGATCTGTTGTGGGCGGTTTATCGCATGTTAATACTGCAGCCTCAGTGTTCGTTTCCTCCAGTGCGTTATCATCGGCGATTCCTTGATGCACTTCGGACAGTTTTGGAAAAGAATCATTTCTGATTTCTAATCTTCTGTCTATTTTAGAGTCGTTTTTCCCAGAAATCGTATGGTCAAAACTTTCATTTATTTGCCATGCATATGATTTTGTGAATTTCTCCTCAGAAATAGTCTTTGGAATCGATTCTTCCTCTTCTCGAAAGGAATAAATTTCTTTATCTGTCTTGTGAGTCTCATTGCAATTCATATTATGAAGAGTTCTATCATCATCAATATCATCACAACTATCACTATCATCATTCACGACAGTATGGATACAATCACGATAATCATTTGCTTGAAGGATACCATCAATATCACATGTTCCACAATTATAATCTATCTTGTGGTTACAATCGAAGAAATCATCGATACCTTGATCATCATCATCAATGTGATGATCAAAAATCTTATTTTCAGAATCAGTGGTTTTTGTCCAAGAATCGTCACCATCATCGTTGGATTCAAAATTTCTATTAAATATGATACGTTTTGGATTCTTAACTAAATCTTCTGTCTGTTGTTCTCCGTAAATAACGCTGATATTTGAAGCGGTTTCGCTTTGATCAACAAGAGAAAGCTTGCGCAAATCAACTGTCAGAGTACTGGGTGAAATGATTTTAGTGGCGGATGAAAAACGTATTATGTCAGGACTGACAACTTCGTCACGAACTCCCAGACCATCGTCTACGATCACTGTCTTCTTTTGACGATCTAAATCACGCAGACTCGCTTTGAGAAAACTGTAAGAAAAGTATTAACAAAACGAAAACCCCGATAATCATGTCTGCACGTAAAAACCCACAAGTTGTAACAAAATGCTCGTTGCTTATTCGACATTGTCGTAAAACAACAGCTTTTTGGCAACTGAACCCTGTCTTAATTTAAAGTTTGGGTTTGATGAGGGTTAAGCTTAGTTTGGATTAGTGTTAGTTATTGGGATTAGGACCATTTTAAATTAGTAAGCCTTCTTTAAGTATGCTATTGTGAGAAAGCTTCCGCAAATCAAGAAAAGCTTGTATTGATTGTGCACACACTGGGTCCTGGGGTGAGTCCACTTCTGTTATTACCGTTTTGTATACCAAGACATTTTGTAACATTTGGTTGCAAGCTGTGCAGCCCTGTACCAAGAAGTGGTCGTAATGGTCCCTTTTTCTTTAAACCATTTTTTTGAGTTGTAGGGCGATAAATTGAAGAAGTCTCATCCAAAATATCACGAACATAGTCTACTGCTAAAGTTGTCTTGAATTTGCATAAGCTGTCAGGTTGAACAATCTGGAAGGAGAATATAAAATAAAAAAAATTGTTAGAATTTCAGCTGCTCTTGTTCTGTATATAGATCACAATTAAGGGTCATTGCAACAAATCGGGATCTTGTTTTTAAAAGCCAATTTCAGTTTCCTGCAGTAAAACCACATGCATAACACAGCTCTCAAAATTCCGGTTTGAATGGGAGTGATATATTATATATAAGTCAGGCTAAACAGTCAATCGACATATTTGGTACCTTTTTTATTCCTTTAGTGGGTAAATTTGATCGCACATCTTTGCTAAAATGTTGTGCTTTAGTGCTTGTACTGTAATAGTCCTGTGTGTGATGTGAGTTTGGGTGTCCAAGTCTAGGTGCATATACTTGATCTTTTCTTGTGTCGACACATAAGTATCTGCCAGGTTGTTGCTGCTGAAAAAAAAAACTTGTGAAGTCTTTCTTGTAAACTTTGGGGAAAACAGCATACCAGGTAAACAAGTTGTTGTTGACCTGTTTTTTTAATAATTAATTTTCATGATATGAGGGTCATGATTTATAGACAGCTATAAATGTTTCTTGGCTCATGCTGGTCATATTTGCTGGTCATACCTGCAAGCACAAAGCCAACACAAACTTTGAACTCACTGGAGTATTGTGCCTCAATTTCAAGTTGAGTCTCTGATGACGAGCAACCTTATAGGCAACCGCAGCCTTTACCCAACTATAACCCAAGAATTGCTGACTATTTGCTAGTGAGTTAAATGAGTGAAATCCAACTCTAATTGATTGTTACAATTAGCTTGTTATACACTGATTATGAAACTAATGAATGAAAACTTTTAATAAATAATATTTTTGCCACTAATTATTCATCGCACCCGGCCTACACAAGAAGTACAGTATATTATATAGTATATAATATATTTATTAAGTTGACCTACACTGATGATGCAATAAGTAATAAATTCAAACTGACATCCGCCTGGTGTGACTGTAATATTACACCGCAGTATATTGAAATGAAAGCAAACCTGAGATCTATATCGATTCCTTGAACTATTAATTGCTGATGATTTCGTTGCGGTCCCAGGCCTGGTTTGTTGATATATTTCATGTACGTCGCGATGAATGCCATTCCTACCTAAATTCTGATCCATCTCTACCAGGAAAATTATCATTCGCACACATAGTTGTCCTCATGACCTGTTAAAAGTCAGATTTTGGGACCTTCTTCACCTTTTTACCATCAAAACAATGAAGCATCTTGGTTGCTATGGTAGCCCTTCCCGAAAATGCCTGTCGTGGGGTCGTAAATTCCTCAGACTTCCTCCGTGATCAGTGGTAATTCAGTGGTGGTAATCCACCCGATTAGCACCTCATTACACGTATATAAGCAGGTTTCATTATCTCTCATTGCCCGTATGTAAGTGCTAACGAAAGATCTGCTGTACCTGCTGGCGCGCTGCCTTCAGAGCAGGCTGGAGTCGACTGACCTTCGTTCCGCTAAAAACCGCGAAACTATAAAATTTGCGCCAGTGTTCCGTGTTCGCCAATCGCCATATTGCTTTGATAGTGTTGCACTGTAGTCGCGGCTGTCGCGCACGTTTACTGATTTGCATTTCGCCGAATATTAAAATAAAATAAGTAACTGAATTATTCATAATGGAAGTAGAAAGATTGTCAATAACGGATGCACAAAAACAAGTTCTTGTGGATTTTTATGAGAGAGGAATGGTTTCAACCAAGAAAGGTTTGGCTGAATTACATGTTGAATGTGCTAGTGCTTGTGGCTTGTCTGAAACCCAAGTAAAAGTAAGTTTGTATAAATGATACAAATATATTTATATGAACTCCAGAAGATTTTATGTTTATAGTGTAAGACTAATCAACCTCTAATAGAAACATTTTTTTTCAAACTTTACCTTGAACAGGGGCCCTTTAATTGTTACATATACCTGTATTTAAAACCTGACTCACCCACACTCACTGAGTAAGAGATCACAATCACCTCATAACCAATTTCTATGGAATCTATAATGGTATTTTTGCTCCAGTAGATGTAATAATTTTGAATATTTCACCCAAATTAAATCTTGCTATTGACTAAGGAAGGACTCATTGATCAGCATAAACATGATCACTGGGTCACACTTGGTGAGAGTGAGTGTGAGTCTTTGAGAATACAGGCAACATTGTTGGTGTTTGATTCATTGTGCAATTTCTACAATTTACTACACAATTTTGCACCCAACAAATTCTGGAAAGAATAGTAATGAATTAATGGTTAAGATATTGTTCCGAGACATCAACCCATAGCGTAGCATTGTGCCCTGATGCTGCCTACTTTAATTGGTATTTTACTTTGTCTAACACAAGACAATTTTATTCATCAAGGGGTGACTGGAAATTTCATTTGCCATTTGTACTGCAGTTGAAGTATTCACATGTATAGCCTTACACTTTAACATTTCTCACACCAAAACCAACCCCAACCCACACTGTAAACCCCAACCTTAACATTGGTTGGATATCAAAATGTTAAAACATTGCAAGAAAAAAAATTGAAAAATATATGAAGAAACTAACCTATAATCTAGAGTACTTGGTGCACAATAGCCAGGAAAAATTTAAATGTTAATTAAGTTGAGTGCTGGAAGTTCAATTAACCAACAATTAATTGTTACTATTATACATTATAGTAGTGAAAGCAATTTGATTGGCTAATAGTTGACAGATAAATCGCGCAATCACGCAAAATTCAGTTCTGCTAGCAGATAACTGAGTTATCTGCAAGTGAACCTGCGGTGGTTAACAAGCGGTATTCATTTGAATGTATTTATATATTAATAATTGATGAATTTTTGGATGTTGCTATTAAATAAGGTTTTTCATTTGTTAATGCTTATGTTTACTATTCTTCAAATGTATAATAAAACCTTTAAATTTTATTGAATTCGGTTTTTGTGATATGCAGAGGCTCGGCTCATAATGCTTACCGAGACCTTGATAACTCTGCATATCACACTGTCTGTGATTATAAACTGTATTTTATTACAAATGGCAATGAAAACTGCTTATTTAACAATGGACTGCATTGTCCGGCTCGATTTCAGACTGTTTTTTCTATGCAATCAAGCTAGTTTTGGAAGGGTTTATTGTATGTGTTGTACAGTACCTTAATCTAATACCAACCTGACATTTTTGTGCTTCGTTTTTCATGGGATAATCACTTTAGTTTACCTTATTTTTTAGAACTGGATAAGTAATTATAAAGCTAGCAAACGATCCTCTGGTGAACCTAGGCAAAATGCTAGTAAATCAGTTCTAATTCGGAAAAGGAGTGGCTATAATGTTTTTGCCAAGGAACAACTTGCTGAAGGTAAATTAAATCTGAAGTATCATTGTGATGTACCATTAATACATGTAAAAAACAACTGATAAGATGAGAGAGGATAACATATGGGCTTCAATCGGTATGATTATATTGATGATATACAGGATGTATCAAAAAAATTCGAATCCAACTTTGACAAGCTGCTGTGTATGAAATACTAAAGTAAACGATATAATTTTTATGTGGCAACAAAGATTAGCTTATTTAGTTTACGATTATATCTTTCTTATATCGACACGACCAAAACTGGCCGAGTTATCGTCTTTTAAAAATTGTTGCTCGAAATCAAATTTTTCCGCCGATGGGAATTCGAAATGAGACCTCCAGACAAAAGAAAATGCAAATTTAATTAATGGAGGCATTGTGTTCTTCAAACTTCTATCGTTGAACATTGAGTGAGCAGAATTTTTGCGATAAATTTGCGTTTTAGTTTTCAGTAATGATTAGATTTTAAAGCCCTTTGGGACTAATTTTCAATAAAACAAACGTCCAATTCCCATCGGCGGAATATTGTGATTTTTATGAACTTTTTTTGTCGAACCAGTACTTCTTCATTTTTCAACTAAATTACACGTACAACGTGTCATTTGAAAGAGAAATAAATGAACTTAAAAATGGTGTAAAAATCAACCAATTTGTCAAATATATTTTGCATTATTACACGCAAAATTTCGATTCGAATTTTTTTGATACACCCTGTATATTAAAAAACCACAGTACATCCTACAATTAGATTTCACATGCACGTTACTCAATTAGGCAAGTCAGGTTTTATGTTAATAAAATTTCAAATGTGGGTTGCCAGTGTAGGTACATAGATTCTTTGCCGGATAAATTTTCGGTTGATATATAGGATAACTACCTGAAAAATATAACGATCAATCGCGTTATACTGCATCGTAATTAATACTTTACTAATAATTCCCGTTATATTTTTTAGGTTTTTAACATTAAGTGGGTTAGAAAAAACCCCACCAGTTTATCTTGTTAATACATTAAGCTGTCATGACGTCAAATGCATGCACAGGGACAGCATTTTGACCACTTACTTTTACTTTTGATCTGTACAATATTTGCTGAAAAGTAGCCATCCGTTTTTGCAAGATCCAGCTGATACAGGACATAGTATCATTCACTGTAGTATGTATATGCTATTGTGTACTATTATGTACTGCCATTGTGTACTGTATATAACATTTTGTACTAGTAAATTTAGGAGACTCCAAGAGCAAGAAACAAAAGTTCTCTGAACTTGGTGCGAAGTGGAAGGAATTGACAGATGGTCAAAAAGAGGAATATAGAGGGAAAGCTCGGAGTCTGAATGATTCCGATGTTGCGGAAGGATTCACTGATAGGCAGAGAAGTAAAAGAATTGTTAACAATTTAATGAAGGAGGTAATGTTATTATTAAGTATAAGTGTATTTACTCTGTATCTCACAGTTTTTTACTACAAATAGTTATAGTGTATTAGTGCACATACAGTGCTCATTCAGTATGGAATAGTCGTTCTAAACCAAAAACGATTTACCAAATACTAACGAATTTTTTACGCGACTTGGTGGAGTAAAAATTTCTCTGTATGAAATCGCTGTGTATGAGTGCTACCTGAAAATCTCGAAACGTCGAAGACTCTCTTGTTTTTCTCAGGTAGTTTACTTATGCAGACACAGCGAATTCTATGATTTCTACAAGCTACCTACACGTTCGAAGTTAATATGTACCGTGTGTTATATGAATGTGTGTGAATTCACATGACATGTGATTACGTGAAACCACATGTGAATGAAAACACATGCATGTGATTCGAATTTTGGGCACTACAATGAGTCCTGAATTGAGCCTAATCAGTATTTATCAACACTCAGGTTGCAGAACTTGATAATATAGATGGAGTCGAATGCCTGGTTATCTGTGTGGAAGGTGGCAATATATATCATGCCTCAACAAAATTGGGCCAAAAGTTTCTTGAAGAATATCCGGATACCTGTACAAAGTTTGGAAATGTCATTCAAAATGGTAAAGTGTCGGCACCGTTCACTTCGTGGAATGCGACTTTTAATCTTTGTGCTCCATAACATGAGTCACCTGTTTGACATGAACATTTATACCCAATTTATAATTTTTGAAAACTTATTATACATGCCTATTTAAAGTCTACCGAGGGCATAAAATGGGCGAAGGTGTTTAGAGATGCAATCATCTGAATGAGTGAATAATTCAGATACAGTAAAACAGGGGGGAATTTCGTTTTAGGCCGATCAGCGCATTCTAATGTCAGGTTATCTTTATTTGGCTTTGTATACACTAGAGAAATAGTAAATGACAGAGATTTCGTTACATATAATGTGATACTTTTAAAATTATTTTTTCAGTCTCCCTTAATAACAAGATAGATGTGAGCGACAAAATGATTAGAACAATATTTAACAAAAAGTATAGTAAGTACATTCTATATTTGACGTTTTCCCTCTAATATTTCAAAAATGCAGTATTGATATATGAATTTATATATATACATAAAAATGCTGTTATATTCACTACTGTTTCTTTGTGAAATTAGATATGGTTCACCTTTATAAAGGAAGCTTTATTCACAATTGCATAGACCGCTTTCATGACTGAGAGGAATTTAAATATTCTTTTATGAACATCTTAATAAGCCTTGCTGGCGAAGTTTCTATGACTGAAAAGGAATAGAGTTCTTCAACAAAAACGACGCCAACCGGGCTTATAAAGATGCACATAAAAAGAATATTTAATTTCGTCTCTGACGAATTACTGATGAATGTGGCCTTTTATAAAGATGCCTAAAAATAAGTAAATCTCTTTACTTTTTATGTGTGTTATACTATGTTGTACAAGTGCTATACACTAGTGTATTTGAGAATTCCTCATAGAGACATTACGAAAAAATAGAATTCACTTAATTCTTCATCGTCTTTGTGTTAACACGTATCAGGGATACGAGCACGGGTTCAACTCCCGTGGGATGATACTATTTATCTGTGAATTCTATCTGACGCTACAAAAAAGTCAGAATACAAAATTAATATAATATCGTTATTTTGAAGGTACATTAGTTGGCAAGGCTTCACCCTTGCCGTATTCAGCAGCAGAATCTCTTGGACTAAAGTTTAATGGTTTGCCGTCCGAACTCATAGACGAATTGGGTTGTTATCCAAAACAGCCAAACCATTACGGGGCACAACAAAAGCGAAGATTGTGGGAGAGAAGAAACTCCTTTTCTTTTTCTTTGCAGTCACACATGGAAATAATCAATACTGCAAGTAACAATGCATCATCTTCTTCGACTTCATCAAATGTCAGTTCGTCAACTAGTACTGATCCACTTTTGCCTCCATCTACGTTACCTCCAATGACTGCATCTGATCACCAAGTCCCACTTTCTACTAGCTTAAGACCAAGTACATCAAGGGAATCAATTAGTACGCCTTCACAATCCCAGCCTCAAGACCATTCTTCCCTCGCTCCCATGAACCAACCTGACATGCAGCTACCTAGTCAGTCTTTGTCAAAGAATGACGGCCAAGAACTAATTGTTTCTCGAATTATTGAGCAAACAATTTTTTTAAATGCTTCAAATGGGCTTTCACTACAGCTTAAGGAAGGTTAGCTGAAATGTTTATTCCACTTCGTGAAGTGCGAAATGCGATTTAGAATTTTTTAAGCATTACATCAATGTTCTGCCTAGTTATCAAAAGTTTTTATTCGCTTGATTGGTTGCCCCACCAAGGCAGTGACATGAATACTATAATCATTTTTAAATTTCATATTTTGGTGCACGAATTTGATCATTGCAACGTCTTATAGGTATCCAACTGCGCCAGTAAAAATGGGTGTTTGTGAAAGCAGTATAATGTTATGTATATGTCTGAATTGAATGTCTGAATTGATCGCCGGTAATGCCGGTCCATTACGGGAAAGTGATGGTCATTACGGGAAATAATGGACCTCTTGAAATTCTTCTCAGCCAATCACTGAGCTCCATTTCACCGGAAGTGACGCTTGCCATATAATAATACGGGATAATCACCTAAGTGCTGTTGAGTTTATTTTTTATTTCTTGCTTCACGAAAAGAGCAGAATTAGCTATAAGCACGATAAACAAAACCTGTTTATTTAGCCGATTCTTCTTTTTTCGTGAAGCAATAAACAAATAAACTTAAGCACTTAGCAACATTACCCAGTGCATGTTCCAAACAGAATGCGGTAAATGTCTGCGTTTTCTTCCATCCATGTAATTAGTAAAACCAAGATCTATATTTCGCCGTCGTGGATTCAGGCTATGTTATTATTTCATTTACTGTTCATTTTCAAATTCAAACATAATTCCTCCAGCGTATCTATCATTAACAAACTGAACCATTACATGCTCGTGGACATATCGGTGTTTTCGTTGTGAGTAATATAAATAATGGAGTTTAAAGTTACATTTTAGCCTGCTTTCTATGTATTCGTGAGTGTCGCCGTGGACATGAGTGCCGATGAAACTCTCCACAAATATTTTTAATAGTAAGGTAAATTTTTATACGCAGGTACAGTTTTTGGGCTTATGGACGAGCGAAACATGATCAAAGGAACGGGAAAGGTTATGGCAAAGCATCAGTTACATGGAAGACCAATTGCGCCTGGTTGCCTTGTAGTTGAAGTGGTCAGCGTGAAAGATAGTTGCGTCACAAAACCACCTGTACCGGGTGCATTTGATGATGACGAGGCGGTACATATCGGAGGGTTTTACCTGTGGCCAATATCAAAGCTCTCTTTTCTTGGTAAGACCGGAATTCAAGTTGGAATCAACAAGTAACTTTTGTAGATAACCATTGTTATATAAATCAGTACATACATCCTTTCGATAATTACGTCATTGATGCTCTTTTGGCCTAGATGCCTCGCTCTCATTATATGGAGTCTTCACTGATGAGAGAGAGGCTTCCAAGCCAAAAAATATCCGTAATTATCCAAAGTATATGTGTACGGTGATAAGTTTATAAAAAATCAAACAATTGAGAAATATATTACATATAGTATTGTTGTATTCATGTAAGTACTGTAAGTATTTATTGTTTTAAGATTTTTAATATATATCCATTTACCAAAAAAAAAACAAAAAAAAAAAAAAAAAAAAAAAACTAAGTACATTTTGTGAATTACTTTCATCGCAAAATTTCAGTGACATTCATTAAATCCGAACATGCGTATGCATTTTGGGGTACAGTTTCGCAATATAGGGTGCTTATATAAGGTTTACACAGCACAAGCAAGAATGTCATCCCAATTTTAGAAATGGAATTTCAACAAGATCTTTTGAACATTGTTTTAGATCATCGAAATACATGTAATTCTAAAATTTCACTGACATTCATTAAATCCGAACATGCGTATGCATTTTGGGGTACAGTTTCGCAATATAGGGTGCTTATATAAGGTTTACACAGGACAAGCAAGAATTTCATCTCAATTTTAGAAATAGAATTTCAACAAGATATTTCGAATATTGTTTTAGATCATCGAGATACATGTAATTCTAAAATTTCACTGACATTCATTAAATCCGAACATGCGTATGCATTTTGGGGTACAGTTTCGCAATATAGGGTGCTTATATAAGGTTTACACAGGAGCAAGAATTTCATCCCAATTTTAAAAATAGAATTTCAACAAGATATTTCGAATATTGTTTTAGATCATCGAGATACATGTAATTCTAAAATTTCACTGACATTCATTAAATCCGAACATGCGTATGCATTTTGGGGTACAGTTTCGCAATATAGGGTGCTTATATAAGGTTTACACAGGACAAGCAAGAATTTCATCCCAATTTTAAAATATGGAATTTCAACAAGATATTTTGAATATTGTTTTAGATCATCGAGATACATGTAATTCTAAAATTTCACTGACATTCATTAAATCCGAACATGCGTATGCATTTTGGGGTACAGTTTCGCAATATAGGGTGCTTATATAAGGTTTACACAGGACAAGCCAGAATTTCATCCCAATTTTAAAAATAGAATTTCAACAAGATATTTCGAATATTGTTTTAGATCATCGAGATACATGTAATTCTAAAATTTCACTGACATTCATTAAATCCGAACATGCGTATGCATTTTGGGGTACAGTTTCGCAATATAGGGTGCTTATATAAGGTTTACACAGGACAAGCCAGAATTTCATCCCAATTTTAAAAATATGGAATTTCAACAAGATATTTTGAATATTGTTTTAGATCATCGAGATACATGTAATTCTAAAATTTCACTGACATTCATTAAATCCGAACATGCGTATGCATTTTGGGGTACAGTTTCGCAATATAGGGTGCTTATATAAGGTTTACACAGGACAAGCAGAATTTCATCCCAATTTTAAAAATAGAATTTCAACAAGATATTTCGAATATTGTTTTAGATCATCGAGATACATGTAATTCTAAAATTTCACTGACATTCATTAAATCCGAACATGCGTATGCATTTTGGGGTACAATGTCTCGTTTTCGTGTGGCATTTATACTCAAGTCTCGTGCGAGAGCTTTAAACTTGCAGGAAACACCCGCCGGATTTTAAAAAACTCCACTAAAAATAGTCAATCCCCTGCCCCATCGCAATTATTTTTGGGCCGCCAGGAAAAAATTCCGTTATTATCAAGAGAAAATAATAAGGTAAATTAAATTTTATCATGTTTTTAACTAAATTATTCGAGAATATTTTTTTACAAGTTTTGCCTTTGATCGATTATTATAGATATTATAAATTTGTAAAATCTACGTGAAGAAAAACTTATTATTATTGATATTCATTTAGATAATTGCGAGTTAGATAATATTACTTCTTCCTTTTGGCCAGATGAGTTGTTTTTGTATCGTCTAAAAAACCATATAATAAACAACTTACAGACCTCACTCTCATTCAGCAAGTACCTAATCCTTAGGGCCGCCCCAATCACTAGGGAACTTAAGCATTGACAACGAGTACGACTACGACTACGAGGTTCGTCATTCCCACGCGTTGTTCGCTTACGCCATCAATCGAAACTCGTAATCGTTGGGCTTTTGAGTACGAAATTTACAAACAAACTCGTATTTAAAATCAGAATCAGAATCAGAATCAGATTTATTTTTACACGTATACAAAAACAAGAAAAAAGCTCGGCGACTACGAGTTTTGGCTGATGGCGTCTGCAAACAACGCGCGAGGATGACGAATCACGTAGTCGTAGTCGTAGTCACTGCTAAAGCTCCCTACTGTCGTGTTAACAACATTCGAAATTTGGGATTCGAAATTTCCATAAAAATCATAACTATACCGCATAGAGGGGCTTTCTGGAGAAAATTGTTGAATATTTTCATTACAAATAAATAAAGCTAACAACTATCTAATCATCGACTTCATAATTATCATCATCGAATTCGTCATCGTCGTTTTCCATACTCTCCATGTTCAGCATGTTATAGTATTCCGCTATTGCTTCTTCAGTAATGTCCTCGTCAGGATAATGTGCTTTCTGGGTGTCGGGCGAAACATCAACGTTAAATTGCTGCTTGAGAATACCAATGAAGAAAGACAGCGAACGTATTCTTGACGACAATACAGCTATAATTCCACGATTGCTTTCAGAAAGATTGTCTGCCTTTAGCGCATTATACCAACTTTCAAGTTGATCAAGGGATTGCGTGAAGAAGTTGATGCAGTTGCTCATTTCATCTTTTAACATAACAACTTCTTCCTCACACCTTCGTCTTATATTATACATATCAATTAAGTGCTTTTTAATTGATCTGGGCACGTGCACGTTACATTGTTCGGCGCTGTCTAACCCATCCCACAACGAAGATTCAATATTGACACACTGCTCAAAAGTTAATTGATCTGGATATTGAACTTCCGATATGGTTGACATTTTTCCAGTACTTGCGTTGTAGGTATTGATGGCTTTCTTAATCATACTCGTCTGCCTAGTAATTTGCCCACAAAGTTTCTTCGCAATACTTTGACCATCTATAAAAAGGAAGATAGCTTGATCGTTTATAAAAATGTATGGAATTGTTACCACTGCGAAGTAAGTACGAAATACTCAGGCTTAAACATCTTGCAGGAATCGAACCTGCATCGGAATATATGATACATATCCAATCACCTGAAGATGTTGAATAAATAAAACATTTTTACAGGCATCCATGGAGTAAAACATTTATAATCCAGGTATGGGTAATAATAATAATAATAATATGGACAATGGGTAAATGCGGCCATTTTTTTCGTGCAATATTACCTGCATACTTCTTCATTAGTTGAAGTAGAAACCACCTTTCTGATGCCATATGGCGAATCTTCTCTAGTTGGTCCTTCCTATTCTGCTTTTCCAGGTTCCGTTTTGCTTCGTGAAATGTGGGACTGTCACTCAGCCATCTCGAAAAGCCTTTTTCCATCTTCTTTAACATGTTATCTAACCTAAAATAAATATTTTAAATTAATTAAAATTAATTGTTATACAAAATTCAAATCAAAACCTCTCCTCAATCGCCTAACAGTTCAGTTACAGATCATCGATGATTCATGTTGAAACGTTCAGAGTGAATGTAAACTATTTTTTTTGTATCAGGACTAATAACATTTTGAAGAAGGCTCCTTACTATTTTGAAACACATTTAATTTGGAAATCAACAATGTCAACAGAAGGAGGAAGTACCACCGATTTCGCGGCGCCATTGCGGTGCAAATGCATGAAGTCCAAAAAAGGCACTTACTTCAGCGCATTTTCAACTGTTATTTTCCATGCTGGTGAGTCAGGGACACATTTAGAACTTTCGTATCTATAATATACAACAAACTCAAAAAGTGAACAATGAATAATTATGAAAAATGAATACAACAAATTTATCCAGAAGTTTAACTCTATTTCATACAATTTGTAAACAACGCACTTTGCAGAATAGTATTGTTGAAGTTTTTCTGCATACTGAAGAGATCCATAACCTGTTGCTGAAGCTGTTTCAAAAATCAAAATATCAAATGTAGCTGATCAAGACATTTCGTGTACAAGGTTTATATGACGAACAAGAATTTCAATATACTGTAGCTCCTTATATAACACTCGATGTTGCTATCTAAAATACAGTATTATTCATAGTGGGATAGCATCTGGTCAATTGGACAAGCAAATTTACTATATATTCAAAGACAATTCTTTAAAACTAAATTTTGATGATAAGATATATAATGACATACTTGGCCCTGGACATTTTTTAATGTATGTTTTTTCTTCTTCAGCAATCCAGATGTGAACATCTGTTTGTAGGGTATTTTCTGTGTTAAAACGTTCCACGCATTAAGTCTTCAAACAACATTAGTAGGTAACATAAAAACATTATGGGGTTTGAGGATATATATATGATGGACTCTAAAAACATTCTGATTCTTTACAGACAGGTAAAGTACACAGAATAAACTACTTTAATTGTCTAAACTTATTCCAGTTTTGCTGTATGAGTACTCACCATCCTTTCCAAGTTTTGAAGCTAAAAGTTTAAATTCTTCACTGCTGTACTTTTGCATTTCCAAGGTATTTTGCATCCGTTGACACAACAGATCACCTTTAGCAATTGAAGAAAATGTATATATAGAAAAATAATGAATACGATGAAATGAGGAAAATTAATTAGCGATTACCTATCATCAATAATAACTCAATAATTATCATGAATTGATTAGCATAAAATATAAGTCTTTTTGTTGTTGTGTTGACACGGTTCGGATGTTTTGCCAGGCCTACAAACTACCAGATTCCGTACAGAAC